ACTTTCGTAAATATCTTAGCTTTAGCTAGCTTATCTCGTAAGTACTAGGTATTAGGTAGCGGATATTTATTAGTAATAGTAATATTATTAACTTATTAGAGGTTAATATAAGGCCTTCTATTATTATCGCCTAGTTTCGCGATAATTAGTATATTTAATACTATTAGTAATTTAGATTCTCTAATCTATTCTTTCTTAAGTACTACTTTAACGTATTTCTCTAGCGTCCTAGTAGTATCGAAATAGTAGTATCTTAAGGTTTCTAAAGAGTACTTCGCTTCTTCTTTAAAATTAATTTTATAGTCTTATAGTTAATATTCGGGTAAGGCTCGAAAGTCTTCTAGGTTTTCGAATAACTTCTTATACTTCTAATACTATATAGGTATTTGTTTTTCTATACTCTTACTAGTATTCTATAGAGGACCCTCTATTCTATTAAGGTGTCCGGGCACTTTAGAGGAGGTAGCGTAAACCTCTCTCCGGCCTTTAAGTTACTACGAACCCTCGTAGATATATCTCCCGTAGGTTACTATATTAGTATACTAGTCTATTTCCGGGTTATATTCTCGAAACTAGAGTATTCCTAGAATAGTCTTATAGTCTCTAATATCTAAAATATCGAATTAGATATCTACTTTATATCCTCGGGTTTAAGTAGATCGACTAGCTAAGGTAGCTAGGTCGATAGTATTAATAACTTAGTAGTTATCTTAGTCGTTCCTTACTAGGCGAACACTACTCTCTTAGTATTAACGTAGACGACCTCGTAGCGGGTACTAGTCTTATTTCTATAACGTTAAAACTCTATAGCGTATTAGATTATAGAGCCTATTTAGGTAAGAGCTAATAACTTACGTACCGCTATTCTCTTAGCGTTAATATTTCTAAACATTTGTCGTATTTCTATCTTAAAACTCCCGAAATTTCTAAAGATCTTCTAAGTCGCTATTATTATACTAGCCGGTTAGTTATTATATTTAAAATAGTCTCTTAAAAAGGGTTAGATCTAAAGGTAAGCTAGGCCCTTAAGATAAGACGTAGCCTAGAGAACCTTATACTTTTCTAAGCTAAACTAGTCTTTATTAAAGGTAAAGTATAATTCGGTCTAAAGAAGAAAGGTCTCGAGCTCGAAACGGTTTTCTAAATATTATTTAGAGAGTACTACCTTAAGTAGTACTATATTTTTAACTATAATATTTCTTTTGTCGTCGTCCGGTATACTAATATTATTAGCTTTCTTACTACTTCTCTAGGTAGGGTTAGTAGTAGGCGTAAGGTCGGTACGACTAGTCGTTAGACTCTTATTAGGTAGTAGAGTAGTCTTCTTACTAGATAAAGCTATTATTAATAGTCGAGGTATACTTAGAATAAGTACTTAAAGTATAACGATTTAAGTATTCTATATACTATAGATAGAGGTTTCGTCGGGTTAGTATATAAATAAGTACGTACGGGATTATTAGGTTATAGACTTAAAGGTATATTTGTTATAATAAGAGTAGGTTAAATAGATAATATACTATTACTATAGTAAGTTAAGTATAAAGCTTCTATCTAAGGAAATTATAAATATTATATAGAACTTTTCTTTCTTAAGTTTAATAGGTTCGTTAGTCGAACTCGTTAAACTTCTAGCCGGTTTAATAGGTTCGCCTAGCGAACTTATCGAACTTTCCTTATTACGTAATAGTACCCTAAACCGGGGCCTATCCGCTAACCTAAATATAACTAACCTTAACTAAATTAATTTACTAGACAGCGGTCCCGGGAACTACTTAGTTCCTATAACCTCGCCTAATCCTAGGACCTTTAGTCCTAAGAGTATTACGACGCCGAGGCCGACACTACTCGTAATAGTAGTTTATCTTCTAACAAATAAGATACTAGCTAATAGTCTAACTAAGAACCTACTAAGATATAAGTTTAAGTACTTTCGATTACTTCTTAATCTATAAGATATTAGAGGTATAATTAAGAAGCTAGATTAGAGTTAATTTAGGCGCTTACTTACTAAGACTAAGCTCGAGCTAGAGTATATTAGAGGATTATTTTTATATATTATATATTTATTTTATTAGATAAGTTAGAGGTTCTTATATAGTTTTACGGCGATTAGAATAGTTTAAAAAGGTTATAGAGATAGAAAATAATTAATATTAAGCTATACTAGGCTAGAGAATAGAATATATTAAGAGGACTAGCCCTAAACCGAAATACTAGATAACTAGCTAACTACTCTAACTAAGTATAGAAATAAAGCTAAGAGAGTTAAACCTAAGTAAGTAAGTATAGCTTAAGAGGTAACTCTTAGTTCCTAAGCTAGAGATATAATCTTAAGTACCTCTATAAAGAGGATTTACGCTTCTTTATAGACTTTATATTCTCCGAAAGAAGACCTTTAATCTCTTTAAGATTAATTACTATATTATTTAAAACTACCTTTATCCTCGCTAACGTAGGGGTAGGTAGACTACTCTTTTTAAGTAAGTCGATTTCCTTCTAGACTATACTAGTAACCTCTAAAGCTATATAAGCCAAGGCCCGGAATTTCGTAAGATACTATACTTAATTAGCTATACTTAAGTTAGAAATAAGTAGTAGAATATATAAAAGTAGAGTATAGAGGCTTTCTATCTAAGTCTTTTTTAAGACTCTAGCTATAGACTATAATAAAGCTCTTATAATAGGAGCGAGTATAAGTTAGAACTAGGCGGTAAGGGTATAAACTCTCCGTATAGACGAAGTAGCGATTACTACCTAAATTATAGTAGTAGTAGCTAATCTTAGTCGTTCGACTATTTAAGAGAGACTAAAGGTAACTAGAGTAAGGCTTCTTACGCTCGGTAGTATAAGTATATTTCTAACCTTTAGCTATAGTCGTAGGACGAGGAGAGACTAAAGTAGAAGACTATAATAATTAGTTACTTAGTTCTATAAAAGTAAGTATAAAAACTTATAAGAGATAAGCTTAATAAACTCGAAAGACTTAGAGAGCCTCTACTACTAAGATCTAGATTAAAATTATTCTCTAGACTATTACTACTACTACTACTAATACTAATATCTAATAACTCTTTCTTTCTCGCTAAAAGGCGATAGTACTTCTTATAGTTACTAGCTTTAAAGGCGATATTTATTTAAGTAGAGATAAGCTTAATCTCTAGTAGTTCTAGTAGCTTTAAAGAAGTACGGTTTTTATACTTAATTTAAGCGCTAAGATCTTCTTTTAGAATAAGAGGTATAACTAGTTTATTCTAACTAGTAAGAGGAACGGCGATACGACGAGTATTATATTACGTAATAGTTACGCGAGTAGTAGCTAGTTACTTAGTAGTTTAACGTCTCTTTAGTATAGTAAAGATTAATTAATTAATTAATTAGAACTAGAAATAAAAAGTAGAAATAATAGAGAATAAGAGCTAATTTCGATAAGATCTAGAGAGTAAGTATTACTTATATACTTCTAAGAGCTTACCTCTTTAGAAGCTAAGCTTATATTATTTACTTAAAGATAATAGAATAAATTATAATTAGTTAAGTTTAGTAAGCGATATAATATTATATTTCTAAGTATAATAGCTAAAGCTAAGCTTAGAAATATACTATTTTAATACTTATAAAGAGTAGAAATATAAAAGGCTAAGAATAGTAAAGTATAGTTAGATAGATAGATAGTTCTTTAGAAGATAATATTAAGCGAGAAGTATTTAGGTTTCTACTATTTAGCTATATTTAGATAGCTACTATAGGTTTCTATAATATATAATTACTAGATAATACTAACTTAAAGCTATATTTAATAGGTAAGTACTACTTTAGGTAGTTTCTAAGCTTACCTAGAGAGTATATCGTAGACTAGGTTAGTTATATAGGTAATATAGTTTAGGTACACTATAAGAGAGTAGCTTAGGCTACTTACTAGTATATACTAAGTATAGGACTATATATATTAGATACTTAGCTGTCCTAAACCTAAAGAGTTAGACTTATTTTAATATACTAAACCTCTACTCTACCTATATACTACGTAATAGGTTACTAATATAAATAAGGAGATATATATAATCTAGTATATAGTAAATATAAGTAACTAAGATAGTAAAAAAGGTAGTTTTTAATAAGTAAAGAAGATAATATTTCGAAGCTATCTAGTAATAAGCTAATATATAAACTCGAAATAGAATAACTATAAGCTAAAGTAAGTCTACACTATTATACTAGTTTTAGTATATACTATATATATACTACTATAATATAGTAATACTCTATAAGTTCTTTCTTCTTTAATCTATAAATATAAACTAATTAGTATTAAATTACTAGATCTTAATTATTTATATAGTATAGTATAAATATTATAATATAATATATAATTTTTAAGTAATAATGTAAATAATTATTAGCTATAAAGAGAAATAAGATTTAAGTAACTTAATAGAAGTTATTAAGTCTTAATATATAACTAAATTATTAGAATAACCTTATTTCTTATTAGCTATAACTATACCTTAAGTAGAGCTATTACGTAGTATAATACTACGTCTATAGTCTTATAGCTCTTACGGCTATACTTCTTAATTATTAACCTACTATAACAAAATTACAACCCTAGCTTACCGCTTAATATAGAGTGTCGAGTACTATAATAAAGTAGTAAACTAATATAAATAAATCTATTTAGACTATATAAAGTAAAATCTATTTAATAAAGTAAATAAATTCTTAATAATATAAAAGTAGCTATATTATTAAAATAAAATCTAAGAATATAAAATAAAATCTAATAGTAATACTTATATTTTATATAGTATAAGAAGTATTATCTAATTTTAATAGTAAGCTAGAGGTATACTATTATTAACTAGTAGTCTACTAAAGTAAATATTTAATAAGGTACTTAATTACTAAAGACGAAAACTTAAGTAAACCCTAATTCCTAGAAACTATACCTAAAACCCGCAACTATACTACACGAAATCCAATTCCTAGCAACTACAAGAATGGCCTTCCACCTCGCCTGTCTGGAAATCTCTGAAGAACTCTATGTCTACACCGATCTCCCAACCGACGAACCAGAGTCAATCCGCCTTCTAAAATTGTGTTCCGGTCCCAATGAGCCAATCAAAGTATCCCTCCAAGTAGCAAATCTCGATAAAAATCCACAATACGACTGCCTCTCTTACACTTGGGCGGACCCTCTTTACCACGGCCTGTCCGCGCCAGCGGATATACAAATCACTAACGGCGAACGCTCTATTCCGATTCTCTGCGATGGCTTAATTTTGAAAATCACATCTAATCTCCAGGAAGCGCTTAAAGAATTGATAAATCGCGCAGCACAAGATACAGAACGCCAGAACCTAATCTGGATCGACGCAATCTGCATCAATCAATACGACGAAGCCGCCAATAAGAAGGAAAAAGGCCATCAGATAAACATGATGGGTTCAATCTATAGCGCCGCAAAATCGGTAATCGTATGGCTTGGGATTACAGATGAACACTCCAAGCCGGCGATCGAAGCGGTGAATCTCTTTTCTACTATCGAACCCGAGACGTTCAGTAACGTGAGGATCTCTACGCTTTTTGATGACGTGTTGAATGAGTTGACCGATGAGGTTGATATTGAGTGGTTGAGTCTTGCCGCGTTTTTGCAAAGGACTTGGTTTAGTAGAATTTGGGTAGTGCAGGAGGTATGGCTCATTTTTCTATGTGGGTTGGGCATAGGCTAATGACGGGCATAGGTGTTTCTACCAACCAAGATTCTGGTGCTTTGCGGTTCAAGTACCCTCACTTGGTCCGCAATAACGGCCTGCTCGCGCTTCCTCCGCGCCACAAACCTGGGAAACGTTCTCATGGAAGAAGCAGAAAAGGTGACAAATCCAAATACTGCCACGGAAACGGTATATGTAAAGAACATCCTCTCAAATCAATACATTTTCGAAAGCATGCGAGAGCAGAAAAGAGCAGATAGAGTGCTAAACCTGGAACAGCTATTGAGTTATAGTCGATATTTCAACGCAACTGAAGCGCAGGATCATGTCTTCGCATTGTACGGTATTTGGGCCAAGAGCCTACCTAAAGAGAAAATTCCTGAACGAATGGGAGCCGAATTGAAGGAGTCAGTCGCACGAGTATACACACGTGCTACCCTGGAGTCGATACGCGAGACTGGTGATCTGAATATCCTTTCACTAGTAGAGGATGCTTCCGTTCGAGCAATTCAGTTGCAAAGAGAAGGATTACAGGAATTGTCAGATCTGCCATCCTGGGTGCCGGATTACCGGGTTGTGTTGCAGCCTACTCCATTATCTGGGAACCCACGACTAACGGGTGGGGACGTAGGACGCTGGAATGCTAGTGCAGGTTTGATTTGGGAGATTCCGATTAGTGTTGATAACAGCGCGCCATCTGTGCTACTCCCCGTGAAGGGGGTTTGCTTCGATACCATCTCCGAGATATCGAAAGCAGAATCAGAAATTATGGGAAGACACCAACTCAAATCCATTCTCTACCTACTCTCAAACTGCCCATCTACCTACCCAGACGGAAGCACCACCATCGAAGCCTTCTACCGAACCCTAATCAAAGACACCTACCTCAACCAACCAGCCTCCAGTTCCGCACGACTCGCATTCCCGTACTTCATCCTCATGCGAGTTCTGGAGCTCGAAGTCGCAATGAACAATGAACCCGAACAATACACCACCCAAATGACTGAAACCAAATCGTTAATCCAAGACCTCTGCTCTAGGCCAGATAATAATGGAATTATACCAAGTTGGGAGATGATTGAAGAAATGAGGGGAAAGATTGAGGATGAAGATAAACCGCCAGAGTTGACGAGGGAGATTAATGATATTCATCATGGAGTTTTGACGGCTGTTACTGCGAGGAGGTTGTTTAGGTGCGGGAAGGGGTGGATGGGGATTACGGCTGAGTCGGTGCAGGTGGGGGATGTGGTTTGGGTACTGGCGGGGATGAAGGTGCCGGTTGTGCTAAGAAGCGTAGAAGGAAAGAGGTGGAAGGTTGTAGGGGAAGGATATGTGCATGGAATTATGAACGGAGAGGGGATCAGAGGAAGGGAGAAAGAAGTTGATTCGATTGACTTGGAGTGAGGTTTAATGGATCGGGGTGATTGGTGGTGTTGCTGGATGAAACAATAGTTGCAACGTGTTGCGACATGACCTGAGAGGATTTTCTAGAAGATTTCCAGCTTCCGGCAGCTTCGTAAAATTTAATATGTGGATATCGTCATCAATAAAAAGGGGGTATATATGTGCTAAAATCTAAGTGAGTTGTGACATTAAGCTTACACAACGCCTACAAGTTACTTTTAAATTCCTACCCATTACGTTCCTCTTAACTAGGCAACTTGATCCCTCCAAGGTTAGACGCCTTCTTCCCGCAAGGCTGACTAGCAGTCTTTGGTATACAAAGCCCAGAGAACGCTTTCGTACTCCCTACTTTGTGCACAGAAGTGACCTGCCTTCTACACAACCCAGCCCCCGTGAACTGACCAGTACACGGCCTCCCATTGCCTTCACCCTGCGATATCACCGGCGTACAACCATCAACACACCGCATTACCGGTGTACCATCAACGCAAGACGGTACTTCTCTACAAAAAGCCTTTTTTCCTTTACAGTCCTCATTGGAGGTGCAGGCTTTCGTTGTGGCTTTTCCGTCTCCGCGTACGATGCCGAAATCGGTCGCTGTAAGCCCATCGTTCAGGGCCGCGGAGGTGGATGAAGAGGCAATATTTAAAGGGGCTAGGTAGGCCGTCAAGTTGAATGGTGGAATTGGTATGCCTGCTGAAGAGCTGGAGGGGTTAATGAATGAGTTTATGATTTGACCGGTTGAGGCTTGGCCTGTGGTACTTGCAGAGCCTGCGATGCAGAGCGAGGGTTTGGTCCAGATCGAATCAGCGGCCATTTGCCAAAGGGCGGTATAGTTATATACTGTCTGAGGGGTGTAGAAGATACGGCAATCGGCAGCTTCGTATGCAAATTGTAATGGGATTGTTTCGTCTTTTCGAACTTGGTCTCGGAGGTTGATATTGCCGTACACTACGAAAATACTCTGTGTCTCGGTTCGATTTGGTAACTGAGCAGCTTTGGGTGAACTCTGGTTTGTGAGGAGGAATTGTGTGACTTCTATGTTGGCGTCAAGAGTAGAGATAGATAAGCCTCGAGCGCCCCGAGTTCCACTTGGTGCTTGCATTGATCCTGTGGTGGGCCTTCCACCAACCACGACGGTACGTACTCCAGCTTCATGGCGCATCATTTCCATGAATATAGCGCATGAGGAACTGCATATACCATCGGAAAGCTACAGAGCACTTAGCATTTGGATCAGCCAGAGTGGGAAACGAGGACTTACGATGATGATATCTTTTGCTGCGAACGGTGGAGTAGTATATGTTGCAGCATCTCTACCGAACCCAAACACCCCAAAAGACGGATTGTTGCTTGCTGTGCTTGCTTCGATAAAGACAGGACTCGACAGGTTGTAGCGTTGCTATTAAGATATCGTTGTTAGCAAGCGCTCTTCTAGGGTAGCCTGGGCTCTAAATATAATGGACTGAATAGAGAGGCAGTGAGAACATCCTCAAAAGCCCTCTCCGAGAATCGAGAATCGATTTACTAAGTTTGGAGCTCGAGAACCATCACATGAAGAAGCAGCGAAACCTACAGTAGTAGTAAAATTATCCCCATTAAAAGCATTGGGACCAAAGAACTCCGGCCAAGAAGTAAAATTCTTGTCAGTCTCAGCATTTATACGATCCGTCGCTACAAACTCGTTGGCCGCCAGAAAACTGTAATCCTCATCGACGGTACTCAAAGAATTCCAATACCCAGTTATCGTTTCACCCATCAGGTCAACCATGGGATGAGCACGTAATCTAGAACCGCCGAATGGGTTAATATCGGGGAAGAATTGCCTGAAAGTATCGATTGCAAGCAGAGGTTGGCCCCCAAGGTTTTGTTGAAGATCGATAACCACTTTTGACAGGCCTGCCGCTTTGGTCTTTGTGATGAAATCCTTGATAGTATCTTCGAATGTGCCGATTGCTTCCCCCTGTTCGTCGAAACTGGGGATACTAAGAACTGATGTTGAGGTTGATTTTAGGAAGTATCCTGACACAAATCCTCCGCCAAATTCTCCTAGATCTTTCTGGAACACATCAGGGTCGTCAGGATAGGCGGGTGAGTCCCATTTAGTATTGGTAGGTGCTGCTGGAGAGGTAACGGTTGAAGCTTGGGCGCTGGAAGTTGGCGTAGCAGCCGAAGACGCTGCGGCAGGATTGGAGGTGTCATCATCATCATCATCTTCAAAGAACGAAGCAGGATAGAAGCCTAGGACGAAGAAGTTAAAAAAGTCGCCACCCGTTTGGAGCGGTCCGGTGGAACCAGGTGAATTGTAGATGGCCAGGAACTTCTCGGTAATCGAGCTACCATTCTCAAAGCCAAAGGTTACTGTGTCCCCTGGGTAAAAGGTCGCTCCACCACTGAAGACATCGAAAACTCCTTGGATATCCTGTGCCGCGCTAAGCATCAACTGGTTCCAATCAGCGTGAGGCTCTAGGGTTCCGGCCGAGTTCTTGTTCGCGAAATCGGTCAGATAAGTGATTGCGTCTTGATCATTTATCGACGTTACTGCCGAAGGTTGATAGGTTGTGAAAGACAAGCTATCGAATACATCCTCTGCTACATAGACCTTTGGAAGTTGAGTCCCGTCAACCGAGAGCGTCACCAAATCGTATGGACTAGCGAAACTGAATGCGGAGAGGATTCCTGCAATCAGACCAGTATGACCATCGTGAGCTGCGATCAAGAGAGTTTGTAGAGCCGCCTCAAACTCGTACTGATTTGGAAAAATTCCTCTTGTGATACCATCCTGTAACTGATCTAGTCCCCCGAGCAAATCGACGCCCGGTTGTTGATAACCAGCTGGTGGATTCTTTAAGTAGGTCAAAGTGCTTTGGAACTGTAAAGTATCTTTATAGTATTGAATGAAGCGCGTTGCGACTGCTGGATTGAACGGGACACTGGTGAGGCACTCGTATGCTAAGCTAGCCTCAAAGATGAACGTATCTGTCGCGATGTTAGATTGCAAGTCGCCCAGATCATCTTTTGGGGGGAATTGCCTTCGTTGTTAACGATATCACCGCATGCTGTTGATTGAGGATTTGGTGCGGAGACGGCCGTGGATGATACTGCAGGAACCGCGTTTGAAACCCCCGACAGCAATAAGACCAGAATTAGGTGCAAAAAATCAAAAGAAAACATGATAGTTACAATAATTTAAAAGAATGACGATGTCACAAATGGAAAAATGAATGTACGTTGAGGTTAAAGCTTACGAAGCAAGATCGGCCTGGGAAGCAACTCACGACATGACCCTGAGGCTCTGCATGGGAAATTAAAAGCTTACAGTCGCCTTCAGGGCTGAAACTTCCGACAGCATAATGGCTTGCCAAGGGGGCACAGCAGCAACATGTGTGCAGCGACCGGTGAGCAAAAGGGTCGGGATTTGGGGGCGAGAAGAATCTGGTGGGGGCGCTTTTCGTCAACCTCCAGCTGGAAGGATTATGAGCTCCACCCCCGTTGAATTGGCGCTTACTTCAAGATCTACTCACGTGACTGCATCCGCTATCTATGCCAAGCCTTCGAATCATTCCCCAGGCCGCTCGGCCTTTCCCGTTCTCTCTCAGCACTGTCACTCGACTCATATCGTGTACTTTGCACATGAATACTCTGAGTCTTATAGATCACCGAAGTTCTACTTTGGGTGGTAAGTTCGACCTGGCTATCTCTACCATCGGAAAGCCTCTCCATTCGATCGACACCATTGCCACGCCGGCTACTCTTGAGGTTCTCAACACGGGACGAACCAAGCCTCGATACACCTATCTTCGAGAGCGCGGTGCCAAAGGTGCGGGCAATGCGACTTTTGGAGGACTTGTAGTCACTCGAGGAGAGCTCGCCAGCGCGACGGAGAAGTGAGCGTAGCGCCGGGAGACAGGCGACCATGATTGATGTAGCCATTTCGGCCATACCCCAGACGTCTAGATTGTTTGTCAGACGGTGTTATGATGCCAGAGTGAGGTAGCGGGACTTGGGCACGACGAGCTTACAGATAGCGTTAAAGTTGTTTGTTAGGCGGATAGTGGCGTAGCGTGCTACGTTCACCACGACGGTGATCATGCCTAAGCCGAACGTGAAGATTAGGCCATAAAGCTGGCGTTTCTGAAGCGTTAAGTTTCGGAAGAGGGGAAATGGTAGTGCGAAGACTGACTGCTGTATTAGTCTATGACTTTGTGGGCTTATAGATGCGAAGAGCACTTACTAAGTACGTCGGAGATGAAGTTGAGTGACCAGTCCAAATTGAATAAGTGTAACGAGTCGAATGCAACACAAGCACCGTCTGCTAAAGACCAATTCGAAGCGACATTGGCACCGCACCAAAACGTATCCGAAAAGCACGTAGTCAAACAGCACACGACAACGAATCCGGACACAACCCAAAGTGCGATCCGCAGCCTCGGCATCGTACTTGGAATTAGTCTCGAGTAGAGCGCGAGGATGGAGAATTTCGGGAAATAGATGCAGGTGTCGTAAAAATAATTGCCAGCGAAGGCGATCTAGATAATTCGATTAGCAAAGTGAACAGATATTGGGAAAAACAGCAGTACTTTTCTCAGCTTGATGAGAGTACTCGCATCTACAATTTCTTCATCTCCCAATCCGCCAAGCTCATAGGTCATGGTATCGGTGATCGCCAGTCCAAGAGCAAAGACAGCAGAGAGCAAGAGAAGGAGATCCGACACCAACAAGTTCTTCTGCTGATTGTGAAGCCTTACGAACATGCGCGTGGCGACGAAGACATATGCCACTCCGAGTAACGACCATTCTATCCCCTACAACCCCGTTAAATCGAATTCAATGCAGAGAAAAAGGGTCTGCTTACCATGACGGACGACCCTGAAGCACCGCCCATGATTGTCGAGGATTTGATTTTCCAGGTTTGGATTCAGAACTTGATCTGCTAGATGTTTAGGGTAAAGGCATTCTGCTAACCAGGGTGACTGCACTTGGTATAAAACCATAATTCAAACTCCAGCGAGCAATCGAAGTAGTAGGGCTCGAACCTCTCGCATTCAGCTGCTCATATTGAGACGATGCTCTAGGTCAAAGCGACTAGTTTGCAGATAGCGTCCGTGGGCTCGGACTTTTAAGGGCGATTATCAGCCTCGACCGTGGTGGCGGGAAGGTGGGAGCCCAATTAATGCAATCTACCTCCTGTGTCAAAGATTTCTCAAATGCATCACCGACGATAACAATATTAATCGAGGTCTCTCTTTCAGCGTCAAGTATGAAAGATCCATTGCTGGCCTAGAGCACATGATATTAAAGTGTGGATCTCATGTCCTACGGATTGTGTAGATAAAGGGAGGCTTTCAAACAGTTGATAATTCTTTAGTACTTCGTAAACAGCAAAGAGCTAAAAGAGCGTTACCTGCGGGCGAGATGGCCAGACTTATTTTGATCTTTCTAACTATACACTTGCCACAGTTTTAATCCTTGAACAGAGACATCAAAGAATGCGATTTGGCAAAGATCCTGGGTGTTTTAGAAGTATCGAAAAGCCGCACAGACTGGAGACTAACGCTATTGGGTCATGTACGAAGCACTACCGGTAGAAGTCCACGTTGCCCATCGTCCAAGTACGGAATTACCACTCTGGTGGTAAGTACCGACGCAGATCTAGGCCTGACGGAAGCTTTGCGACTTTCCCCGCACTCCTTATATACTGGGTCTGCCACTGATCTGAGCCAGGATGTCGAGTAAAGGTATGATAGAATTTACTATAAGCTAGAAGAGCAGAATGATCACCGCCAGAATTTACTTTGCACAAATAACATACAAAATGGTAAACACATCAATGGCTCCGCGAATGGGTTCAGGACAGAATACTATCAAGATGCCGCGCCGCCTCCCTTTCGACCATTCTAGACCAGTGTGACTTAGCTTTCGCGAGGTATCCTGGACATGATGCATTCCATTGGGTGGACGAGATGGGATTATCACAGGCGAGTGATAAAACTTTCGAAAGAGAACGGGATGAAGAAGCTCGACTTTGCAGACGGGGAAGCCGTTACTACTCCCGTTGTTCTTATCTCTGTCCAGTGGGTTAAATTTTGACCTACTACACAGTTCGGGTTCGATGGGATGTCAGGGCTTAAACTCGCGGCGTGCCGTCTTAAATTAGGCTTTTGAGGCTTCTAGTCTTTAAAGTCTGGGGAGTTCGGCCAGTGAAGGAGCTCTGTTCTATTCCCGAAACGAGCATTCTGAGGTTCTCACACATCTGACTAAACCAACACTTGACCGGACAGAGATAAGAATTAACTGAGTAGATTCCATCTTTATGCAAAATCTATCGGTCCTGTAAAAAAGGGGCCTTCAGAAATCAGAGCGTGAGTGCTATCTCCGACGACTCAAAATCACGAAAAGGTTTTTCTGCGCGAGAAACTTGGCCTGTGTGAAAACCGTCGCTACATCCTACGATTTCTTCAATTTAGAGAGGAAGATTGGCGTCGAAAGAGGCAGAGAGTGGAAAGACCGAGGGCTAGAGGAAGAAAATTGCCGATTAGTGTCAACAACTTGGTATGGAGTCTAAAGTCAACACTGATGTATGTGGTATAAAGTGGGACGAAGACACAACCTTCCGATCACACAAATTCGATGCTTCAGGTGAAACAAATTACAGTGCCTGATTATTACCAACCAAAATGCAATGCACGGTGCTCGCTCGCAAGCAATCGACATTGAAAGGCATTCTGTGACCAACATAGGCTTTTGAAGTGCCTTACCACGGACAATCGTGAGATAATGAAGGGTAGTTATTTAGGTTCGGACGAGTTTATGCACTTTTGCAAAAAGGTGATGGAGAGGGGAGAGCAAGCAACAGTATCGTGAATATTGGCGTGATGAGGCGATGACCCAAATCAGACGTGAGCGAAGTCCGGTTATGGAGATAGATGGATTTTAGGGTACTTCGGAAGAAGGTTGGGACTCAAATGATGCCACGGGAAAATGAATCGGAATAGCTCATTAGACTGTTATCGGATCAAGCTATCTCCTCCACGGCATATTCCTCAACAGAATGATCGAATGTCACGGCTTCCTCCATCAGAAACCGACCACAATTACAACCTATGGCAAATTATTCCTTCTTTGGCCCCTTGCTCTCATCTCCACTATAATCCCCGCCCCTCTTGCCTTTCTCGAACGCGGCCCAATCATCTTTGCAATAGGTTTTGACAAGCTCTTTCATGCCCTCGAAAACCCTGTGAGTTTGTTAGCAAGTACGCCGGCGAACACTATCGAGATGGCTGTACACTTCACGTTGATTACATCCGGGAATCAGGATCGCGGTTCCGATGTTGAAGCGAAGGGAATACAGAAGGTTTCTTCCATCCCAATCTTCCACTACGTAGAACATGGTTAGTTCTGTCTCAGTGAAAGTAGAAAAACATACCTGGCTCGGAAGGTGCAAAATTGTGCTTGTAATTTTTCATGTAGACGTCCTTACTTAGTCGGTGGCGTGGTGCTCTCCAATTCCCTACATCATACTCGTTATGGCCATAAAAAGAACCAGCATCAAATACAAATGGTTCCCCGCTTTCCATATCCGTGGCTGTGTTCTCATCCCAGCAGTCACCATGCAATAAGCAGGGTTTGATGGACCTGCCATCGCTTTGGAGAGGTTCGAGAAGTCGTGGGATGACCTTGTTCAACGTGATGTCAACAAGCTGCTCGAACTCTGGCCATGGACCGTGTTTTTCGACATCCATTGCGAACATGTGTCCCAACTGCTTTTTGTAAAGTTCTGCCCATGAGATCTCCCAAGTATTTGTGAACTGGGTAATCGCTCCGTGGCAGGTTGTAGTGTGGAAGCCAAATTTGCCAGTTGGTGAGATGGACTTTTTGTGCAGTTCTACAAGCCGCGCGGTGAAATTGACTAGGTCAGGGGGCTGCTCTCCAGGTTCGCGAAAGTCTGCAATCATGAAATAGGCTTCTTCATTCTGGTACTTACCCCATGCCCATACATATGGTGCCATGGTTGGGATAATAGCATTCAATGCTTTCATAGCCTCGAATTCCCCTTCGCACATCACTCGACCGGTCTTCCCTGTGGCAGCCTATGCATTCAATCAGCAGTTATTTCATCTCCGGATACCTGGCGCTGGGAAAGAAAGGCGGTAGAGCCCCTACCTTCAAGAAGTAGTTTTTGGTCTGTCCATCTGGTAATTCAGCGACAATTTTGGCGCATCTGCCCCATAACGACGTCCCGTAAGCATACGACGAGATAATTTTGGTGCCAGGAATCGGAAGTTCTATCCTCGATGGGTTAGTGCATGCTCATATCTGAAAGAATTCCAAGAGGCTCGTTACTCTCTATCACTGCATCCTCCAACGCGAAGCTGCCATATGTCCTTGGTGGCTTAATGTCCTCGTCCGGAGCGGTATTGTTTGCACGATTCACGTGCGGGTGATCAGTTGACATCTTTGAAGTGCCTATAAGCAAAGGTGACAGAAGTTACGGTTGATCGACCGAAGTCGGTAAAGGGTGATTTCTTTTCTGAGGAATCGCACCTTAAATTCTGGTCTTTTATTGTCCTTCGAAGGTACAGTTGAGCTCAGATATAGGCGGTGTGGGTGATAAAATTAAGAAGTATTTGATAGCGGGAAAGAAGATCGTATTGTTACCCTTTTTGAGAGAGAATCTGCGAAGCAGCACCAAGAATTATACTCACACTCCTCCTTCTAAATCTGTCATCGAATGGGTATAGTCAAACAGTCATGAGTACTTGGTTTCTGTCGATGACTCAAGAGGATCGCTGATTGCGAAGAGTCTTGACATGCTAGACAGTAGACAAAGAAAGTGGAACGTTTCACCTCTGCTCGATTTTAGCCTTATCACTACTATCTCTTCGGTACTGTTCAGCGTTTCGGAGGTGATTCGGTTACCTGGATATATAGCACCGAGAAGAATGAGATACCATCGAAGGGTTTTCGTTAAATGAGAGTTGAAGCTGAGGAGTGTGACTGCATCATCCAACAAAGCATCCAACAAAGCTCCACTTCTCTATGGGCACCGAAAGTGAGGAACAAATCCCTTACCGGGGGACTGATCCAGCTGTACTTCCAGATTCACCAAATTAAAAACCGACGAAAAACTGACTTTAATAAGAGAACTCCAACTGCTAGCAAGTCATGAGACTTTATTAGACGAAGAACTATGTCGTTGGCTGTCAATAAGCCATGTGTAAACGAAGATCTATCTTTTTCTCCAAGACGGCCACCTTGTCCTCGAATCGGCCTGCCTCGCAGGTACACTACTGGAATTGGATCCTAGTCTCAGGGTGCATGGAGATACTCAATTTCGTTAAAGATGAGTTATAGCGGACTAATCTACAGCATTCTTGAAAAGGTCTAAGTCTACTTGTTAGTGTCACCCAAACATTTATTGTTCTTGGATCACCAGTCCTACATTTGGACATGAGAGCTTGGGCTTTGTGATGTGATGGTCGGGGGTATACAAAGCACTTCTTTTTATATTAGTCAGGGGCGCTGAGGCTAATCACGTTCAATAAACATAGCATACTTCTCCACTATATCGTTGGGAAATTCCTATATCCTAAAAGATGGTATAGAAATATGGATAAAGAGCGACTATTGGGGATTGTTGGAGATTGTTGGGGAGTTTTTGGGGGTGCTTGATTTTCATGATAGAAAATATACGACAATAAAAAATATGCTCGGTAAGTTCACTACTTATGGACATCATCAAAGGTTATGAGAGAAATGCAGTGATATCCCTTAAGGCTTATAGATGCGGAATTTGAATTTAGACCCAACTATTGGGACAGTTCAAAGTAGAGTATACAAGGCAAAGATTGGCTCAGAAGAAACAACTGGCTGATATATAAGACTAGTAGTAGTTGTCTACATCTCTACAGCAATTTGAAACATTACACTTCAGTTGTCAATATTATACACACTGCAATTTTGAACAATCCGATGTTGGTGTTTCCGAATATTGAAAATCAAATCTACATCTAAAACCAATAAATAACTGCTCAATATGGAGCGCGCGAGAGCTGCAAGATTCATCTGGAGATATCATGTTCTCTACAACGATACTCAGCTCGACGCCAATACTGTTCACGAGTCTCATTACATACAGGCTCGTGAGCTACGTCGGCAAATTAGTCCTCTCTCTTCTGAGAGCACAAGGTTTGAGAATTATGAAAACGAAAGGATAATAGATTCATACATAACTGTAAATCAGTGTTACTTTCCTGTACTCTGAGGAGATCGTCAGTCCCACCTGGTTGTCGTTTACCTGTGGTCTCTAGTAATAATCCCTTTCTCTGCCAATTTGGAGATCGGTTCCTGTGCTGCGCCTCAAAAGTCTGTACCTCAAACGTCTGTACATTGATGGTTCGTGCGCTAATATGGTTATAGCATGGATTGATAGTCCTTCATTGATCAGTGATTTAGGTGCCTCTCATGCCATATGCCGTCTACATATTGAATTGTGGTGTATGTGTTACCATTCTGTGATTTTGCGTAGAAGGGCAGTTACAATATGTGGGCTGCTTACGCATGCATATTGGCATTAAGCCTTTTGAAAGCCACACTACGTGGGCTGCTTATTCAATCACAGTGGCGTTCAGCCCTGCGACAGTCAATACAAACCTTTGATATTAAAGATAAGTAGGGAGAATCACCAAAGTCCAAGAGCTGCACATCACCGACATTTATTCCATAGTAAATCCATCTGATTTGGTTGTCAAGGAAGACATGGATTTCATACCCAGTACAGGTGGACTTGTCTGGATTACCGGATCGGGAAATATCGCAAAGAATTTAGATGTTCAGCGCACCGTTCGACGCCATGTCATGATAAGGCACTATCAAGATAAGAAGCAGAGGAAAGCAGCATATTTGGAAAGAAAACCGGTATCAGTAGCTCGTAGCAAGTTGGTTCAAGGCTCGCTGCAGCTTCGCGAGCTAGAAAGTAGCCACCTACGTGTGTCTACGAAACCCACTGAATATCAAGAACTTGTGCCTTATTCATCATCACCAAGTGCTCAAACTAGAGAACCAAAGCTGTATTGTTCATTATGTGCAGGTTCAAGTGCAACCAAGGAGGGATTCGACATAGAAGGCTGTCGTTGTCAAAGACTGCTACACAAGGACTGCATTAGTGAATCCCCTACGATGCAGAGAGATCCCTTCTTTCAATATCCTATTGATGTTACTGCACAAGATATCAAACTTATCGAGTATAGTATGTTGACCTCCCGATTTAATAATTCCAATCACTGATTAATCCTCTTATAGTATTGGACGACAACAATATGAACAGGGTAGCCCACCGACACGAAACCCTCGCCAACGCTATATCAGATCCCATTGCTTTCCACCAGATGCTATCGACTTTTGCATTGTGGATGGTTTTTAAATTAAAATATACTGGTGGAGCGAGTTATCTTAACCATGATGCAATCATACACCATAATAAAGCAATAAAAGCTGTAAGCCAAAGACTTCATGATGGCATAGGTATAACAGGCGAAGGGATGATAGCTGCAGTTCTAGGATTTGCACACCATGCAGTACGTCCCTCGACTCTATATGATTGACCGTTGAGTAATAGACCATTTTAGCATGTCAGATTAGACTTTTCTGCTTGGAAAAGCCATATGGATGGAGTAAAGCAAATCGTCAAGCTCAGGGGTGGGGTCCAAACATTGAACCAAGATATGAAAAATACTTTGTACTGGTGAGTGTCAGTCTAAAGTTGTGAAACCTGGTGAAGATACAACTTCAATCGATGGCCTCGGTAGTTCAACCATTACTAATGCGTTTATAATAGGCACGACTTGGGTGGAGCATATACTCAAGTCACTCCGCTACTTTTCGACTGGTCTACAGACACTATCAGTAACCTCATACTACTTCGCCCTCCTGCTAGAAGTTCATCTTCAGCTTTCGAACGAGTGGCTAAAGTCTGGCTCAACCGATTTCCGAGTCAGCAAGAGTTTCTCGGACTTCTTGAATCACTATCTTTGATCGCTACTCACTTGAATGAACAATTTATTCTCACTGGATGTCCAGCAGATGAAACATTTCCACTCCGTTGCATAATCAAGCCAATGATTTACCGCTTTCTTAACTTCAACACCATGATAGAAAGAAAGGACGAGGCTTCTGTTTCTTCATACGCGATTCTGGAGTCAAGTCGTCTTGCATCTCTTCTATTCCTAGCACCTCTCCGTCGCCACTTTGGTGTGTTCCCAGTGTTCACAACTTTTCAGGTTGCCAAGCTCCGAAGACTACTCACTGAAAATAATGATCTTGACTGGCACGGCTTAGAGACACTACAGTTCTGGATACTAACCCTAGCATATCTAGAATCTTCAGGTGACAAAATGTGGTGGGAAGGCGCACGAGATAACTTCGGATCACGATTTTCGTTAGAGAACCAGCTACCAGAGTTTATATGGATAAATGCCTTACATGGTTCCCAACTAAGTATCTTGAATGATCATCTCTGAGGGCATTGGTCTTGTTTTCCAAGGACGAACAGAAAGATTGGGACCACAGAAAAGGTGGTGAACGTTGCAACAAGAAATAGGAAGAGTAGATAGGAAGCGGGAGATAGTAAGCGTTATAGCTCATGTTTGGGATTGAGCAACATGTATGTAACCAAGCTCGATCTTGCGTCGATGACGACTGAGAAAATTGTGATAAGGCTGAGTGCGGTCATGTCTACTGGTTCGCGTCTCTGAGCCGTCAGCCGGTGAGCATGATGAGCTAAAGAAGAAAACCCAATACCAATCGTATGAAAGAGTTGAGTTTTGTGAATAACCAGAGAGTGTGAAAATTTCAGAGAAACAAGTTACACTTAGCGACCTTCTTTACGCCTAGGTGGTCAGCGTCTACTCGGAACGGGACGACAGCCGGGGCTGCATTAAAGTACCCCCAGTCGAACCTCCAATAACTATTTTTGCTGCCACAACCTTCCTGACTGCCATCATTCGTAATCCTTTTCTTGCCCTCAATTTACTGCTCATCAATTAGTCAGAGAAGTGCAGGCTTGTCAAGATTGCAATTCTGTGGCTTTGGCGAAATGTAATACGGCTAGCAAGCGTTGCACTGCTGGAATTGTATAGCAAAACCTCGATAGCTGTCGGTATGATCACAACTGAGCTAACAGATGCGGGGTGCAGGTTGGCGAGCTGTTTAGGGGCAATGGTCGTTGTGGGGTAGCTCCGGGTAGTCCCGCATCCACCCATTTGTCATTACTCAGCACAGCACTCATAGATCTCAACCGAGCTCAACGTCTCCTTGGCTCTTTCATCCAAATCTAGGTGAGAGTGTGCATGCGTGTTGAGCTACCGTGATCGAGTTTCCGCAGCTAGAACACACGAGTGTAAGGCTCACTGGACTAGCAGGATCCACTGATATTGGGGCTGAATGGATGCTGACAGCAACTATCAATGTTGTGCATCATTCAGATGCAGACTCTGTCGCTAGTCCCGTTGTGTATAATGATAAGATCCATGTTTCTGGTTGAGTTTCTATGTCATATCTAATCTGAAGCTAATAGGATAGCAGATCTCGAAGAGTAACAAGGGAGACAATATCATTATGAAGAACTGGATCCACTCACTTAAACCACATATAAGATCCCGGAGAGAATAATTCTGTTGACACGATGCAATAACATCATGGTCACCACACATCTCATATCTACTGGAAAATCCAGGATATTGAAAAAATCCAGAGGGGAGGTTGGATTGAAGTGAAGCTTTCTGACATGCAAGAGCCTACTGAAGTTCTGGCGGCTAGCCCTTACTCTTTTTCAACATTTACAGCAGTGTGGTTTTACGTACTTAGAAATTCGCTCTAGGAGATCACGTCTAATCTTTAACTCATCAACTCTGTTACACGAAAAACAACGAAAATTGATGAAGTTTCACTTTTGGATATTGAGAGGTAGCCCGATAGACAAATTTCAAATACTTTGCCTCAGAAAGCTGAGGAGAAACAGTCTGAGTTTGGTTCAAGGTACACAACATATGCTGTTTCGGATAGAACGGCTCAGACTACATACATATGTATCTAGCCTCTTATAATTTCTGTTCACTCCAGTTAAGAATGAATTCTTAAAGGGGGGTTTAGACCCTAGCATAAAGAACGTCAAAAAATCTAATCAACTATGTATGCGAGTCAATCCGGAGGCGCATCTTCTATCTAGCTAGCATGTGCTATGTCCCTAACCCAAAAGGGTAAACGGTCTGTTTCCTGTGTCACTGGTTCCTCGGTGCAGAATAGCCCAGATAGAGAACGCCATGTTTATTATTCAGCGGAGAGCTCTTCAGGAACAGCAAGCAAGTGACAACCCCCGAGCATGATCCTGAGTCGCTGAGAAATTCACAAGGACTTGTTCAGCTTAAGCAGTTACTATCAAATCGTGGGTCTTTTGCTGATCATGATATTCCGAGATAACTTTCCAGGAGTGCGCTCAATTACGCCACTTATACTTCATATTTCAAACTTTGCAGGAAATCTTTTAGATTTCGTAATCGATTCTCTTCAATATGACAGATCCATAACTAATAATTACGAAATCGAAAATGATCCATTCGACACAACGCGCTGACAAGACAATTTCAAGGGTACTTTTGATTGAACGCTTGTAACATTAATTCCTCGGCCCTATTGAACCACCAAAATCTGTCCTCCGCCTTTCGCTCAAAGGTGACTCGCAAAAAAGGAACGAACAATTCTGTAAGCTCGTAAGTACTCCTCGAAATTATGGAGATTGTTGAAGTCAGCCCTGCTGATATTAGCACAGCCAAACACCAGATAAATCAGATGCCTTGTCCTTCCTGAAAAGGATTTCAGAGTCTTACCGGGAAGACGTCCAACCATGCACCTGGTCATCGAAATACTCGGCATAGCTTTTCGGGGAGGCCACTTTCAATTTCTCGATCCATTCATCCATGAACTATGTAAGTAACATGAATTAGCTGTGGTCTTTGGCTTCAGGGGAGCAGAGTTTTCCGAATGCGCTATGATCGTGAAGTGAACGACTTACTTTTACATCCTCATCCATACTTGGCAGTACACAGTGTGGAATAGTAACTTTTATGGCATCATCCAGTGCCATCAGGGACGGATGAAACTGTCCAGAAGCCTTGAATATAGTCCCTTTCCCGGAGACCAAGGTACACACTTTTCCTCCCCAGCACATGCCCAGAGTGGCCCAGCTTTCGATCTCTGGATGGTCCTTACATATTGTCTCCATCAGAGGTCCGATCAACTTTACAGAATCAGGAGGATTCGCTGGACCGGTCATGAACTTCGTGATAGCTGCATATTGCTTCGGTGTTTTTGGAGGGAAATTGGCCATGTCTTGGGGATTGTCCCCGAAAAAGTCTGGCATGAAAACTTGGAAGTCGCCAACGCCATCAGGAACTGGATCGTACCCCGAGGCAAGAATGTCAGCGCCCCGTAAGGTTTGGATGTAGAGGCCAAAAACATCATATACTAGAAGAATACCCCTAGTTGCCTTTGGATTGCCGGTCACATCTTCGCCTCATTAGCACACAACATGTATATCAATTTTTCCTGAGCTGAGCAGAGAAGAACTGAATGAAAAGATGATTGCTCACATGTTTTTAGACCGTTTATATCGACATATTTCCCTTGGAGAGTATAATCATAGCCCCCGGAAAGCGTGACGGGTGGTCGAGTACAGCATGCTTTACTCTGGACTTGGAATCCGGACATTGCGCTTGATGAGATCTTAGTGTTCATGAATTGGCTGATGAGAAATGAGTTAAAAGCTGAATTGATATTGAAGACGGGATGAAATTGCTTATACGTCCGTGTTATGGGTTTTGGCTTCACATTTATGTTTGAGAGGTGCGCCATGCCCATGGTTCCGGTGAGAATCAACATTAGCCACTGAACCAGTTCCTCGTGCTGTTGCCAGCTGAATAAGTCAATTTTGGTTACCTGCCGATATTATCTCGTGCTGTTGTGGGCTGAATAAGTCAATCGTTGTTACCCCGCGAAAATGTCAACGTCTGTGGCAGCTTTGGATTGGATAACCGACAGTTGTACAGAATTAAAAACATAGAGCTGATCCAACAAGAAAACTCCACTGCCCGAATCAGGCAGTGTACAAAGTATACTGCTGACAAAGCGGTTTTAGGTCCAGTAACGAGCAGGTACGGAGGCGAGATATGCAATGCATTATGTGCAAGGATTCATGTTACACAATATTGAGTGGTACGAGCAGCACCCCATTGTCCATTTTGGGTTAAGGGCCTTGTCCAAGGAGTACACATGAGCCAGCCATATCGGAGTACCAGACCCATAGTTCCTCAAGTATGTATACTGTATTAACTTACTTATAGACAGAATAATGCCTAAATCCCTTGTATTCATTCGTCAATTTAGAGTATTCCGTGCATATAAGAAAGCATGTAAAATCCACCCAAGTTTACGAAAATGTCCCTGTTTTTGCTTCCTGATCTGGCGCTACACAGTTTATGGTCAGCATACCATTTTCTCGTGCCCTATATGTTAACCCGTCAGACATCATATTAATAATATTTTTCAGTCAAGTGTAGTTGAAGCACCGAAAGTAAGATCTTGTAAATTCTGCCTCCTCTGAGTGTACTGTAGCTTTGAACACTTATCGTAGTATGGAAATATGTAACTTCAATTTTGACAACATCGTTTGATAAATAATGGAGCCTCCCTAAAAACATGCAATCTGAAATAGATTACATCGTGTGATTCAGTAAAATGCGAAGCGATACTTGGTCCCAGGTCTAATAAAACAGTGTGATATTGGTTTGTAGCATGAATGCACAATACCCTGATAAACAAATTCTGAATATCAGACTTGCTTCCAAATTCCGGAGAACGCCTCGGTTTGAAGTTCTATTTTAGTAATTATGGTGTTATTAGCATTAGGTAATATATGAAATGGTAAGAAAATATCCACAACTCTAAAAAACTTCTGCTTTTTGATCACCATAAGGCAAAATGCTGCAAACTATCAGTTAATGCAACAGTAGAAGTTTATGTTTTAGCTACTAAAGTTTAATGGTTTCTTTTCATAGAGCGCCCAAATTCGGAGCCGCTCCTCTGGGGTACCCTCATTTTCTGACAATATGATACCCTTATAAGTTAATGGTAAACTTGGCTCAATGTTCTGGCTGCTCCAACATATCCTTCTTATATTCCTAGTCAGTGTGAACCAGAACACCAAGACCCTCGTTCTACAAGACCTCGGTACGGATGATGCGAGCCGCAACAAAAACAGCTGGTTCTGTCTCGCTATTCTTGTCGCTACCACGATGGTGGCATCCAGGGTCTTCAAACCACACATGACTCGCTTTGTAGACCTTTGCTTCTTGGTCATTCATCCTTTCAAAACTTCGCCAGAGACAAGCACGGCCTGTACGGAGGCTCCTCCATGACGATGAGGCGGGGATGAAGCGTCCGGGGGGAGTTTACGAGAATGCCAACCACGGTGGGAGATGGATCTGCTGGGAATTTGTGATTGTAGATAATAGAGATCTTTCTCCTTGGACAGCTATTGCCGAATGTTTTCGTCAGTATGCTACTGTAACGAGATGTCGAAGTGAGAACGTTTAAAGTTTACCTGTTATTCCAGGTGATAGTAGACATGAGTGAAATGAGTTCACGTAAGATTTGACTAAATGGAATGTTGGAAAAACGCAACGATACAAATACTGAAAGTTAGGAGGATTGTTTTGTGCTTAAAGTCAGCTTAGTTGCATCATTGAATGCCTGCCTCCATTCATAAATCGTAGAACACAGGAAAAGTGATGGATACAGATAGAAATTCGATACGTGGATCAGTAACGGTAATTCGGAAGCCAAAAATCAAATTTGGAGCGAGTACATCGAAACTCCTACCTTCGTAGTCGAGAGAATACCGAAAGAGCCACAAGTGTACGTAGGCTTTCGATACCCGGATTACTAACCGTAAATGGAGGAGCATGGCTGAGTCACTATAAGCGACTGCATCTGCCGAATTCTTATTCGCAATCTTCTTTTCCTCCTTTCTAGTTTGCTGAGGCATACAACAAAGTTGAGATGATGGTGGTGGTTTGTATTTTGAAACTACGTTTAACGGGGTCGACATATCGGTCAACAGTATTACACATAAACGGTTCCCGATGTCCGGAAGAGTAAATGCAGACAGCTCCGGTCTAGGACTTGATGCAGCAAATTTCGTTTGGGGGTTGTGCAAAACAATAGCCTATTTGTCCAGCCAGTTGTTACTCACCTCAAAGAAATCGCATGGGCTGCCGAAAAGCACTGCCGACGATTCCGACATTATGTACTCTATTTCACCGAGTTCCGCGTCCACCTAAGCGGACAGGAAGTACAATAATAACAAGAACTTTGTAGGCTATTGTCAGGATGTAAAAGTGTATAGTCAGCGAATAGTTTCCCCAACATTACGGTTCTAGGTATCCGCTGTGGACTGTAACAAGACGAGAGACCGCGAGACCGTACAACTGATATTTTCTCCAAATATAAGAATCATTTTTGTACCTGGTACTCACAAGTGTCAAACTATACTCACAATTCTCAAACCACTTCTGTACGTTCAATTGAACCACTCTTCAAAAGTCAGCTATCATGGAAGCTCTTTCGATTCCGTCGACCATCAAAGCAATCGTCCAATCAGACGTAAACTCAACGCATCTGGTTCTGACAGCCCAGCCTACCCCAATTCCGCAACCCAACTCAGACGAACATTTAATCCGCGTCCACGCTGCAGCATTTTGCAACGGCGAACTCCTCTGGGACAAAAACTATCCGTCACGAGGAAATGCACACAAGATTCTGATTCCCTGCGACGACTTTGCTGGCACTGTTGTCAGTGCTCCAGCAAATTCACCTTTTGTCGCTGGTTCGGAGGTGTATGCACGAACCAGTCATGTTCGCTCTGGAAACGCTCGCGAGTATACCATTGCAGTCACCAGCGAACTTGCATTCAGACCGACGAATATCTCCTGGGCGGAATCTGCATGCGTGCCTTTGTCGGCTCTGACGGCGTGGCAGGCGCTGTTTGTGCACGCCGGGCTTGCTCCACCAACGAGTGTCGTTCAATCTTCCGCTGCTGGAAAGAGGATATTGGTTCTTGGTGCAGCTGGTGCGGTAGGAATCTGGATCGTGCAGCTGGCAAAGCTAGTAGGAGCTGATGTTGTGGGTACAGCTGGAGCGGACAGTATCGAGTTCGTAAAGTCTTTAGGTGCAACAGAGGTCTTCGATTACCGAACTGTAAACCTGAAGGAATGGGCTGCTTCGAGAAAGAAAGTGGACATCGTAATCGATTGCTTTGGCGGAAACGCCTTGCGAGATGCTAGGTGGACAGTCAGACCAGGTGGTCTACTGATGAGTATCCGTCAACCTCAGATGCTCAAGCCCGACGAATTGGACGTGGAAGTGAAGACCTTGTTTTTCATCATGGAGCCTAATGGAGCCCAATTGCAGAAGATCACCAATCTCATCAACGTTGGAAACTTTAAAGTCAAGGTGGACAGCATATGGAGCCTGGATCAATATTCGGACGCTCTAGAGCGATTCGAGAATGGACGACCAAAGGGAAAAGTGGTCTTCGGTGTGCTTGCTACTTCGAACTAGATACTAGTCTGCGAGAAGATCAGTGGAACTTATTGGAAGTGTGATGTATTTTAAAGTCTCAGACTTAGTATGTGGGAGTATAGTCTGCCAGTTGTGTTAACTATATGATAATTATCACTTAAAAGAATGCGAGTATCACGTCAAGATCATGATTTTACTTTTCACCATCATATTTCTTTTATTTTGTTATTTTTATAGTGCGATTTTGATATCCCCGGCAAGGCCGTTCATAAGACTTGTCATCTACAAGTGCTTCAAGATGCCAACCTTTACTTTACCATATTCCATTCCCACCACTCTTCCCATCCGCCCGTCTACATTTCATATCCGGCCCCTCGCACACAAACTGGAACGTCGCAGTCGCTTTGTTGCAACCATAAGTTGCTGTGATCGTAGCTGGACGTATAACCTCGATCGTCGTAGTAATTTTCTCTGTGACGATCGTTTTCAATACGAGCGTAGAAGTGATGGTCTCAGCCGGTTGGGTCATTGTAGCCATTACCGTCTGAGTCCTGGGAGCTTGTGTGAATGTAGCTGTAATTGCATGACTCGATGTAACTGTAACCGAACTTGCAGATGCAGTCGTAGTTACCAACACTGAAGTTGGCTGGACTGGAATAACTGCTCCTCCTCGACAATTCTTGCTCATAACTCCCAATCCAACACCCATTCCAATGATAGCCAACAAAAGTGCTCCTGCAGTTACCAAAGCCAGCAGAAAGTGTCGCCAATAAGTGTTCTTGGGACGGAAATAGTCTATCTCGACTTCATTTGCCGTGTAGGTAGGTGCTTCCACATCTTCCCCTGCGATTCCTGAAGTCTGGTTTCCGATCTGGGGAGAGATCACACTATGGGTAGCCAAGAACTGTGGATCTTTCTTGTCATCTAGACTTGAGAGATGATGGAGCGGGATCGAAGTGATGTCTGCATCCGCTGTCTGGAACTTACCATCCATGAATGCGTCAAGGTGAGAATGGGCGTTTGCCGCTGATATTTTAGCTTGGCCCAAATCGCTATACGACGAATTCAAGTCGACGTCGGTGAGATTTTCCCAGCCGTCATTGCTGTTGGGTGACATTATGGCAGGAAATGTGTGAGTTTGAGAATGGGTAGATGAGATAAATTTTATCTGAGATCTAGAACTGATTACTAACAAGATGTGGCTAAGTTGCTAATAAGAAGGGATAACTGAACAGTTATTGTGAGTGCAAAACAAGATATGTCTTGTTCCATTCATGCATTTGGATGTTGAACAGCCTTTTGGGAAAATGAATATTAAGCGAGTGGAGAACAAAGAAAAACACGGGGTGGGAGGAATTATTCTGGTACTAGGATAATGGCAATGTTTCATGTTTGAGTTTTATAATGGATGGTGGTAACTTCCGCCATGATAAGTCTAACGTCTACACTCATCGAAAGATTCAGGTCAGGTACGTGAAGATACATTTCGTTCTCGTGTCTGTGCCTTATTTTCTTACATACTATCTTATAACATTCCCACACCAGTATTATGTGCTAGATGCCCTTGTGCCTCCTCGAGAGAGTCTACCCCAACTCTTATTCACTTTCTAGCACCCTTGCGAATATGAATATGGAGCATTGTGTACTGGCGATACAGTCTTGTCCTTTTTCTCAGATATGGCTGTTTTACGAGTGTTCCGAATCGTATCGAAGAGCTACCGATTTTGAATAATCGCCGGACATCCTGGTTCCGACCCGCGAAATTCGAGAAATGTCGCTCAAGGTCATTCCTGTAGAATTCGCTGTGTATTCAGCATAGCCTCGATAAGTAAATTAGCTGTTTTTGGTGAACTAGTGTTTTCAGTCCAAAGACTAGCAGCTTGGAGGTCGGCTTGCGTCTTTGTTGTAAAAGGATTACTCGACCTGGAAAACTGAAACCAACGTACAATTGCAAGCATGGGCGTGCATTTTCCCCATTTCAGAGTCTTGATAAAGAATTCTGCATAGTAGGTCAGAATCTGGAATCGCGATCACAAATCGACTGAGCCAAGTTTTGCGACTCTTGACTGGATCACATCGACAAAGCTCGACGGCTTTGGTTTTGTTCGTCTACAAATATCGACATGAGCTAGTTTGAATTTGTCGTGGTTTATGTCATTCTCCTTGACCAGATATGTTCTCAGGTGAAGTGACCTAGTTGCAATAGACTGAATATTGAGTCTTCATCTCAGGGGATGTCGACGGCCCTAAGAAGTGTTAGCAAAATCGCATATAGCGTGATTTTATCCCCTAACTTTTAAGGACACCCAACTTCACCAAATCTTCCGTGACACAAAAACATCAAGAATACTCGCCCCCACCTTCCCTCCGCCAGCGCCGTCCATATTGATCAACAACAACATCAGAGTCACTCCTGATCGTCATAGTTCTCGACGCGCTCCTGACATCCTTCTCCGGAACCGGCGGCCTTCGATCATCTGGTCCATCAATAAACCCGCGTTCTTTCTGGGCCTTCTTCAACTCATTCCTCCTAGTCCAGACCACGAATGCTAGGGCCCAAAAAGCTGAGAAGACGAGGAATCCGATGCCGACTCCTATACCGATTGAGAGGCGAGTGGTGTATGCTGAATTTGAAGAGGATGATGAATCAGCGCGCTCGACTATTTCGGATGCTACGGTGGAGAATGCATCATTTTGTGCTAGGACAGATCTGAGGTGGATGTATATATCACGCGACATCGTGACTACGAATCCGACTTCCAATAGAATGTGAAATAATTTCAAGAATCAAAAAAGCAACGCATGAGAAAAACAGAAAATAGAAACGTAGAAAAGAAGACCACTACCTTTTCATCCCCCTCAAACCAAATGCTCAAACCAACAAGCGGTCTACCGTCAGTTGACGTTGAAGCTGCATGTCATAGGGGGCACTCCCATAACACGATAAAGAGCTTCAATCGTGGTTACCCCTGCCGCCCGGCATCTTGCTTGCGATGGAACATCGCGGTTCTTGAACCCATTTGAGTGGATTGACTCAGGACAAGTGCGACGGATCAATAGGTGGTCCGACGAGAGGCGTCAGTTTGGAACGGGACTGAGTGAGAAAGTGCCACGAGGAAACAGGTCGGGCGCATCGTGAAACGTTCTAGAAGCACGAACGTGATGAAGGGAAACATCGCATCGTAACAGTCAGAAAATTAAAAAAACATATGAATTTCCGGACTAAGTGCATTAGCCACGATCGCTCGCAATGAGAAAGAATGAAGATTGGATCGAGCATGACGAGGTCAATATATATTCGCATAAAGGGGTGTGAACGCCACAGGTTAAAACCTTGTAGATCACGTGACACCCCAGCTACCAATATGTCATGCATGGTCTGTTTTACCGAGTTCGCGGATTTACGAAATCCCGGATCTCGTTTACTGAATCCCGGATTCTTTATAGATTTCGAAATTTTTACTTAATTATTAAGAGTTTAATAGTATAATCTATCTAGAAAGTAGAATTAATTAAGTTAATTAAAATAGAAGATCTTAGAGTTCTATATTTAGTATTTTTATATAAGATTTAATAAAGATTCTCTATATTACTTTTTTCACTATTACTAACTTTTCTTTTTACTAAACTTCTATTAATAGATAATTAGTTATAAAATACTATAAGAAAAGCTTATAATTATATTTATATACTAATTTAATTATATTTAGATAAGTTTATTACTCTAAAATTAGAATCCGCGAAATAAGGCCTTATTTCGTAGATTCCGTGAAACTTACACAAAATCCGGGATATCGTAAATCCGCGGACTCGGTGAAATAGGTCTTCTGGATCACCTACAGGGTTAGTTCTCTCCTAGATGATAAAAATAGATATGAACAGAAAGGAAAACGTTGTCTGTCGGTTTGACTTGAAACAAAATCATGTACTCAGTATAATCATTCGCGCAATTTGAAGCTGTCGGGTCCGTTCTACGAAATCCATCGAGGCTAGCAGCATTACTCTAACCAGCACCGTCTGTCATAAAGGCGTCCTGGAACAAGCCCCCATACTGATCCTCGATTTGCCGGGTGAGAAGTTCCCATGGTAGTTCTTCCATCGCTTGCCACTGGAAATCGGAGGCCACGGGATCGTCAGCATTGAAAGGCGCAAACCCATCCTCTTGACTGGTTAACAGCTGATCGTCCTGACTCCCTACATTTGGATCCATCGAAGTCGCTAGTGGCGGTTGGGTCTGGGTATCTTGCGTTGGCAAGCTAGAAGTATTACGCCGAACATACACTTTACCTAGTAGTGGCACCTTCAGAGTCAGCTCCTTTACTCTAGACTTATCGTTATCTTGAAGCAGTTCCTTTAGTGAGCGGATTGATCTGATACAACGCCGGGCGAATTGGAAGCCCATTGTATTTTTCGACCGCGCGTCCATGAGTTCGATGACTTGTGTAACTTGGCTGTCGATGTTGTCCTGATTGATCGGCGAATGTTGTAGATTTGTTGAAGGAGAGACATGGGTTACAAGAAGGAGAATGACTGTAGCAATGAAAGCTTGCAGATCTAAGCGCTGGGCTATGAAAATGCCGCCTGGAAGCTCTCGCCGAAGGAATATATAAAGCTGGATTACCGATTCGCAATCGTCTCTACAGGTTAAGCAGCTGTAGGCATATTCTTTATCCGGATCTTCTCGTGTCCCAAAAGGGAGATGAACTCGCATACTAATACAGTAGTGGAAGAATTGAACTATATGGTCAGGCACGACATTCTTGCTGGCCCCGACCCACCATGATTTCGGCGTTTGTGATACTAGCACTTTAAGCTCCCTGTCGCGGTCCAAAGCAGAGGCGTAGAGCTCGGCGGCCGATGCTCGTGTCACTGTTAAATCCTGTCGATAGTGAATCTTGGTGGTGATTGCTATCAACCTGCTGATGTATGCTCGAGGTTGAACAACTCCATCAACGGTTAGCGGTGGAGGTTTGGGCCTTTGACATGGATTGATACATGGGGGCATGTTCAAAACTATGCCAGATAGACCGTCGATAGAACAAAAGAGCTCCCACAGCTGAGCCATTTGGTGTTGTGTGTCAAAGTCTGGCCCATCACATTGGCTAGACTGGACAGCTTGGCATGCATTGGGCAACCCCATAAGTTCTGCAATGGAAATGAAATGGCGTAGTCGAAGCCAAGCTTTTTGTAGGTTGCCGCGGCTCATTTGTCTATGCTCGTTGTTAGTTGCGTAGTCTCGTGCGGATAGCGAGACTCACAGTCGAACAAAATTGATCGCCATTCCAAGGCCATTGACGGTACTAACCACGCTATCATGAGAAATAAGTGTACTTTCGACGATTTCAGAGACTTTTTGAGAAAACTTGGAGTAGCTCTGGAAACGGTCGGGCGAGGCGGATTGATTGCCACATCGTGGAGGCACTTGGTGGGCTGTGATAGCAATAGTCATCAGCCACGTAGCTAAACTTATAGCATCTATGTCGGGTTTGCACATCTCCTCGTAGCAATCAAGGATTTCCTGCGCAGATTTGAGCGCAAATGGCTGTGGAAACAGATTATGAAAGAAATCGAGCCATATTGACCCCGAACCCGTGATTTGCGACACCTCGTACTTCAGCGGAATCGCCTTTTGTAGCGCATGTCTTGCCTTGTTCAATAGGATCGCAGTTGGCCTTGTTTGATGATCGTTCAGCTGGTCATCTTGCCGATTGGTATCGACATTGAGCCAGTCGTTCTGGAAAAGCGAATGTATATGTGATGGTGGTTCCAAGGCGAGCACATCCGACAAAGTGGATTCTCCATCAGATTCATAGGTTTCAGGACTTGATTCCGCTAGAGTCGGAATCTCCTCAGATACTCGCACTGGGACATTTCCGAGCTTCATTTCGATATCACAGATAGTCTTGCTTAGGCTCGCAACCTTCATTTCCAGTTTGGCTATGCGATCTCTTGAAGATAACTTGTGGGAGTGGACCGGCTGGGCACTGTATCGCTGCGCAACACATTCCGAGGCTCGTTCTTCACATCTCCTACAAGCTTGAGCATTTTCGGGCACTCGAATACATCGTACCTTCCGACGTCGGCCTACTCAAACGTTAGCAGGGAATGGTACACTGGTGGTCTCTGCTCACATTCGGTGCAACTTTTCGTCCCTTCCCGAGCTTTCTTCAGAGTTTGGTCCTCGGACATACTCACTCGCATCTATCTCTGAGCGACTTTCCCGTTGAAGGAAGGAAGCTCATCAAATGTGCACTGTTTCTGCTCACGAACCACACACGTGCCTTGCTCGGTGCGGACGAGATTCACGTCCGCGGTCGAAATGGAAAGAGACGCGATGTTGCTCAAGGGTTATTTAAACCAAGAATCCCCAAAGATGAAGCGGCTAAATCAATTGAAAGATCAAAGTCACTACCATCATCTGCTTAAATCATTCTCATCATGTCGATGCATCAGTCCTACATTCCCACCGAAGTCCTCGATCGCGTCGCCTGGATGCGCGGGGGCCATCATAAGATCCTCGTCGACCCGGCCCGAACAGCACATATTATCATTGATCTCCAGGTTGGCTTCATGGGCGAGGGAGCGCTGCTTGAAATGCCAACTGCGCGTGGTATTGTTGAGAATGTCAATCGAGTGTCAAAAGCGCTGCGGTCCGCGTCGGGAACTATCGCGTATCTCCAGTACAAAATTGACTCCGACGAGCCACACCATTGGAGATCCCACTACAACCGGATGACGCCTGAAGCGTACGGGCGGATGCGGGCCGCATTCACCGATGGCTCGGAGCAGCATGCCCTGTGGCCCGAGCTGGATGTCCAGCCGGAAGATCTGATCGTGCCGAAAACCCGGTGGAGTGCCTTCACACCAGGCACGTGCGCTCTCGACTCCCTTCTGAAGGAGAAGAACATCGACACGCTGATCATCACTGGCACCACCACGAACTGCTGTTGCGAGTCGACTATGCGGGAAGCCATGCAGATGGGCTACCACGTGCTCTTCGTCCAGGATGGCAATGCTACGCGTGGCGATGCGGTGCACAATGCCAGCTTGGTTAACATGGTCCTTTTTGGCGATGTGGTCACCGCTGATGAGGCCATTGCACGGATCGAGGCGGGAAAAATTGCTTGATTGTACGTCAAATTTGGTTATCTTGTGACCTAGTTACTAACATGATATCACAGAGATAGTTAAATACATAGAAGGCGGAGTCATGACGGCCCATCCAATTCCTGTTTTCTTCTTACTCCATCGTCTTCCAAAATGAAATCACACTTGTTTTCTCCCAAATATGCAACATTGCGACCACCTTCTGATCATTTCTTGGCACTTTATCGAGTGTAGCACTTGCTTCTTGGTGCAAATTTAAACACAAGGAGAACCATAGATATATGAAGTACGATTGGCTCGAGAAAATCCGACAATTGGTGCTGGTGGTGTAGTTAGTTTCGAAGTCCACATGCGTCGTCGAGTTTCTGTCAATCGCTACGGTATCGTGTCACTTTAAGCAATTAGGAAAACAGCAAAGACGTTTCTTTGGATGTATGACCCATCTCTTGAGGCGCATAAGAGGTTTCTAACATAGTATTAGTGAAGATTCTACGAAAGATTCCACGACTCGAAGAGTTTTTCTTTACTGGTAATAAATCAATTTGCTGACATGGATCGAAACAGTACCCAGTCTAAGTCTTCTTTCATTCCTTCTCTAAACTTACGCATCAACAATCCATCAATAATCCTCCTTTAGTGTGATATGCAATATGTTACTTGTAAGTAAATCTTGTAGTGTTATCACTTGCCTACTTCTTGCCCACTTAACACTTGAACTGTTCTTGCGGCTTGGCCGCATGTTGTCATCTCTATAATGGATAAATACGACTGTACGAAATACCAAGACTGCGTCGTGCGGAGTCTTCCTTGATTGGAAGGTCCTCAGGTCCCCATAAGTGGAGAGCAAGCAATAGTGGGAATACAGCGGCGCAGTAACTGATCACTGGATAATGGCAATATGTATAAGAACAATGCATTAAACACTTCTCAAGAAGCGCGCACACGCTCTTCACTTACATGAAAAGTGTCGCAGCGATGTTAAAGCCGTTAGTCGTAGCATTGGTCGCCGGCGTCTCGCTGGCGGTGCCCTCACCAGACCTTCTGGACTCTGATGTTACCATTCTGAGCGACAATGATCTCCAAGGTAGGTTTACTGCGATAGATTATTTTTTAAAGCTGATAGTGACAAATTATAGGACCCGGTGGACCATGCAGTGCGTTTGGCGCTCTCTACGTCTCCCGTGAACAATCTCAAGAATCTGCAATAGTTTCTTGCGAAGCCCTAGGAGAGCAGCTATGGTCTCCAGGTACACACAACCGGGCAGCCAACATCCTAGGAGAGCATCTCAAATCCGTGAAGCAAAATCAAGCATGGATTTTTGCAAAAGACAATAAACCTCGTGCAATGGATAAGTCTGGTGGCTTTATGACACCAAAATCGTCCGCTAAGCTTCCAGTGCTTTGTACACAGACAGCACCTTACTCGAACGCCACTTCTGCGGACGTGGGTCAAGATTGGCAAATCCAGGTTGAGTCGAACAATGAAACAGTCACGGGGTATGTTTGGATATATCAAGCCTCCGTACTAATTTAGAAAGACTTGCTAATAACTACTCACAGCTTCCGAGATCGGTTGACCTTTCGATTTCGAGGCATCCGCTTCGCACCGCAGCCAAAACGATTTACCTACCCAACGCTTTATAGTGGCTCAGGTGAAGTCGTTCCTGCACTGAAGTATGGGCCGCAATGTATTCAAGTCAGCGGCGGTTCAGAAGATTGCCTCTTTCTGAACATCTGGACACCTTCCTTGCCATCACCAAGCAACACCTACAAATCCAAAAAGCTCAAACCCGTTCTCTTCTGGATATACGGTGGCGGCTTTACCGAGAACTCAGCTGCTGACCCTAACTTCGATGGTGGGAATATGGCATCCCGTGGAGATGTAGTCATGGTTGCACCCAATTACCGAGTTGGCGCTTTTGGATTTCTCGCCCTGAAAGACGGAACCACAAACGGCAATTTCGGGATCGCGGATCAAATCCTCGCCTTGAACTGGGTAAGAAAACATATCCAAGATTTTGGCGGCGATCCCGAACACATCACGATCGTTGGTCAATCATCTGGGGGAGCCTCAGTACGAGCACTCATGGCATCCCCACTCACAGCTGGCAAGTTTGTAGGTGCCATAGCGATGAGCACACCTGGCACGCCAGGCTTTTCAGAATATTATACGATCGACGAGTCAGTCGAAGTAGCAGGCAACAGTATACTAGCCGCCGCGAATTGCACAAATGCACCATCTCAAGTTGAATGCCTGCGAGCGATCGATGCCACAACTCTCGTCCCAATAGGCATGCCAGCCAACCATCTCGTAGTCGACGGCACCTATCTCACCACAAAACACCTCCAACTAACCAAAGGCACCAAAGCCCCCTACCGATTCATGACAGGTCTACCTCGCGAGGACGGCGCGCCATTCCTCACCTACCCACCCAACATCACAGCCGCGGACCAGTCGTCATGGATCACAAGTCAAGGTCTACCCAACCCCCCAACCACCCTCTTCCCCTTGCCAAACATCCAGAACCAAACGTTAGCAGTCTACCAAGTCGGCGCACGCCTCATGACAGACCTCTCTTTCCGCTGCATGAACCAAGCGACTGCGTACGCCGGCGTCATAAACCGCGTCTTCTCCTCCGTCCACTTCTTCGAATTCGACCGTTCCTACCAAACGCCCGACTGGCCGCACCTGGATCTCTGCGAAGCACCCAGATCACCCGCCCATCCACTCGGCGACCCGAACGCCGCGTTTGATAATTTCCACTGTCATTCCGGGCAGCTGTTGTGGATTTTCGGGAATATACGACGATTCGGATTGCCTTATCGTGATGAGGTGGGGGATAGGGAGTTTGAGGCGAGTGTGTTGGATAGGTGGGCTGCGTTTGTGAGGGGGGAGAAGCCGGGGGAGAATTGGAAGGAGGTGAAGAGTGGGAGGATGGAGATGATGAGTCTGAAGTGGCCGGAGAGTGAGATGGTTGGGTTTAGGGATCTGGAGCAGTGTGGGTGGTTGGCTTTGCCGATTGATTATTTGTCTCATTGATCTCTGAGATGTGATACAAGAAACGAGATTCGACATACGACCTCTCATTCCTGGAATTGAATCCATTCGTAGCACCCTGCGTGGTCTCTGAACATTACACCAAATACCGAAGTAAGGAAATCGGTTGAGAATATCCAGCGAAAAAGCTCAAAATCCGGAAACCAAATACTATTCAGATCCCCTATCTCTCCCTCCTTCTTTCAGTGTTAGAAAAAATGAAGATAATCCACTCCAATCCAACCAGTCATCGATCAAAACCCAGCGTTTTACCAGACCATACTTCACGACCACCCCCTTCAGATATTTATCACCTTTCACTAGCATTATACCAATCCATCCCAACCTCCTCTCTATCCCAACAACCACAACTCCAACACATCACCCCCCTCCCTCCCCCCTATTCCTCGCAAACTCCACAAGCTTCCCCTCCCCCCTCGGCCTAAACCCCCTTCCCTTCCTCCTCACATCCCACTGCGGCGCCTCCTTGAACACAGGCGTGAAATCCAACAACGGCGGTGGTGTCCCGCTGTGTCGTCGAACGCTCACGCTTGGTTGTCTTCGGAATGCGGTTTCCGAGAGGGAGGTTGAGGAGGTGGGGGAGGTTGCGTGGTCTACTAAGGGGAGGACTTGGACGCTTGTTGAGAGTGTTGGTCTTGGTCTGTGCTGGGGGGTGGTTGTTTGGGTTTCAGGTATTTTGCTGGAATGAAGGGACTTGGAACGAGAAGTTCCTGGTCCTTTCCAGGACGAGGATGTGTGGTGTGAGGTACTTCTATCGAGCATCCTCTCCATTGGCACACGTCTCTGCTGCCGTTGTGTGTAAGATCTACCCAGCAGCCCATTCTCTGCGAAGACTTCTTCCTGGTGTGCGAATCGTTCGGGCTCGGAAGTCATAGTCGGTGGACTTCTGCTGTGTTCCCATGAATTGGGACCGTGGATGCTGTGAGGTGTATATAAGGGTATCTGTCTCTCCTGACTCTCTTCCACGAAATCGTCCTCGTCAAGCTGTCTCCTCTCCCTCGGATCTCTCCATCGACGAGGTCTTTGTGCCTCAAGGGACTGAACTGTATCAGCGGCATTCGACGCATGGATGTTTCCATCAGCGCTCTTTTGTGTTATATCGTCAGTGCTCTCACTTTCTCGCTTCGAAGGCATTTTCGTAGGCCAGATCTTCCGGGTGAGCTGATTCAACTTTCTGCGGGTACTTGAAGCTCGTTTTCTTGACCCTTCAGCCTGGGATGGCTTGTCAGAATGCTCTTGTTCACTCGTCTTATGCTGTTGTAATGGTGCCATGATCCCGCGGTCACTTGCTCTTCTTGTCAGGCTTTGGTTGGCGTTGCTACTGTCTACCACTTCACGCTCTTCATCTTCTGGAATCATTGCTCTTTGAAAAGCACTCTGTCTCGTGGCATTCATTTCTGATTTTGTACGGATTGGAGCATCTGAAGCACCTTTTCGAACAGGGTGAGTAGCCTTCCTTACTGGTGCATCATCGGTGTTGGCTGGCTTGGAGCTATCCTTAAGTGGTTTTGATGATGATCGTTTGGGTACTCGGGTGCTCGTTGGAAGTGACGCAGGTTTCAGACTTTCTGCTTCTGTCGAGACTTTTGATCGCCTATATCTTGAAATGCTTCTTGTAATCCCCTCGTTTTGCTGATTTCCTGCCATCGATTGGTCCCGAGTTGTAGTTTCGACATGCGACTTTGATATCACAGATCCAGATGTCGTGTTCGTAACATTCGTTGTGCTGATTTCTTCCACGAAATTGGTAGACATTGTGGCTTTGTAATTAGTTGTCACTTTGCAGTGGTATTATGGACAATCCCTCATAATTGTAAAGTGGTTTATATTATATACGGCTAACAGCTAAACCTACACTCATCAAGTCGGAATCTCGGAAGTGTCATAAGGGACAGACGAGTCCAAATGCATAAGATCTACAGCTTCATGACTTGCACTTTCTTCAGCAAGACGAGCAGATGGGCCAGGGAAAGAAGACCCCATGCTACACGATTCCACAATACCTAGGTACCAGCACAATTCAACCGATGTTTGGAAAGTTAATCGAACAAGTTGAGCACATTTTGTAATCGGATTCGCCAAATATTGAATTTGGCCGAGAAGCTATACACAGCCTCAGTCAGAACAATACCGCAGCAAGCATATGTACGTACAAATTGAGTTTCAACAAACTTCTTGGCGCTGTCTGAATGTAGTACTTGAGAATCTTTAGAAGGAAGAAAATGGAAATAAATCTGTAAAAGTTCCTTACAATAATCACAACCCAATGATAGAACACTTGAAAAAAAGTTTATGGTTTATTAAAAAGCTTTATAACCGAAATTTGACGTCAAACGAATGTGTCATACTACCTAGGTAATTTCATGTTTCAAACTCCATTAAATGCAACAACGTTTATCTACCAGGTTTTAGTACCAGGTAGTTTGCAGTTACCCATCGCCAAAATAGTGGAGAAAACACTCGGGAGCAACCTTAAAAGAATGGCGCAGTATCCGAATTATGATTGGCGCGGATCTCGTGTAACAGGGGTCCCAGAATCCATATCAGGTCAACAACATCCCTTCAAGACCCTTATTGTTTTTCAAGACATTCCACCACCACCAGAGTCTCGTAAAAGCAAAACGGACTTTTGTACCAAAGGAGATTTTTTATATTTATTGTTTGAATTGGGTATGTCATAATATGGATTTTGCACCACAATCATTGGTTACACGGGAAAAAGACTGGGCTTGGGAGGACAGAATTCCTGATGATTCCAGAACCCCACCTAGACAGAAGAGCCCGAATCAAACACCTGTAAACAACGCCATACAGCCTCCCCGAGACCTTATAAGCAGATTCCGAAAGGGAACGCCGAGATCCCGTGGCGGCTGCATCACTTGCAAGTGAGTGCGGCAGACCCTTCAAGTTGCCGGCTACTAATGCATGAACAGGGCTCGACATGTAAAATGGTAGATCTTATTCATATTGGGGTTTTCGAAATTAGTGAAGTTAATACGTGCTAGTGATGAAACCAAGCCGTGGTGTAAAAAATGTAATAACTCCGGTCGACAATGCGAATACGCCGTTCCACCACCGACGAAGCAGACGAAGCGTAAATCCGGGGCCGCGACCCCACCTGGAGTACAGACTATGGAACCCGGGGTACAGAATATGGAGCCATTTATTATACAGTACCAACCATCTATAGATATCCCCGGAAGCCAAAGTGAACGAAGGAGTTTCCACTTCATCCAAGCCAAAAACCTTACCGAGACCTTTGGAAGATGCGAAATCGACTTGTGGGACACTACAATGCTCCTGTACAGTCACAGTAGCCCTACGGTTCGAACATCACTGCTGGCTTTAAGCGCCATTTATGAGGTCTATGAGGCCAAGATCTTCTTAGACGACCGGACTCCAGTGAGTTTCGGTTGTCTTGAAACACATGCGTTTGAGCAGTACACCAAAGCCGTATCAGAGATCATTCGAACCAGAAGATCCCATGCTAAAAATCCAAGGAATAATCAGCAAGATCTTCTCCTCGGATATCTTATATTCACATGGATGGAGATAATGCTGGGGAATCTTGATACTGCTAAATGGCATTTAGATTCCGGGATCAAGATCATGACGGACATAGCGACGAACCCAGCGGCAGTTGCTGAACGGAGAGATCCGGATGATGTGTACGGTGCCCTGCATCGATCGTTTCTGCGATTGAAATTCCAGACCACAGTCGGACTGCAGGCAATCCCAATGGTCGCCCATGGTCCGCCAAATCAGCCTCCGAACGTAGTCTTAGCAGCAGTAAACGAGCAAGAAATTCCCACACCTACACTTATGATCGGGCCACAAAGTGCGCAAGTTCCCAAGATGGAACTAACATGGACACTCGAAGGCCGCCACCGCCAATTCGAACGACTTCTACGAGCCGATCAAGCAATCAGTCTCAAGCCTCTCAACGCAGTTGATGAAGCAGACCGAAAACGAAGCCTGGCTTTAGTTTACATCAAATTATCTCGAGCGATGCTATCCCTCTTGACGGAAGCTCGCTTCCAGGGAGCAGACAATCTACAAACGTGTCGGTATATTGAGATTATTGATATCATGGAGGATATTGCACGGCGGAAGATATATATGGAGCCGAGTCCGACGTCGCTTGATTTTGGGGTTATTCCGCCGTTGTTTTTGATACTGAGGGTACGTAAACGAAGATATTGTTGTTGTGTTTTGTATCTCGTGCATCATCATTTGGTCATCGAGCTGACGACGATATAGTGGTGTAATGATTTCGGTGTCAGGTTTCGAGCTATGGAGTTATTGAAATTGGTCCCATCTCGAGAGGGTTGTTGGTATAGAGACGATATTGTTGCATTGGTAGAACAGAAGAGTCTCTTCTGGCCGGTTTGAGGAATCATTTACCTTTAAGAGGCGTTCTGGGTTATTCTGGCGTTTGGATGATACGAAGAGCATTATATGATAAAACTATTAGATCTCCAAGAGATATCTCGCTGAAATTTCCAAATCCACCAAGACTCTGTTTGGCCATTTAAGCTAGAGTACAAATGCATGAAATCGTGATGACCAAAATTAGGGATGCAACGTGTTTTTTCATCGCATATACAGGAGAATTAAATGACTCCATAGCGTTACGTAGATAGCACTTGAAAACCCAGACGCATTTTCGGGTCATAATCCCTACACACGAAGCTTCAAACCTTAAATATCCTAATCTTTTCTTTTTTGGGGGGGGTTTACGAATTCTTTTCCAACTAGTCACTTCAGCGCTATTGTAGTTGTCGTACATTAAATGGTACTCTTTTCACTGTGTGCAGGGTTTTAGAGATTCAGAGGATGTTTTTGTAATTGAAATATCACTAAATCACCCAACATAGCACCGAATTAAATGGTGGCTCCTTGATCTGGTCGCAAACTATGACCAGGAAACTTGCCTCTCGCTGAACACAGATTTCAAAAGTGTTTCGTATGCAGCACCGTGGCTTCCGGTAACATTAGATCCTAAGTTTGTCTTGCTTTTCTCAAAAATAAAATAAAATAAAATCCGCGTTTCATTACAATATCCCCTCGACCTGCGGACCCGCCGCTAATCTTCTAATTGCGTTAGCTTATTGAGAGTTCAAAAGATATTGTTGGAGAAAAGTAAAATTGTTTTTTCATGGTTGATTGAGGTGTTTTATGACAGAGCTGAAAAGTAATAATTAGTGGCCGTGCCTTTACTCGGCCGTGAACGTATTTTCGCCCGAACAGCAGGTGGGAGGGTCACTGCCTTGTCTTTGCTTTGAGGAACAAAGTTTTGACTTTGGTAGGCAGACATTCCTAGTGAAATAAATTCTATTCCATACTTCTCGCCAAGGTAAGATGACCGAATGGTTCTTAATATCCCAACCTCGTAAGCAACCCATCCAACACCACCTCACTCTCCCTCCTACACCCCAAAACCACCTCCTCACTCTGCAACTTCAAAACATCAGAATTATCCAACCGAAACGGCAACACACCCTCCAACACCGAATCCACATCCGCAACCCCCTCCATCCCCTTAATATTCCTCGGTCTCTTCACATCACACCTCTCCAGCTCTTCCTCCCACGCTTTCAGGACATCCCATTGATGCTCGCCATCAGGTGGAAGAGGGGAGGGGAAACCATGGAGTTTTGCGTTTCGCACTTCAGTGTCTGAGAGCGTTTCGGAACTGGTCCAGCCGCGGAATTGACCGCCTGTGTCGCTGAAGGAGCGGAGGTGTTCGTAGGAGGGGTGGGAGATGAAGGAGAAGTCGTAGTCGAGGAGGGCGGTGATACGGGTGGTTTGGGGGTTGAAGAGGATATTGAATGTAGCTGGGGAAAACTGTTAGCTCTTCCGTAAAGGAACTTGAATTTGGGAAAGTGTCAACTTACTGAAATCTGCATGCACAATTACTCGCTCTTCCTTCGATTCTAAACCCTCAAACTGCTTAGAAACACCACTCTCAACAAACGCATCAAGGCGCTGTCTAATCCCATTCGCCCGCCATCCCTTGATATAAGGATTCCCATCAGCCTTCTCAAGCGCAACTTTCAACCTCCCTTTAAAAGAAGCTTCATAAGACTCCCACGGCCCAGCACCGACAGTCGTCATAGCTGCGCTAATGACACGGCCATCATCATCAAAAGTCACGCCCCCGAAATCAGTAATGCTCTCAGGTAATTTATAGTCCTGCAACCCCTTCAAAATCCTCGCTATCTGCGCGAAAACCCCACGTTTCTCATCCAGACTCATGGCCTCATAGGACTCGTTTAGTGGGACGCCTGACATGAATTCTTGGATCATCCAGCCTTGAGATCCTTCACCTGCTGCGCCTGACCAGGCGTAGACCGAGGGGACGACATGCGGGGTGATACCCGCGAGAGCAGCTGATGCGAGGGAGATGATGGCGACTTCATTCTCGACCCGGGTGGCCATGTGCATGCCATCTGCGGCTGAGTTCGTGAGGCGGAAGATGAGGTCTTTAGTGTTGGCGGGAATTGGGACGAAGCCTGGCTTTTTGGTGGTTTGGGTTGTTGTGATGGGTGAGGGTAGGGTGACGTGGTAGACGAAGTTGTTGTATTTGTAGGGGGAATCTGGGTCGTATTGAAGAGGTGTGATTTTGGGTTTTTTCTGTGAGATTATTTAGCGTTTTTGGTTGCAGAGCCAGGAAAGCTGTGTACATCGATGCCAAATTGCTCTTTGATAAGATTTTGGACAAAATCTATCCGAGTCTGATAATTTATGTGATTGTGATTGGTGGTTGCCATACTTATTGGCCTGTACTGATGAATAGCTGATCCAAAGTTTGATATAATTAAAACGTGGTTGAACAGCTTAGACTAGACCTTGAACTCCCGAGATGCGAAAATTGGATCCAGAACTGGCAATCAAAGAAGGCCCGGATGAATTTTGAAATGTATATCAGTCTGATATTATTTATGGTAATATTAAGTTTCTCATAATCTGTAACTACATAGCTACTTATCTTCTAAACGAGGTACTTTTATACCCAAGTTTGGCACCAACTTCGGCAAATGTTGGTGATTTTCAGCTGCGCTGATGCGACAATAACAATCATTTCAGGGGCACGAACCGAGTTCGTTGCTATGGTTACTAAACCACACACTTCAAACAATAATTTTTCACATCCGTTAGAAGAAGAATCGAGGTTTTGACAGGCGACTTTGTGAGTCAAAAGTGGAAAACAAGGTGGGTAGGACTGTTTCAAGTCGGTCTAGTTGCGATACCCGGGTAGAATATTCAAAAGAATCGTAGGAAAGCATGAATGCATGTGGTTTGAGAATTCAACTTACAGTATCTTGATACTGACAAAAGTGATTTGGTTTTTGTTGAAAACTTTGGTCATAGCCGTCGATATCATAACACGGAAGCCACAACCAGGAATCGTTCCATATTGTACTTCTACAAAGTCATCTTCCACAGAAAGCAACAATTCATGAGCTGAACTATTGTGCTCAGATCTGAATCACCGAACTGCCCTACACAGAGCGACTAAGCAATCGAGATTTTGAAAGGATGGGACGGCTCTTCTTCTTTTGCGCACGCGAACGGACCCTAAAATTTGAACTTTCAATACCTAGAAGCATCAAGCACAGCATACGTAGCTGTTTTCCAAAGAAAATTAGAAGGAGAAGTGCACTATAGCGTAACGCTAGTATTTTTCGTGCCACCTTATATAGAAGACGCTTCGCTACGTTAACTTATTTTGCAAAGAATTCAACACCTCCTCCGGGCGGACTCTTGGCAAACATAGATCTTCAAATTACTGGCAAGTAGCGGTGACTAGCCAGTAATTTGACAGTAATTTGAAGTCCTTCAACGCTTGATGAATGTCTTTCCACTTCTACTTCCAAGGAGGGTTTCGAAACAACTGTGAGTGCCATGGTCAATTCTTGCGGCTAGCTGGACGACAGTGATTCCACTCGCGATGGCGAGGACCTCAGCCCATGCCAGAGGATGGTGACGGTCGATATTTGTTATTCCACGAAGTACGAAGTGGTGGAAATAATACTGAAAGAGGAAGAACGGAAAAGAGCTAGAGACTAAAGTAGGTAGATCACAGACTAGATTTCATGTCGAAAGAAAGGGTGTGGAAGGGACGATACTTTGGCGATGAAAACGTTTAATATGCCAAGCGATACAATCGATTTGCATTCCATGTTCTGCTATGTTGATGTGTCGATGAAGTGATGAAGCATTCGATCTTCGGGCTCCTTCAATGAGAAAATGCCGGATATTAGTTCTTCCGGCACTTCTGATGACCTTGCATTTCTCCCATAGAAATTTATGTACCGCCGCGGAGCCTCGACCCCTCCAGCCTCGTGCTTTAATATACCCTCTACGACCACCAACAATGGCAATCACCATCCACGCACCAGCTCCGGCTGTTCTACCCTATAAGACCGCAGACTCATCCGACGAAGACTCTGACGATGGTGGAGCCGACCTCCAGGGCGACATTAACATGCGCCCCAGCAAACGAGCCCGACATTATCGAGAAGACATTGTCACGCCGGGCGAGGTTGTCACGGATGAGGATCAATGGATGAGGTAGGCCGACTCCAACTTCCGTGTGTTTTCCATGCTGATTGAGCAACAGAGGCCACGGCACATACCACAACCACGCGCGCGAAATCATCGCAACCGTCGCCGGCACCGTCCAAAAAACCAACAAACTCCTCTCCGTCCGCCCCCTCCGTGCACGCTACACCCCCGAGATTGGCGATCTAGTCGTCGGTCGCATCGTCGAGGTGCAATCCAAGAAATGGCGTGTCGACGTTGGCGCGCCTGTGTTGGCCAGTCTGCCATTATCGGCGATCAATTTACCTGGTGGCATTCTACGCAAACGCACGGAGACGGATGAGTTGCAGATTCGTACGTTTTTCAGCGAGGGCGATTTGCTGGTTGCTGAGGTGCAGAGTTTATATCAGGATGGGAGTGCGAGTTTGCATACGAGGAGTTTGAAGTATGGGAAGTTGCGGAATGGGGTTTTCATGAGTATTAGTGGGACGGGGGGAGGTGGGGGCGTGGTGAGGGCGAGGAGACAGCTGTGGACGATTGATACGATGAATGGGGGTGGGAAGGTGGATGTGATTTTGGGGGTTAATGGGTATGTCTGGATTAACAAACATATTGAGGTTGCGGGGGGGGAGACGGCGATTACGAGGATGGAGGAGAGTGTTAGTGCGACGGTTTATAGTAGTCAGAATGATTCGATTGCGCCAGAGACGAGAAAGGAGATTGCTAGGATAAGAGGGGTGATTACTTTGTTGGTTGAGGAGGGATTGAGAGTTGATGAGGATATGGTTATGAAGGGATATGAAGCTGCGTTGTTGGTTGATAGTGAGGAAGATGGGGAGACGAATGTTTTCCTTGGAGGAGAACAGGGAAAACTCGTGTTGAAGCAGTTGAGCGGTGTATGAAAAATACACACGAGTCATTGAATTGGACTTTAAAGATGTCGAAGATTCTGGAATGAGTAATTGCAACGGTGAGAATACCCTGGGATAGTAGGAATACTACTTCAGATATTTTCGAGTTGTCGGACCGCATTTAGAAGGGCCCTGTTTAGAAGTGGTACCGGATTCGGCAGCTCAAACTCAAGTACTGCCGGCGGTGGACATTATTTGCATTTCTTCCGAGGTCCACGGGTCCCTTGTGGAGTTCTCAAGTGCCTGCCAGGGTCACTTGGAACTGGAAACGGTCGGCAGCATCGAGATAGGCGAGGATTAGTCAATGCATGAATGCACGATGTTCTGATATGTTCTGGCTCGGCGCGTTGCTCGGTTGGCTCGAAGTTCTCGAAGTTTGGTACACCAGTGGGCGACACAATTCTCTGCGTACCCAAGAACTCCGAACGTAGATAACTTAGCACCACAGCTAAGTTTCGTATTTCTGTTAATATGGTGGTACGGAGTAAAGCCGTAGTATCATTCAAGTGTTGGATACACCTCAGCAGCTACTACGAAGGACAATCAGAAAGCAAACTGGCAGAACTTACAAAGCAGATATTACTAAACAATTAATAGATGTCGAATAGATGTCGAATAGAGAGTCCAGATTCGGAAACAAAATCACAATAATATATCTGATCCTGTGGTAAGTGATCTCAAAAACGAGAAAACTCCGATATCAATCATCGGTGTAACAATCTCCAACCACAATTCCATCGGCGATAGAGCCATCTAACTCGTCTAATTGGCTCGTCTCCCTCGTTTCGCTCGCTTCCACATGCTGTGCGTCTGGCTCGGGAGCAAGTGGGGCGCCTCAAACGTCCACACGTCATCTCCCCTGGCCGTATGAAATTTTCAGCCGCTAGAAAGCTTCGACAGCTTCGACAGCCCTACCAAAACGGCGGTCGAAACGACGATGGAGGGTCCATGATCCACTGTATGAGGCAAAATGGGACATTTCCATGATGCAAGACCGGAGTACGTTCCTGGTGACGGGGACTAGAATGGAGATGCTTGGTAATTTGGTGGGTGGTTTGGATGAGGAGGGTTTGGTATAAGAGGGGATGGTTCCTCGAGGGGAGTTGAATCATTCAATTATTCGATATCCTCAAGCTTCTAATCATACGCTCTTATACACCTCTATCAACAAATCTCAATCCAATTATCACATCTAAAACATCACCATGGTCGAGTTCACAGTCTTCAAAGGTTCCAAGGAGGGAAAGATCATCAAGTCTACCACTAGCAAAGAAGTTGCCAACGATGAAGTCCTCATCAAAGTAACTCACTCTGGTCTCTGCGGTACAGATGAACATTACAAAAAGGCCGATATGGTCTTGGGTCACGAGGGAGCTGGTGTAGTCGAGGTTTGTACTTCAACCTTTCAATTGAACATCCCACTAACAGACCCAGGAAATTGGCTCATCCGTCAAAGATCTCAAGAAAGGCGACTCCGTAGGCTGGGGCTACCAACACGACTCTTGCCGCTCCTGCAAACAATGTCTGACCGGCCACGAAACCCTCTGTTCCTCCCGCCAAATGTACGGTTCCGCCGACCTCGACCAAGGATCCTTCGCAACCCACGCCATCTGGAAAGCCGACTTCGTTTTCAAGATTCCCGACTCCATCCCCCGCGAATACGCCGCCCCTCTCCAATGCGGCGGCGCAACCGTCTTCAACGTCTTCCACTCCTTCAACATCCGACCCACGCACCGCGTCGGCATCATCGGCGTCGGCGGTCTCGGCCATCTCGCTATCCAATTCGGCGCCAAGATGGGCTGCGAAGTCGTCGTCTTCTCCAGCACCGACAGCAAGAAAGACGAGGCGATGCGTCTCGGCGCCTCTGAATTCGTCGCCACGAAGGGCGTCGAGAAACTCGATATCGGCAAACCGATCGATCATCTCCTCGTCACTACATCCTTCCAGCCAGACTGGAAACAATTCCTCCCCGTCATGGCCCCAAGCGGATCCATCTACCCGCTCTCCGTCTCCAACGACGATTTCACCATCCCCTACATGCCTGTTCTGGCGTCTGAGCTGAAGATTCAGGGCAGTCTGGTGGCGGCACGCGAGGTGCAGAGGGAGATGTTGCGGTTCGCGGCGCATCATCAGATTAGACCCGTTATTGAGACGTTTCCGATGACGGTGGAGGGGATTACGGAGGCGATGGAGAAACTTGAGGGAGGGGGGATGAGGTACAGGGGGGTGCTTGTTGCGCAGTAGGTGTGTGGATGGGTGTGTGTGTATTTTTATGTGTGGGTTTGTGAATTCAGCGGGTTTGATGGGATAGATAGGATAGATTCGGTTAATGATATCAATTTGACATGAGATGGTGTAGTTTTGACCGCTTGTGTTGTTCTCCTTCTACGATACATCCCCGGCATCAGGGAACTCACGCCTAACCCCCTCAGCTAAAAACGACATACCACCCTCGAAAACTCACCTAAACCCCCCTCCAGCGCAGTAAAATACTCACTCCGCCCACCAAAAAAAAACCACATCCCGGACGGACCTTTCACTATAACAACAGACGAAACCAAAACCACCTCTATCCATGTTCCCCACTTTCTGCGATGGGAGGTTGGGGTATGTTCGCTCTGTAGGATGGATTCAATGGAGGAAGGAGGTGGGATATTATGAATAGGCTCGGGTTGCTTTTTATTTAGTTTTTTGGGGGGGGGGGGAAGGCTTGTGGTAATGGAGTTGAAGGTTGATAGTGAGGTATGGTTTCTTCTTTAGTATGGGATGGGGTTTGCGATGTAATGGGATAGTTTTTTGTATGGTATGGTTGTCTTTGATGTGGCAGGTGACAGTTTGATTGAAATGCTTCTAGATCACTGCGGTCTGGAGCGTGCCGTTTGCAACGAGGATTTATGTTTTACCGCGCTAGGTGAGTGTTGCAGCTTCTGATGTATGAAGCTTACATGAAGGTTGGCTTGCGAAGTGGAAAAGATGTGCAAGGTGGCGGGGAATGGTTTTGTGTAAGGTTGGAGTAGTACTATGTTCTATGGGGGAGAAGGCTGTTGGGTTGACTTGTTCTGGTTGGGAGTGAAGATTTTTAGGTAGATGTCGGTGGGGATGATGGGGGTTGTTGTGGGTGTGATGGTGTCTTGAGAGATGGTCAATTCGAAAACGGTTTTCATCGAATGGTTTTCGAAGATTTGAATGATATGCCGGGTTAAATTACAATTTGGTATTATTCAAGATACTATTCGAAATTTGATATACCAATAGAATTGTGTCCTCGCAAACACCTTAGCCTGAATTGTTCTAATGCTAGTTCTGAGACTATCAAGATTTTTGAGCAGTTACTCAGAAACGCCAACCGTGTATGTCTTCTCTAGTATACGATATCTCGCCGGCGTTGGTGTTTTCGTGAGTCAAATGAGGGGGGAGCTGAAGTTCAAGTAGCGGGGCGTATAAGGACGCCATTGTGCTCTGATTCATCTCCATGGCTCGTTGCATGGCTATTTGCCGAGTAGTATCCATTACGAATACAGCCGCGACATCGAAACGAATCGGATACGCGTGGCCGGTTAATTGCAAGATTTGAGGGTTTCAACGGCTCCTTGCTTGCATGGCTTTGCTTTTGTGCCTATTTCAGTCCTTGCCCGAAGAAAATATAATTCGACCGACGTTGATTTCTCATCTTCGAGCCATCTTCGTTGTATCTTCTCACGTTAAGCCAGCTTGGTGAGGGAGATTGACGTGATTTCTCAGCGATCGATTTGATCGGGTAGTACGACTTTTCGAATAGTAGTAGGGGTGATATGGAGGGGAGATTTTAAGTTCGCCGCGGATTCATGATCTAGTTCCCAGTTAGCATCCATACTCTTAAACTTCGACAATCACACCAACCATTGATTCCGCTTACCCATTTGCAAACCCGCGGCCCTGATTTTTCCGGTCGTCCTTGACTGTTTGTTCAAGACTCAATTAACCAGTCTGTAAACTCCCGCGCCCACCAGAGCCAATGCAATAGATGTTATCCCAGCTTGTCGACTTTTAATCCCGAAAATGCTTTTACTTCGAAGTATTGCTGCTTGCTGTGCTTTCAACTGGGAGTGGCCAGAGAAGTAGCTGTATGTACCGAGCCCGATGAACGCAGCAGCTCCTATGAAAGTTAGCTGCTGGAATGGTAGCTTGAATCGGTATTTCTGACCTGTTACACGACATGGCATACAGTCGTCTGGATCTGTTCGTATTATTTCGTCATGTTGATTTGATGGATTGGGAGTTTCTTTGTAACTGGAAGCATTGGACATTTTGAGGTCGTGAATGTCTCTGTGGTACAGAGGTATTTCATGCGAGATATCAACAGGTCGTTGAACTTTTGAAGCTCGGGACGACGCGTGCTGGTCCGTGCATCTCCCCCACGTCGACGACCTCGAGACAGCTCTGCCCCACCAACGACTTGGTACTCGAGTAGGCTTGTTGAACTATGAGGAAAAGTTCTTCCATTTGATTCAGATTTGAAGTTGTAGCTCCTTCACCATGGGCGAGGTAATTGAAGCTATACACATCTACGATGAGCACAAGTAAATATCCCACTTCATCCCACTTCCATGCTAATAAACCTCCAGCAAACCAATCCTCTCACATGTCTACGCCGGTAGACCTCTATCCGCTACACAACTCCTCCCTCTCTACCTCGCCCATCCCCAACCAAGACCAAGTCTGATCTACCTACCAAATACCTCTCCCGCGACCCTAGTCTTCAGCTACATCCATTCGAATCTTCTGTTTGTCGTCACAGCTTCAACGGAAATAGAGCCTCTACTGGCACTCGAGTTTCTGCACAGGGTTATAGATATTCTCGAGGAGTTTTTGGGGTCTCCGCTGCTGGCGGTGAAGATAGAAAACAGTTATGATGTGGTTGCGCAGTTGCTGAATGAGATGTGTGATGCGGGAGCTGTTAGCACAACAGAGCCCAATGCGCTGAGGGATCTTGTGGAGGTTGAGGGATGGATTGGGAAGTTATTAGGAGGGATTAGTTTACCAGGGTAAGTCGAAAACATAAGTGAGGGCTACTAAGCTAATCATTTGGGGTTTAGGAAACCGGGATACTCGGCAAGTTCAAATTCAGCCATGGCAGGCATATCTTCTTCTGGAGCGTTGTCAGCAAACAGCCAGACTGTACCGTGGAGGAGGGCAAATGTACGACATACATCGAACGAGCTTTATGTCGATATTGTGGAAACCCTTTCCGTTACCTTGGCACCTTCCGGCCGACCTTTGGCTGCCTTCGCGAATGGCACAATTGCATTTACATCCAAAATATCAGGTGTTCCAGACATATTGCTGAACCTTTCAACTCCATCTGGGAAACAGAATATTGGTGGAGTCATGGAACTTCCCGTGTTCCATCCTTGTGTAAGACTGGCGAAATGGAGAGAAAGACCTGGTGAACTCAGTTTCGTTCCTCCAGATGGACGTTTTGTTCTGGCGGGTTACGAGGTTGATTTACTTCCATTCCAAAGTATCAAATCAGGTTCAGCCAGTGCAGCAAATCTAAAACTACCAGTTCAGTTGGAAGTGAAAACGAGCCTTGGCCCTACCGGATCCGATTTCGAGATTCGACTGGTCATCTCAAAGGTATCTGGCCAAGGCAACTCTTCTAGTGCAGGTCCGGCTTCGCGAGGGAACTCTGGTGCTTTTGGAGCTGGACTAGGAAAGCATGCTGGGACTTCATCCACACCGACATTAGAGGACCTCGTAGTCACAATACCTCTTCCAGCCGACGTAAGAAATTTGTCAGAAATCAGGGCCAGCAGAGGAGACACGACTTACAATCCGGGCGGCAGGGGTTTGGAATGGCATATACCTGCAAAAGAAGCCGTGGCTGGTGGAGCGACCTTACGGTGCACGATCGCTGGGCCATTGACAGAAAATGATGACTTTGAAGCAAATGGTTTCCGTTTGGATGGCAGATACGATTATGATGAGGAACCATATCAAAGCACGCCAGCCCGTGCCGAGAAGGTTCCGGAAAAGTCTGATGAACAGGCAGATGCTCGAAAAGTTGCACAAAATAAGATATTGATGCCTAGCTCAGCTTCTGTCAGTTTCTCCGTCAAAGGTTGGCTGGCTAGTGGTATCAAGGTTGAAAACTTGAGTGTCGCTAAGAGTCGTGGTCTAGGCGAAGGCGTCAAGCCTTATAAAGGAGTCAAATATCTGACTCTCAGTCGGAATGGGATTGAAGTCAGATGTTGATCGAACGACAATATCAAAGCGAGCGCATCAAAGGGCGTTACAGGTGGCAAGCATGGAGTTGCCGGGCATAGGCATTTGGAATCTGGGCCCTACCACTTTGCTTGATGGGAGATATGAACACATCACAATATAAAAGCACCGTCACAACATCATATGATGGAGAAATATTCCCCAAAGCATTTTGACTCTCACAACATACCTCATCTCGCCCTCAATCATCCACCAACTGCCTATTCAAACCACCTCTTCTTATCTCCCCCCTCAAAAACTGTCCTGGTATTATCCCCCATCCCTCTCGCCATTACCGTCTTCGGATATCCTCTTATCCAATTCCCCCCATTCCCATCATCCTTATCACCATTCCCCACCACACCCCCCTCAAAAACAGTCCTCATATTATCCCCCATTCTCCCTCCATCACCCCTTTCCCTTCCCTCCCCACCCAGCCTACCTCCCCTTGGTGTCGCCTGATCAATCCCATCCATAACAGTCCTCATATTATCCCCAAACTTATACGGCGAATTAGGATGTTGCACCTTCTGCTCTCTCACGTCCCTCTCTCTAGCTTTCCTCTCCTGATCCTCCCTCGCAGCTCGCGATATCGCAGCAGCCCTCTCCTTCAACACCCGTTCCTCCTGCGCTTTCCGTTCCGCTTCCCTCGTTATCGCCGCCGCCCTTTCCTTAATAACCCGTTCCTCCTGCGCTTTCCGTTCCGCATCTTCCCTCGCTACCCTAGCTATAGCTTCCGCCCGCTCCCTTCGTAACGCAGAGGCGTGAGCTTCCTCTGCCTTTCGCTGTCGTTCACGCTGCGCCATTCTTTCTTTTGACAATCTCTCTTCTTGCGCTTTACGTTCTGCTTCGCGTGTTATAACTTCTGCGCGTTTTCTCCGTTCTTCTTCCTCTGCTCTGTCTCTCTCTTTGCGTTGTCTTTCACGCTCTGCCTTTCGTTCTCTCTCTGCTCTCTCCTCCTGGGATTTCCGCTCTGCTTCGCGTGTTATAGCTTCAGCGCGTTCTCTCTGTTGAGCGGCAGCTTTGGCTTTACGCTCTTCTTCTTCGCGGGCTTTCCGCTCTGCTTCCCGTTTTTTGGCTGCTGCTCTCTCTTTCGACTCTTTCTCAGCTTGTGCTTTACGTTCAGCTTCTCGAGTTACAGCTTCGGCGCGTTCCCTCCGTTCTTGTTCCCGTGCTTCTTCTTCACGAGCTTGACGCTGTCTTTCACGCTCTGCCCTTCGTTCTTTTTCTGCTCGTTCCTCTTGCGCTCTACTGTCCGCTTCTCTTCGCAGAGCCTCAGCTTTCCCTCTCCGTTCCTCCTCCTCCGCTCTCTCCCTATCCCTTTCTCTCCGCTGTCTTTCAAGTTTCGCCACTCTCGCCCTCTCCTCCTGCGCTTTCCTCTCCGCTTCCTCCCTCGCAATCCTTGAAATCGCATCTACCTTCTCCCTCCTCGCCCTCTCCTCACTCGTCTCCCTCCCCTTCTCCTGCACCGCTTTCCGTTTAACCTGCTCCCCACCATCCTTCTGCACCGGCAGCTGTTTCCTCTCAATCTGCTGTTTCAGCCGTACGGGAAGTTGCACTTCCCTCCCCTCTTTCCTAGGACCTTGATTCTGTTTCTCCCCTGTCGGCTTCTTAGGAAGTTCTTTCCTGTATTTCTCCGGGATGGGAGGGACAGGGGGGATATACTCATCCGGGCCATACTTTTCCTCGCTGCGTATGCGTTCGAGATCTTTTTCGGTGAGCGACCAGGGGAAGTTGCGGTCGTTTGTGGGGTCTGTGTTGGAGCGGTGGTCTTGCTATTTTGCGTTAATAACCATTCTTTTTCAATACCAAACTCAAGATTAGAGTTTGGGGTGTGCGAGAATGTACACACAGGTCTCCTCCTCCTCTCCCGCCCCACAGTACTATTCCGTCGTCTTTCACCGTCTCTCCTTCTCTCCGTACTCCCATCTCCATACACATCATCATCGGTATAACTTCTTCCTCGCCGCCGATTCTCTCTTTCCCGGTCGCCTGAGACTGCGCGTCCAGCATCTTTATTGTTTCGGTCACGGTCGTCGTCGTCGTTGTGGCCGAGGTTGACTATGCTTGAAACTCGACGCCTGAATCTGCCGAGGAGCTTTTCTTTGGGTTTTTCTTTGGGCATGGCGGTGAGATGCTGAGCGGTACCTATAAGGTAGATATTTGGTGATGTCTCTGTGGGATTTAAGGAGAGGGACAAGAATTTTGGTGTATTGACAGGCTGGAAGAGGTGATGAATGGCTGGGGGTGAGTGATGGGGATGGATGAGGAAGGGAGATGAATGTGGTGGGATCTGATTCATATTAATCAGATTCTGCGAATCGAATCTCTCGTCCGGTTATTAGAAAATCATTAGAAATTCTTTCTGAGTTGAGATGCAAAGAACTTTTTCAGAAAGATCTATGGGGCAAAAGCACATTGCTCACTTAGAACCCTTTACTCCTTTTCACCAGCAATAACTTCTGTTTAACACTGTTTTGAAACCTTAATAAGTGGTATGAGGTCTGGATTTAAACCCTTTCTTTGGAAATACAATGACATTGTTGTTTTATGAGGCAAAGGTACACTGTCCTCTTTCGGGATCCCATTTGATGCCATAGATGGCGGATATCATAGGCTTTTGTCAGACTTCGACATGAATTTCATTCCCGAAAAGAGATTCAAAGAAGGGGGAAGCTGTGTGTTGTTAATCCGATGTCTATTCCACTATTTACCTATCTTCAATTCTTTTTTTATTCTCTTCTATTCCAATCTTAACTACTTTGATTGTTCGATGCTATCTATCGCACCACACCTCGCGAGGTTACTAACTTAAGATTTATGCCGCTGTCTACGACTCCTTACTCCTCCTCTTCGGGGACCCGAGATTTTGCGCCCGCCACTACACTCAATTTCTCTTAAAACGTATATTCTATCTACTGCCTTATTAAGTAAATTTGAGATAATAATTCGTAAGAAGTTCTAATCTACTCAAATATAGTCTTATATTACATGATGATCTAGAAAGTAAACATATTTAGGTGTTGTTGTAAAATATTACTTATTAGGCGAGGTGTGTAAAATCTCGGGGTTTTTTCGTCCCTGGAGAGCTCCTCTTCTCCACATCTGGTCCTGGCTACTTCAAAACAGTGAATTAAGGAAGAACTCAAACAACTGAAAACAATTCATGAGTTACTTAAGTTGAGTGGAGTTATATAACTTATTATTAAGGCTGTTTTAGCCTAAGATAAAAGATAAGGAAAAGATGAACACATACTTTCTCGCGTAACTAATAAATCCTTATTTATTTACTATAACCTTTAAGTTAATAACTAATAACCTTAGTTAATATCTTTTAATTTTATAGGGGTAGTAAACGGACGCTTCTAGGTTAACTTAAAGGATGCTAGCCACTAACCCCCTCTAGGCACGCCCCCCTAAGCACCCCTCTTTTTTTTGGTAGGGTTATATTAACGGCTTCTAGCCCTCGGATTAGCTAGAGTACCACATGTGTAGCACAACTCAATAATTTAAATAAATCATAGTTACGTAAGTTAAGTTGAGTTAACTTTGAGTCGTTAATGATTATCTTGAGTTAAGTTTGAGTTATACCCGCAACTCAACTCAACTCAACTTATTTAATACACTGCTTCAAAAATTCAATCTCCTTTACCACAACTCAAGTAGATTCAAGCAGGAAGAATTATTATTACGTCAGCGAATTTTGAATCCAATGTCTATTCCACTATCTACTACTTTTCTCTTATTCTAATACTAGTCACTTTAAAGTTCTACTCTCATTTTAGCTGATCTCATCACATCCCGCTGATGTATCAATCCAATGTCTATTCTACTATCACCCACTCTAACCTCTCCTCTCTTATGCTAATCCCAATCACTCTAAACACTTAGCTTCACCTCTTCCCCTTTCCCCTTTCTCCATCCCTCTTCCCCTTCCCCTTCCCTCTTCCCCTTTCCCCATCCCTCTTCCCGTCCCCCTTCCCTCTTCCCCCGCTTACAACCCCTCAAGAACCCCTCCTCGTTCCCTGTGGAGGCTGCTGTCCCTGAGGAGCTTGCGACCTCCCCCTCTCAGACTCAAAAGCCCTCGAAAGCATTAAAGGCATAGCCACCGAATGGACCGTAGGATGATGTGGTGGCTGCACGAAGGGCGCTGCGTAGACGGTTGCGCCTGCTACTTGTTTTCTTGTAGAGGAGATGGGATTTTGGTGGGAGCGATGGGACTGGGGGTATGGGGACGGGGAGGAAGCTCGAGAGTGTGGTGCTCGGGAGTGCGGTGAGGGAGAGGGTACTCTGCTTTGATTGTGGGATTGGTGATGAGACGGGGCTCGAGAGTGATATTGCGAATGTGGTGAGGGGGAAGGAGCTCGCGAATGATGTTGCGAATGACCTTGACCAGGTTGACTCAACACTCTACTCCTCGGAGCAAAACTAAGTCCCTGCATCTTACCTGACATCCCAATCGAGTTCCGTGGACTCCTGCCCTGAAAAGCACTTCCTCCAGGATTCTGCACTCTGTTCAATCCGCTCAGTGAGTTTCGTCGACTAATCCCTCCCTGGGGTGCCTGACTCAGCCCAGGAACTTGCATCCCACTCCCCCCCTGATGTCTCGAACTTGCCCCCAACGGCTGTGGACCAACACTCAACCCCGGAACCATCAACTGACTCCCTCCCCTCGGCGGCGCCTGCGCTTGCCCTTGCCCAGGTGACATACCCCATCCTTGCCCTCGTGGCCGAAGCCCCAATTGACCAAACGGATCGTTGCTCGATAGCATCGCGCCTCTCGTTGGAGAACCAGACCGAGAAGACGTCAGTTGTCCCGAACGGGGATCCATCCACTGATCTCTCCCCATATATATGTGTGTCTGGCTTCTTTTGCGGAATTTTTCGTTTTCTCGAGCGGTTTCGCGGAGTTCTTTCTCGATGCTTTTTTTTGCTGCGGAGGAGGCGGTCAAGGAAGTTGTGGATTGGGTCGTGGTCGATTGGCATTGTGGTGTTTGTAAAGCTGCTTTGTGAGGCTACTTTGTGAGTGAAGCTACTTTGTGAGGTAAATAGAGAAAGAGAGGAGAGGTGGGAGATTAAGGTGGGGGTGTATTTATGGTTGAAATTGTGGTGAAGATTATTGTGGTGTTTGTGAGGGAAGTGGTGAGTGAAGTGGCGAGCGAGGAGGAGCGTGTGATTAAACCTATAAGAAGATAGTGAAAGAAGCACCAGCTGATGACTTTTCTGTTCTAATCACAGATATGAATAGAAAGATCTGAAAGGCAATGCAATCAGCAACAGTGGCTAGCAGCAATCAGATAGCCATTACATCAGTGTAACAAGATGCCACAGTAAGCCCCGAGTTGTTAAGATTCATCTGTACCAGTGTTAGTATCTGCGGAATTGATCTGGTCGTCTGTTCTGAAATAGCACTGAAGTAACTTAGACCTTCTCAGAAAACCACCTCTATAACCCTCCATTAACTTCCTCAGTGTAGTCACCGTCCCGACCTAAGAAACACCATAACCTAGATACGCAAATCGAAATGAAATGTACACCAGCAAGTCGAGTAAGTAGCTCGTCATACCGCTCCTAGCACCTCACAATCAACTCAGCAGTCCTCCCGGGAATGGAGGCAGCCACACAAAACGTTTCCAAAAAAACTGCTTAACCATCTAGATTCGCTACACCTCAACATAGTAATTTAGAATACATGAAGCCAGTCCCATCATGAGAACCATGCCTCCATCCCTGAGTGAGAGCCCTCTAATGCGCCTAACAATGATGCCGGTACTCTCTTGACGCCCCTATCCTCCCAATTTTGACCAGTACACGAGGCTCGAAGAAATTCATTCATAATATTGTCACACAATCGCAAGAACAGTTCACTTCTTCTTGCCTCCTTTCTTGCCCTTTCCGCCTTTCGCTGGAGGGGCTGGACTGGAGGCAGATGTTCCAACACTAGAAGCACGAGAAGAGGGTGCGGCTGATGTAGCCTTGCTGCCAGCTCCGGACTTTACATTATCAAGCGCTTTGTTCTGTTTGCATGTTAGGATAATCCTCGATTCGAATCATACTGACTAACCTTTACACCATTCTTAGACTTCTTCTTCGCTGGCTGCATACCAAGGACACTGTCCTCATCATTCATGTCATCATCGGGCTCTCTCTTGCCTTTACCATTCGCAGCTCCGTTGGCGCCTTTGGTAGTGGCTGCAGCCTCTTCAAACTCTCTAGCAACGGTTGTAAGGAGAGTTGTGCATCGCCTGCTGATCTCGATTGGTGTTCGACTCAGAAAGAACCAGTCAAAGCGGAAGAGCGGACTTTCTCGAATGTCATCACGAATACGTTCGTGAAGATTTTCTCCGTCGAGACCATACTTGTCCAAGAGCACGAGCAGGAATCGATCCTCTTCCTCGGTATATACCTTCTTATTTGTAGTGGAGACCGAATAATTGAGCTTCAACTGCTGCAATGGAACGCGATATTGCTGCATCTTCTTTCGCAACATCAACCGTTGATGCTCCATCTTTCGAGTCTTTTCCTCGCCAGCTTCGATCAGACCAACATACTTGGAGTAATCGGCAATCTCGGTGTATCGTTGCCAGAACACCTTCGCATAAGCTTTGATCTCTGATTCAGTCTTGCCGTCGACTTCCTCAGCAATCATTGGAAAATTCTTGCGTCCATACTTGGCGGATCCGTTAATGAATTGTTGGAAATCTCGACGATTCCATTCGGCGAATCCTTGTTGTGAAAGGGTCTGCTTCTCTTCTTGTTCTTCTGCAGTGAGTGGTGTGGCGTTGTCAATTTCTTCTTGATCCAGAGCACGCTCAGCTTCACGTTCCGAGAGATCTTCGTCGGTACCTTCAGGCAGAGGGACCTTGTAACCAATCTCCTTGCGGTGGAAAGCAGTCTCGCGATCCTGTAAATCGCGGAGAAGTGGCGGGAAGAACTGGTAATCATGAACCGTGACTTGTTTCGGTGCGCGAGGAGCTTTTGGTTTTGTGTCTGCAACACGTCCACCTGTCGAAAGCGCTTGCTTGTAGTATTTGTCCATAGAATAAGACTGCTCCTTTCTTTCACGCTTTGCTGGGTTGATCCAGTTTATGCCAATCTCCTTTTTCTTGTTGGTAAAGTCCTGACCGTTCCACTCATAGGCAGACTCGGAGGTGAAATTCTGCAAATCATCAATTCCAAGTTTCTCGTACCGCGCATTAAGTTCCGCTGTTCGCTTTTCACCATGCTTGAGAATTTCGTCGATATCACCATCGTCAGCATCCACACCCTTCTCCGCTAAAGCACCAATTCCACCCTTGCTTTGGAACACCTTTTCAGCACCATGCTGGATCATGTTGAGAAGCTCGTCTTTATTGGCAGCAGCTTTCGCGGCAATTTGTGCGCGACCCTGCTGAATAACCAATTGGTCAAGGCGGAGTTTTTGCGCAGCACGTTCGAGAACCTTTTCTTCAATAGCATGTTCCGTAACAAATCTGTAGACGACTACTTGTTTGGTTTGACCAATACGATGAGCTCTGTCCATAGCTTGAAGATCGGCTTGGGGATTCCAATCGCTATCGAATAGTACAACAATATCGGCACTTGTCAAGTTAATACCAAGACCACCTGCACGGGTGGTAAGTAGGAAGACAAATTTCTCAGAATCCGGTTTGTTGTAATCGTCGATGGCCGAAATACGATCTTCATGGGCCGTTCCACCGTCGATTCGGCAGTATTTGAATTCTCTGAACACACAGTAATCCTCCAGAATATCCAACAAACGACTCATCTGCGAGAAAATCAAGACTCGGCTACCTGCTTTCTTCAGTCGGACAAGCAGTTTGTCCAACATAAGCATCTTTCCTGCATTGAAGATCAAATGTTCATCGGTAGTATATGGAGGTCCTGGTTCGGCGCCTTCGAACAAATATGGATGGTTACAACATTTCCGCAGCTGCATGACGATGTTCAAAAGACGCGTTTTTGATTCTCGCTTGCCCCCTGCTCCGTTGACCGCGTCGATATCCTTTTCTAAGATCTTCTTATACCACTTCACCTGCATTTCAGACATGCCAATGTAAAGATTGATCTCTTTCTTGGGTAAAAGACTCTTTTCCACATCACTCTTGACTCGTCGTAACAAGAAAGGTCTGAGAATCCTATGCAGCTGTTGGACGACAGTATCTTGATCTGCACCTTGGCCAGAGAACCATTGATCGAAGGCTTCCGCATCTCCGAAAACGTCCGGAAGTAAGAAATTAAGCAACGCCCAAAGTTCGTGAAGGTTATTCTGGAGCGGAGTTCCAGTGATTAATAGACGATTACGGGAATTGAACAATCGAATGACTTGAGCCAAGGATGATTCTTCATTTTTGATACGATGGGCCTAAAAAGTCAGCAAGTTTTCTAGTGTGATCTCCGTAATTTAGCTACTCACCTCATCAATAATAATATACTCCCACGCAAATTTCTTGAGATGTGACTTTTCGCGCAAGATCATTTCATAACTTGTAATGCAGACATCGAATTTCTCATCCACAAGTCGATCAGCAATCAACTGGTGACGCTCTTCCTTGGCACCTTGGAGTACAAGAACATTAACCTCAGGAGTCCATTTGGCAAATTCTCGCTTCCAGTTGTCCAGGGTAGACTTTGGCACTACCACCAAATGAGGGCCGGTAATGTCCATAATATGTCTAAGGTAGCCGAGGAAAGATATCGTTTGTAAAGTCTTGCCCAAACCCATCTCGTCTGATTTGTTAGCAGTGGTTCTGAAAACATTGTAGGAGGGACCTGCCTGCTAGAATTCCAGAAATACCGTTCTCGTGTAGAGAAATCAACCAGTTGAGACCTGCGACTTGGTAATCACGCATCTCACCACCCTTGATAAATCCAGGAGATTCTCTAAACACTGTTTCAGCGGATCCGCCAACTTTTTCGTCTTTGAGTAATTCTGCATCTTCTTCTGCTTCGGTTCTCCGACGTCGTTCGTTGCCAGCACCTCCTTGCCTATCACGGCCCTTTTTGACTTTATCACCCTCTGCATTTTGACGATCAATCTCATGCATAATCTCCTTCAGTCTTGGATTGGGGTTCGTTTCGATGAAATGTCGAAATAAATCAGTCAGGCCAAGTAGGTATCGAAATCGTCGTATGGAATCATCCTCCTATTTTGCGACAGACTGTTAGTCCACGTGTCCCACACAAAGTCAAAAGCTGCAGCTCTCGTGTTTACTGACTTTGGATTCTCCCAGTATATCATGCTTCTTGCCAAACACACTGCGACGAAGCAATGTAGCTTCTGATCTTCGTTTCCGGCCATCTGTTGGTTCTCCTACGACACTACTTGCTGTGGTATTTGGATTTGTATCTGAATCTTCGGTGTAATCTGGGGTTTCATCGACATCCTGTAGAATAGGTTAGAATACATACAATTTAAGAAATAAAAGTGGTAGATGTGAAGTCGCAGCAAGCGCATGGAATAGGAAAGCATGGATATGTGAGTGCAATGAATTCTGCATACCATTGGATCCACTGGAAGTTGAGTAATAGGCTCTGCTACATCAACCATGGAAGTATCTGTATCTGTGTTTGCACCACTGGCGCGAGATGATCTGGGCGCCATATTGCAATGCCTCAACCCTGAGAGGGTGGAATAGCGAAAGAATGCGCCGTATGCGGATGAGGAAAACTAATTAACGGTGAGATAAAAAGTTGTAGTCGCGTTACTGATGAGAAGGCGTCTTTCTTTTGATGTAGGAAATGCGTAGAGACACAAACAATCCCTGAGTATGGGAATTCGACGCGTCGACCTGAAGGCTTTGGAAAGTCAAGATGCCCATCTACTACTGCGCGGCTCGAACTTTTGGCGCTAGGCTAAACCCCGGATGTATGCGGCAATCTGTCAAAAGCAGCGGTTTATTCCATGGACTAGATGGATTGATTCCAGAACAATATTCCAATATGATCCTGTTTAGTAATTAACTTTTACCAGAACAGTAAAAGCAAGAAAACATTCACATTGATTCTCACTGTTCTGGTAAGAGTCATATGATTCAAGTCCTAATCTCTACACGTTTTAGTCATTTGGACATCACACTCACAGGGCGAAGCCGCTGCTTTATCACCTCCATCCCATCATCAACGCGGGACCTCCCTTCAATTTGAAAGACTCCTCTACACTCGATCACGCACAACACACTTTGCTCCATTTGGAGAGACGAACTAGCGACTATTTACGGCTACGTGTAGCATATAAGCGGACATAATAAGTGGCATCTTAGCCAATTTAGGTACGAAAATCTTGACAAAGCCGTTCAGACAAGCTTCTGGGCACCCGCACCCCGATCCGGCTGACCAGATTACCATAGTAATCGACGACGACGACAACACCAACACAACCATGGATTCTATGCGGAGTTTGAACACATCTCTCCCTGGAACCTCACCTCCAAAGCAGCAAGTTGGAGAATCACCGGAGCAGCTGCTTCAAGCATTCAAATCAGCCGCTCTTGCAGTGACGACATTATATAAAACTGCCGCTGCGAAGCAAAGCAAGGCGAGAGCGGAAGGATATCAGGATGCTTTGGATGAGCTATTATCGTATTTGGATAAGGAAAATATTGGACTGAGTGATGGAGAAGGATGGGGCATACGGAGATGGGCTACGGAAAGACTCGACGGGAGAGACTCGATGAATCATAATGTGGAAAGCGAGGATGAGGTGGTGGAAAAGAACGACGGACCATCATCACCAGTTTTACAAAGAGCACACAGTTCAACTCGACTGAGTCCGAACCCAACGAGAACGAGGGCGGCATCTCCAACAAGATCAGATTCAGCACCACCAAATATCCCCACACCACAATCTCCTGTTGCCGAACCGATACCAATATCAATTCCTCAACAAAGCCAATTTACATTTCGTGCCTCGCACCAATATCCTCAGGAATCGGAGACGATAATATCAGATCTCGAAATGTCGGATAATAATCGAACGCATAATCACGATGGATCAGTAAACACAAGCAATCCTACAGGAATAACAATCTCCCGCCCATCTCGAGCCGGTTCAAGACACAACAACCATCCTTCACGGAACAACACACGCACCGCCGCAACAATAGGAAGAGGAGCCGGACAGAAAAGAAAAATCAACATTGGTGATTTTTTCGATATTGGAAACTTAGGGCCTGGCAAGGATAATTTTGGTGGGGGTGGGAAACGAGGACGATTCATATGAGGGGCCGAGACCTAACCCCCATCTCCACTTCAACACCACCAACCCATTTGATTCGCAACCAAATCTCGATTCTGGAAAGTCGATTCCCGTGACCCACCACTTTTTTATGATCAATTACGATGCATTGCAGGAGCATTTGGGAGGGGGGTTTTCCACCAGGCTTGGTGGGGGAAGGGCTGCATGGAGTAGCATTAGAACTGAACTGGTGTGATCATGTAATTGAGACCCGGACGTTACTCGATGACGTTTTTGGAGTCGTGCTCTTGTCATTTGGACGGCTGTGATGAGAGATACCCCTTGCATTGAGTTATAAGTTGATAGAGAAGCATGAATATAACGTTTGATGTGTTGATCACTTATACTTAAACGAGGAATTTCTCCAGAGATTTCAGGTTCATTTGCTAAAAGGTAAATCTTGGATTTGACTTCGTGCAGAACGCTTGACTTCTTCCGAATTTCCTCCCTTCACACCTTTGAATCGCCTAAATTCAAGTCAGCCTCAAAATCCAAACCGCAAAATCCAAATCTGAACACATGTTATCATTCTCAAACTCAACTGTTTGATTTAAAGAAACTGTCAAAACTCTACACAATAATAACGAGGACCAACTTTACTAACATACTGCTTTTGCTTTCATCGCATAATTAGCACTAGGTCAAGTGGGTTTTTTTTAGAGTATCGAATTCTTGTGCTGTAGTTAATATCCTATGTCAACTGTTACTTTACACGTTTGTCTGACTCAAACCTAAACACAATCCAAACACTCCTAGAAATTATAATCTTCAAATATAAGCTTAATACAACCTTTATCTATTTATCCTAAACTCGAGTGGCTTTTTTAAGAATCGTTACTTACAACCTTTAAATAAGAAGAAAAAGTAAAACCCAACATTGTAGCTATTATCCCTTTTCCAGCCTCACTACCGATAATCTCACAAACCGTAGTCACAGCTGTGTCACCCTCTAAATACAGACATATGAAAGCCTGACAACTTACCTCCTGTAACTCACAGACAGAAAACTAAATAGATCACTGAGATGTTTCGGTAAACAGAGCGCATTTCCCTCGGAAGCGCAACTTTGTGCCTATGTTAGATTACAGGGATCAAAAAGCACTCTGGGAAGGTATTATACATCTGCTACTTCTTCTCGACGCCTTAAAATGTGATGTAAAGACATCATTGTCAGAAATTGAGGGGTGAGACTAAGTTTCTTACTTGAGTGCATGTGCTTGGATGGGAGTGTGAGAAAAGAACTATAAGTTTAATGCATAACAGGCAGCTTGACTTTTGACTTCGTGGGGTGATGAAAGAAAATAAGACATATCAGTAGCGCTTCCCATGGTAAGCATATACTCTATGGCTCTTGAACCATCTGCAACTAGAATTTTTTATATTTCTTTGACTCCAGAAACAGAGTCTCTAAATTCGACTCTAGCCCTTCTACTAAAATCTCGTTTCAGTAATGACTTTCTCGTGACATTGAAGAAAGAATCATCAAAATGAAATGCCACATGTTCTACAATCTTGTCATTTACTGAGATCATATTTTTGCTCTCCATTATCACCTTTCTCACACGCACTTACACAGCTACAACCTCAAACCTCCCCCTTCCCCCCCTCAAGCACCCCCTCCGCCCTCCCCTTCAAATCCCCACCCTCCTCCCCCTCCCCAAATCCTCCCTTCAAACCCCTCCTCCAAAACCCCAACCAACTCATCCAACCTCCCCACACACAAATCTGTATGTTCATGTGTCGCCAGATGCGCATTCTGCTCATTAACCAAGAGCACCGTCGCTGCACCAGCCCGGAAACCAGCCGTCATGTCGTCCAGACTATCACCTACCATGATCAATCCACTCGCATCAGCTTGCCCATCCTCTTTCACGAGACCCCAAGACCTAGCGATGTGCAAGATACCAGCGGGATCCGGTTTCGGCGGTCTAAACTCCCTCGTAACAATCGGACTGAACGTCTGGCCGACCAGGAATTTATCCAGCAGATGCGCAACCGGAGCGTCGAAATTGCGGGTGCAGATGCCCTTTGGGATTGATTTGGCTGTGAGGTAGGTCATTAGGGGGAGGAGACCTGGTTGGGGTTGTTGGAGGGTCATGGCTTTGCTTTCGATGTCGCGGATGGATTGTTGGGCGGTGGATTGGGCGGGTTCGGGGAGGGAGTGGATGTGGTCGAGGATGTCTGTTGATTTGGGGATGTTGAGGACGGAGCGCATTTCGGTGAACATGTAGTTTTGTTGGAGGCTAGAATTGTGTTAGCTGGGTGTTTGGGAGGCTTGGTTTGATATGTGAGCTTTAAAATTCCGAAGGTTTCTAAAAGCGCAGGCTGAGAAAGCTCCGTCATGGCAGGGTTGAGTTGAAGGAGCGCTCTTCATACAATTCCTTTCATTTATAAATCACCTCTGCTGATGAAATTTCAAAATGAAACAGAAACCGAAGCTGATAAAAGTCTAAACTCAGACAAAATGACGATAATACCTCCAGTAGACCATTCTCAATCCCAAGCTCCTGGTATTCGAAATGAACACCTGCAAGATCATTCATGAATTCCCCAAAACAGGCAATTCTTTACACTCCGACTTTAAATCCAAGTAAATTCCGTAACTGGATACCATTCAAAACTCCAAACTCCTGGATCTCGTTCTAAGACTTGCAAGGACACTTGCGATAAGAACCGGAGGTCCCAACCTATAAAAGTCTGACTTCAGATGGCAGTAAAGTCGTCCCGAAATTATGCCCCTCAATTCCGAGCTCCTAAATCTCTTCCTAGCACTTGCAAAGGAATTGTTACCAAGACCATAATGAAAGGCACGAAAAGTGCAACCTGAGAGTATTTTAACACTCTCAAGCACGCCATTCTGGAATCAAGCTCCCAAAATTGCCTCTCAACCCTCGAGGAAATCCAGACAAAAGGGAAAGAAAAAAACCCATCGAAGCCCGGAAAGTCTGACTTCAGATCGCGGTATTGTTGTCTCGTACTCCAACATGAGATATGAATCCATCCATTTCCCGGATATTACTTCAAGAACCAAGAATGCAACCGTTGCATTTCAGGCTTCAGATCCTGGTAAAGCTCTCCGCTAGCCCATCCTCAATCCCAAGCTCGTGAAACTCGAGTCTGACTGTTGTAAGGACATCTGCAGGAGAGTAAAGATAGAAACACATAAAAAACTGACTAATTAAGTTCGCAGGATGTAACTTTAATTCTCGGCACCAAATCGCCTCGAATTTTGACCCAATTCTTGCAAGAAACCGCATGAGACCTCAATGACAGCAACGTATGAAAGTCTGACTTCAGACCTCCAAACAGTGAATTGAAGGAATACTCAAACTACTCAAACTAATCATGGATAACTTGAGTTGAGTTTGAGTTGAGTTAGAGTTAGAGTAGTTAATTATTATCTTGAGTTGAGTCTAAGTAGTGGCCGCTACTCAACTCAACTCAACTCATTTGGTACACTGCCCCCAAAACTCAACCAAAAATTCAAAACCTAGCAGTTCTCAACAAACTACCGTCGAACTCTTAATCTTCCAATTATATGAATCAAAGCAAACGCATAACAGCAATCTCATTACTAACATGTGCATATCAAAAACCAAAACCAGAACAAAGAACCAAAACCCAAATGCCACTACACCCACCCACCCCAAGCTCAAAAACAAAATTCCCCATCTGCACTCCCATCATCGATTCCAAACAAAAAGATCTCAAACAACAAATCAATTTTCAATTAAATAAACACCAGAAATCTCGAATGAGAGACAAATGTAATGCAATAAAAAACCAAATTCGCCCCAATGTAAAAGGCAGAAAGGAAAAAAAAAGAAATACGAACCATAAAGTCCCATCAACATCAAAAACCACACCCTTCAGTTTCCTCTCTTTCCCTTTCCCATTCTCTTTCCCATGCCCACCTTCTTTCCCAATACCTCCATCATCACGCAAGGGCGCAAATCTCCTAACTTCCCTCTTACCCATCGTTGCTAATCCCCGAGTAAAGCACCTTGCTCTTGATGAATGAAATCCGGAAAGATTTGAGACGTTGAGGTTCCTAGGGATGAGCTTGGGAGTGAGGCTGGCACGTATGGACATGGATGCTGTTTGTGTTTGAGATGTACTTACGGAGGTGCGAGTGGGTGGGGGCCGTGGATGATGGATTAGTCAGCTGGTATGAATCGGGCGAATGCAATGAATTAATGAAGCGTGTCGGGCAGATGTGTTAATAGAGAAAATTCGATCAAGCAAGAGCGTAGCCTAATATCAAGTAAATAGCAAAAAAGGGTAGACTGCTTGGTGAGAGGTGAAGAGCCGTAAGACAACCACCCCACCCGTACTACGCGTCGTGTCAAAGGTGTTAGCTCATGACGGCTACAGTACATCGCTAGATCTTAAACCCAAACCCAAAACCACGTACACATACACATACACATACGCAAGTCCCTCAATTCAGCACTCAAAAGAAGGGAATTTCTATATATATAAGCTACCTACGCCCCAACGACAAAATAATTCGGTATTGTGCTTGTGCCTACCCATCTGCCTATCCATCTGCGTACTGCCATATATCAGCCCTCCTACAAATCCCCCCATCATCCACAAAATAAAAATCCACAAACCACAAGAAACCCTTTCCAACCTTCCAAATTTTCTCAAACACAATTCTCGCACAATCAAAAAAAACTTGAAAAGCATAATATTGAAGAATAAACAACAGACGCCAAGAATATGCATAAATAGATAAAATAAGGAACCCTAATTTGTAACCCATCCACCCCCTCAGACACAGCATTCAATAAGGACCCGTCCCATTGCCCGCCGGATAATTGCTTCCATACAACCCATTCCCAAAATGCGCCTGGCGTCTACTCTCCTTACGTCCATCCAAGTCGGCACCCTCCTTCTTCGGCACCGGAGGCGGAGGTAGCGGGCCTCCAGGGGGCGCGGGACGCATGGGGATGGTGGTGCTGAAGGTAGCCGCGCTGGCGCTGGAGGGACCGTTGGAGGCGCTGTGGTCGGGTCCGTTGAGCGTGGTTACGCGTGGGACGGAGTTGGTGGTTGAGACGCGTGGGGGGAGGCCTGGGTGGATTGCAGCGCCGCCTGCGCGGCCGAGACTCATGGAGCCGTTTTTGGTGGTGGGTGAGTAGCCGTCGTTTTTGGTGTGTTGGGGGGAGGTTATGGCGGAGCGGATGTCGGCGCCGCCGATTGGGATGTCACCAGATGTTGGGGTTGGCAATGAGTAATCGCCGTTTGAATCTTGTGTGGTGGTGGGAGAATCACTTGATCGTAGGAGTTGTTGGGTAGAGGGTGATAGTTGAGGAGCGAGATGAGATTTACGGTTGTCTCTTTCCATCATACCAACTGCCCATTCTTTGAGATCTACTGGTGTCCGCTTTGCAGCTTGAACGAATGGTTCACGTTCCTAGGATGATGGTTAGCATCTAGCTAAGAGGAGTATTGGATAACTTACGAAAAGTTCAGCTGGCGTAGGACGTTCATCCGGGTTCTTGGACATGCACTTTTGTATCATATCCTCGAGAATAGATGGGAAAGCTTCACTCTTTGGTAGCCTTGGAGCTGGTTCATAAACGATCTGTTGCAAGAGATCCAAAATACCAGCCGGTGCTCCATCTCCATCATCCAAATGTTCGCTAGCATCGAAAGGAAACTTTCCAATAGCCAACTCCATAATTGTCAAACCAAAACTCCAAACATCTGATTTGACCGTATATTTTTGCCCTTGGATTCTCTCTGGTGCCATATATGTTGATGTCCCTACGAAAGTATCTGCGACCGAATTGACCAACTCTCCAGATACACCAAAATCGCAAAGTTTGATTTGTCCTTTCGAATTTACTACTATATTCGAAGGTTTGATATCGCGATGCATGATGTGATGTTTGGTGTAGAGGTATGTTAAACCTCCAAGAGTTGCCTCTGAGATCTTTCCCAAAACATCCACCCGAACCGGACCGAAATGTGTTGATATTCTATCCATGGATCTAGTGTTGTTAGACTGTTTCTGCTGCCAACTTCTATACTGCTTACCCAACATCCATATACTCCATGCACATAATTACGTCGCTGTTCTCGCTCAAGAAGGCACCATAGAAGTTTACAATGTAGATGGAATTCGTATCGTGCATGATCTGAAGCTCTCGAACGATTCTCTTTCGCATTTCAGTTTTTGCCTCGACGTGAATGACCTATTCCAAATATCAGCACTTAGCAATAAATTATTCCTAGGCTTTGTTATACCTTTCGAGCCATGATTGTATTGGTGGCCGTATGTCGAACTTTGCTGACGGTTCCTCCATTTCCGGCACCAAGATCTTTCAGCACTTCGAGGTCCTCCCTTTTCAGATCCAACTTATATTCTATTCCAATTTCTAATCGGCCATTTTCGCTCCCACCGGGCAGCTGCATCTCAGTCTCTGGTGGTGCAGCAGGCCGCGGTGCTGGCTTGTTCAAGGCCAAACCCTTCTTATTCTTCCGCCCAAAGGTCTTTGCCTGCATCCCGCTGTCTGCCATGATGAACCGATGTGTTTGTACTGCTTCGTTGGGTTGTGAACGAAAGCGCTCCGTCACAGATTGCAAGCGCGGGGAGCGTGTGGTGGGCGGTTTCAGGAGCACTGTTCGTTCTCTCTGGTCAAGGCTTTCCGGGTGTTGATCTCGTCGAGATGTTGCGATATCCTCCCGATTTCAGGTAAAAGAGCGTCAGGGAGGAGATACAGGATTGACACCTAGGTTGGGCGTCTTTCAGGATGTTGCATAGGTTTGAGGTCGAGAAACGGTCACACTGGAGAGTTTGCGAAAGGCGAGGTGGGTGTCGAAGCGCTGCTATTATTGGCTGTCACAAACAGGAACACCAACGTGGGGAAAAGAAGCTAGTCCGACCCTTTCAGATGTGCAGCTCCCGTAGAACAAAGTATAATCACCGGTGAATGAACGTAGAGCAAAGCTCGAGAGGAAGAAGAAAGAAAGAAAGGAAAGCGGACGATACTGGACACTTAAAGTATCATGGAGAAATGGGTCACGGCTCAGGGGTTGATTTGGTCTTATCGCATAGACTGAAGTACGACTGGTCTCATCCTGATGAGCACAGCGGGGTGTGCACACACGGAGTCGCGAAGTTATTGGGCCGTTTGCCTGAGGTATTCTGCTACAAGCGCTCAGCGATGGGATTGCTGGGTTTGAGAGGAACAGAGCCTCTGAGGATGGGATTGCAAGGTGTTTATTGGTCATATAAGCGGTCAGTAGGGGTGAAGTTGGTCTGATAGCTTTATTTGTGAAGAATGTTGGATCTTCTTCATGCTATTGAGCTATGGAATAGCGTTGCAGCCAATTACCAAAAACGTCTGGTCCAAGACAAAGATTTTATAATTAACCTGCGGAGACATGATAATAAATGACCCATATTTCAAGAAGAGGATAGCCCATTCGTATTATTTGCACTGTCCTCTTTCATCCTATTGAGACTCGTAGACCCATCACTTCTACCTGGTTGATATCGACCCTTTTTGACTAGACTCGGCGACTACGGAATATTGATCAGTACGGGACTGTACCGCCGCTGGCCCCACCAAGTCGACACCTGGTCACATGACACCAGCCTCGTCAGGCCGCCACTCAGGCCAATATCGCGACAAAGATTCTGGTCGCGAGTTCACCCAATTCGGCTTCAACCCTTCGAGGTATGCCACATCTGCCACCAGCTTCCTCTAAAAATAACGCCCACCGCCTGATAGCTAGCCCCCAGAATATAAAGGCAGCCGTCCCCTCAGTCTTGATCAAACCAATTCCTTTCCTTTTTAAATCAGACAACAGCCACCTTCGCGATGAGTATGCGAGATCTGATCAGCGGGGAGGCAGAATTGGACGATGAGGAGAATGACGAATCTTTCGATGAGGAAACCGGGGAGCCACGGCGGAAGCAGAAAGAGAATGGAGGCATGGAGGATTCGAGTGAGGAGGAAGAGGATGATGATGATGAGGAAGAAGCTGCCAAAGTGCGTCTCGATGTGTTTGGAGGGTGTTTTGCCTAGCTAATTGCGCCCGTAGATTCGCGATGGCTTTATCATAGACGATGACGAAGACGAGGTTGATGCCTCGCGCGGGCGACGCCACAGAAAGGAACGCAAGAAGCGGTCTCGTGATGAGGAAGAGGCCGCCTTGGATGAAGAGGATTTAGATCTTATTGGTGAGGCAAACCCAGAATGGGAGCGCAAAACCACATCGCAGGTATGGTATTATTATGGTATACCCGAGGTTTCCAAACTCACGTGTCTGCCAGCCAAAATTGAAACGCCTCAAGCGTGGCCATCGAGACGATACTGAAACCCACCACCGAGGACTGGATGACATCTTCTCAGATGACGACGAACCCGAAGCCGCACGCGACTACGACCGTCCCTTTGCCTCGAGAGATCACCAGCGACACGATGAGTTTGAGGGTTTCATTGAAGAAGACGAGCTGGAAGATGAGGATGAAAGACAGAGGCTACAGGAGGAGAAGGAAGTCGCCCGTCCTCGACAGGGAGGGTATGTTGGTAATGGGGAAGCCGTCGGATTGGACAAAGATGCCCTCGATGACATGGAAGCTATATTTGGAAATGGGGAAGATTACGATTGGGCGTTGGCACTGGAAGATGAGGAAGAGGCTCGGGAAGCTGGAGAGCATAACCTTGAGCTCAAGGATGTTTTCGAACCTTCTCAACTCGCAGAGAAACTGCTCACAGACGAAGATAATGCGATTCGTTGGCTCGATGAACCGGAACGATTTCAACTGGACCGGGCACCATTCAAACAGCTTCAGCTGTCCGAGGAGCAGTTCAAGGAAGAAGCCAGGTGGATCACAACACTTTTATGGCCAGGGAAGAATCTAAGTGCTGATCTTTCATCTGTATTCACCCGAGCAATTGGAAAGGTGCTGGAGTTTTTCGTTGTCGATGAGGTTGAAGTTCCTTATGTTTTCCAGCACCGAAAGGATTACTTGATTCATGCCAAACGGACCAGATCCTCTCATCACAGCAATGGAGATGGCGAATATACGGTTACGGCTGAGAAACTCCTAAATCTCGACGACCTTTGGCGTATCCTTGAGCTAGACTTGAAATTTAGAGCGCTGGTCGAGAAGAGGAACATCCTTGAAAAGACTTATGATAACTTGAGGGAAGTCGCCAAGGTACGGGACCGCAGCGTCGAAGATATGTTGCCGGATGCAGCTACCATGGAAGAGCTCCAGGACATTCAAGACTATATATACTTCCATTATTCAGCAGAGCTCAAGGACATGGCTGCCTCGACGGGAGACTCCAAGGAGAAACGCCGCCCAGGAGGAAAACATTCTGTCTACGAACGCATTCGGAAAAGCCAATGTTATGCACTAGTAAAATTGTACGGAATCACACCCGACCAACTTGGCAAGAAAGCTTTGAAAAAAATCGATGAACATGGTCGGAACTACGAAATTGAGGACGCTTCGCAAACACCAATTGATTTGGCCGACTCACTTACCTCGGACGAATTTCGTCAGGGCGAGGAAGTTCTCAAAGCGGCTCGAGAAATGTTTGCTGAAGAGCTGTTTATGCATCCACGGATGAGAACCCACTTCCGTAAGAACTATTATGGAGCCGGAGTAATTCATTGCAAAAGGACAGAGAAAGGTCTACGCAAAATTGACGAGCAACATCCCTACTATGAATTGAAATACCTACAAAACCAGACCATTATGGACATTGCTGGCCACCCCGAGATATTCCTCAAGATGCTCAAAGCTGAAGAGGAGGGCCTGATCGATGTCCGAATTACTTTGCAAGACGAGGCTTCGTTTCGAAGAAACCTTGTCGCTGAATTTCGCTCTCAGAATTATTCTGACCTTGCCGATGCATGGAACGATGAACGCAAGAGAGTTTTAGATTTGGCGTTTGGCAAACTCGAGCGTCTCATTGCTAAGGGGGTCAAGGAAAATATGCGAACTGAGTGCCAAGATGCCATCCTCAAGATATGTCGGGAAGAGTACTCTAGAAAGCTCGATCAGGCGCCGTATAAACCACATGGAATGGTCCTAGGAACGATTCCTCGAGTCCTCTCCCTATCGAATGGCAACGGTGATATGAGAGATGCCACCTGCTGGGCATGGGTTGAAGAAGATGGACGAGTGCTCGAGAGTGGCAAGTTTAACAACTTGACGCGCGACGAGAAATCGAGAGAAGAGTTTGTTGCTCTGGTGCAAAGAAGACGACCAGATGTGATTGGTATCAGCGGGTTCTCCGTTGAAACTCACAAACTCATCACAGGGCTCCGTGATCTTGTCGAAGAGAGAAATCTAAGAGGCCCAGAATTCGAGGATCAGTCAACAGGCGAGGACAAAAGAGAACTGCTAGAGGTGGTTGTAGTGAACGATGAAGTCGCTCGCCTGTACAAGGATAGCAAACGAGCTATCAATGATCACCCTGGCATACCGTCACTGGGAAGATACTGTGTCGCTCTTGCCAAGTACTTGCAGAATCCCATGAAAGAATATGCGGCTCTAGGGAAAGATATCACTTCTCTGCAGTTCCACCCTTGTCAACAACTTCTGCCAGAGGATAAGTTACGACGACAACTCGAAACTGCGATGGTAGATATGGTCAATCTCTGTGGTGTAGACATCAACGAAGCCATCAGTGATCCATATACGGCCGCTCTCCTGCCTTATGTTTGTGGCCTAGGACCGAGAAAGGCTACGTCGGTTCTCAAAACCATCTCACAAAATGGGGGAATTGTGAATACTCGAGATGAGCTTGTAGGTGATCCGGATACCGGTAAACTGCCTGTCGTGGGTCCAAGAGTGTGGAACAATTGTGCCAGTTTCTTGTCCATCGAGTACGACAGCTCCTCTCCGCATTCCGATTACCTTGACAACACTCGTGTGCATCCTGAAGATTATGAGCTAGGTCGGAAGATGGCTGCAGACGCTTTGGAGCTCGATGAAGAGGACGTCAAGGCTGAAGTTGATGAGGGAGGACCTGGAGCAATCGTTCGTAAGTTGGTGAAAGACGACGAACAAGAAAAGGTAAATGATTTGATTCTCGAAGAGTATGCCGAGCAACTCGAACGCAATTACAATCAGCGTAAGAGAGCCACTTTGGAGACAATCCGAGCGGAATTACAACAACCTTACGAAGAACTTCGGAGAAAATTCACAAAGCTTTCAGTGGATGAAATCTTCACTATGCTCTGCGGTGAGACCAAAGAGTCTTTAGCAGAAGGCATGATTGTGCCTGCAAACATGCGAATTGTCAAGGATGAATTTGCTATTGCCAAGCTGGATTCAGGAATTGAAGGCAGAGTCGAGTTGATGGATGGTTCTGACAAAGAGATGCCACTCAATCGTCTTTTCTCTTCTGGTCAGATCGTTCAAGCAAAAATTATCGAGCTCGATCGCGCCGCATTTACCGCCAGACTGTCACTACGAGAAACCGTTCTCAGGATTCCGTATCGTAAGAACAACTACCGTGACCCTGGATCTTGGGATCTTATTCAGGAACGAAAAGATAAGGAAGAGCTCCGCGAGAAGGATAAAGCTACTGGACGTACACAGCGTGTGGTCAAGCATCCACTTTTCAAACCCTTCAACTCGACACAGGCCGAAGAGTACCTTGGATCACAGGCACCTGGCGATGCTGTTATTCGACCGTCATCCTTGGGTAATGATCACCTTGCTGTGACATGGAAGGTCGCAGATGGTGTTTACCAACACATTGATGTTGTTGAATTGGACAAGGAGAATGAATTCTCTGTGGGTCGCAAACTTCGGATTGGAAACAAATACAACTATAGTGATCTCGATGAGTTGATCGTTGATCATGTCAAGTCGATGGCCAAGAAGGTGGATGAAATGATGCAGCATGAGAAATTCCAAACGGGCAGCAAGTCTGAGACAGGTAAGCCTTACAATTTGTTCTATCTGATGGAGATGCTAATAATGATTACAGAAGCTTGGTTGAATTCATATACGAAAGCCAACCCCAAACGAGCTGCCTATTCCTTCTGCATCGATCACCGACATCCTGGTTATTTTCTGCTATGCTTCAAGACTGGGCAGGATGCGCCCGTCAAGTTTTGGCCGGTACGAATCATTCCAAAAGCCTACGAGTTGAATAAAGCGCCTTATCCCGATATGAGAGCGCTCTGCAATGGGTTCAAGATGCGAATCTCCAGCACCAGCCGTGGATGATCAGATATCATGGGTGGAGTTATAGATTGGTTTTTTCTGCATTTCAGGTAGTTTCATATGCCGCATGTATAACAACATCAAAATTTGGAGATGGGCACGCGGGTGGGCATGGAGTCAAGTGGATGTCGTATCATTTGGAAGATGATGGATAGCGTGGGGATTTGTTGAGGAATATTATAAATTATAAGATTCAGAATATGGTTCTTTCGGGTGTTTACTGATTATTATTGCCTGTCTACCTGTGAAATCATGAGAGGAGTATAGTAATCTTTAGACCACTAAGACTGCATCCGATGCATGAAATGGGATGGATAACTAAGGTAGAGCCCAATATAGTAAGCGAGTACGTGAACGCGAACATGGTGACCCTATTGGGATTGACCTGTCATGTTATCCCCTGGCGTCTCAGGAAGCGCGGATAATCCTAGGGAGATAAGTGCTCGTATAGGGATTCGCATTTCGTACTCTGGCTGGAATCCAGATGTCGTGTAAATATGGTCTAGGACTTGTAAGGCTGACGAATAGGCCGATAGTTAGTGCTAGGAGAAACAAATGAATGGCCGGTTGCCGAATCAGCTTGGACACGTTTGGGTTCCAAGGTCCTGCGTCGGTGACCCTGATTTTATGCCTCTCAGCTTACGTTTGAATTGCCTACGTAGTGCATCTTGAGCCTGTTTGTTGTCTTTTATGTGAATTCTTTGTTTGCTGCATCTTAAAGAAAATTTCGTTACCAAGATTTGGGATCGGACGGCGTATCGCAGTTATATATTCCGTATTCCACCGTGTTGTATTCCTCCGCCATTACGTAGCGTTGCGTTCCTCCACCAGCCACGTTTTCTGAACACGCCAAAAGCTCCAGCTCCGCGCCGTTCGCGACCCTGACAGCGGACAACGGAACTACTTCATACTTTATCCTGTACAGCTCGACGCAATAATGCACCTGTGATCCCATACAGACGAATCGCTCGAACAGAATATACTCTTCGCTCGCCCTTGTTTCTCTAAGCAACGCTTCATCGTCATCCCACGCGCTCGCAGCATTCAAACGTACCCCTCTAAACCAGCCACAACAGTATTATCCGTACCAGACCCAAGGCATACTGGGACGATTCGAATCGCGAATGCGAACATATCCGCGACATCTTTTGTCGGATTGCAGAGGCAATGGCTGGTCTGGAGCAGCTGGAGATTCACAGCAAGGTATGCGCATTCAGCTGGGGGAGGGAGACATTTCTAATGCGAACAGTCGTATATTGTTCGATGGGTAAAAGTAGATGAGGGACATACGATTTCATGGAGTGTACAGCCTCACAAAAAATCCATGTATGCTCTTCGATCAAGGTTCATGAATGCGACTGACAATAGGCAGCAATTTCGGAATATTCAAACATCCTCGATCCAACACAATCTCAAGTTCAGGGCAATACTCTGCGCTCGACGATGCGACTCAATCCCTTCAGCAGATAGTTCCTGGGATCGAAAAGAGGAGAGCGTCGGATAATAGAAATGACAACGATTCGACAGCCCAGAAGCAACTGAGCGCCAAAGGTTTCATTCAGATACAATGGCATGGAAAATGCGAAGCAGACAAGGTATCAATGGGAACCTACCCGGTACCGCCAGGTCAAGGAGGAATGTATGGCCTCATATTCGACAATACATTTTCGAAAGCAGTATCGAAGACGGCGACTTTTGTACTCCTCACATACCCATCTAATGCACCTCCACATTCTACACATCATATGGCAAGTGTTGCGATAGGGAGCAAGAATGCGAGTCCAAAAATAGGAGCCACTCCGTCCGAATCTGTCGATAGTCTACAAAGTCATCTGGCGATAGGAGGAAATAGAAGTAGAGGCAATTCAGTGGTTGGTCGGAATGATAGCGATCATTTAATAGCAACATATCATGTGGGAGTTTTGCAGAAAAGACGGAGAAAGAGGGGTCAGGGTTATGCCAGTAGATTCTTCTCCCTGGATTTCGATTCTTGCACATTATCATACTATTATAACCGGAATTCGTCAGCACTTCGAGGAGCGATACCCTTGAGTCTGGCCGCAATCGCTGCGGATGAGAGAAGAAGGGAAATCAGCATTGATTCGGGCGCAGAGGTATGGCATTTGAAAGCGAGCAATGCAAAAGACTTTGCGGAATGGACATCGGCACTGGAACGAGCAAGCAATGCGGCGAGAAATGTTGATTCGAAAAAGAATTCTCATACATCGGCGCAGAAAAGACCTGGACTGGATACAAGTTTACCCCCAGGACCTGTTAGCAATCCAGATGAGGACAGAGAATGGCAGCAGGTGGAAGGACTGGTGAGTAGAATAGTAGGGACTCGTGATGCTGTACGAAGGTTATCAAAAGACACCGCACCTCAATCCGGTTCGAGAAAGAATTCGCATACAGGATTAGGACTTACCACGAGTGGAAGTCCCAGCCCAAGTACTGATGAGAACTTTGACTATTTCGGAGCAGCCCAGCCTGAGAAAAGACCTTTTTGGAAGCGAAAATCAAGCGCTCCCACGACACCTCAAATGATGCAGCGTGGCATGGGATCGCAACTTGCAGTACCAACACCGGCGACAGTCACGACAATCACGGCGAATGGTTCTGTCACTCCATCCTCACGAAAACCTCGCATGTCTCAGGAAGAGACTAGTATCCATGAACATTGTGCTGCATTACTTCGTGATCTTGATGCTGTGATTGGAGATTTCTCAGCACTTATCGCTAGTAGCAAGAGGCGTCGTATGCCCGCCTCAAAATCTGCTGGAGCTCGTGTCAGTATGGACTCAACTTCAACTGGCGAGTTTTTTGATGCCGAGGCAGATTTGGATAGGAGTCAATTGGTGATGATTGATCGAACAAGTGAGGAAGATACGCAAGCTTCTGAAGCTGATGAATTTGCTACCGATGCTTCATCTCTATCATCGGCTGGAGATAATGGAAATTCGGCTCATTTGAAAGGTGCGGCTGCACTGTTTCCAGTGAAACCGAAATCTTTGGATCCATTACCTGTTCCGATACTCGTCAAGCGTCGCAAAGTTATACCACCCGCAACTCAATTACCACCAAGTCTTATTGGGTTCTTGCGAAAAAATGTAGGCAAAGATTTTAGCACCATCAGTATGCCAGTCAGTTCGAACGAACCCGTGTCACTTCTGCAACGAGTGGCTGAACAATTAGAATACGCTCAAATACTGGACACTGCATCATCACATAAGAACCCATCATATCGATTACTTCATGTCACCGCGTTTGCTGTTTCTCAATTCAGTAATAGTCGGGCAAAGGAACGTGCGATGCGAAAACCTTTCAACCCACTTCTGGGAGAAACATACGAGTTGGTGAGAACAGAAAAGGAAGTCCCAGGTGGTTTCCGATTTGTGGTAGAAAAAGTCTGTCATCGACCAGTACGAATGGCATGTCAAGCAGATTCCGCGAATTGGTCATTAAACCAAAGTCCAGCACCCGTACAAAACTTCTGGGGCAAAAGCGCAGAGTTAATAACCGAAGGTCGCGTCAGAATAGCCCTACGCCTTCCCGACGGCAGCGAAGAATTCTACAGCTGGAACACTGCAACCGTCTTCCTCCGCAACGTCGTCATGGGCGAAAAATACGTCGAGCCAGTCGGTACCATGGTCATCACCAACGAATCCACCGGCGGCAAAGCCAACGTCGAATTCAAACAAAAAGGCATGTTTGGTGGCCGCTCTGAAGACGTCGTCGTCGACACGTTCGGCCCCGATGGCTCTTCCACCGGTCTCGGTCTCGTCGGCACCTGGACCACCAGTCTCAAAGTCGTCGAGAACGGCAAAACAGGCGGCGAGATCTGGCATGTTGGCGAACTCGTCGATAACGCGGCTCAACGATACGGCCTCACCACTTTCGCGGCTAGTCTGAATGAGATCACGGAATTAGAACAAGGGAAACTGCCGCCCACCGATACTAGGTTACGTCCGGATCAGCGCGCGTTAGAGGCAGGCGATCTCGAGGAAGCGGAGAGATTGAAGGGGGTTTTGGAGGAGAAGCAGAGGGTTAGACGGAAGGAGGTGGAAGTGAGGGGGGATGTACATGTTCCTAGGTGGTTTGAACGCGTGCAGGGGGGGGATGAGGGGGAGGAGGTTTGGGCGCTTAAATTGGGGAGGGAGGGGTATTGGGAGGAGAGGAGGGGGGGGACGTGGACGGGGGTTGGGGAGGGGATTTTGGATGTTTAGTTGAGGGGGGATGGGGTGAAGGGAGGAGGGTGTGGATGGGTCGTGGGAGATGGGGAATGGGGAAGGATGGAGGATTGTTTGGATTGGGGGGGTCAGGAGGTATAGAAAATGGGTTTTGGAAGGTGGTATGGAGGCTTTTTCTGGGTTAGATATCGTGTGTGTGTGGGGTTGGGGTTAGGGGTTTTGGATTACTGGGAATTGGAAGTGGTTTTTCTGATCATTTATATGAGTTCTTTTGTGTGTGTGATTTCTTTTGTGTGTGTGATTTGATGTCATATACCACGCCATACCACGCCATGCCACGCATCAGCCCAAGTCAAGAAAAGCCAGGCCCTGCAATTCCTAAGACATTTTGATTGCTCCTTTCTTTCTCGAACGGTGGACCTGTACGCCCATACACGCACCACTTAGGACGGTGACTCTGCAGGAACACCCTATAACGGGCGCGAGGATCCCGCTGGTTGTGGTTGTGGCTGTGGAGAGGGGCGTTGTTTGGGAAGAGATGGGGTTGGGGTTCTTTTGTTGGAGAAGTGTATATGTGGGGCATGGTATGTTGAAGAGGTGCTGGGGTGGGATGTTGAAGGGATGTTGAAGGGAGGTGAAGTGAGGTGGTGTGATGAGGTGAGTGTTGTGATTCGTGAGTATCGTGAGATTTGTGAGTATCGTGAAGTGAGTTTTCCCTTTTAGTCGTTTTCTCTGGATCGGTATCCCTTGAACTCGCAAAAACCCTTTATACGTGATAAAAGTGCTGATGTCTAGGTTTCTTGGACGTGTGTTTGCCGGGGAGGTCATGTTGTATTGCGTGATGTTCTACCTACCAACAACGCTCAAAATATAGATCTTAATGGTTGGGAAAGAGGTGATGGTTGTAAATCAGGTGTGATAGAGTAGATGTAGTGAGGGGATATACTCGGTGAATTAACTCGGAATTTCGATTTTGCGGGGCGGAGAGGGTGGGGTTGTTTATTGGGTGGTTTGGGGGGGTGTAGTTCGGCGGGGGGGTTGGATACTAGGTTGGATACTATCGGGCTGTGAGAGGCGGGTTGTGTGTGTAGTGTGCGGAGGTGATGTGTGGAGGTGATGTGGAAAGAGGGGATGGGAATTTGAAAATTTGAAGATATGGATTTATGTTTAAAGACATGAATGGGATTGTGATCGCATGTTTAGGTTGTATGAAATATGGGGGTAGAATTTTCTAAAACACGAGTGGCTTGATGGAAGAGTGTGTTTCAGGGGGTAGGAGTGGATGATAAGTGTTGGAAAACAGCCGTTAAAGTCGTTAGTTGTTAGATGGTTTAAAGTGACATAATATACTGTAGTTATTTTATTTTAGTAAATGCATAATTCGGGTGGATTTTCAATTGTACAAAGAGTTAGAGAGGTATACTCTAATGCTGTGTAAACCTACCTTATTCGTACCAAAAAGCCGTCGTTACTAACATAAGTGAATAGATAGATTTTCTAAAATCGAAAATTAAAGCCTGTTGTTTATAACTTGAACGTATATAGAAAAAGGTTGTTTTAATGGAAAATAGATTTTTATAGAATATGTCGAGTGATAAAGAAGTATTCTCGCCTTACTTTTTATTAATTTCTACTTACTAGTAATACGCTAAGAAAAAATCAAGATCAGGGATATAGTAAGAGCTTCACCTTACATAACCAACTCCTTGATAAGACAGTGATTATTTTATTAGACTGGTCGCATGGTGAAGAGTGAACGTTGGAATAGCCAATCAGATGATCGTTAAAATGCTGACTCATCACATTTTTGCGCCAAAATAGGAACTCCCACTTTGACGAACGATGAACAATTTTTGAGGACTTGTATGTTCAAGGTTCGCACCACAATTCAAAGTACTACTATTGTGAGTAATTCTAGATTGTAATTTATCCGTTTTGAAGCCTTTTGCATTTTCCGACTTGATTTGTTGTGCTCTTGCGAGCACTCCAGTTGTATTTTCTTTTTTCCTTTTCGCTGGTAGTTGATGAAACCTAGGCGTGAGAGTTCTTGGCTTTTTGAGATGGCGGTTGGGACATGAAATGGACTCACTTCTTACCTACATTTTTTTTCTTGGCCAGAAACATATCTTTCATTACAACATCTCATCAAATCCGACCACAGCGAAATATTTGTTCAAAACTAACTCCTCCCAGTCACAATGCCGCTCGAGAAATTCGACGGTCTCGAACTTCCTGCTTCGGCAGACTTTCATGTACATCTTCGAGATGGAGACATGATGAAGACGGTGGTTCCTACTATCAGACAAGGAGGTGTCAATACCGGTAATATATCCGGTCCATCTCCACTCCAAGTAGCTAAAAGATTACAGTCTACGTAATGCCAAATCTCGTTCCCCCTCTCACCTCTGCTCATGAAGCACTGGCGTATAAAGCTCGTCTGAGGGAAATTGATCCGAGTATCAATTATCTCATGACTCTTTATTTGCACGAGAGTATCACACCTGCTGTCATCAAAGGAGCAAAAGCACAGGGAATTATCGGTGTGAAATCATGTAAGTTAATACATTCTTATCACTCTTCACATTCTAAGTGTTGTCCAGACCCCGCAGGCGTAACAACAAACTCCTCCTCAGGCGTTCTCTCCTACGAACCCTTCTACCCCGTCTTCACCGCCATGGAAACCAGCGGCATGGTCCTCAACCTACACGGCGAATGTCCGTCCGACCACACCAAAAACATCACCATCCTCAACGCCGAATCCAACTTCCTCCCGACCCTCAAATCCCTCCACGCAAAATTCCCGAAACTAAAAATCGTCCTCGAACACTGCACCACCGCCGACGCCATCGCCGCCGTCAACGCCTGCGGCCCCACGGTCGTAGGCACAATCACCGCACACCACCTCTTCCTCACCGTAGACGACTGGGCCGACGATCCATTTTCATTCTGCAAACCCGTCGCCAAATGGCCCAGCGATCGTGCGGCCCTCCTCACCGCAGCCGTCACCTCAAAGGGAAAGTTCTTCCTAGGCTCCGACTCCGCGCCTCACCCCGTGTCCTCGAAAAAGGGCGGCCTGGGTAAGACGGCCGCGGGGGTGTTTACGCAGCCAAATGTCACGTCCCTTGTTCTTGACGCGTTTGAGCTGGCTATTGAAAGGGGGTTGATCAGGGAGGAGGATGTCACGAAGGAGTTGCTGGAGGGGTTCTTGGGGGGGTATGGACGGAGGTTTTATGGGGTTAGGGATGGGACGGGGGAGGGGATTGTCTTGAGGAGGGGGGCGGCAAAGATTGTGGAGATGGTTAGGGGGGAGGGGGGCGTGGAGGTTGTGCCGTTTAGGAGGGGGGAGGGGACGTGGGGTGTGGTGTGGAAGTAGGGTGGTGGGTGCTGTTGGGGTTGTGGTACGCGGGTGTATATATTTGATATAGCTTCAAAATTGAAATCTTCATCGCAGCGGGTAAGAGTGGCGACCAAAGATTGCCGATCAAGAGTACGTTTTCCTATCCACATATGTTCTTCCTTCATCAATACACCAGTCCATTCCTCAACTTTCACTATTCAACCCACGTACTAAACAAAATTCACAAACCCCACGACGACAAAGATGATGAAATCGGCAGCAGCAGCCTTTTCGGTGGCAAACATCTCCTTCCCACGTACACGACGAAATGAAATACCCCTGGTAATATATACCTCATCTCATTTTAAATCTTTACAACGCCCTCTGTACGGCATTTACCAATTAACTAATTCTTTGCCAGGTTTATTTTGGTTCGCATGATCTCCCGCGTTCTCATCCTAATTCTCATCTACGCCCGCGACCTCTGTGGGTGTGTGGATTGTGGTCTTTCTGTGTATTTTAAATACTACTTAACATGTTCCACTAGCTCTATATCATCCTAAACTCAGGTTCACCTTAGTTCCATGTTATCTTGTATATACCTACGCACTTACTCACTCATCTGTAGATATCTCAATACCTTGCGTTTTTACTGAGTTGCTGGCTGATTAAACTATACTATTTACTTTCTACGAGGCTTCATAGTCTCGGTTTTAGGTTGAGAATTGGTCGAGCTTGTTGTTTAGGGAGTGAGGATGGGGATTGTGCTTTTAGTGTTTATATATGAGGAGTGGCATGTGTTGCTATGGGGTAGGTGGTCGTCTCCGGAAGATCCGAGGAGGAGGGGGGGAGTGGGGTTGGGGAGGTTGGAGGGATGGTGAGTGTGTGAGGATGAATGGGTTGTGTAAGGGTAGAGAGGGTGGTTGGGTGTATGGCTAAAATGAATAGAATGATTTTGAAATATGAGGTTGGGCATTCGGTGGTAAGATTCCTTTCGGCAATAATCCTTTTGAGCAACAACAACATACCTTTACACACATCACTCCGTATCACTACACTAAATCCACATCCCTTATTAAAACTCCCAGAAGTATTTCGACGCTAACTGGTACTCCATCTTTGCCTGGGGCGTGAACGATGACCGGGATCCTGAACTGTTTCGCTGGCGGGTCGACTTGTGGAGGAATAAGACGTAGGCCTGATCGAGAGTTGTTTAGTGATCTACTCTATCTTAAATCTCTACGTTACCTTCTCTCTCAGCCGCAAATCTCACCGGTCCAACTCTCTCGTCCTCGTGCTTAAAAGCTCTTTGTTCTTGGTCCTCGTATCTGGCGGTCGAGGTCGTAGTCCTGGGGTTATTTAAGAAGAGCCTACTAGGATTAGGGGGGTGTTATATGAAGTAAGAGATGGTATTAATTTATCTTAATATGCTAGGTGTGTTTTCGGTGTTTTCGGTGTTTTTTAAGTTGGAGGTATGGTTTGTGAAAAGTTATCGCGAGAATGAAAGCGAATGGGACGTTGATTGGTGGAGTGGTGGATTGGTGGGTTAGTGGATTGGCGGATGGTGAGTGAGGATATTGGGGATGATGTGTGAGAAGAGGGATGAATCGGAATTATGGGCTTGTGAAGTAGATGGAACTATTTCGGAAATACGAAGTGTAAGGGGATTTTGGAAATCGGTGGTGAGTTGTTTTTCGGTGACAACATTAATTTCCACAATTATAACGACAATATATTACCTCTGCTAGTCTAGTTCTTTAAGCTCTCAAACCACGCACTTATCGTCACAAGAATCTATTAGACTAAGTCATCCACTTAACACTAGAAAACGTACTTAATTCAAAGTCTTCATCTGAGTCGTAATCGACGTTGGAGTAGTGGGAGAGTCGGAACGGTATAGTGTATTTATAAAGTAACAGTATAATTAGAAGGGGGTAGTCAGATTACTGCTCTATGTAAATAGGACGAATTTTGAACTTAATCGCTAGCTCACAAATTAGTAACGATTTTATTTTCGGTAATACATACTAATATCTATTAATTCCGACGATTTAATCTACAACAGACTATGAACAGAATTCTGTTTAACTTAGCCCTTTACTACGCATTATTGTTCTAAGTTTTATAATTATTCCGCATAATTGCTCATCTTCACCCAATGTCACAGTTCTCAATTAGATCTTTGGTAGAATTCCAAGTCTCATTTAGGCGTTGGAATATTTATTATAGTGTAGCTACGCTTTCGAGATTTGTCTTAGCTTCCCTATTTGTGTTATAGTACCGCTTAGATTAAGAGGTGTTACACAAAATGGTATAACTATACTATTACATTTCTTTTCTTCCTTTCTTTCTACTAACGAAACGTAATTAGAATTTACCTTCACTCTTACACTGGCGGACTTATATTGTCTTTGAGTGTATTTCATTAGCCATCTCAAGCTTCTCTCGCGCTTCGTCCCCCACTTCCACTTCTGCTAACATACATAACGCACCGAAATCCTACAACATCGACTACACTACCGTCCACTCTCTTTTTACTCATAGATAAGTAATGACGTCACAAATTTTAAGGTGGTAAGGTTATATATATGTATAATTCGTGGGTGGGCTAGAGTACCTTGTTATTCTTTTCTTGTGAGATTGTTGGAGTGTTTGGAGAGGTTAGGGACGGGATGAAAGAAAGGCAAAAGGAGGGGTGAAGAAAGGAGGAAGATAACGCAAGATTTTCTCGTCGCAAAATATCATCATTTTCCGCCGTAGAGTAACCCTTAAATGTTCCCACGTTCTCTCCTCCCCGGAAAAGGGGGGATTAATACTCTGCCTGTGTTCTGACAAAGATTCTGGATGTATATGTAGTACGACGCTTGGTGGGGATAGACTTGTAGAAATAGATTAGGATGTATTAATGTATAAATGCACGGTTTATCGTGTAGTTGCTGAGTTTATGTGTAAGGGGTAGAGTAATCGTAGTTGAGAAGTTATTTGAAAAAGACACTATAGATTGTTTGCGGAGATGCGTTGGAGGTTATTGGGGTGAGGTGATTGTTCGGAGGTTAAGTCGTGATGAAGAAAACATGTTTTGGAAAGAAAATTTGGTAGTCTAAAGTGGTTAGACTTTTGTTTGGGGGTCTGTATATGTTTTACAGCTTAGTGTTATAGGTTTGTGGTGAGGGAAGTTGAAAGGGCTGTGATTTCAGCTGCGGGATTGATGAGTTTGTGGTGCTGGGAACGGTTGACAGTTCAACTTCGATTCCACGGAAATCTGGAAAAAGTAAGTTTATCGATGTAAATTGATTTTAACTTCAATGTAGTCTGTTCTCTAACGGCGTACTTGTCAGGTAATACTGTATATGGTTTTTCTAGAGATAATGAAATCTGGTAATTGTAATCTCTTCTGCGAAGAAATGCGAAGTGAATCAAGAAGATAGAGATTTAAGGCAAATCTGAAGGACTTTAGGAGGGATATGGCTAATACGTTTTGCCCCCCTTGCAGGACAGGTTTTATTCTACGTTGCCGGTTACCGGGGAAATTTATTGCTTCATGACGTAGGCTCTTCCGTTACCGTCACTAATGCTATAGTGTCTGGGACCTCTTAACTTTTCAATCTGATCTTTCACGCCTACTACTACAATTTATGTGTAGGCAGTACTTTCAAGAATCCTCTGAGTAAGAACTACTGTCCACAACGTTGTACCCAAAGCCTATAGGAAATAAAAATATAAAAAAACAGTAAATAAACGGTCGACAGTTGACTTTTGACCCTAAGTAACTTCCAAACTCGCAAACCTTCTCCACGTCTGACCAGTCATAGTCGAGTATAAAGCGAGCATTATAAACCTAGAAGCGGTGAACTGAAGAATTGAAATGAGTGGTCAAAGCCCGAGCTATACAAAAAATTGTTCCTGGCCTTTTTGCACATTTTTAGAAGATATATAACACGCGATTCAACTGCTTTCGAACACAAAATGACCGTCAAGTTCATCCAAAGGAAGTTTGGTAAGTGGCGCAGGTTTGTTCGTTCGAAAAGCGTTCCATTAAATGCTCAAAAGAAATTAATGAAGCGACAAGAGTTACAGAGATTCGTCTGCTTGGGGATACACCTCATCCCACCAATGTAGACCAAGGTACTTTTGGCGGTGTCACACGTTCTGATTTACGTATTTTGCGTACTAGAACCTCGACGCCGCCACAGTGCCAGAGTATTTATATGCTTTACCGTAATTGGTATCATCTTCACAAAAGGAACCGTGTGATGTACCTAATCCAACTGGTTAAAATTCATAAGAGACATCTTTTTCGCTAACTAACATGGAACAATAATTCACGACAATAGCTTCTGCTCTTTACAATGTCAGGCCAGATAATGTGTCAAGCCAGAATCAAAGTAAAGTTAACCTATATATAGTTTTAAATAGCAGTTGAACAAAAAATTATTTTTCCTCGTCCCGTAGTCTATTAGAAGGCTTGACCATCTTGCTTATGTACCGATCACCCTCGGCCCACCTTAGCTCAGCTAGCTGAGCAACTTATTATGTGATTTTGCTTTGCACTAGATTTCAATGCCTAATTTATAAGCTCTGTTCCGAACTATTCGTCAATCGTGCTATTCGTTATTTCTACCTTATTTTTCAGGTAAGAATTAAGCGAGAAAAAGAACGCGAAAACTTAAAAACGATTCTATCTTAGTTTATATATATTATCTATAAAAAGTAGATATTTTTAAATTTCGATATAAGATATAGAAAAAAAAATAGCTTAAGTATCTTTTAGGTCGCTCGTGAAGTTGTTTTTATAGATTATAAGCTAACTTATTAAGGTTTAAAAATACTTCTTAAAATTCCCCTTTTCCCTTCAAGAAATTTAGCAAATATACCGTACAATTGATCAATTATACCGTTCTATTGATTAATTAGAGAAATAGTGAGTAGTTCCGAACAGCTCTAGACACTGTCTACGGCCTGCTACGTACATTCAACTCACCTCCCTTGCCCTACTATCACAATTAAATAATACTAAAATTATATACATCTTTCTCTATATTATAGAAATCATACAACTCTTCCGTTACCTCCGCCTTTTCATCTTCCTTCCCTCTCCCAGTCAAAGTGAATTCCAAATCCTGGAGCTCTTTCACTGTGAAAGGAGGATCGTAATGGCCTTTAAAAAGCCCGACTCGCCGAAACTCCCACCTTTTATTCCCAGTGGCTTTCCAAACCAGACCAGCTACAAACGTGCAGCAGCGATTATGTTGTACATGATACATTAACGTGGTACTGTAATACCTCCCTGGTGTGCACTGTATATCTGGCTTGAACTGGAATAATTTGGTCCGGAGTTTCACTTGGTGGCCCCCCCGGATCTACTCTACTTCCCCGGAGTCGGAAAATTCGGAATTTTGGAATAGCGTTACGGGAGTCAATTTCCCTATAACTTTAAGACGGCCTTCAAGAACTGGACCTAAACCCTCTTCAGCTGTAGACTCGGCTTCGATGCTAAGAACCGTGAAGAGGTCGAGTCTTAGGTCACAGATGTTGTACACGTCTAAGCCGTACCGAACTTCTCCTGGATTTGAAGCCCATGACCATGAAGGTGCTTTGGACACAGGAGCTTTCCTCCATGCTTCAAAGCAATACCAAAGCAGTTGAATTTCCAATTTATAGTCCCAAAGACCTGCGATGTACCTGGGTGTTCAATGGAATTGATAAAACTTAAGGATGCCAGCCTTATCCCACTAAACAGTAACTCGCATTCATGATTTCTTCTTGTTGGAGCCAAATGATAACATGAACGTTACCAGGTTCATCCACCCCTGTCTTTGTGCTTAAGATCGACTTGTGGCGGAGCTTGCTACATCTGCTCTTTTGTAGAACTGGTTATTGGTGTATAATTCTTTATGTTGGCGGTTCCTTCCTGTTAACTTATTGTGGCTCTGCTGCAACGAGAAACAATTGTAACATTTTGATTTTCATGATAGGAGATTATGCAAGCCCGGCACTTGGCGATAGGACTGCTAGTTTGCTTCTTCGTCGTAGCCATGACATGTATTGCATTCCTGCCAGCTCAACACAGGAGTGAGTAACGCCTTTTATTCCAGTGTCCCAATCCACACTCAACTATTCAATCCTGTAAAGTCCCAGTTCCTTTTGTATTTAGGTATATTTATGTGATCAATGTTCCGGCTTATCCTCATTTTCCTGCACAACAAATAACGATCCGTGATGCGATGCTTTTAGCGCCCGCGCGGAGAATGTGGACGAAGCGAGTACGCCATCGTCACTTCCTGCATTCTTCACATCAAAGCCGCCTTATTGAACATCGTCCTTGGTATATGTGATGCCTGACCATTCCCCATATATATCCTACTCGATTTGCTCGCTTTCTGTACTCTTAACTCTCGTTCCGCGTGTCTAGGAGACTTGTGTTTCTTCGTCGTGTTCTTTTCGTTTCGTGGAAGGAGCATGGGGCCTCGATTCGATTTATTTCGCATTCATCATAAGAGGATAACATTATACGGAGATTTCTGCAAGTAATGTCAGTGTCAAGTATACCCAGAAATATTGGATGCTTGCTGCTTAATTGTACCGTCAAAATTCCAAGTGGACATCTTAAGTTCCCGGTCCGCGGTTGGTGTCATTTGCTTTTGCGTTAATTGACCTCCTTTGACCACTTTCAATTTGAGCCTTGTGTGTTTTATTGAACTTGAGTTCTAGCTCTGTGGAGTTTCAGCACCTGTGTCATGGCTTGCTCTCGTTGCCGATTATATCGCTATGTAGACTCCTCCTAAGGAATTCCTGTTCTTCATCACAGCTGATTCATCGAGAAGAGCGTCGAAAACCTTGTTTTGGTACTGTTCCATGACAGCGCCCTCTTTTATAGTTACTGCCGCTTGTTGGTTACCTCCCCCTGTGTGCTCATCCGTTTCTCGCTGGACCTGATCGTTTGTGTCCTCTTCTCTGCATTGCATTGCCTGTATCTGCGGGACTGTATTTTCATCTTCTTGTTGCTGAAGCGCTTTGCTTCTGATTGATGCGGCATGCTATTAGATTCATTAGCCACATTCCAGAACTCATTCTTGAATGGGCTCAAGAATGTAGACGTACCACGCAGTGACGCGTCTCTGCTTGTGCTAGAATGTTTATAAATCTTGTAGATTTGAATACCAGCAAAACTGGTACTTATGGATATAAAGTGTTGTACTCAGAGGCTGCGCCACATCAATCTCCTGAATCCTCTTTTCGCTATTTGACTTGCCAAAACGGCGTTCGTTGCATGGCATCTTCCGCTTCGTCTGTCGGCCATTATGAACCCTGCTCATCAATCCATGCTGGCAAATGCTCTGCGAGTTTCCATCTCAAAGATTGAAGCTCCTCATGATTTCGGGGTAGAGCTCCTACCACTGGATCTCTTGGATCTGCTGGGAGTCTCGATGCTCTCTCCGGCCGCTCGTTGTATTTCTGAAGTGCATCCCTTGGTAGAATCTTGAAACGTTGCCGACGCTGTTGCCGACGATATAACTCGTAGTTTGCTAGATGCTGTTCCTTCGCGGAAAGCCACTTCTCCTTCGACTGCTCCCAATTGTTCACCCACGGTGGTGTACTGCTCGCGATGTAGCTATTTCGAATGAATCCTTTTTTTCGATTGTGGGAGTCTAGAAACGCGCATCCTCCATCGTTTTGATGTAGCTTTCTTGAGCTGTGTGTATCGTCTACTTCAGGAATTCGTCGATTCTAGATCTCGGGTTGCGCTTTGTTGTGTCGGAAAACCTCCAATGACCTCGGGCTTCTGTCTGCAGTGCTTGTTCAAAGCTCCCTGGCCTTCAAAGCTTTTGGTTTGCTGCCTCCATATTGCCAGAGTCTCTGCAGTGTACTTGTTCAAGACCTTTTCCGGTCTTTAGACTAGTCCAGCGGCTTTCGAGGCGCTGCGTCGAGATACAGAGAAGTCGTATGCTATATTGCTTTCCGTAAGATGCTCCTATTGACCTTTCCAGTCTTTAGTGATCTAACGAAAGTTGAAAGTAAGCTCGACGTCGGTGTGAAGTGTGATTTGGTAGCATAATATCGTTGTACCCTGGCAATATGCGTCTGTCCAAGAGCTCGCCGCTGTCACGTCGGTGAAGTTCTGTTGTTCCACTCTGTAGACTTTTGCTGTGTGTGAGCAACCTTCGGATCACTGTAAAGCTTGTCCCGTTACTGTATTCGCTTGTCGTCCATGTCGGCTTGTAGTTCATATCCCGGGTATTTGCTCTGTCGTTTGAAGACAATGGTTTCGCAGATGTATGTTCCATGGCTGGGGATGCTGGGTATGGTTTCCAGCTTTGTTGAAACGGCATTCGTACGGTGCTAGTCTTTGGGCTGAGCTTGGTGTTCTAGGCTTGCTGGGAGAGTCGGCGCACTGCAGTGATTCCAAGCTAGCGCTTCGATTCTGAATATAGTATGGCAAGGCTACCATCTACCGACACGCGCCGTTCCTTCTGCCAATGCAAAGGAGTTATCAGCCTTGTGTATATTGGAGTACATAGCTTCGCGCTAGGAGTTTGTATTGTGTGCACTGGCGGTCAACTTTGTGAGCTGTTTCATGTCACACTTAGTGGCCTAATACAGCTGTTGGAAGCAATTCAGAGAGTGTTGATTGTATTTGCTCTATGTTATAACCTATAATAACTTGAAACCCACCCATCAAGTATATCTAAAGATATAAAGAGCCCAGGTATTCTAGGCATCTGATATCACAGTACTTGCCATGCTTAAGTGGGCGTATAATACAAGGTACTACCCACCTCTATTGCAAGATTCTTCTTAAACTGCTAGCAGACATACCGTCTCTCAGTCTCCAATGTGACTGATTATACTCAAGATAGCCGTGAAGCTCCGATTTGTCCCAATACTTGCGAAGCAGTTCTCGACGGTTCTTTATATCTTTTAGGATTTCGCTTCTTATTATCTATGCTTTTCTAAAGGGATTGCTAGCGTTTATTCTTCTCTAATTGCTGAAGCCCGTATAGTATGCCTCCCGGCTCTTTTTTGAGATGTGTTTCTATTGTCTCGACATTCCACCTCGTATGCTCGTCTTCGCTTGTTCTCCAAATTTTGCCTCAACAAAGTCTACAACGATTGACCGTCTGCAGCTCCCAAACTTTCTGTAAATATAGTATCCCTGAGTGTGCAGACCAAATAAAACCACCGTGTGACGATCCAGACTCCATTCCGCCGGTCCGTCTTCCCATCTCTTCATTTGCCCTTATATGTTTGATCTACTGCTCTCGCTCCTCTGCTGGTAAAGTGTGCTTCTTCTTGAGATTTATCCGGTGGTTTAAGGATTCTCGGGGTCGTGAATTAGGGTTATTCGTGATTCCCGCGTTACTTAGATCGATGTGTACCTGTGAAGTCTCCTTGTTAGCCTGCATTCTGGGCATTTTCCACTCGATTCAAGCATGTTCATCGAATACACTGTACCAATTACTTATATCATAGTTTTCCAATCCCACTCCAACTCCTACTATATCCCCCCACAATCTTTGGCCTTTCGTCCCCTATTTATGATATCCTCCATTTGCGCTTCGTCAGGAGTGTCGATCCCAAGTTCGTTATGGCGATATTTGCAGATTGTAACTATTGGTTCGTTCTTCTTCGAAACTCCGCTCAATGATCTCCTTGCGTAACCCATTTCTGCCAATTTTTTGCCCGCAGAGATGTAGTCGTTGGTGTTGGTAAGGAGGGTTATTTACAGAAGTTTACTATGCCATCGCTCACTGACTTCCAACACCGATAGGCTCTTCTCTCCTTACCCAACCGTAAAATCACCTCGTTTATTTCTATAAGATGTATTCTCGTGTTCGTGACTTGAGGGTTTTCGCAGTTTATCGACCTGAAGAAACCCCATCCCAGCTTCAATACTATCGCCTTGTCCTCTCGCTCGTAATATAAAGCTATTCCCAGATGTTTGACTTAAAGCTTGTTACTCCACTCCCAGTTAGATTAGCACATCTTGATCTGATCGCACTATTGTTGTGGTGCCCAGGTCTCCTCATCGTGGTGATCTTGTCGATTCCGCCCCGTCGATCACACCAACATATTATCCTTTTCCCGCTTTGTCGCCGTGAGATTGATGTTGTTCGCTTCGTAGCATATGAGGCCATTCGCAGATCATCTAGAGTTCTTCCCTTCCATTTATATTCTTAGCCGCCTATCCTCTTCCCTTCGCATCGTCGCCGTGATCTCCAACTTTTGTCCGCTTCGGATTTTGTGAGGCTATTCGCAGAATCCCATGGGAACAATTCTTCCTCTGTTCCAGCCCAGCATCCTGATCGATCCCATACTATCCAATTCGTGAAGTTTACTGTCCCAAATCCATCACATGTCTGTTTCCCGTCGCTTGATCTCCGTCTTTGGCTTTCTCTTTGTTCTCCACGTCTGCCAGGCTATTGTCGCAGTACCATCGCTTTCGCCCCATTCCATCGTCCTCACTTCGCCATACTTTTTCTCTCTCGAATCTGGTAAGTCTGGGCTTATTCGCTGGGTATTGATGTAGTGTTTACCGTCCTTTTCGGGGTCTGCCAGCTTGTTTTCGGTCTCTCGTATCCTGCGCAATCCTGTTCCCTCTGATTCGTGAAGCTTCGTCTTTCGAACTTATTGTGTATGTATAAAGTTGCGGAGTGTTCCCATAGTGATTCGACATCGTGATATGCCAGGCTTCTCGCGTAACTCAGCGTATCATGCCGTGTTGTTTTCCACGTCGGTTCTTGTTCTTGGTCTCGTCGCTTGCAGCTATTCGCAGAGTTTCGGTAGCAGAGATTCTTTGTCGCCTCCGAGTTCTACCAAGGCAGCCCATTTTTTAATGCTCTGCGAGCTTTTGCCACACTGTTCCTCGGTAAGACTAATTCGCTCCAGCGAACAATGCCAATTGTCGCATCCACGCAGTTTTCATTCTTCAATCTTCATGCACCTTCACCGCATTTCAAGTAAGAAACACAGGATCTATAGATTGAACTGAGGTTTTAACGATTCTATTGATGGCTTTTCTTTCTCGGCTCTGCTGCAAGCAGGTTTGCACGCTAATTACAACGAACAAGAGTCAAATACAAATGCTTACTATCTTCAAACCGACACTGGCTTGCTCTTCAAATCAACTTATTCGGATTTGGTCGAATTGAAACTCGCTAACATCATTATTTCTTTAGTACTTCCCAACATCAGTGACAATACAGATCCTGTTCCACGTAGTCAAACCCCGCGCATTCAAAACATTCCCGTTTGCCTCACTAACTCCACTTCATCACGCTGTCGCTGATGAAATAACCTCACCAAATAGTTTGAAACAACATGACTTGAACACACTCTTTGACAAAGCAGCACTTGTGCTTTATTATTTAAGTTCACACAAGCAGACCTTCGTATTCTATAAACAGAAATCCCAGTAGAACACTCCTCTAGCCACACGCCGCTCGAAGTTGAATTTGCTTTTCAGTATTATTTATCCACACTGCAATTCTAGACCGTACAACACTGTATTCTACCGCTTGTATCCAACGGCCCCTGGCTCTACATGGATTCCTGAGTACCAGGGATGACTCCAGGGCTGCCAGCTAGCTTATGCAGCCCATCAGATAGTAGACATACTGCCACTACGACTGCTGCTTCATCTCGTCAGCCTACTTCTGCTTTAAGCTCAAGAGCAGCTTTACCGCTATACTTTCATACGAGCTAAATTCGACAAGAACACAAACCAATTTACCACAACCCACATACACTACTACATAGGCTCTGCATCCACAACCAACACCAGAAATGCAGCCATCGTAACCCGCGCGGAAAGGCGTAATCGCCAATTTGCTCGCTTGCTGGTAGAGATTCCTGATTGGGTTCTGCAGCAACATACACAACTCCACAGCTTAGCACATTTCTATTTACCCCTGAATCTTATAGGGCCCAGAGCTCTCGCACTCAGCCGCCAAACCAAAATCGCAACAACAACTAAGACTAATACTATTCCACTCCGTTCGTCACGCCACCACAATTACCTTCGCTCCTTCGAAGGCATTCAAACTTTGTCGCAAGCCCATTTCCCAAGGTTCTACCGGACCATTTATTGAAAAATTGCACCCGTGCTTGCTTATTTGAAAGACAACTACCCGCTGCACACTACAACATGCCCTGCCACACTCTGGTCTTGAACATAAAATAACAACGTCACCAAAGTGCTCTCTGTCTCATTCGACGGTTTTGGCATAGAACTAAAACTCTGTTTGCCACAATTTCTTTAAATTGTCTTTATAGTCACCACAGCCCCCTCATTCCATGAGGGCAATCGCAATTTGGTAACACGCCTGTTCGTCACACATTGACACACTTTGCCTACATTGATGACTTCCTAAATCCCAAAGCCAACATAATTGTCCTGACAGCAATTGGAGATATTTGAGCTAGTAACATTCCTTATTACCAAATTTGCTTCCTGACCGGTCTAAGATGTGATTCCAACCCTTCTTGTCAATTTGAGACGCCTCGCGCGTTGGTAACATGCATGATTGCCAGAACTTGATCTTGTTTTTTGTGAACACAGTGCCGTTGACCTTGCCCTTTTTGAGGACATTGGTGTTTCATTTCCAGAGTGTTTCTATCCTCTTTGTTACACTCTTTGCATGGTGGGTTTATGATAACTACGCCTGTTTCTACTTCATGAGGGCATCCAGACCTTAGTAATAAGCCTCTTGCCACGCAACATCCCTCTGGTTTTTGAAGCTTCCGCATCTGTCGCTGATCACAAATAAGCTTAGCCCTGATGAGGGCATTCACACTTTGTTATAGCCCATGCGCCCCACACTTTCTCTGTTGTGTTTATCATGGATTTCGCCTCAACAAACGGCGCCTAGCGCCTTACTAACCTTTGTTTTTTGGTATCACCCAGGATAACGCACGACATGTTACACCAGTACGTATTTATAATGGCGACTCGGAATGAGCCCACAGACAGAACTGACAAACCATCCTAACCGGCGTGAAAGGGCATAGTCACAAGGCCTAAGACCAAGCTTCTGCTGGGAATGCTTTCTAGAGTCTTCTTGGGCATCTTGTGATTGCATGTATTTGAAACTTTACGTTAGCACGTCTCTGAACCCCTCGGGCCCAGGGCAAATTGCGTCGCAAGCGTCTGATGAACGAAAATTAATATCATCATCGTCATCATCATCATCATTCATTGTGTTTATAAAGTCGCTGCAACTGTCAAAGCTCTTTGAGGACTTTGAGACTTCTGTAATAAGCCTGCTCACCACAAATTGTCCGCCCTGCTTCCAAAGTTTCTACATTGTCACTGGTATATAACTAATCTTGCTCTATCTGGAGGTGATGATACTTTGGATACATGATGCATTACCCCTCTTTCACCATCCTATTCCTGAAGTTTTAACCCTATTCTTGAAGTTACTTCAATTGTGAATAACCCCCCCAGCCAGCCCATTCACGCTTCTCTGTTCTAACTCGGTATCCACACCACGACAGAATCAGCCACTCGTATGATTCGCGCTAGCTATTCTGCTCTTAATGGAGCCTATTTGAGTTCACGTGAGCACCCATTCATTGCCCATTCAGCACACAATCCAGTGCTGTTTCAAGCTCAAGCACCACAGCGAGATGGTACTAAGCGCACCACAACTTGTGGTTCTTCTTAAAGTATGGGCGTACGACAAACTAGTAAACCTGATGGATAGATACCTGTAGTCTTCTTCGTAGTATTGTGCATATCTTCTGCTTGTTTACCTCTATCTCCGCCCTGCGCGCCGAGGTTTCACGAGATAATCTTCCATTGGCTTCCCCAGCAACCCATGAGGCTTTTGATAGTCCCATTCTGGTTTCTAAGCATCGCCGCATAACAACGAGGCCTTATCAGCCCCGTGACCCACATTTAGCTGCCTCAGCCCTGCCTACAAATTGCTCGTCGTACCACTTCCGCTCGTATTTCCTCCTCATCTCTTCTCAAACTCTTTCCTCTTTCGTCCGTCGCCCCCATCCGCCACGTCCTCGTCTGTTGCAGCTTGCTGCAAGTCAGACAGCTTACAGTTATAGACATACAGGTAAGTCGCATTTTACTCTTACTCCTCTCCGTCCGACGGTCGACGCCGCCGCACTTTTGGGGCTACAAGGTGCTCACTTTCTAATATCTCCACGATAAATGATCCCCTCACTTACACGCTTCTACACCGCACTCTCCTACCTTTAGTCATGCTCTGAAGGTGAGCGCAAGTGTCCTGGAGGTGTTACGCACGTCCTAGACGGCGCCGCACTTTTTGGACGATGAGGTGCTCACCTTCTGATATCTCTGCCACTGGCTGTTTCTACTGTTGCAAACTTCTGTATGACACTTCTTTATCCTCAAGGATGCCCTGGAAGTGAGCTCGCGCGTTCTGAAAGTGATGCGCATGTCATAGACGGTGCCGCACTTTTGGGGCGCCAGCGAGCTTCCTGGACGATATCTTTGCGACGAACACTCCCTGTACGTTCACACTCTCTGAACACTACTCTATATCATTTAGAAGTGCCCTGAAAGTGAGCAGAGGCGTCTTAGACTTTGCCGCACTTTTGGGGCGCCAGCGAGCTTCCTGGACGATTTCTTGGCGAGGGGCACTCCATTCACATTCACACTCTCTTGGCATAACTCTAAGCCCCCCAAAAACATTCTGAAAGTGGGCGGAACTGTTCTAAGTGGAGCTGGGGAGTCTCAGACTTCGCCGCACTTTTTGGGCCGTGGACGAGCTCACTTGATAATATCTATCTCTACGACGAATACTCTTTGCACATTCACAGTCTCTGGGTATGGCTTTACATTATTCAAAAGCACTCTTAAATTAAGCGGAAGCTTCCTAAATCGAGCGGGGGAGTCTAAGATTTCGCCGCCCGTTTTAGGGCGCCGACGACCTCACTTGTGAATATCTCTGCAAGAAACACCCCAAAGACTCGGAAAGCTCGACAATTCACTCCTAAAGCCTTTAAAAATCTTTTGAGAGTCAGCGACAGTGCCTCTGAACCCCTTGAATGTTGTCACGAGCTGCAAGAGAAGTGGGCTGGTTTTCCCATTCACATTCCATTTCTACACCATATCACACAATTCGATGTTCCCAAGAACAGACCCGGTGTACTATCAGTCTGTGCAAGCACCAAGTGGGAGCAATACTCATGGCATAGTCTTCGTTTATATCGGCGAGGTGGAGAGGCTCACTTCACGAGATCTTGCTTTGCTGAACTCGTCACGAGCTCAAAAGCTTCAGCATATTTACATACGGTCTGCCATTCATTTGCACGAGACAGAGTCGCATTTGCAGTCCTTTTGTCTTCTGCCACTGGCAAAGTGGATAAGGTCTCATTTTGTACGTCACGACCTTCATAACTGCTCTCGCTTGCAGTGCAGAACACCTCACATCACAATATCTTCACGATCTGATATCGATACTTACACAGATACTCACGGCGGTTTTCTTTATGTCTCGTTTTCCCCTTGCAGAGGCTACAGCCTCTTTTGCTGCCCATACTTCTATTCCGACTTGCGATCTTTTCAAGCACACAAGTGCTTTCGCGGTCTTTTCTACCCTTTCGAGTTTTCAGAGCGCGACCATGGACTTTTGCATCAACAAGCCTTAGTTGCTCCAACTTTACTTATGATGTTTCTTTCTATCACTGCTAGCGATGCGGAATCGTGCACTCCATGACATCTTCTCATACTCATCGTCACACATCCACCAGCCTTCAGAGCACATCAAGCATTCACACTTGAACATAGATCTTCTATTCACATAAAGCTTTTGCTAACTACTTTTGAATAGAAATCTATCAAAGCTTACATATATCCGGTTTCAGCAAACCGCGCACTGAGCCTTTGAGATCTAAATCGGTACGTCTTCAAGATTCCCAACCCTGTAGCGTTACCTTGGGTTGTGCTGCTCTCTTTGGCTAGTTTATGCTAATGCCTGTCTAGTATAGCTTTTTCAACAAAACATTTACACCCGTTTCAGCGAAAACGACCTGGGTCTATATACCTATATCATAGTTCGTCGTCTAGGCGCCCCTTTTCTCCTTCGCTCGCTTACCCCTGAATTCGGCTAGGCCCCTTTTCTCTATCACTTCGCAACGCAAAAATGTCAGGTCAGGGACGAGGTCGTGGGAATATTCCAAACCGTCCACAAGCAAATCGCGGTGCCCATCGCAACCAGCCGGTATGTAGGATCTTGGTGCTTGATTAAATTTGATTATTTACTTATTTTTCAATAGTACAACAGCTACCCCCACATGAACCAGCATATGGCGCAAAATAACAACCAAAACCCGCAATCACCCCAAATGACATCGCCGTTCTATCATCAACTGCCGCCAAATCTGCCTTATGTTAATACACCACCTCAACAAGCCCAGATGGGAGCAAACCCTCAGTCTGCGCCGCCACCAGCATACACTCCCCACCCATCTATGGCTCCACACCCATCCATGGGCGTAATCGGTCCAGCTCCGATGATCCCTCAGATTTATAACATTGACCAAGCTCTACAAATCCAAACTGTCGACTCTATGCCAGAGCATTTTGCACCCAATTTTTATAGATTTCTCCACCGTGATAGGACTCTTCGACAGTCTCAGATTGTTCCTGGTATCGCCCGAATTTCGTACCCACAGCGTTATGCTGCATATGGTTATGCCCTTCACCGAGGCGGTGGACGGTATACCCGGTTGATTCCTGCCGATCAGCTTCCTCCGGGAATCATGGGTTCCGTACAGACCTGGCAAAGTCCTGAGGGTTTGATCATTTTGCCGCATACGTTTCAACCAAATCCAGAGCAACGTCGGGCGTCTGGTCGCGATGACGAGCTATCTGAGAACGTGAGTTTTAGAACACTTCGGAGCAAGACCATAACTAACTTCGCAGTTGGTAAATGCGGTGTATTATGAGAACTTCCGCGACATAGACGTTTACGGTCGTAACCACGCCGGAGAGTACCAGCCAACTCCGAATGGCAACATTCAGGTAAGATATTCTTTTAGCAATTCTCTCCAGCTTCTCTCCTCTTTCTGCTTTCCATTTTGGCCTTCCAAGTGGCCTCTTCAATGTATTTATAACTAATTACGTTGTAGGGATTTATTGACTCCGTTACAAACGCTGCCGGCTCCTCCATGGGTAAACCACCTGCTCCAGCTGCTCAAGAAAGTAAGAAGACCTTCTGTTCCAAATACCTGCATCAAGGTATTTGCGCGTTTGCACAGACAGGCTGTAGATTCTCTCATGAAATGCCCATGGACAAAGCCGGCCTCAGAGCCATAGGTCTCAATGATATCCCCGAATGGTGGTATAGACGCCAAGAGGAAGACCGAGAGGAGCGTATGAGAGCGCAAAGCTTGATAGCACAAAATACATCTGAGGCTAATGCTAAATCTTCTGTGCCAGGTATGATTAACCATCCTGCAACCTCGACCACTCCGATGAAAGACTTTAGCGAAGCTGTGGACAAGCAAGAAGCTGCCGAAGCTGCCGAAGCCACAAACAATCATGGTCGTATGTCGGGGTCTTGGCGACAAGGGAGAGCTAGCATGAGTGGCGGTCATCACGGTTACGGTAAGACAATCATTTTTCTCAAGGAAGCAAAAGCTAATAACTGTGTGATCAGCACAAAATCATGGTCCAGCACAAGAGGGAGGCCGTGAGATGCACAGTCATCAAACGCAAGTTCGCCGCCGCACAATTGGAGGTCGTTCAGCAGGAAGCCCAGAGCCTCGTCCGAAAAAGGGATCCGGACCTGATGGCGAAAAGTGGGAACGGGGCCGACGACCCTCTCCTCGTCCACGCAACTGAATCTTCAAATCTGATTTTTCACATTCGACTGTTGCAACTGTTTCTTCGGATACGATTCTTCGCAATGATTCTTCGGGTCTGTTTCTTGAAACTGGCTCTTGAAAACTGCTTCTTTAGAATGCATCATCGCAAAAATTCTTCGATACTAGTTTCTTTATTTTCATTATGATATTTCAATACTGGCAGGCGTTGGTGGTGGAAAGATGTGACATGATATGATATTTGATTTCCTTAGCTGGTCTCTGGATATTGGGGAGTTTGAGAGTTGAGAGGACCTGCCAGTTACATAAGTTGGCGCGTTATAGCCACCGTTACCATTATTGATTTTATAAAATGATACAGATCCGTCAGGGCACCAAAAAACATCATCTCCCTATATATGCTTCGTGATTGAACAGGGTATCATATAGAAATTTGCGATGCTTGCGTAACGACTCTACACCCTTCGAATACTATATGTTCCAGCGCTTAGGGAAAGAAATGATGGACGACAGAACCCAATGTCAGATTCGGAAGATCAAAATTCCTACGATACCCGCTTACAACGCAGGCATGCGCTTGATAATGACGAACGACGGCCAGCGCTGGGTAAGGATCGTAAAAAATACAGCAGTGCGATTGACCACGAGTACATCGAACCACATTTGGAGGGGTTAAGTCAATCTTTTACCGTTGCCAAATGGGAGTGTTGCTACAGATGTACGGACCCGGACAGCGATTTCCCGAAACAATTGAGCACTAGAAGAACTAAAGAATCAAAGCTTGAATAAGCACTATTAAATATCTAATGATCGAACAAACAAAGGACAAAGAGTCTCTAATATATAACCAGGAAAGCAAGGCGTAAGTGGGTTTGCGTCTCTTTACGACAGCCGTTAAAATGAACCCGGGTATCAAACATCCAACTACAAAGACGTGCTACTTAAGGCTTCAGGAACGAATGAATGGGAATATAGAGGACCACCCGTGGTTTCGGATCTGTCAGGCCTAACGCGTTGTATAATATATACCTAAGAAGGCTCACAAATATTTGTAGAGGTGCTGCTGAGTGGCCGAGAAGAGCGACGTCAAGAGTTAACAGCACAGCGAATGACTCTTGTGTTGAGTTGTGTAAAAGCACTGTCGTCTATTCGCCAACCAGCGTATCGGTCAGACTATGGAGTGCTTTTAAACTACCTATCCCACTACTGAGAACAGCTTTCAGCACTAATGCGCTGCAAGTCTGACGGGACACCCTCCACATGATATAAGTTCAAGGAGGTGTGGAAACATAGATTTTAACGCTCCATTCTGTATGATATATCTACTATTGCTTGAAGAGACAATACGACATATTTACAGATGATTGAGCAAATAGAGCCACAGAGGTAAAATTAGCGGCGCCTTACATTTATCGGTATTCGGTTACGAGTGGTCCCGTCAGACTTGCAACACAGTGATACAGGATATCTATAAACACTGGATGAAGAAATTGAGGTGTCGCTTCAGAAAAAGATGGTTCTACATCATTCTGAAAGCGGAAAGGGAATTGGGATTCCAAAAATTCAAGGGCAAAGGCCCACTATGACAATATCACCACCCTTGAATACAGACTGTATACCAGTGTACCATTGCATGATCTCAATGAACTTGTCCATGACCTGAGACCATTTGATCGGTATCTCCAGTAAGTTCAAGGCTTTTGGCCAAGCCAGCGCTGAGGGTGTCCTGGACGAACAAACCGGCAAGTATGAGTAGGAGATATGAAATGGTCATTCACCAAACCCAAACCCCCAAATCAAAACCCCAGGAAAATCAAATCTCATTCCCACCCTATCTAACCCCCCCTCCCCCCATCCCCCATCCCCCCATCCCATATCCCCATCCCCCATCCCCATCCCCTACCCCCCAACCCTCCTCAACCGATCCCTCAAGAAAGTCTCCGCAACCCTAACCTTATGCCCACCACTCGCCAACGGCGGCAGCTCCCTCAGCTGATCCAGCATAACACGTAGATCAAATTCATTCATAAACCGATCGCAGGGCTCCTCATTCGTATGTCTGAGCCTGCAGCGGAAACACCTCGGTTTGCCGCTTTTTTCGCTGGGGTGGCCTTCGATGTAGGGGATGGGCTGCGGAGTAGGAGGTGTGGAGATATCTCTGTATGCGCGGAGGATGCTACGGTGGACTTCTTGGGTTGGACGGCCGAAGATGTGGATTAGTGGGTCGAGGGCTTTGCGTTGGGAATCTTCGGATTGCTTTTGTAGGACTGCTTGGAAATCCGGGGTTGACCAGACTTTCATGTATTCTATTCTTGTATAATGTTCTTGGGGTGGAATGATTCGTTCTATCGCGAGACGCGTTCGATCATCGACCGGAAATCTTGGATCGTTGGTAGGTGTATATGGAGGTGGACCCATAGGAATTGGGGCCGGGACAAAATTGGGTGGTCGCATGTAACCACCATGGAACTGATGAGGCGGAAGTATTGGTGGTGGAGGTGGTTGATGTGGAAGGGCCTGGACTCGGAAATGACTTGGACCAGGATTTTGTATAAGTGGATTTGGAATTGACGCTTGTTGTTGAAAAGAGTTTGGAGGGACACTAAAATTTTGAGGAGGAACTGAATATTTTGTATATGATCTCGGTTTGCCGGGTCCTTGCTCGGGTGGTGGAATTTGTGGATCTTGGGAGGCTTTAGGAGGGGTAATGCGGTATTTGATAGGTCTTCCACCCTTTTTCTTTTTCACTTTAGGTGGTTTGGTTGGTTTGTCTCCTGGTTTGATCACTGGTGGTTGCTGAGGTGTTGGAGCCGCAGGAAGCTCTGTAGTTGGAAGGACTAAGAAATAACATGTCAGTAGAATGCTGAAAAATATTGACAGATGCTTAAATAGTGTCCAACGCTGAGTGGAAACTTGACGTTGAAAAGGCAGGAGATGCAGGAGATGCAGGGGTGTTGGAAATGATTGGAGAAGATTTCGAATGGTTGACGCAGTGGAGGCCACTTTCTTGAACGCTCAATGAGTCTCGAGCCTTCTTTGCCACTAAGCCCACGTGAAGAACTGGCAGCTTGCGTTTTGGTGGTGTCTTAGGCTTTGGATATCCTCTGAAAATTTCTATCTTGCCGCTTGGCAGTCCCGCTGGACCATCTCCAATCACTTGCTTTTTTTTATTTCGTCGTGCAGAAGTTGAAGCTGGGATCTGATGCAGGTTGTGTTTCACCAGAGAGTTGTAGAAGTTTGCACCGGCATGACTAGATGGCGGCAACTCGTCGCTCTCTGCAGAAACAACCACTTTTGGGACTTTTTGTTTGCGCGTCATTGACAATTTTGTTGAACTCCTTTTGCCAGAATCTACCATTGGTTTTTGGTGAGAGCTCTGGTGAAGCTTGTGCTTGCTGCGATGATTCGCAATTGCAGACGTCTTCTGATTTGTCTTGACCTTTTTCGGGGAGGCTGAAATGGCTGATATGGCTGAAGTAGATAGAATCCCCCTCTTTGGACTTCGATGGGTGTCAGTGGAAATGTTCATACCTGCAAGCTCTCGAGCGTCTATCGAATGATGATCTGAATCTTCCTCCTCAACCTCTGAATCGCCTCCAGCTGCTGCAAACTCTTGATCACTAACAGAGCCGGATCGTTTCCGTGGTTGAGATCCAGGAGCATCATCATCGGGGCCCATGTTTGATTTTTCATAATTTATCGTCTGTCTGATTAGTCATTTTCTAGCTGGGCTGCTGAAGTACTTACGTGTCTGGCTCGCTTTCCACGTCCAAAATCCTGCATGTTTCTTGCAGCTTCCTGTGCAGCTTCTGCTTCACGAGTTTTCAAGATCTCATCCCAGACGGAAAAGTTGGGTGCTTCAGCATCTTCGTCGGCATCTCCCACCTCTTCTTCCAGTGCACCTTTATCATGAGCCCAAACACGAGCCATTGAGAATTGAGATTCGGCGGAGTTCTCGTCGTCCGTGTGTGTATTTTCGACTTGAGCCCGATCTAGAAGTTTATCAACGGATGCAGAATCATATCGAATGTCGTTCTCATCGTTGTCATCAAACAAAGCTTTGGTACCGTGTTTGAGGATGGATTCTAGGTCAACACCGGCATCGTCTTCAGCACCGGCAGTCTCTATCAGTGCACCTAAAGCAATCTTCTTGCGCCCAATCTGAATGATCTTTTCTTCGGCACTGTCTTTTGTCATTAGCTGGAAAACCAAGACCTTGTTCTTTTGCCCAATACGATGAGCACGAGAAATGGCTTGAATGTCTTGTTGAGGCTAACACATGTTAGCAGATGTCGTTCTGCCAGGAGCGTATTCTTACGTTGAAATCAGGATCCTAAGGCAATGTTAGAGTCAATCATACCAGGGGGGCCACAATGCGGATAAACATACCATAATGATGACTGTATCAGCAGTTGCCAAATTGATACCAACACCTCCAGACCGAGTAGAGAGAAGGAATGCAAAGACCGTTGAATCGGGAGCGTTGAACTCGTCAATACGCTTCTGCTTTTCTTGAGCACCCATATTTCCATCAAGTCGCCGGAAGGAGAAGCCGAGACCCTTGAGAAAATCTTCAATCAAATCAAGTTGGTTCAAGAACTGACTGAAAAGTAAGACACGATGTCCACGATCTCGCAGCTTTGGGAGCATGAGTTCTAGAAGCTGAAACTTTGACGACGCATCGATCAAGTTCCTGTGCATTGCTTCTTCACTGACAGACGTCTCCTCGATGGCGGAACTGTAGATAAAAGGGTGACAAAGACACTTGCGAAGTTGCATCAAGATATTGTTCAAGTTTCCTCGCTCAGTGGGTCGAAGATCAGTCTTACGCTGCCCAAAGATAGACTTAATGAGTTGTGGGTTCTTTGCCAGAATAGACTTGTAAAGCTTCTTCTGGACAACGCTCATAGAGACTGGTAAGATGACCTGAGCCATAGTCGGCAAATCCTTCAACACAAGAAGTTTGGTTCGTCTACAGACAGATATCAGTATCACTACAATGAAGAAGCTCGGTGACTTACCTGAGGAAGAATGGCCGGATAAGATCCTGCAATTCAGGCAAATTGTCTTTCGTCAATTCCTCATATTTCTCATCAAGCTTAGCTGCATTCAGCGACTGATCGAGGAAACCGAGTAGATTGAACAATTCTCTCTTATTGTTTTGAAGTGGCGTTCCTAAAATCATGTCAGTCGGAGACATAACAACAGGGCAGAAGTACTGTACCTGTCAACAGACATTGGAACGGAGTCTTTAGCGACTTCAACGCATCGTACAGAAGATTGTCATCGTTCTTAAGACGTTGTCCCTCGTCCACAATCATACCAGCCCAATTGATCTTTCTAAAGAAAGCTTTACATTCAGGATTGACCGGAGCTTCATAAGAGGTGACCACGACGTGAGCCGCCAGGTCTGAATTGCCGTTTGGAAACAGTTCGTAATTCTTGGCCATCTCGCGCGCTTTGGCACCTCCATAATATGTAACGACACGTAAGCTTGGTGCCCATTTCTTGATCTCTCGACGCCAATTGGGGCACGTTGAATTAGGCGTGACGACAAGGAATGGCCAACACTAGAAACATGGTCAGCAAGCTGGTCATGAAAAGATGGAAAAGATGGACTACCTTTGGCTTCTCTGTGATCAAGGTGGCGAGCAAGGCAATAACTTGAATAGTCTTCCCGAGACCCATCTCATCAGCAAGAATGACGTTCTTTTCTTGTGATAGTTGTACAGCATCCAATTCATACCTTCCTTTTGATACGCCATCAATTCACCGCCGACCAATGATGCTGGCTGCTTCTTCACCTCCACTTTCTTCGCGAAATCCAATGCGTGGAAAGCTTCTACCCGCTTTTTCATTTCAGACTGTGGGGGGTTCCTGAAATGAACTCCAACCACAAACTCGTTGTAGGCAGCCACAAAACAACTCCATCGTTCCTTGTCTTCCGGAGATGGTGGTGTCTCCCAGACAGCGTCATCATAACCAAGCCCTGAAAACTTGACAAGCACACGATCAACCAGACTAATCTGCTCCTTTTCAGACTTTTCAGATCCAGATTCGAATTCCGAGTCGTATTCCACATCGAAGATGATCTCCATGCGAAAGAACTCCTCGGGAATGGCCTCCTCTGTTGTCCATTTAGGCGTCAAATTGTTACCTTCGTCCCGATTCGCAAAAGCCTTCCTCATGACAGTGGCCGTCACGCCCCAGACCCAGCTGCCTGGCATCCAGACACATTGGAAGTAGGATTGATCCAGCCATTTGACGAGGTACTCCTTTTCGTCTTCGGTGAAATCGTAATACGTATCGCCAGGTTGATATTTCTCTCGGTCTGCGAGACGCCATGCCACCAGACCTGCAGGTTTATCGGGGTGATCAATACACTCTTTGCATTGAAATCTAGAACCATACTCTTTGCGACGTAGACTACGCAATTCGTCCTCGTCTTCCGGGGCCTTACCTTTCTTTAAAGCTGGCAAATGACCGAAGTGACATCCACGATGACAACGGGTACACCTGAACAACACATGCTCGGCATTGTTGAGCAGATCAGGAGCCACCTCTGTAATGGGATCGTCACCTCCATTCTCTTCGCGAATCTTTTCTTCCATCTTACTCGTCTTGCGTGGCGAGAAGGCAGCACACGCAGCACCGACCTCTCCACAACCCTGACAAACATCTAATCGTGGCGCACTAGAATCCTTTTTGACGGTTATTCCGATGCATCGACGGCACTGCATGACGAAGTTCTCATGTCCGACTTTGGTGACCATATGTTCTCTACCACTTCGATAACCAAGGCATACCTTGTGGATTGATGTAGAGCAGCCTTGGCAGTAGATTAAGGGACTTTTGCCTTTGTTAGAATTGGAACCTGTCCCACTGCACACATCGCACTCATTGTTGTGGAGTGTGGCAAACAGCGACCTTGACTCAACTGGCTGATAGATCTCGCGGATGCTAATGACTTTAGGAGTGTTGGTGGTGGCGACTTCATCTGCATAAATCTCCTCGTCCATGTCCTGTTCCCTCATGTTCTTGCTCACTCGATCTCGGCCAGAACGACGCGTTGGCTGCCCTGGCTCAGAGGACAAACTCCTGGCGCGTCTTCTGTTATTTCTCTTGTTTTCTGTCTGCGAACGAAAGAGAACTGCCTTTGGTTTTGGCTGTCGCTTACTCTTCCGGGTGTCGTATACAATATCTGAGTTGTCACTTGGCACATCCATGTGTTGTGACGCGTCTTCATCATCAAAGAAAGAGTCAGTAAGAGTCTTGTTAGAATTAGACGTAGGCTTGGAGCGGGTAAATCGACCAGATGAACGTGTTTTCAAAGGCCCTTTGGATGAAGCAGTATTTCGAGTCTTTGGAGCCTCCTCAGCAGACTCGGAACTGTCTTCATCCTGCATTGCACGTGAGGATTGCCGACTCCCACGAGTGCTCTGATTTCTGCTACTTTGACGAGTGCCGTTGCTAGTAAGATTCGTGACGCGGCCATTTTGAAGACGCCGACGCTTATTTTTTTCATAATTGTCTTCTTCTTCAGAATCGAGTCGCGCGTTGGTAATATTGACAAAGCCATCATTTTGAGTTTTCTTTCGGACCCGCTTTCCTATACTTGTAGACATGATCGTGTCACCGTCTTCTTCTATCGAGTCTTCCTCGGAAGTTGCTGCTTCGTCTGATTTTCGACCTCTGAACAGATCTATCGCGTTCTGGCCATTTCGTAGAGTCAACAACTGATCAAGAGAAACCTGATTACGCGAGCAAATTAGCGTCAAAATCAATATTCACCCCTATTACAACTGGCGCTTGCAGAGCGAGCTTGTAATTGGGGAGCGGGTAGCAAGAACTCTTAAAGATCGCGGAGAAAGTATTTGATAAAATTACAGGCGGGCGGCAGGGGTTCGTAAATATGATTGTAGAAAGAAAGTTGAGGTCTGGGTAGGAACGATGAAAAGATGTCGTCCAACTACGCCCAAAAAGGTGGAAAGAGAAAGCTAAAATCGGAGTAACCAAGAAAGGCTATTTAGGCGAGAAGTTGTACGAAAGTACTGAAATAGAGTTGCCAAGGATCTAACTATTGGTGAGGCGAATTGTGAATGCTGACATGATACAGCAGAAGGAAGGGTAAGATATTGCTCTTTTATGTGCCACAGTTGCGTAGTGTCGTTAGGTAAAGCTGATCTATAAATGGCTTACATCAAAACATATGGGCATTTGAAGAGCAGCGTGAAAGTGAAAATACGCAAAATACGCCCAGATATAGCAACGTACATGAAACTGAAGAGACAAAACTTACTGTCGCCTTCTTCCCATCTTCGTATTCGATCTTATATTCCATTTCACCGTTTGATCCCTCGACCTCAGCTTGTACCGAGTCGACCGTAGTATCTCCACGGTATGGCTTATATTCCCATGGCCTAGCCGGTGGCGGTACCATGATGGCAATGCTGTCTGTTGAGCGTGACTTCTCGCGATCTCCACGTTGTGGTGATTCTCTGAACCTATGCGACAAGGTCGAGTGGGGTTGAGAGGGTTCCCGATTCAAGTCCTCCCTTTCAGGTGTATGTACGGACGCATTATCTGAGTCGTCCGAGTCTGCGATCTGTATGGGAGACGCCATGGTTTGACGGTGAGGGACTGTTGTCGTTGTCCGAGGAAGTAGTGAGAAAGCGCAGTTGACAATAATAGATCTGGCACGAATTAGAAAATTGTCCAGATTGGGCTGCAGGAATACTAACGAGAACCTGGAAGACGAACAATGACTAGGTATCTAAGCAGAAGCAGTGTTTCCGTAATTGTTCTCGTAATCTTGAGCAAAAGAAGGTGTCGAAGGTGAGGAGTAATCGAGAAATGTTCAAGGATTGTTTGCGACAGATGCGCCTGTTGATGTCGATTCTCTTCCGCTATATTTTCCCAAATCAAAATAAACAATTGGTAATGCAAAAAGACGGCGCAACGATGCAGAAGTGAAAGAATGCTGGTGCTAGAGCTTCCGACATATGTCCAGAAATACAAAACCTGCGACGTGAATATACAATTGCACTCAACGCGCTGCTCCGCGTCGAAGACGGAACTATGCATGGCGTTGAAGCTGCTTATCGTCAGCTGATAAGCCGTAAGATCGTAATTCCGCTCCGGTGTTCTTGTGCCCCTCTCTTTCATACTCAACGACAACTCTGCGGCAGCAACATGAACCCTTGAAAAAAGTACTCGGAACTCGGAAAAGCAATTCCTCTCGCCTTTCTAAATGCTTTTATTTTCCAGCAAACAATTGTTCACTTACCCGTTTGATGCAATTAAGCGACTTGTTCTCTGTTGTCGGCTAAAACCTCTTCTAAAACCAGGTCCTCAACTTGCACCTTGGTTATAGTGCCTCGCATTAAAGGTCTTGTCGAAAAATCGATTTCGTGAAAACCAGAAAGTAAGTAATTATAAATAAGGCGAATGAATAAAAGATATAAACTACTCTTATCTCCTCTAATTTAACAACAAAAGGCTCTTATTTAATTATTTTCGGGGATTATTCAAGGTCTAAGTCTAGACGACTATCCTATCAAGTGCAATTCCGAACACCTGTAAAGCAGAATACTGTACCGTACACGAGGAGTACACCCAATCTTTTAACAAGTATCGACCCTTGACAATTCGCTCATTTTTGGGCGGTGCTTTCCGCACTTGATGGGATATTTATATTCTATTACTACTAAAGTCAAAGGTCGTATGTAGGCACTACATCCATCGACATCACATTCCTTCTGTCTTCCTATCCCTCGGGTCGAGTCTCCTACACTCTACCTAATACATCCCTAACTTTCTAGATATCCACTCATGGAAAAGAAGCACCTATAAGCAACCCCAAATCAATCGTTCATTTGCAAGGATTTCCGGGACTTTCAAACTCATTTAGATTACTGAATTAGCAAGCATCTCACGAAACAACAAACCCCAAGTACAAATAAAAAACAAAAAGACAGAATATTTTCTATACAAATGAATTAAAAAGGAAGCGCCTGAATCAACATCTTAACGTCGTATTCAAACTCCACTATAAATTCACATCTTTGAACCCTCACCTGGAGTCGTTTTACTTGCTTGTAGAATTAGAGATACGGTGGTAGCGATTTCTGATGGCCCCTTTAGCTTAGCGTCCGGCATTTTAAAAAACCTCTATATGTAGAATAGTCCGGGGAGGATTTCATCATGACAGCTTTGACATCCTCCAAGAATGTTTCCTCTAGCCCTTTCCCAAGGAGTTGCGAATCAGATCTGAGCTGCAGAACCGCAATCACAAGAAACCAAGCGGGATTCCAAAACAAAATCCATCATAGATCATAACATTCTAAACAAACAACTGGGTATCATAACACTCCCGCCCTCTCCCTTCCCCCTCTCACAACCATCACATCTAACCCATCCTATCATCCCACACCAACTCCACATCCCACGCCCGTTCCCCCCTCCAAACCCTCCCCGCATCATTAACCCCCGCAACCGCCCCCCTCAAATCCCTCCCCATGCCCGCCGGTCCCGACGCCACAACCCTCGTCCTCAACTCCCTCCTCGCCCTACCCTCCAAGAACGAACGCACGATACTGTCAAGCGACGGATGGACGGACTCCATATACGTCTCTGTGTAGCTCGTCGCGATCGAGGAGGAAGAACAGCATGATTTCGCGACGGGAGTGATATCTTCCTCCGTTTTGATGGGCACGTTTTTGAGAGACGCGGGGGCGGAGGAGGAAGATGAGGATTCTTGCGTGATGTAGACGTGGATGCGTAGATCTACGTTCTCGTCTTTCGCGCGTTTCTTGAGCTCGGAGAGTTCGGCGGCTATCCAGGCTAGATTCGCAGCGCGACGAACGATCCAGATGAAATCGACGGGGACGGAGGTGAATGCTTTTGAAGCGGTGGCGGCTAGCACGAGTGGGAGGGTGAGGGAGATACCGGTGCCGCCTGCGATGGCGAGGAGGTTTGAGGGCTCGATGCCGGTGTTGGGGTGGGATGGGAGGAGGGGGGTGCCGTAGGGGCCGGTGAGGATTACGGGGGTGGTGGTGGAAGGTATCGGTGTTGAGCCTGAGGAGGGGAGGGTGGTGAGTTGGCCTAGGGCGAGGGATTTGAGACGGCGGGTTTCTCCTGCGCGACAGCGGACTATGTAGGTGTGCTGAGGAAGAGCAGGATGCGGTGCTGGAACCGAAGCCACGGTCAAGGGGTGGGATTGCCAGATTGTGAGGGCCGGGAAGGTGAGGAAGAAGTGTTGACCTACGTGCCATGCTTCGTGGTTGTGCGTGAATTCTAGCCGTACGACACCACCGTCTACATCGTCGAAGTATTCTACAGAGGATTGAGCGTTGTGGAAGCCGAAATCCGCGGTTCCCTTGACGTAGCCTACGTGGATGAGAAGAGTGCGAAGGAATCGAACTCCTCGATCGAGGCCCCAGATTCCGAGGGAGGCAATCATCCAGCATGCTAGTTGCGCCCAGTGGCCCCAGCAGGCGCCGATGTATAGCATGGCGAGGATGTAATGGGATTTGCGGAAGAATTCGTGGCCGGTGATTTTGATGACGCGTTGGAAGCTCAGGAAGAAGAGGAGGCTGAGAAGGCCCATGGCGATACAACCCCAGACCATGTATTTCTGTTTGATGAAGTCGCGGTAGACTTTTGGTTGGGGTTGGTAGTAGAGGCCTTCGATTAGGGTCCAGCCGAAGGTGTGCAGGACGGCCTGGATGTAGATGATTCGGCCGGTCCAGCGGTGGAGGAAGTTGAGGGATTGATAAGGGATTCCGGTTATGAGTGTCAAGATTGATTCTCGGGTTGAGAGAGCGACGGTGAGAGGTGTGAGAGCGTATGCTAGGACGCCTACTCTGTCAGAGAATCCTCCAACTCCAGTCCGTTTGTTTGTCAATGTTGAGCCTTTAATGGGGGTGATCCAGGTTTTGTATACGATTCCTACCAATCTGAAAGGGTTAGTCCGGGCGATACTTAGATATTGATTGTCACTTACGAGAATGCCAATAGATATGCCAACAAAATGGCCAACACCACAAGTTGCACTCGACTAACATGACCAAAGAATCCTACAAAGCTTTCTGGGAGTAGCCATTTTCTTAACGACGCCTGGATAGCCCCCCATCCTCGAGTATAGGCATTTGCCGGTGATTGTGTCTCATTCTTTTCGGTAATTGGCGCGTAGAAATTCCGAGTTGGTTTTGGTTTGAGTGTTCGAAGTGTGACGATGACAAGTAAGATTCCACCTATGACTGCCCATAATATGAACGAATAGAGCATGGAAGTATCATGCATCCAGTAAACAGCGCGGAGGTATTCGCATGATCCGGCGTCTTTGGTACATGGTAAGATTTGAGGAACATATCCCCACTATGCATGTATTAGCAGAAATTCAGCAAGTAATAACTTTTGTAGATACTTGTATTTGCAAAATAATCATATAACATCAAGAAATTTAAAACAAAAGATTGAACAAACTCACATGATAAACCTCCCTCGAGGTATTAGTATGTTCCTGAATGTGCGCCCTCTTCAACAAATCCATCTTCAAAAATATCCCAATTCAATACCTTCGAAACTCAACATCACAATCCAGCAGAGCCGTACACAATCCTATATATCCCATCTTCAATCTAGGCCCATAACATTGAGCACATTTCCCCACATGGTCGCAAGATCCAGAATGTAGTGTTGATCATCCTCCGCACCACTCACAACCACGCAAAATGGACGGGTGGAGTACAGCCAAGCACCCATTCCCACAGTTTAAAGGACCGGCGTTTCTGGAAATCTGCTCAATTGAGCGCAGGTTTTTGCCGAGTTGCGAGGATGAGATAGATGATGGTGGATTGCATAGATCATGGTGGAGGAATTATTGGTCTCGAGGCGACGCCCGGGATTTATTACGAAGGCGTTTTTAATGTTGTGCGTTTGCTGGGATTGAGAGGTGGTTTAACCAATAAATTTTCGCGTATTTTGAATTTCGTCGTGTCGTCAAAGTGGACGTCATGAGGAAGCGATGAAAAAACGTGACTTGTTACGCGTGCTACAGAGAAGTAAGTTTGACAGCTTTCCAAGTTCATTCTAGAAACTTGACTTAGCAGCTCAACAAGCTAGTTCCTTATCAATAGACATGCAGATGAATAGCTCAAACATGCTCAACTGATTTAATCTCCTAGGGCTTGGATCATTGAATTCGGTATGAGAATTTTGGTCTAGGTTGAAAGTACCATGCTTATCAGCGATTTTTGTTTGGGCAGTCAAATGAATGCTGAGATACCAGAGATTTCCTTTGTAAAGTCTCACAACTGTTCGAATGAATAGTGTCAATTTTCAGGCTGTTCCCACGATTGCTTTTCTTGCAGATTGTCATAGATGCTATGAATTAGGCCTTCGTGGTCGTTTTTATGTTGCAACGTATGAAACAAGGCGGTTTATTACGATTCTAGTTGTTTTCAACATTCGCATATCGTTTACTTAAAAATAAATATAATAGAAGAGGGGTAAAATTGAAATGTCTCGTAAAGAATAAGAACTTCTTATACGCATAAATCAAGTCTCCTTCAAAACGGAATGTGAAAAATAGTAAAAAGCAGCATCCGAAACTCTGTCATGATTTTAAATGAACATTCGAACCGCGTATATCTTAAAACTCCCGATTCGATTTCATGCACTAAAACAGTATCCATGGCATATCTGCATTTCCTTTTAAGTCTTGTACTCTCTAGAAAATAGTTTGCCTGTGACGATGAAATAACATACCTTCAGATTTAAATGCTTCACTATTCTCTAAATGCTGAATTTCGTGATTCGCAATGTACTTCCACATCCCACGAAAATTATTCACAGTTTTATTCGATTTACAGGTTCACATTCAACAAACCAATACTGTAGAATCGTTTAACACTACAACCGTAGAATCTCTAGCTGCTGCGCTGAATTGAACCGTCGGAATTCAGACCCATCTAATCCGTCACATCAAAATGTCCTTATCAACCAGTCGTGCTGACCAAGCTACAATCAATGCTTTCAGCTCGTGGCTGTATGTAGATGAGGTTGTAAAGTTCATGCTGGGCTTTTAAGAGGATTTGATAAATTTTGACGGCTAATCTTTTACCCAACCGATTACCCAAGTCTCCCCTTACAGCTAAAAAATACACACAACTCCCACCCTCATTCCACTCATTCATCCCCACGAATCCCACAGTCCAAAAAGCATTTATCGCGACTAACTCCCCAACACCTCTTTTCCCCACCATCACCAGATTCCACGCCTCCGATCGTTGTGCGACGAATGTAAGGACGAGAATCCCACACAATGCAAGGCAGGCATCTGTCGCTCATTCCCGCGCGCCCGGTTATTGACTACGCGCCTTGTTTTTTCCCACCTTCCTTCAGCGTTCAAAATTCAAATACTGCAGGCTCCTGGATTAGTCATGGAAGAGTGCTAGATGAGGGTGGAAGAGAGAAGGAGTGGGTAAAGTGATGTGGAGTGTAGTTATGTGGATTTAGTAGGAAGGATGTTTGTGAAGCTAAGTTTCTAACGGCTACAAGCGGATTGATAAAGAAGGAGCTACAAAATATATTTTATCTTGCAACATCAACATCAAAGCGTAAAATTAATTCCGCGCCCCTCCCCCAGTCTTCCAACCCACCTACCAAGCCCACCTCTCCCCCCATCCCCTCCTCACAAAATATTTCCTCCCCTCATCCAGCAAAAGAATCCCCATCCCAAAAGCAACCGGCAAAAACCAGTACTCAACACCCACACTGCTTGTGCCTAGGGTGCTCTGCAATTTCGGGATATACAGCCAGAAAAACGCCATGGCGAGGGAGAACAGGATCGCGGGGAAGATATACAGGTTTTGCGTGGCTTTGTTGAAGATGGGTGGGTGGGAAAACAATGAGAGGCGGCGGGTGCGGAGGGTTAGGAGGGTGAAATATTGCCTGAAAATGCATTAGTAAAATGGTATGGGGAAAGGAAGGAGGGAGGGAGAGGGGAGGGAGAGAGACTTACATGACAACGAGATTGACGAAATAAACACTACTAGCCTCGACCAACTTCTGATTCACGAAATCCTGATCCACGCCCTCGGGTAACTCGCCGTATTTGAACCAGAACATCCCGAACGGCAGCCCATTCCGCTGGAGATACCAGAACGCCATCGCGAACGAAGAAACCGTTTCCAGCACCCCGATGAAGCCGTAGGATTGCAGGATGAGCTGCCAGGACACGAGACGATCCGTGCCTGGGCGTCGGGGCCGACGAAGCAGGACGTCTGCTTCGGGGGTTTCGTAGGCAAGAACAGTAGCAGCAGCACAATCCGTAAAACAGCAAATAATAATCATCAAAAAACTCGACAGCACCTGCGGAATCCCAAAAATCACATTCGTCATCACAGGCCAGAACTCCGAGAACGAGCCGGCGGGGAGGAGATACGCGATCGTCTTCTTCAGGTTATCAAACACCACACGACCGTATTGCACGGCTTCGACGATGGCGGAGAAGGACTCGAGGAGGACCATGTCAGCGGCTTCGATGGCGATGTCGGAACCGCTGCCGAGGGCGATGCCGATGTCTGCTGCTTTGAGGGAGGGAGCGTCGTTTACGCCGTCGCCGGTCATGCCGACGATTTCGGAGCGGGATTGGAATTCGCGGACGATGCGGAGCTTTTGTTCGGGGGTGGTGCGGGCGAAGACTATTTCGGTGTAGGTGCAGAGTTGGTCCCATTGGTTTTCGTTTACTGGATGTGTTAGCCGTGTTGCATTTTGCGAGTAGAAGACTTACGGGTGATCATTTCTGGTCCGCTGATGACAATTGATGTTTGTGTTTCGTGGTCGATTTCTGAGGTTTCTTTCTCATTTCCCGACTCGGATGTTGGTACTGCGTAGTCTCTAGAGAGAGCTGAGATGTTTTTGACCATATGGGGAGGATTTGTAACGATCCCACATTCTGCGGCGATGGCTTGTGCAGTGAGCGCAAAGTCTCCAGTGACCTGAATTTTGTTAGATCGCATTTTTAATAGTATGTTAGGTACGTACCATGAAAATCCTAATTCCAGCTCTTCTCAAAATCTTCACCACAGAGGGAATCTCATCTCTGGGAGGATCAACAATACCAACGATACCGACAAAGGTGAGACCAGATCTAGCATGATGCATGACTTCGTCCTCGTAGCGAGCGGATGTCGGAGATTCTCGCATCTCTTCTCGGCAAATGGTCTTTCTTGCCAAAAGAATGACACGCTTTCCTTCGGAGGACCATTTATCCTTGATGTTCTCTATTTCTCTGAGCGTGTTCTCATCAAGTGGTTTAGCATCTCCGTCTGGCGTGATAAATTTTGTACAACGAGTGATAAGAACATCGGGTGCTCCTTTGATCGTCAGAAGGCTATAAAGTCAGTAAGAAATCTTAGACGGGATGTTCGAGAACTTACGTATCAATTGCCCGAAAGGTTGCAGCTTCAGTAGTGTGCAAAGCCACCTCCAGTCCTTTCTCTTCTGCCAACTCCAACGTTCGGATCATGTATTTGTTCTTGCTGTTAAAAGCCAACTCGAATGTTTTCTTCCACATTTGACGAAGTTCTGTGACTGGACCCAGAGATTCAGAAAATCTTAGAACCGCTTGATCTGTGGCGTCACCATTGATCTTTCTTTCGTGGAGAGGTAATTTATATGTCGATGCATCAAACTCTCCCGAGTTACACAAGCCAGCGATGAGGCGCAATTGATCAACCGCGTTGAAGCCTTTCCCTTCATTACGGCGTTGCATCATTTCATCTCGAGTAGCTTGAGGATCCATATTCTGCAGACCGATTGAACATTCGGTGACACACATTTTGTTCTAAACAATTTAGTAAGTGTGGCATAAGACGAGGTATTCAGACGTACTTTGGTCAGTGTTCCCGTTTTATCAGAGCAAATGACACTGACGGACCCGAGAGTCTCGACGGTTTTGAGTGACTTGCAAAGGATTTTATTCTTGCGCATAATATTTGCAGTGATCGTTAACGATGCAGTCAAAGCGATTGGCAGACCTTCAGGAATGAATGCGATAGCGACTGAAACACAATCGACAATCAGTAGAGGTACATTAATCCAGCCTGGATGGAATTTCCGAAGATATGCGGCCCTGTAACAATTAGAGTTGAGCCTGAAAAGGTCTAAAATACAGCTTACCAGACAATAATGACTATTAATATCATGCTGAACATGATAGAACAAATGATAAAAACAAAGTTCACAACTTCCTTCTCAAGAGGCGTCATGCCAGTTTTGGGAGCGTTAGTTAACTTGGCGATTCTACCAAACACGGTTGAATCTCCAGTAGATACCACGACACCGACTGCCGACCCAGAAATACAATGTGTACCTTGCATACCAATACATTTTGTTTCAAGATAATTCTCATCAGAGCTTTCTACTGTACCTGGGAGAGGAAACGATTCGCCTAGAGAGAATTAGTGATGAATAAAACCGAAATGGAGTGAGCTGACCAGTGAGGATTGATCTGTCAAATTTGGCGTCTGACGAAACTTCCACAAAACGAACATCTGCCGGAAGCTTGTTGCCAGACTTGATGAAGAGAATGTCGCCCGGCACGATGTCGCTCGCGATAACGGTAACTTGTGTGCCATCTCTGAGCATCAAACAGTCATCTGGAAGCATAGTTGAGATTGAAGCCATGACCCTGGATGAAGACCAATCTTGCCAGGCGTTAAAGGCAGCTTGAATGAAGAAGACGGCTAGAAGAACAATGGCCAATGCGAGATTTGCAACCGCTGGGGGGTCCCCAAGAGGTTTCCATGATACAAAGACCAAGATGGATCCAACTAGTAAGATAGATCCAAACCCTCTGAAGAAATAGCCAAATATTTGTTTGAATCGATGGGTTGGTGGTGGTGAAGGTGTGTTCTTGCCATACTCTGTGAGACGTCGCTTAGCTTGTTCTGACGACAGCCCTTGGTTTGAAGAACTCGAAAGTCGTGTATATATTTCGTTCGTGGATATTATGTGCCAATCCAAGTTTCCGAGTTCTGCAGCCTGTTAATATGAGACCCAAATGACTGTGGGAGAAGTGACCTTTAGCTGCAGAATCCTTTGCCTTCTTGGCTTCAGCAACATCTTTCTCTTTCGATTCGTCAATTTGAAAAGAGATGGTCCTGTATTGAATCGGAAGTGCGCTTGCTGGATCTATTGAACCTCTTCTGCTGTGCATGCTGTGAATTGAGATGTTCGAATTCGTACGTTGAAGAGGATCAGGCGTGGCTTGAGGCCGGTCGCCAGCTGCTTCAAGATCGACATCCGTCCATTGTATTCGCGAACGCGGCTGCTTCTCACCCGCAAATTCAACCATGGTGGAATATAAAAATTTCGCAGTAAAATTGAGAGGAGAAGGTGTAACAAGATATGGCGGCTCAAGTGTGTAAAGGATTTGACTGAACTTTGTACGACCAGTAAAAAGGCCCACAGAACAGCAGGTATCTCTTCAGAACGGCGTATTCGAGATCTCGAGTAAGAAGCAGGATGCGATGAGATGCAACGTTGGATCGAAGGTCTTATACAAAACCTTCTGTTCCTTGAAAGGCTATCATCAACCAGTCACCGAACCGCGGCCAAAGTCACCATCGCCATTAAAAAACTAGTGGTCCTGCCAGTCCAAGGCAATGCATATGTTAGGAGATCGATCGTAATCATTACCTACTGGAGCGAAGTTATGAAGAAATCCCTCACATAAACTTCGTACCTGAATATGTGATGGAGGCTATGCAATCGGGCAAGGGGTTGTCTAGCGCTTAAGCGAGTATTGATAAAGGCGAGTCTGTGGAGAAGCAGGGAAACCATAGGTAAAATTGCACTTGCAAATTAAACATCAGTTCTCTGGGACAATCCGTGCGTTAATGTGACATTGAGGGTTGGGGTAGCTCAGCTCGAGCTTCCTAGTTGTTCTTTCAACCAGTTTTTGTGCGTAAATCCAATCGCAAAGCGGTATTGAAACATAGCAAGTAAAAGGCAGTCACTTAACTTTCGGTAGAAAACTTCCCCAGTAAGCAGTAGAAAAGGCCCTCCGACCGTACTTAGAGCAAGACATTGCGACGTCAAATCAAGAAAATGAAAAAGGAGGTTAGTGGACGTGTGGCTGGTCTCGCTTGTGGCAGATGTTGACGGCGCATATTACAATGCTTGTTGCATTCAAGACCACGTTCCTCTCGCAGAACACGGTCCGCAGACTGAATGTACTGGCTGAGCCTGCCATGGTTATTGTGGGGGAGACGGAAACAATTTCATAATATTGACGTTGATATTGGCTACCGCAGCAGTCCGTTTACTGGCGGCTATCAAAATATGGTTGTCAGCGTTTCTGCGGTGTGGTAAAATCGCGCATTTCGCCAAGCTAGAGCAAATACGGTTGTTGCCCGGATCTATCCAGATTTAGCTTTTATACCGTTATATACGTTTGACATGTCGGTGATAGAAATCCCTCATATGTTTGATATGGAATATATGGGAATGGTAGCTGAAAAAGCAGGTGTATCAGAGGTAATAAATGATGATGTCGGGCAACTTACTAATTTCTACTTGCCGCTTCCAACGCTCATTTGCGATCAATAGCTGGATAGGTTGCTCTAACGTAACAGAATAACGGCTGGAAGAATTGTTCTTCTATGACCCATCTTGATAGAAAGCGTCCCTATGAAGTCCTGGCTACGTTGGTGCATTGGGACGAACGCGCATGGTGAGTAAAAATCTTGATGCAAATATCGGAGTGAAAGGAATCCAAATTTTTGGTACACCAGAATCCGTTCTCGATATAAGTTCCCATGATTTGGAAGATCTCACTTAAACGTGTCAATAGACGGTCTGAAGCTGCTCTAAGATTTGAAAGACTGAAATGCGTGTCGTCGACTCTTGTCCTTGCGGCGCTCGGGAAGCTCAAACATGTTTAGAGCTTTGGTCGTTGGCAAGTCTGAGCTTTCTGCACAAAATTGAGGGATTGAAGCGCACGGACAATACCCATGCAGTGCTGGTGCACGTATTCTGCACGTGCATTCCTCCTTGTCGTTCAATACATATTATTTCTAAATTATTCTTGAATATTTCTCAAAGTTGAGTGCACCCATACCAGGCTCATCTATTAGTACAAGCGCCGTCTAACTTAGATCCAAACAAGCTACGCTGAAAAAGATTTCGCGGCTAGACTGTTTCTAGTAACCCACGTGATGAGCTAATAATATCAGTTCCTCTTAATTTCAACTTCTCTTTACACAAAGTTTCGCGACTCACTTATAAAATTTCCTCACATATTTTCCAATTGTATAATCCCGTCCCCCTGTCACATTCGACAAAATGTCTTCCGGTATCTCGAAGAGCAAACATACTGCCCCTAGTACCAAAGACGACGAACCACCTGTGGTATCGCTTGATTCACCTTTCCTCGCCCTCGCCGAACGAGGTTACCGGTATCAAAAACACACAATCTCCATACCCGACCGATACGGCTTCTTTTCAGCTGGCCCTCCCAACGAACAAGTACGCCAGGGTATCTTATTCGTTCTGTTGTTCATTACGGTTCTGCTCCAGATTGGCCTTGGAGCGTCGGTCGCTATTGTCAACGCGCGCAGATCAGATACGAGGCCTTTTTGGCCACTACCCGTGGTGTGTTCCTTACTGGATGGTGGTCTTGTGGCACTTATTTGGATTTCTGAGTGTGGTAAGAGAGGTCGAGAGAATGATTGTGATTTGAAAGACGGGGAAAAGACGAATTAGGTTTGGGCCATCAATATGTTATTGGCTCTGTCGGTATCAGGATCCGCTGCGGTTTGCAAAAGAGGTTGTGGTATAAGCTGCATCGAGAGGCAGCCAGTGGACCATGGGGTTCTCTTCGCATACGACGAATGTGGACGATCATGGCAGGCTGAGAACCCAAACTACTCTCATGACCACTGTTCGTCGAGTCTCGTTATCCGTACGAGTATTTAGTCGATGTTCTTCACTAGAAATCAGCGAGTAGTACTCGCTGCTCATCCCATAACATATCAGTATCGTTCAATCAAGTGTTTGTGGATCAATCAGAACGTAGCACGAGAGCAACTGGATGCTGATCTGACATCCAACTACAAACCCTGGTTCATCATTCATGGCATCAGCTGCTGCTCAAGATGTGTAGGTCTACTCCGATAAACTTTTTTAAAGCTGTAGAATGCCAATTCTTGCATAGCTGCAAATGACATCCATCCTGTTCGAAGTTACGCTATCTACTCGATATTGTCATCTCTTCGGTATCGCCTGAATTTCAATTCTATGTATTACTTCGACATCAGGACGCTTCATGACCTCCACATGCGAAGTTTATTTCCTCACGCCATGCGCATAAACGGCGATCTGGTACTGAGGCTCGCGACAATCGCTGAACCTAGAAGTTGCGACAAAACCTACCACAGTCATCTTTCTCATGAAGGGCCAGATTTTTGTCAAATTTTGAATATTTTTGGTCCACGTCATCTTTGCATGAGGGTTAACACTCGTCAATCGCGGTGTATATGGGAACAAGGCTCTGCTCTCCTGATAGTGCTTACTAGATGATAGAGCCCATGCTCTTCAAGACATAGCTCTAGGAAAAAGGTCTTGAGAAGGGACTTCGACCGTGGAGGCTGGAGAAATGAATCCTAGAGAGTGAGCACACATGGGCTTGTTCGATTTTCTAGAGTCTTGACATATGGCCAACATGGTGGGAAGCTTGGTCTGGGAGCAGCAATATGTGGTACATCTGGGTCAAGGGAACATCTCCAACACTCGCGTTGAAGAGGTGAATCAATTTAAACAGGGTTGGATAAATGGAGGCAGAAGTAAGGATTTGGGAAGAGGTGATGTAGTTGTTAATGAGACGACTGGGATGGTTTAGGATATTCAAAATAGGACCGTCTAGGGAACGTCCAAAGGAACTGCATATGGGAACTTGGTTGTAAATATTGCATCGGTGTATCCGAATCGGAAGAAGAAGGTCAATGGATAGTCTGCAGTGTTCGTTGATATGCTAGAAACAAATTAATAGGGAGTCTAGATGTACGACTCGTCCTTCCTGAGAATTCCCTACCTACCTAGGTACTTTGTTGTCATTATGACTTCAGAGCCCAAGCAAAATATTTTGTAGATCAAACCACGCTAGCTCCAAGTTCGATCATCTCTCCCTATCGCTAACAAATAGTAAATTGAAAAGTTGTTTGTCACTGTCGTGTTCCTCGCCCACGAGAGTAGGTGGTACAACCGGCCGAGTACGAACTGCGTCAGCAACAAGCCTCGAAGATATGACCATGACCAACCCACAAAGCAACTGCAGAAAGAACTGATCCAATCCCTCAAATCCAACACGAACATTGGATCCAACAAAACTCAACCCGCAGTACCAAACCCAAAAAATCTGCAGTCCAACCCCTCCGACCAATCACACGCCCCGAATCTCCCTCGTCAGCTCCGATACTGACCCAAAATTTCTATACAGGTCATATTCGTGCGCCTTGTGTCCCCAACCAACCACCGACAACACCAGCAATTGAATCTCACCACTGTTGGTTGGCAGCGTGGTTATGGGTGTTTGGATGTTGTAAATAGAGACGAATTCCCTTCGAAACTTGTGTGCGGCAAATTCGCCTCTTCTTTATCTCCGGGCAAGCTTACCTGCACGACCTTCGACTCGACTTCTAAGAATTTGGAGATATGTTTGCCGCGAGTATGCCCAGTGCTTCAGCGATGAGGGTGGTTAGGAATGTGCCAGCAGCAGTACGACGAGTGTCAGCGAATCAAACGGCGGTTCGAAGTATATCATCACGGTCCTCGATCCATACCTCACAATCGGCCTCGAGCGGTAGGAGTGCGTTCAGGAATTCATGGCAGAGCCGCGCGGTGGTGCCAGTAGGCAGTCGAGGGTTCTCTGCTACGAAAGCCGTGAAACATGAGCATGTCAAGCCGCCGGCGCCGGGGAAAGAGTAGGTTTGCAACGCAATGGAGTTGATAGGGCTGATGAAGATAGGATCTATATCACGTTCGTCGACAAGGACGGTATGGAACATAAGATTGCTACCGCAGCAGGTGATAACCTTCTCTCCGTCGCGCAGACACACGATATCGAAATGGAAGGTACCTTAACCCCCCTCTTCCCTTTTCCTCGGCGAGACTGACAAGCTCCAGGTGCATGCGAAGGTTCCTGTGCCTGTTCAACCTGCCATATTATCATCGAGAGCGAGGAGATGTATGAGAAGTTGCCCGAGGCGTCGGATGACGAGAATGATATGCTGGATCTGGCGTTTGGGCTGACGGAGACGTCGCGGTTGGGCTGTCAGTGTGAGGTTAAGGAGGAGCTTAATGGGATGAGAGTCAGACTGCCGAATGCGACGAGGAATATGCAGGCTAGTAATTTTACTTCGAAATAAGGTGGTGAAAAGATGGAAGGGTTACGAGGCATTGGGTGGGATAATGAAGCATTCAAGGCGTCTTTTATGGGCGGGATTTTGAAAGAATTGCTTGATAGAGGCCCAGGTTTCAAGCGGGTATCTCTTGATATCTATGTATGTAATATTTCCTGGCGTTAGGTTTTACCAGAAACCGCTCGAATATGCGGGAAAACAGCGCTGCCATACCTAGGACAGCAATTTTACACTCCTCAACTCCATCCCAATTACCTTCCAAACAATCACGCCTCTTCCACACTCCCAGCCTTCAACCCTCCCCCACCCCCAGCAATCAAATCCAAAAACCCCTTCTTACTCATCTCATTAACCTTCTCCTCCCTCCTCCCCACCCCCACAACGCCCCTTCACTCTCGCCTCCCTCGCCGCCTCCTCCCCCTTCACCTGCGCAGCCCTCACCGCATTAAACAGCTTCACCACACCCCTCTGCGCCGTCTTCCTCAGTCGTTTCTCCATCTCCATAACCTCCTGTACACTCGACTGTCCTAGATCCGCCGTCCCGTTCGCGGCATCAAACGCTGTGCTCGCACCTAATACATCCTTCACACGCCCTTTCTCTAACGCCGCCCGCTTGTCGTCTTTCATCTTGTTCTTCGCTTTCTTCTCGAGCGCTTGATCTGTGATTTCTTTGCTCGTCTCAATGGCCGCCTGAGAGCGTGAGAGGACTGGATCGGCGCGTTTGCTTGTGGCGAGCTTCGCGCCGAGGATTTTCGACATCGAAGTCGCGAATGCTTCGGGGTCGTTGCGCTTGCGTTTGCGTGTTAAATTCGGGTTTGAGTTATCTGATGCTGCGGAGTCTGAATCGGAATTTGAGGCGTCTGTGATTTCCTCTTCGGCCAATTGTTCGACGATGGGTTCGTCATCTTGATCTGATACTTCGCCCGTGATGAGATCTTCTTTGTCGAGGCCCTCGTCGTCGGAATCTTGCAGGTTGACGGCTTGGAAATCTGCTTGTGGTGTTGATGGTGATACTTCGTCTTCGGAGTCGCTGCTGTGGTAATCGGTTTGTTTCTTAAATTTCTTAGTCGGACGTTTGGTTTTTCCCTTCATTCCATCTTCCACCTTGCGCTTTTTTGAGTATCCGCCGGCCATTTTGAGTGTTGTGTTGTTGTATATGTTCTAGACTGATCCTGCAATCGAAGCTTATCAGTCGCAAAAAAAATGTATGGGGAGGTTAAACGTCGGGTAAATATTGCGTCCAAGCTAACCCCGCCATCTGCACGACGCCTCTTCCCTCCCACACTGAATTTGAGCCTCACGACTTCAACGACAGCAATACAGATTTAACGACATCATGGTTCTTCAAGACCTCGGACGGCGCATAAATGCCGCTGTCAGCGATCTCACGAGGTCTAGCAACCTTGATGAAAAGGTGAGAATACATAGAATGCGACGGAATAAGATGCTAACACATTGTAGGCATTCGATGGTATGATCAAGGAGATCTGTTCCGCCCTTCTCGAAGCCGATGTAAACGTCAAACTCGTCGGAAACCTACGGAAATCAATCAAGTCGTCTGTAAATTTCAAAGAGCTCGCGCCAAGCGTAAACAAGAAACGATTAATCCAGAAAACCGTCTACGATGAACTCGTCAAACTGGTCGATCCCCATGCGGAACCGTTCAAACCGAAAAAGGGAAAGCCGAATGTTATCATGTTCGTTGGACTGCAGGGAGCGGGAAAGACTACGACGTGTACGAAGTTGGCGAGACATTATCAGTCGAGAGGATTCAAGGCTTGTATGGTTTGCGCGGATACCTTCCGTGCGGGAGCGTTTGATCAGTTGAAGCAGAATGCGACGAAGGCCAAGATCCCGTATTATGGATCTTTAACTCAGACTGACCCTGCAGTTGTTGCGAGGGAGGGTGTGGAGAAATTCAAGAAGGAGAAATTCGATATCATTATTGTGGATACTTCTGGACGACATCGACAGGAAGATGCGCTGTTCCAGGAGATGGTGGATATTCAGAATGCCGTCAAGCCTGATCAGACGATCATGGTACTTGATGCTAGTATTGGTCAACAAGCCGAGGCGCAGAGTAAAGCTTTCAAGGAGACTGCTGATTTTGGTGCTATCATTATTACCAAGACCGATGGTCATGCTAGTGGCGGTGGTGCCATTTCTGCCGTTGCAGCGACACATACACCAATTGTCTTTATCGGCACTGGAGAACATATGCTAGATTTGGAAAAGTTCGCGCCTCAGCAGTTCATTTCAAAACTTCTTGGTATGGGTGATATGCAAGGATTAGTAGAACACGTGCAATCATTGAAGCTGGACCAGAAAGACACCATGAAGCACATCGTCGAGGGAGTCTTCACCGTCCGCGATCTTCGAGACCAACTATCCAACATCATGAAAATGGGACCCCTCTCCAAAATGGCCGGTATGATCCCCGGCATGAGCGGCATGATGCAAGGCATGGACGACGAAGAAGGTTCTCTCAAACTCAAACGCATGATATACATCTGCGACTCCATGACCGCCAAAGAACTCGACAGCGACGGCAAGATGTTTATCGAGCAACCAACCCGCATGACCCGTATTGCCTGCGGCTCTGGAACCAGCGTCCGCGAAGTTGAGGACCTCCTCACCCAACACAAGATGATGGCTGGCATGGCGAAGAAGATGGGCGGCAATATGAAGAATATGCAGAAAGCGCAGGGCGCGATGAGCGGTGCTAACAAACAGCAGCAGATGGCCGCGATGCAGAAAAGGTTGGCTAGTATGGGTGGTGGTGCTGGGGGTGGAGGCGGTGGGATGCCGGATATGGGGTCGTTGATGAAGATGTTTGGCGGTGGGGGCGCTGGTGGGGGGATGCCGGGCATGCCGGGCGGGATGGATATGGCGGCTATGATGAAGCAGATGGGTGGGATGATGGGGGGTGCTGGTGGTGGTGGTGGAAGGGGGGCCGGGAGAGGGAAGAGGTAGGAGGTCAAAAGTTAAGCATGTTGGGGCGAGGGTATCTAGAGTGGATTTGAGTATGTATGCATCGAGCGCGGCGTTTGGGGTTGGGGTTGATAGGTTTATGTGTATTTGGGGATAAGAGGTGGATTTTGTTAGGATGGAATTATACAAAAGATCTTACCTATTAAGCCGCCTTCATTATTACGCGTAGTTCAGAAGTGGAATCGAGTTTGCTCGAACCACCCTTCCCCTTTGAACTTCCCATCACCAAGAGGCTAGAGCTCATGGTTTCATGTCTCTCCATTTTACGTCGGATGTGGAATTCGGCCGTGGATAGTGGATAAGGAGGGTTTTTGTTGTATGTCGCTGGGTTTGGTGAATATGCTGACTTTTGGTTTTTGCGTGGCTTGTAGAGGATTTTGCGCTTACAGAAGTGAGTTACACGGTTATTCGGTTGTTGCAGGAGTTTTCGGTTATTCGATTTGCGAGCACGGCGCCGGTAAGGGGTGTCGGGGAGGAGAGGTTTGCGGTTAGCTTCGTGATTTCGAGTGCAGATGGATGTGTTGTTGAAATTGAGAGATGATTGTAGAATAGTTGTTCTGATTCAAAAAATGAATAGTATATCTGTGAAGAGATCTCGGTCACTTCATGAAAATCATAGATGGAACTGCGCAGGCTTTAGGGACCGCCAAATATTACCATGATCTCGGATTCGAGATGCTTAGGATTTAAAATCAGCCCAAGTAGTAGTTTGCTACGGAACAGCTCTTAGCCCTTTGTAAACTTCGAAACTCGACAACCTACTGACGTTCCGGAGCCTGTCTACTCACCCACTTCTTTTCAACTAGTCTTGGTAAAGTAACCTCAACAATGCTCAATATAAAATACACGGCTGATTTGTTGTCGCAGTTGCTTCACGACTGGGTTAATTTTGGCCTTTTCGTTGCGCATTACACCAACAATGTAGCACACAATATATTTCCTCGATTGTGTCACTTCATACTTCCTCAATTTACAAGATATACAACCTATGCTTTTTTCTTCCTTCTGCCCTTTTTCAAGAAGATGAATGGTGAATCATGAGGGACGAGAGGTTGGTTTGTTGCATGTCGCCCGTTTAGTTTCCTGCATGAGTTGAGTGGTGAATTGATTCCCTTTGATAGTGTCTTTGGTCAGAGGCTGGATGGGTGGAGAATGTTTTGATGATCAAAGGTCTCGTTTCATTGTGTCCAATTTCATTGATTTAGTGAATTGACATATATTAGAGGTGAACAGTTTTATATGGGTGCCCTCGAGTTACTCTCCTTCGGAACTTGAAGTTTATGGCTATCTTTTGTTGCATTTCGTAGTGTTTTTGTTTATTCTCAGACACGTCGTTGACGCGGTATCAGGTGCCGCTTCTATTCCTCGATTAGTCGACGTCTTGGATATCGCTTGACCATTTTCTTAGACCGGGACATACTGTGATGATTGTTTTGATTAATTTTTTGTTGCATCTCGCAGGTTTAGTTTACTTTCAAATTTTTTAAGAGGGTCAAGTTATATTACAGGACCCCCTGTTTCTCGCTTATGGTGTCTGCTACGAGATGCAGCTGCTTGGCTGCCTTCTCACTTCCTTAGTATTATATTGTAAATCATCTTTTGTTACATATCGCACTGTCGTTTACTTTCAGACGCTTCTTTGGTGCGGTGTTGAGTTTCAACGTGAGCCCCTATTTCTCGCTTAATCGGTGGACCCAAAATTTTCACATTATACTAGCTTGAGAAATGGCGGACTGACTGTTCTTTGTATTGAGGGGCTGTCGAGGGTATATAAACAGGTGTAAGTGGCAAATAGGGTGTTAGGGAGCTAAGTTTGTATACGCAGGCATAGGAGCATATTCTCCGGTCAACACAATATCCGTTTACAAGGCTGTAGCTGTCTGTGGGCTTATTGTTTATTCGTATTTATGTCGTGGGAATCAAGGTTAGATATCAATCCAAGATAGATCACATTTATAGTTCTAGCATTAGCTATGATCGTAACTCTAGAGATTGGACTTTTTAATTGACTTTTCATTTTCAAAATACACACTTTTGAAACTCAGACACGTGCCTGGCTCGCGGAGACAAAACAAATGTCGGTTACCTACCCACTAATTTTTAGACTGAATAAATCGACTTCAAATGGAGTTTGAAAGCCTTGATTACTCATAATAATTGACGGAATATGTCGTATTGTTCCAAGTTAATCTACTAAATATACGACATTTCGTCAATTTAATGGAAGATATCACGTGTTTCGACTGCCACTTATTTCTCAGCGAGCCTGAAGTACATAATCCCAAGACAACCCAATATTTCTTCAACCACCCGACGTACCTTGTGCTTTCCATTTGCCATCAAAATCCAAACTTGAAGTCTATTTGCATCGACCTTGCAACTATGAAAGTATGCAAAAAGGAGTTAATTAAAACAAAGTTGCTCACTAAGATGAAAACCATAAACTATCGGAGTCCCTCACCAAACAATCCCCATCAAACTCCCAACTGTCCATTCGACAAAAAATGCGAACCCCCGGCACAACGATATCCACCAGCTTGTTTAATCCACTCGTAGCCCACAGGACATCTTCCCATTAGAGCCAGCTTTTCTTTCATTTCCGCTTCCTTCTTCCGCCGTGCTTCTTCTTCCAGCAGTCGTTTTACAATTTCGTCTCTCTCTGCATCCGTTGCATCGTCGCGAGCTTTGATCAATGCTTTGTACTCTTCTTCTTTTTCCAGCTCGGCTTGTTGGTCGCGTTGGAGTTGCTCCCATATTGCGTCGCTGACTCCTGCATCCCGTTGTGGAGTCGGATATTTTGGTTTGTCGGTTACGGCAAGTTCTTGAGTGGGAGTGCTATCAATTTGTTCCTCTTCCGGCTGTGTTTGCGACTCCTTAGTGATTGTTGAAGTTGTTCTTGTTGTTGTTTTTGTTGGGGGCCTCGGGTTCTGCACCTGGTATTCTCGAAGGGGAACAGATGGAAGGATATTACCCATGCTGGATTGACCCCTAGACTGTCTTTCCGAGATCAGCGCAGAACATTCAGATTGAATCAAGTCACCGCTAATTCGAATCTGTCCGCGTTTGATGTCGTCTGGGTTTTGAATTGCACGATTGAAGATTGATTTGCTGAGAGTTTGCACGTCCCGAGCACTAGCCCAATTATCAAGCTGTGCAAGGATTTGGAAGTGAATGAGCATGTCGTTCCGAAACTTCTCGCTAGAGTTCTCAAGAGCTGAAATGTCCATGTCAACCTTTTTTGACAGTAACACTTTCTTCTGTGTACTCAGCGTGGAGGTCAATAGGGTAAAGCACTCTACTGGCGTTAGTCCTCTGAAATTGATGACTTCCGGGAATCTCGACGTCAGGCCTGGATTCGTCGACATGAGACTGTTGATATCCTTTTCGTATCCAGCAAGTATGATGACAAGCTTCTTATGATACTTTGTCTTTGTCGTGCAGTCCACTAACTCATCCATGGCCTCTTTGGCAAAGTGACCTTCTCCCAGACGGTACGCTTCATCAACGAAGAGGACCTTTCCAAGAGCCTTGTCGAGAAGCTGTTGTACTTTCGGACCCGTTTGACCAACATATTGACCTATGAGATCAGTGGCTGAAACATCAATGAGCTCGGCGGTAGCAAGAAATCCCATGTCGTAAAAGACCTTGCCCATCTTTCGCGCTGTCGTCGTTTTGCCAGTACCTGGTGGTCCACGGAAAAGGAAATTAAATGGTATGTTCTCCTTCGCGTCAAGATCTAGATTTTTCATCGTCCGAACTGTTTGCTGATACCCTTCGAGTAAAGCCATTATAGCCTCCTGGCCGACAGTACCACGGAAAAGCTCCTTAACATTTGTCTCAGATCGATTCGCACGATCAAAGTCTTCGTCAAAGTCTTTAGCCTCGAACTTGGTAACATATTTTGCCAAACCTTGAGTCCTTCGGGTTTGGTGCCGCGCTTTAGCAGTGTTCAGCAGGATGTCAATTTCTCCTGCATTCCCAAAGTTTGGTCTGTTTCGGGCTCTGTTGAGCATTTCTAGGGCAACAGTTCTGGCTTGGTCGGTAATTTCAAATGATTGATCTTTCAGCTTAAGGTCCAAAATCTGACCGAGCTCGCTGTCGTCAAAGTCGTCGAACTGAAAAGCGCTTGCCATAGGAAATCGTCTGCTCAAACCTGGGTTAACATTTTGAAACATTTCCTCCATTTGATCTTTGTAGCCGAGGAGAAGAACGCATCGATCGTCGCCAGGAACGCTTTGGACCTCGCCGACGATGGTGTCAATTACAGCAGTCTTGTATGGGTCTGCTACCCCGCCACCACCGTAAAGCCCGTATGCTTCGTCGATGATGAGGACCTTCCCCTCTGCTGCCGCTAGAATTCCCTTTGTTTGCTGTTCTGAATGTCCAAGCGCGCTGCCAACAAAATCAGATGGTGTTTTGAGTACCACTACCAGCAGTTAGTAAGACATACTGTCAATAATTGGCTTGGGAGGCTTACCATCACCCTTGGACAATAGACCCAAATCACCTAATACACCAGCATATAATTTTCCTACAGTCGTCTTTCCTGTTCCTGGATTTCCAAGGAACACACGATTCAAGTTGTATTCGATCGGTGGTTTTTCCTCGAGTTCTCGCTTGTAGTTCTCAACAATAGAATCACAAAGCGAAGTGACAGCTTCCTTTACTGCCTTGAGACCAATCAGCTTGGACAGCTTCTTCCATGAGGCTGATGCCCTGAGTGCTTCGCTGGGCTCAGGACCAATCACATCCTCCTTTGTAAAGAGCAAATCATCCGGTTGGGGCTTGCCAAGTGCAAGTGCTAACCTTTCCTTTCTGAGTCGCACCGCTTGCCGTTTAATGATGATTGCCAAGGTGTTCTCGACAGCTCGAGCATTGCCAAAACCGGGTCTTCCACGTCCACGTCCGATTCGACGGGTAATGACCCGGCAGTAAAGACCCTTGAGTCCACCTTCTACCTTCATAGCTTCGCGATATCTTGAGTTTATCTTCAGCTCCAGAATCTGAAGTAGCTCAACATCCGTGTAGTCCGCAAATTTGAGGTTGGTCGGAAATCGACTTGGAAGTCCAGGGTTGTGAGAGAAGAAGCTTTCCATTTCCTTGTCATAACCAGCCAGAACAAAAACAATTTTTCCAGTCAAGTTCTCCACCTCAGGCAGAAGAAAATCGAGTACTGCTCCGCCTCCTGAACTGTTTCCTGATGTGAGTTGGTATGCTTCGTCAATAAATATTACTCCCCCGCCTTCGTTTAGAACATCATCGAGAAGTTTTTGACATCCAGTCACACCCTTATTTGCAAGAGCCGATCCGGTTGTCTCCTCAAATTTTGTTCCAGCAATTACCCCAACAGATGTGAGAAACTTTGCATAAAGTCGAGCTACAGTGGTTTTGCCCGTTCCAGGATTGCCCAGAAGCGAACATCCAAACCTCTCTTTGGATAGAGAAACTCCTTGTCGAACCGCAGTGTCAACTCTGGATTTTATCGAAAGAAACTCCTGTTTCACATCTTCTAGTCCAATCATCTCCATTAACTCATCCATTGGGCCACTCCTGGCTAGATCCGTTTGCTTAAGAAGCTCCCACTCCTCTTTGGCCGTTGCGGGAGGAGACCATGGCTGGTTGGGATCTTTGGATGGTGCACGTGCAGGAGTTTTTGTTTGCTGTTCAGCCTTTCGCTTCTCTCTTTCTAGCTCTCGTTTCTTCTCAGCGGCTTTGAGCGCATTTGATCTCGCTGAAGCTTCTTTTAGTGCCTCAAGGTCAGCTTTACTTTGATCCAGATTCCTCTTAGCCTGCTTCTCCTCTTCAGCAATCTTATTCAATCGTTTATGATGCTCAGTCTCATCCTGGATAGCCTTGAGTTCCTCTGCATATCGCGCTTGGACTTCCAATCGATGCTTTTCCAGCTCAAAATCTCTCCGTGTTCTTCGTTCAAGATCTTCCAATCGATGCTTTTCCAGCTCAAAGTCTCTCCGTGTTCTTCGTTCAAGCTCTTTCTGTGCCTGGACACATTTGCGACATGTATCGTTTGCCTTGCTGCATGGAAAGCGAGCCTTATGCCCTTTGTCGCAAGTTCTTTCCACAATCTGGGTACATTCCACTTTGGAGTGATTCTCGACACGATGACATCGCTTTACACAACTATGTATCCCGCACTTCAGTGGTTTACCGCTTCGGTACGATTAGCAGTATATCTAGCAAAATTTCATAGTCATTCCCAAACACGTACCATGGTTCCGAACAACCACCGTCGGGACAACAACGATCAAAATCCGCTGGCTCCTTCAAAAGATACTCCTTCTCCGGATGCTTTTCACATCTCACGGGCACTCCATCGTGAAGACATTTTTTTGCCTTTAGCGACTGGAGGAATTTAGTCCACATTGCGCCACCCTTCTTGCTTGCCATAAATGTCTCTTCACTACCAATCATGATGAGACAACATCGAGCTCTGGAAAGCAGGACGTTCAGTCGCTCAGGAGCATCCATGAAACCAATTTCGCCTTTCTCGTTGCTCCGAGTGAGTGACACAATGACAATGTCGCTCTCTTCTCCTTGGTAGTTGTCTGTAGTTTGACATCAGCTATTGTCACATTAGAGAATTGGGAGGACCACCAATCGTTGAGAGTCTGAGCGGTTTCTTGTTCACTGATGCAGCCGCCTGGGTTAACAGACCGGCTTGAAGGAGTTCAAATGAGTCTAACTCATTCAGCCATGGGTCATTTTCTTGTTTCAACTCTTCTTGTAACAATCGTAATTGTCCCAAGTACGGCGTGAGAACGACCAATTCCTCGCTCCCATAGCCTTCTGTTTTAGTTTAGCATATTTCAACAGCAACTCTGGTGAGATTCAAAGTATCTGCACATAACACAAAGAAAGTGACGAGGGGAACAAAGTATTCTGGGAAAGAACGACTTACGTTGGCTAAGGTACCGTACCAATTTGAGCACCATCTTTGCCTCGAAGTCATTCTGCTTGCTGCTTGTTCGCTCAGGATCGCGTCGATCAACGATATCAACAGGTGGTTCAATCTCTGGATGCGTGTGATTAACAAACACGACTCGGCCCTGTATCCCACGCGGGCGCTCTCTATCGGTTGTGTTCGGGCCATCAATGAGGTCGGGATACGTGAGCTCACGGATAAGCACTGAAATCTCGGGATGCATTCGGTGTTGCTTGCGTAGTGTTGTGTGCTCATGTCCTCCCAGTATCAGTCTTTCAAACAACGATCTATTAAGGTCATAACCGGCTTTTTTCTCGACAGATAGTGCGTAATTATTGATCCTGGGCCGAAGCTGCTTATCATCACCTATCAAAATTAGTTGTTTCACACTCTGTGTTAGTGCGGTGAGGATATGACTCTCTAAAATCTCTCCCGCTTCTTCTACCAAGACAATATCCGGGTTTGCCCCACGAATGAGTTTGTTTTGCTTAGCTGCAATGGTAGTAGTGCAACCGATAACTCGCATGTTCCGCAAAGTCGCAATCTTGCCCTCAAGCCGAAGGCTATTCAACTTTTCTTGGACTTCGGTGTATCTTTTGTACAAGTCTTGTATCAATTCAACCCTTTCCTCAAAAAGAGATCGGGTCCACTTTCTCACCAGATCACTCCTGGAGTTCATTGGCATCGCCCACACCGAAGGAAAAGCTTGCTTTGCAATCTGCGCGAATATGCCAGCATCATCACCCGACTTCCAACGTAAGTATAAATAATCGTGTCGGACTCTTTTGTTTTTCTTCGCAACACGATTCCATCCGTCGTTCTCTTCTGGAATCGTCAGAGCGTCGTAATACAGCCGGTCTTCCTCATTCATCTCTAGGTAATCCTGAATGTCATTCCAAGACAACGAATGAGTACCGATCCCAAACTCATGAAATGCTCGCTGCAATTCTTCCTTCAGTTCATCAACCTCGGGATCGAGAGCATTGATCATACCCCAGGTTTCGGAAGATCGTGAGTTTTTCTGGTGATGGAGAAGCAACGGCTCAGTCCTTACTGTTGACCTCGCTTTGGATCCGAGACGGACCATATCTTGGGGATTGACACCAAGATTAAGAAGCTCTTCCAAGAAGTCGTCGAGAGCATGATTTTTGAAGCTAACCACCAAGATCTTCAAGTCTGTGTACTTCAGGATTAACTTCACTAGGAAGGAGCCAAGAAACGATTTTCCAGTTCCTAATAGGTTGATCGTTGTTAGAATTGTTGATTATACGAAATCGTAAACAACGTTGAAGAAATATGATCAACTTACCAGGGGGCCCCCGAATAACGGTGAGTGGACATATCAGACCATTGATGACTGACTGGGCTTGGGTTTCATCAAGTTCAATTCTCTTCCCATCGATTCTGGTTTTCACACTGCCGTCATCCCTACGGCCAGCCATAATCTTCTCGGCCATTAACTTCTGGGCAGGCAGGGGCTGGAAGGTAGTTTCGCCATTTGCTAGAAATAGAAGGTTCTGATCGATCGGAACTTCAGTTCTTTTCTTTAAAGATTCCAGAATGGGCTGGTAAGCGAAGACGGGTGTATTCACTAGCGTGAAACGAAGGTCCCGGAACGTCTTGAGAGCCATGAGAGCTCTTTTAAAAGATTCATCCTCAGGAAACTGAAGAAGTACGACGGGAGGATCCCGTAATAGGTAGTCAACATCTCGATTGACATGCGCAAAGCTGTGGATGTCGTTCTCCCCTAGAAGAGCTCCAAAAGAGTCGTGCTTGAGAAAGTTCTTGGAGTCCATCAGGAATTTTTTCCTGACAGTCATGTCCAACTTTGTCAGCCTTTCGAGTCCCAATCCGCAGTGCAGTGCGAGACAGGGTTGTTCACCATCCATATTGAGCCCAGCGATTGAAAGATTCCCGAGAGAAATACCCAGGCTTCGACCCTTCTTCTTGCCGAGAGCAACCTGCAGGCCCGTTCGCAATTCGCCCAACATATCTTCGCGGAGAAGACGGAACTGGTTCTCTAGATGCGCCAGCGTACGATCGCTTTCTGATTTCTCTTCCACCTCCTTAGATTGGAGATAATATTGTTGTTTCGTGCTCAGAAACTCGTCTGTCGTGGGATAAATGCGAATTTTCCGGAAGTCTTCGAAATCGTTGTCATGTCTTCCACCAGGACTAAATGCTGACTTGTTGGGTTGTTTAGACAATTTAGTCTGCAGGATCTTCTCGATTTTATATCCATTGGAACGAGTCTCGTGGTTGGTTGCTGTGGTGAAGATCTTGATGATAGACTGCACGTCTGCAGAGTAGTCGATTCCTTTTTCGTGAGGAATGCAGAGGAGGTTGTATGAAAGCCATGAGAATTGCTGGAGACTATTTTCTGATAGACCGTTATTCTGACAAATTTGCACTACTGCGTTCCAAAATGTTGGTGGATATATGATCGCCATAATCAAATCATTGAGAAAAGCTCCGTCGGCGAGTGCTCTGACCCCTGGATCAGAGATGTATTCAACAAATCTGAGGGAATAATTCTGAATGAAGTCTCGGGAAATGTCTGCTCTAACGGACTCGCTGATAGGATCAAGCTTGGCCTTACTTGAGAAAATAGTTTCTACACATCGTCTAGGGTTGACTTCTAGCAGTAGTGCTTCGAGGAAGAGCTTTGCATCTGCGATTCCTAGAACCTTACGGGTGCCGTTGAGAAATTTTTGAAGTTCCTTGGCGAGTCTTCTGGTCCGTCCGCTATCCTGGCCGTTTGGTGCCATTTCTGTGAAGTTTTGCAATGTTCAAGATTTATTTGAGACACCATCAGCCTGTTCAATATTGTGTCGGCTGAAATTGATGAAATATCTCAGACTCAAGGTTTTTATCAGCGAGAAAACTCTCTTCAACCTTCTAATACCCCCAGAACGAATGAGATGCAAACAAAGAGTGATATTTCGAACCTTTCAGCCTGCAAGCATCCGCAGCGGCAGCCTGATGTTGAGATTCCCAAAATTCAGCAGGATACTACCACCAGGAAACTACCGAAAGATGATAGCAAAATGACTTTGTACTTGTCTTCATGCATTAAAAACAGAATATCAAAAGAGCATTGATTGCAAGGAGTGACACAATTCATCAGATGGAAAAGATGTTGGTTTGGGTATCAAGATAGGACAAGGCTACGTTGTGCGACCATCGCCAACATTTGCTTTCCACCGCATTCCATGCATTCTGCAGCCCGCCGAAAAAAGGAAGTTTCCATCAAACTGCACCAATGCTAATCGTACAAGTTTCGAGCAGCCTTATTCGAAACACGCCAATAATTCTGCCTTGAGCAGGCCAGCTTTATCTCATAATTATTGATCTTGACATCTCAGATTGAGGTAAAAACTATCAACAAAAAGCAGTACCACTTGAGACTTATTTTCACGAAGACTGAAGTATAATCATCATGAGTTTTGTACCCGTGAGAGGATACGGCAACAGACGCGGGGGCTGGAGGACTGGAATCAGAAGACCCCCGATTGCAAACGACCAAGTAACAGTAACACCAGCTCCGCCTTTTGGGAACGTTCTCGAAAGGATTTCGGTTGCGGATCTTCAGAAAACATCAGAAGAGCACAGAGAATTAGCAGTTATACGAAATGCTGTCGCTGTGACATCCTTCAACTGGGTACGCACAGCCAAAAACGATAAGCCTACAACTGTCATCCCAGGTAAACTTCTGCCTTTTTCGATTCACGTTCTCAATAAAGGCCGTTGACTGATATTCTCCAGGTATTCCACCCAGATGGACTCCCTCCACAGGAGTGCAGCAGCTTCATGAAGACCAAGGCGACTTTTACCGAGATCGCAATGCCGCTCAATATCCTCAACATCCCATGGAGCCAACCGTTATTGCTGGAATCCACTCCGACCCTCATTTGGCTCAGAACATCGACATAGTAGCATGCAGCAGCACCCTTGGCAATCTCTTACGTTTCGTTCGTAACCAGGACAAGTCGTTTCGCATCATCGTAGAATTGATTGATAACACTTTGTTCTTGATCCGACGGGAAAACTCGCCGACGGAGCTGATTCAAGGCGTTCGGGGCTATGGACATACATTTCCTCAGGCGTATACTACTTGGGATCCTAGTATCAAGAAATCGACTTCCCATCAGCGTTTGCTGCGCTACAACTTTGGTGGACTGCAGTTATTGGTTCGATTTGAAGCTGATGGATACCTCGTCACACCAGAAAACGAGACAACAAACTCTTCTAAGTCATCTATCAAAAGTCCACAAACTGGAGTTGAGACCCTATCCGAAAGCTTCAAAACAGCAGAAGTCGAAGGTGAAGATGATACAAAGACACAAGTTCCAGCCAACGACGAACTCAATGTCCAGTATGCCGGCAAACCAGTGAGCCAAGACCGCATCTTCGACCTAAAGACACGAAGCCTCTGGAAGAAAAATCAAGATCTTCTCAGCGAAGAGATACCACGGCTGTGGATTGCGCAAATCAATCACTTCATCACCGCATACCACGAAAAAGGAAAATTCTCGCCAGAAGACATCGTCGTGCAGGAAGTCAAGGAGGATGTCGCTAAATGGGAGAGAAATCAAAATGGTGTTCTGGCTCAGCTTGCGGCGCTGCTGCATGTTATTATTGCTAAGAGCAAGGAGGAGAAGAAGTTTGAGCTGTCTAGAAATGAAGGGGGAGATTTGGAGGTGAGGAGGTTGTTGGGTGATGCTGGGGAAGCGCTTTCTGAGGTTGTGAGGAAGCAATGGATTCGAAGCTCGGAAGTTATTTTGAAGGACAATAAGGAAGATGATGTGGAGGGGGTGAAGGAAGAAATACTTGTTTGGGATGATGGACAAACCGATTACACGGCCTGTAGTGATGAGTGTCGTTATTGTGGGACTTGCACGTATTAGGGTGGTTGCAGTGTGAATGTACTTTCATACAGCTCAGATGTAACGAGAACACCATAAACAGAAAACACCTTAATCTAAATACAAAGGTTCTCATCTCCCTGATAATAAATCCTTATTGGACCTATCAAATTCATTCTCGATGTGTCGTGGGTCAATCTTCATGTCACCTAAGCGAACAAAAAAGGGGTCACTTAAATAAGCGAGCCACCAGTGCATTGCAGGTCTCACCGGGCATTCGGCGATAGTTTTTAGACACCTATATTTTAACGCTTCTTCGTGAACTCTCTAATGAGAATATTCTCCTTAGATAGAGAAAGAATATAGCATATTGACCTAGAAGAATTAATGTAGCATATTTACATAGAAGAATTAAGTAAGTTAAGCGTCTACTTACAATCTATAATTACCCTCCTTCCTGTCAGGAGCTGTCTCGTTGGACTTGCAATACACAGGGTGTAGACTTCTATCGGGAAGTGGGCATGGAAAATGAAAGTTTCTTTTTGTGATGCCGAGGAGGGTGTGATTTACGGTTGTTTTCTGTTGTTTGTTTTTGGGGGTTGAGGAAAGGAAGTATAAGGTGGAATGTAAGTAAGTGTAAATCGAGTATATGATCCTTTTGCTTTTAGAATTTTACTACGGTGTTTAAAGGTTAAGACATAATCCTTCTTATTATTAATGTAGAGTTAGCTAGAATAGAAGTAGTTAATAATGTAAAGAGAAGTTAGATTTCTATAAATTGAAATACTTATTTGTTATTAAAGTTTTCTCTATTACAACAATTTATTCTTTAGTAATCAAACAACTCAAAACTAACAAATGTCTATAAATAGACATCTGTTTATAGCGACGTATTAACTTCCAATCTCTAATACACAGCCAAGTACATTATCAACTTATTATCTCCGTCCTCATCTAAAACCAAAAACGTGACAATACGTTCAATCATAATGCGAGTCATTCTTGCAATACGGATCACGTCGCCTAGCCCAATACTCTTCTCTCCACTTCTCCTTATCCCTCCGCCACTCCTCCTCCCTACACTCCTCATTATATGCCTCACACTCAGCTTGATCCTCGAATTCCAGCATCTCATTCTCACTAATTCACGTCTTCTTCGGAAGCACATTGACAGCCACTGTCCACCCACGCTCACGCAATTTCACCCTCTCATCCGCCAGGGCCCCCCCGCTGTACACCTGGAAAACGACACGCACCTCCACGGGCGACGGCATGACTTTGAGCCGCGCGTCAAGCAGATCGAGGTTCTGTTCCGAAATTGGTTCGACGTCGACGCCGTCCGCAGGCAGGCAGAGTTCCAGCGTGGCAAGGCCAGTGCAGAGCTCCCCAATAAGGTCTAAATTCCTGCCATGTGCGCATGCGCTTTCCTCCTCGAGGCTTTGGAAAACATGGAAAGAGATGCAGATGTGTCGGAGCAGAGCGACATGGTGGCCGATCTGGTCTAGGAATGGATGAATGCGAGCGCTGTACGTCCAAGGTCCCGGAGTCAGGATGTCTGGGAATTGAAAGCGATTGTGGGAATAGAGCGATGGACTTGCTTCGTTGTAGATGTGCTTGTTTAGGCGGAGAAGCGCGGGATGGAGGTCGTGATCTTGGGGTAGATAGAGGGGCGGCAATAAAGAACCCCCGCATGCTCGGAAGATAATGGTGTCGTGGTAGATGAGGAGGGAGTTGTAGATTTGCAGTCGGATTTCCAGAGGGAAATTGAAGAATTCCATCGTTGTTGTAGTTCGATAATAAATTTTGCTTCGGGGAGTTGGGTGGTCAGAGGTTTGCTAAAAAAGACCAGATTCAATGGTCTTTTTAAAAGCATCGTGCGTGTAACTGAACCCGAATAGGTTTGGCTGCTTATGTGGTGTTACACAGCAGTAGGTTCTCGTACCAGCCAAGGTCCCGAGCTTGTGGAGTAATTCTTCTTCTGCCTCGTTGCCTAGGTGTCGGGTCTAACCATCGAGACTAGGTTTGTTAGATCTTTCTCAGTATCAAAATTTGCCGTCCCCACCACGCATTGTCTACAAGGGAGTTTTCTGGTCGGAAGGAACGCTGAAGAATCGTGTTTACCCGTTGATATCAGTGATATGTCGTTTTCAACAACCCTTGATTTCATTATCTCAGTCTGCAAAGATGTGATGTTAGACTCAATCAGTTTTATGTATTTCCACTTACCACTACGAGACTCGTTTGGTCAAATTCTTCGACATGTTGCACCCTCGTATATTTCAATGTCAAGTCTTGTAGCAACAAAACCATTTTACTCGCCACTCTTTCTCAACATAAGTAGAACCCGTTTAGCCTAACTTTGCACTGGCTTGTTGCTGCTCGTTTTGGGATATAGGTAGTTGGTGTACTGTAGTCAAACAAGCTGCTTCGCTTTGAAAATTCAGGATCGTAGTCAGAAAAAGCCGCCATGCGACTTGCTGAAGCTTGAAAGACGCTACAATTTAGACACGTATAGGTTATTTCACAGACCCGGGCTGCAGCACACAGCTGGAGAGACTTTTATGACTAGTGCATAGTAATAGGTTATCTACAAATCATCTAGTTTCCTTTGGGTGTGGAAGATCGACGAACTGTCATTATCTTTGGGTGTTTGAAGAACTAAATGGAGTATTACGAAGGTATTTTTTTTCTTTTGCTCCTCACGAACTCACACGATGGCTGTTCCTCTTGGCTAATTTACCCGGTATGTGGCGCCCGTATAACTGTGTCACAGTATGCATCTCCCAACAGCCGTTTCGCAAGCTGCGGACCAGCTCAGCCTGGAGAGTTCTATCACGTCTGTCTTCAACATAAAGATAGATTTGGTTGTTACTCGGATCCAAACTCAACGGAACACCGAAGATATTTCACGACTTTTCGCTTGCACGTTTTGTCTTCCTCGTTGGCAAGCTCAGTCTCAGGAGTTACAGCAGGTTATCGGCGTTACCATGCGCCTCCTCAACTCGACAACTCTAGAGATGAGGCAGTTCTATCACCCAGATACTCCGTCCTATGCAATTCTCTCGCATACTTGGGGTAATGAAGAAGTGACCTTGCAAGAGATTTCATGTTCTGCAGCACAAGACAAGGCCGGGTTTGGCAAGATCTTGAGCTGCTGCAACCAGGCAAAAAAGACAATATTGATTGGGTATGGATTGATACTTGCTGTATCGACAAGACATTTAGTACCGAGCTTTCAGAAGCCATCAACTCTATGTATACATGGTATGAAAACTCACATGTGTGCTACGTGTTCTTGGAGGACGTACCCGAGCACAGCCCGTTATTTTCAAGAACGCCGTTCAAATATGCGAGGTGGTTTTCTCGGGGCTGGTGCCTCCAGGAATTGATTGCTCCCAGAAAGATTGAGTTTTATTCCGCAGACTGGACGGAAATTGGCACACAAAACAGTCTTCGGGTCTTAATCGAGGATATAACTGGGGTCCCGGTAGCAATTTTACAGAAGGAGGCATCTCTTGCTGACTTGACAATTGCGCAAAAGTTTTCCTGGGCTTATAGACGGCGGACGACCAGAGAAGAAGACGAAGCATATTGTCTCCTTGGAATTTTTGGCATTTCTATGCCATTACTTTATGGAGAAGGGCGACAGGCCTTTCATCGTCTACGGCTGGAAATAATGAAGAATACGGAGGACTACTCACTTTTCCTATGGACTGATCAGTATGAATCACATGGCGGCTCGACTGGGGTATTGGCATCCTCCCCGGCGTGGTTTCCCAAGCGTGGATTTGAAGCCAAGCAGAGGATCATGGACGACAGACCAAAAGAATCGCTAAAGGGTTTTAAGTACAAAAACATCGAATCGATCTTTCTTGATAGTAGGGCTTTAAGACGACTTCCCTTCGACCTTACGCGATGGAGTCCCTTGCAGATGACGACTCGTAGACTATATTTGTATAGTTTGACGAAAGAAGTTCAACCCGCTAGTCCTGCTCAGGACGCTTCTTCCGCCAATCTCCGGCTTCCTTTGGAGCCAAAAGTGTTGGTATTTTGGACCGGGTGCGTGTACTCACAACAATATCTGTGCATTGTACTCGATCAAGATGTGAAAAGTGGATTCCTAAAGTTCGTTAGAAAGCCGGCGTTGAATATCGTACTTGTACCTCCATCACAGCTCGAGTCATTACAATTGACCGCGATATATCTCAATACCGACTGGCAGCGCGGGAACAGGATAAAAATACAAAGGCCATTTTCTCTGCATCAAGCCTTCCAACACTTCGAGGTCCTTGTAACAAAGAAGTGTCCAGAAGAGATCGTTCTGGTAAAGACTTTCCCGCCGTTAGCTTTATGTCTTGCCGTCAACGATGCTCGAGGAGAAAGAGTTTACTCTGGCAAGATTGATTTATACGCGCGCTTCTGGTTGGACTTTTGGATCTTTGATGGTAATTCAGGCGTTACCACTGGAAAGTTCAGAATAAAGCTCGAACTCAATGGATTGTGGCCAGCCGGCACGGTGTGCGACCTCGCTACCGACATCGAACAAAGGGTGTTCCCTAGTGGTGCAGGTCATAGAACCGAGAATCTTACAGATTCCGACCTTCTAATTATTAAAAGAAGGCATGTGAGCGATAAAAATCCAGTGTCTCTCGATGATCCCGGTGGAACCCTAAAGATATTTGGAAATAATTCCTCGGTATACAATGAGACGGAATTGGGCCAATTGGCCCCTATTGAGGATGGAGACCGACCTACGGGCAAGCTGAAAATGGGATGTTGGTATCGGTAGCACTGAAGACGAGCCAAGTTGGGGGGTTGAACGAAGAAAACTCGAATTCGAGGTCGACGCTCTCGGTGTTATACGTCACTGTTTTTCCTTCAGTGTATAAACATTTAGAATGTGTTCCGGAATACTCACTACCTTTTGATTGGCTAAATTAACATGGCGCTATTGATTGATTATTGTTCTACTAATTAAAGCTCGCAAGCTCGCTCTAAATTACGACCAAAGATCAGGAGTAGATTTGGACTAAGGTTTTAGCTTTCTAATTAGTCGAACTCAAGTTGCAGGTACTAAAAAGCTGTAATACTCGCCTAATTAGGTAAAGACACAAAGTTTATACGACCCTATCAGGTCCAGTACGTTGAAGAATCTAGTATTACGAATACCATGCTCTACAAGCCCTCTTCAAGATCAACTGAAAGAGAACCTACTACCCCTACGATTCTCACAGGTCAATCTATTTTATTTCACTCAAGCCAATTTAAAGCCCTTTTAAGCCCTCGGCAAAATCTGTCACGGAGTACTGCAGCCTGCGCAGGTCTACGCGGTGTGGGTTTAGGTTGCGTGCCTAGGACTTGAAAGGACCTCAACAAATCACTAACCGCATCGCTCAAAACTCGCGAATCCCTATCCGCAATTCCGACTTAACATGCATTTCTAGACGTATAGCCTCTAAACCCTCCAGGTACCGGGCAACCATTCAAGAAGTAAAAGAAGCACAAGAGCTTAAGCGCAAATGTATTTCGGGTTTTTCGTTTAGTGCAAGGGTCCGGGAGTAGATTGTAGGATTGTAGAGCGGTAGTTAATAAATAATAGTACTAGTACTGCAGAGGGATTTCATGTTCTTTAGTATACCGTTATTATCTAGAAGATTCAAATGAACGCTTAGTCGAGAGGCCCGTGTGAGAAAATACAGTCCTGTGAAGGCTCGCGGCTGGAACACATCGTCGATTTCGAGAATAGACAGTTCCATAGACTCTGAAAAAGTCGACCAACGTCTTATGCTATCTGGAAGTCTTTCAAAACTGACCCCCGTGCCACTTAATCAATCGTACAAATAATCTTCCCCTTACTCCCATCCCCCTCCATATACCTATGCGCCTCAACAACATCCTCCCACTTAAAAACCTTATCAACATAAACCTTCAGTCCTTTCCCCCCTCCATCTTTCCCCTCCCCCTTCCCATCCTCACCAAACAGCCCAACCCACTCCTCCAACCGATCCCGCAACCTCCCCTGATACACCTCATCCCGACTCCTCAAACTACTCCCCTCATACCTAACCCTCTTCAACAGAAACCCGCTTATATCCACGCCCTCCGGCAATTTACTGCCGCCCATGAAGCCCAGCTGCACGATGCGCGCGTCTTTCGCTGCGACTTTGAGGTTGTTCTGGAAATACGGCGCCCCGACGAAATCGACGATTATATCGACGCCTTTGCCATCCGTGGCTTTCAGGATTTCAGAGGCCCAGTCGGTGGTTTTGTAGTTGAAACCTGCGGTGGCGCCCAGTTCGTGCGTGCAGAAATCGATTTTCTCTTGCGAGCCCGCGGTGATGTAGATGTTTGAGGCTTTTCCGACGCGGGAGAGTTGGATGCCGGCGACTAAGATATGTTTGTTAGCGAGGGTGTGGAATGGGAAAGGGAGGTGGAGGTACTTGATACTGAACTCGCGCCCGCGTGCCAAAGAACAGATTTACCCTCCGCAAATTCGCCGATGAGATATAGTGCCTGAGTAGCCGTAATCCACGTCTACATTTCATCAGTCCCCCATATCTCCAAGTTAACAGCTTTCACTCACCTCCGGCACCCCCGCCGCCTCCACAAAACTCAAATGCTCCGGCTTCTTCAATATCATCCTGACACTAACAACAATCCACTCCGCATACGCGCCTCCATACGCGAGACCGAACACCTCATCACCAGCCTTAAACCCTTCTTTCCCGCCGTCCCCGTTTACTTCCTCGATTGTACCGGAGAACTCCACGCCGAGCGTCTTTGGGGCCTGTGGAGGGACAGGGTAGCGCCCTTCGCGTTGGAGGAGATCCATGCGGTTTAGACCAAAGGCTTTTATTTTTATGAGGGCTTGCCCGGGGGAGGGGGTTGGTTTTGGGAGGGAGGTGATGTGGAGGGATGTGGCGGGGCCGGTGCCGTTCTTGATATCTGGAGATTTGTTTAGTATGGGTGGGTGAGATTTTGGAGGGAGCACTGACCGACTGCGCGCATTTGTGCCATGTTGAGGTTGTGTTGGTGATGGTCTTGTTATGGTGTTGTTTATGAGGAGGTGACAGTAAAGGTATCTGACTTCGTAAGTTTAAGTCAACCCAATTCTTCTCTTGATACCAATCAAACAAGCAAGTAGATAGAAACGAGTTTTTGCCTACCTTTGTCTAAATAAAAAGAAAAAACAAGGGGAATTCGATGGAATATACAAACCTCTCACTCCCCAAAATATTTATCATAGTGGGGTCGACTCAATGACGACAGCGGGGTAAATTCCGGTGACATCCAACATACTGCAACACTAAGTAGAGAGCTGCATAAAGCTTACTCATAAAACGTTCTTAACTCCGAAAACGAGTCAATTAGAATGGCCTCTCCATATTGTCTTTGCTATGTTATTAGTAACTCAACATTAGCTACGTGAAAAGGCTTCCTATGAGTGAAGGAATTCGCACTCGCTTACGGTCTGCGAGAGTGGAAGTGCATGGCTGCAATGTGACTGTACAAGGTTGTGCGATTTATTGGTTCGTAGAAAGTTCTTTTTGGGAAACCCTAATTTCTGACATGTTGCTTTCAAATTTACATGGACGACGTTGGAATTGCTTGTAGCTAGTGGATGGTTGATGTGCCGAGAGGGCGTAAAATACTCGGCAGGTTGCAACCCAATATACGCAGAAGTATAGCCTTACGAGTAGTAAGAGGTATATTGACCATCATGACAAAGATAAATTCCCTATCTAGCTGCAAGTCTACACCCTTTGTCAGACCACAACGCCAATAATGCACCCCATGAAACCGCACTACCTCATTACAGCTGACTCTGGTTTCGATACTGTCTCTCAACCTCATACTCGAAATCGAAATATCCCTTGTCGAATTGATGTACACGAACATATCCATCCTCACCTCCACTGGCATATCCCTTTCCTTGTGGGTCGACTGCGACGGTGTTGAGGGGGCCAAAGTGACCTCGGACACGACCGATTTCCTCCTCGAAGATCTTGTGGTAGAATCGTGCTTCAAATTTACCTTGCCGGGCGGAGGTGGTTGTGACGTCCATTGCTGCTTGACCACCACCTAGAATAACGTAGTCTTTTTTGGGGGTGATTGAGGCGCTGTTTAGAGGGGTATCGGATACGTAGGTTTTCATAACTTCGAGGTCGGCGGCGTTGATGAGCTGATAAGTTAGAAGGGAAGTAATTTGGGGATAGGAAGTTGTAAATACATACCTTCGCTGACTTGTCTTTTGATGCGGTAATAAAGTATGTCCGGTCTGGAGACCACTGGATATCCGTGATCTGGGCGTCCATTTCGTGCACTTGCGTGTTATCGAGCTGTTCACCAGTCTAAAATTCGTCAGCATATATCCAGCAGAATTTTCTGTCATCCTACCTTTGCGTCGTACTGCGACACGGTTCCATCCTCGTGCCCAGCAATAATATATTTGTTCATGAAACTCCATCCAGCAACCGTCGCCTTACTCTCCTCACATTCGATGGTAAGAACCTTTTCATCATCCTGTTCTCCCTCTGGATCCAGGTTAATATTCACAACCACGATCGTACCCAAGAAACCCATGCGCTTTTCGGTGACGGCCAATAATTGTGATCCATCCTCGTTGAACTCGACTCGTTTGACCGCAGTGTTGAATTCCCACACCTTCAAACACTTCCCACTTCTGATATCCCAAAGGCGAACGGTGTTATCGGCAGCGCCACTCGCGATGAGTGTACTTGTTGGGTCGACGTCGACGGTCCACAGAGCTCCTTGGTGGCCATGATACGTTCCTAATCGCTCTCCGTTGTGTGCGAACCAGGCGCAAATATGTTGATCTTTCGCGGTTGAGAAGATGATGTCTCCATCTCTGTTGTATCTTGAAAAAGTCAGTACATATATATCGTGGCGGAGGGTCTAGGTTTCTGGAAGGTATTCGCATACTTGATTTGGGTGAGCGCACGCTCCTGTGAGGATGTTAGAATGGTTTTCATCACCGTTCGCATCTAGCATAACTTACGTGTCCCTGTAGCAATATTGGCCTCATGTTTGCGATTCTATGTGGAGTGTAGGATCGTTGATGGAGGGGCGAGAGACGTGATATTTATCGTGGGCTGCGGCTCCAGTCTCCAAATCTCGAAAGTTCGCGGGGCTCAAAATGAAAATGTGGTCGTGGGCGATTGGGCCAATGAGGTGTGGCGAGAAAAGTGGTCCGAGAGGTCCGAATGAAAAAGCAACCGGCTTCACAATCGGCGCCGACACGGACGACCAGCATCTCCTCCGAAATACTCGAAATTACATTTTCCTAGGAATGACCTTCTTGCCTTGAGTCACTTTGGAGTCATGGAATCCGCTTTGTCGATTATGACTGCTTCAATTCGAATCCTTCTCTGCTCGTTTAATTCACGTGCTGGATGACTCTTGCTCCTTGCCCCATTGCATCCATCGGGAACTTTTACCTCTTCAATTCGGCCGGTTTCATGTTTCTGGAAGTCACACCTAACCTCCGGTCCTCGCAGTCATTTATCAGATTCCCAGATTCCCGTCCGAGACAAAATCCGCAAAATCCAAGGCCACAAGTTCAATTGATGTATTTCTAGATATTTACAACTTCAACCGTTCGAACAAATCATTTCGAAATGTCAACAATGCTCCGATCACAAAAGTCTCTGTTGTGCTCATCCTCTCGCTTCCCACGCCTACCGATTCGCTCTCCTCGCTCTGCCGTACCAGCTCCAGCCTCGTGTGTTGGTGTGAGTCGGAGAGAATGGCGGGGTTTGTTTTCGTGTCGAACCCGAGCTCTTTCCACCCCACCCTCCACATCCACAACGACAACCACATCCACCTCAACACTTGTCAACAGTCATAATTTGACAAGATCATTGCAGAAGAAGTCGTTCTCAAGCACTTCTGCCGCGATGACTGCAACCAAGATTGACGGCACAGCTACGGCTAAAGAGATTAGGGATTCGATACGTGCCGAGATTGAAAATACCCAGAAATCAAATCCGAGGTACAAGCCGTCGCTCAAAATTATCCAGGTGGGCGAGAGATCTGATTCTAGTAAGTCAATTCTAGGATGATATGACATACTCCGCCATCAAATTATATCTGCATAATCAGCTCTACTACAACTGCGAGCCGGATCGTTTGAGAATTTGCTGCATAGTCTGATGCTTACGGTTCATGCTCGTGTGATGCACTCGCTTACATTTGATAGCTACATATGTGCGCATGAAGTTAAAGGCCGCCGAGGAGGCCAAGATTGATTGTGAGCTTCTTCAATTCCCAGAATCTATTACCGAATCCGAGTTGATCGAGACCATCACCCGTCTGAATTACGACCCTGCCGTTCATGGCATTCTCGTCCAACTTCCATTACCAAAAGGAATCTCCGAGTACGATGTTACATCCGCAGTCGCTGATGAGAAAGATGTTGATGGATTTGGGACGAATAATATTGGGGAGTTAGCAAAGCGTGGAGGACGTCCACTATTCACACCATGCACGCCGAAAGGTGTCATGGTCCTACTCGAGAAAGCAGGTGTGGATCTGAAAGGAAAATTCGCTGTGGTTCTTGGTCGAAGTGATATTGTCGGAAGCCCAGTCAGCTATCTTCTGAAAAACGCCAATGCTACCGTCGTGGTATGCCACTCACATACAGCCAATGTTGAAAACTATCTGAAGATGGCGGACGTGGTGGTGGCTGCCATTGGAGTCCCAGGTTTCGTTAAAGGAGAATGGCTAAAACCGGGAGCTGTCGTAATTGATGTCGGCACCAACTTTGTTGATGACAGTTCCAAGAAGTCTGGTCACAGATTAGTTGGTGATGTCGACTTTGCATCTGCTTCAGAGGTTGCCTCCCAAATCACCCCAGTTCCAGGTGGAGTTGGTCCAATGACTGTTGCAATGCTACTTCAGAACGTCGTCGATTCCGCTACAGCGTATTTCGATCGTCAAAAAGCGAGAGCCATTCAACCTTTACCATTGAAGCTCCAAGATCCTGTACCATCAGATATCGCAATTTCCCGAGCACAACATCCAAAGCAAATCACGCGAGTAGCAAAAGAGGTCGGAATTGCAGCTCATGAACTCGAACCATATGGCGCATATAAAGCCAAGGTTGATTTGACTCTTCTCAAACGTCTTGAGCACCGTCGAAATGGTCGCTACGTAGTTGTCACCGGTATCACACCAACACCTCTAGGTGAAGGAAAGTCTACTACAACTATGGGTCTCACCCAAGCCATTGGAGCCCATCTCAATCGTATCGCTTTCGCCAATGTTCGCCAACCTAGTCAAGGCCCAACTTTTGGTATCAAAGGTGGTGCTGCCGGTGGTGGCTACAGTCAAGTCATTCCTATGGATGAGTTCAATCTCCATCTTACCGGTGATATCCATGCTATTACAGCTGCCAACAACCTCCTAGCCGCTGCAATCGAAACCAGAATGTTCCACGAAAACACTTCTCCAACCTCTGCATTATACAAGCGCTTGGTTCCCGTCAAAAAAGGCAAGCGAGAATTCCAGAAAATCATGTTCCGTCGTCTTAAGAAGCTTGGCATTGACAAGACTGACCCTAATGAGCTCACGGAGGATGAAATTACTCGCTTTGCAAGATTAGATATCGATCCTTCAACCATCACCTGGAGACGAGTACTGGATGTAAACGATCGTCACTTGAGAGGTATCACAGTTGGTACTGCCCCAACCGAGAAGGGTCAGACTCGAGAGACAGGTTTTGATATTTCTGTCGCAAGTGAATGTATGGCTATTCTTGCTCTGAGTAACGATCTCGATGACATGCGAGAAAGACTTGGACGTATGGTTATTGGATCATCAAAGAGTGGAGATCCAGTCACTTGTGATGATATTGGTGCTGGCGGAGCTCTCACTGCGTTGATGAAGGATGCTATTAAGCCTAATCTCATGCAGACTCTGGAAGGCACGCCTGTGTTTGTACACGCAGGACCATTCGCAAACATCAGTATTGGTGCCAGTTCGGTGCTTTCAGATAAGCTTGCCTTGAAGCTTGCTGGTACCGAGCCTGATGAGAACCATAATGAGAAGACTGGCTTTGTCATCACTGAAGCTGGTTTCGATTTCACCATGGGAGGGGAGCGATTCATGAACATCAAATGCCGTTCTTCCGGACTTGTTCCAGATGTTATTGTTGTTGTGGCGACTGTTCGAGCATTGAAGGTGCATGGTGGAGGTCCCCCAATTGCACCAGGAGCTGCTCTTGACAAGGTTTATCGCGAAGAGAATGTCGATATTCTCCGAAAAGGTTGCGTCAACTTGAAAAAGCATATTCAGAATGCCAAGTCATATGGTGTACCAGTAGTTGTTGCTATCAACAAATTCGAGACCGATACTGAAGCAGAGGTTCAAGTCATTCGTGAAGAAGCCATTGCGGCTGGCGCAGAAGATGCAATTCCAGCAAATCACTGGGCAGAAGGAGGAAAGGGTGCTGTTGATCTCGCTAAAGGTGTCATTGCCGCCAGTGAAAAAGACAAGGATTTTAAACTTCTTTACGATCTCGATGGAGGTGTTCAGACCCGCATCGAAGCTATCGGTAAACAGATGTATGGCGCCGACAAGGTTGAGTTCAGCGAGATTGCTCAAAAGAAGGTGGATACATATACCAAGCAGGGCTTTGGAAATCTGCCTATTTGCATTGCCAAGACACAGTATTCATTGTCTCATGATCCAAATCTCAAGGGTGCACCAACTGGATTTACTGTTCCTATTCGGGATGTCCGGTTAGCTGCTGGTGCTGGATATCTGTAAGTCACTCACACTATTCCTTTTGATGAATTTACTAACACATTGACAGCTACGCACTCGCAGCAGACATCCAAACAATCCCCGGTCTTCCAACAGCTCCAGGCTACCTTAACGTAGACGTCGACACGGAGACAGCGGAGATTGATGGACTATTTTAGACGGGAAAAGTATGATTGGCACGGACTTTGCTTTTCAACATCAAAACGGCGTTATGTGGAGTTTTCTTGTCAACAAGAATCTTGTTTTATATTCAACAATTAGCGATACCAGGATTTGGGAATCATCAGTAAAAGCACCTTCAACGTGTGTATATTATGAAGACACGCTTCAACATTGGCGTGGCGTTGGGAAGAGCTATGGTGGGTTGGTTTGTGTTGTGTTAGTGGAGGGGCTGGAGGTGGGATGAGTAGGTGGAGATGTTGGGGATGGAGAGATTTAGAGAAAAACGCGAGAAGCGGACTGATTAACTCAGATCGATAGATGGTTAGACAAAATAACATGATTCTAAAACAGTGTTTAATATACTGTTAGTATACTTCGCCGTGAAAATTGATTGTAAAATCCGTATTCCGACAGTGTGTTGGATTAGAAAGGGGAGAATCAAAGTGGATAACTGACGGTAAGAGGGAGTTAGTGTATTCAAATGGTTGGAGTGGAGTCGAGTAGGGGATACCTACTACCGTATTGCTTGGCCAAAATGGGTTTTCAACCCTCCTATACCTCCAAAGCCGCCACCTTCTCAATATACATCCCTTATCTGAACTATAACCTGAGATGTATTCACACATCCGTAGTTCTCAATCTCTGATATTGAGGGTACGTGCTAATATATTGGAGAGCTGCGCAGAGGGTTATGTGCTAGGCTGAATTGTCCTGACTGAGGTGGGATATAAACTAAACTGACATTAGTAGTCTCCAGTGATTTTTATAAACGGGCAGAATTGAACCCACTTAATACAGTACTTAAACAAAACTCCACTCATCCTCATCTTACCCTGTGTAAGTCATTCATACGCTAGATAGAAAAGAACGATTTCGAGGAAGCTGGCAAGTTGGTGTGGTAATTGATGCTAATAAAAAAGAGATTTGGGAAGGGTTAAGGAGAAGATGCGTATACCTTTTTTGAGAGGCTGAGAGGTAAAGACCGTGGAATCGTGGATGATGGATTGAGAGATGTGCGGGTGGGAGTAGTGGTCAGGGCGTTTTATAATAGGGTATAAAGGTTAGTTTAGAGATGATGGTGTGTTTATTTGGGATAGATGACTAATCCAGTGTGAAGTTATTGAATTCGTGTTTTCATCTGGTTTTTGGCTGCTTGGTTTAGGAGTAGAGGGGTAATACAGTAAATAAAAGTAAAGTGGTATAGAACGGAGACAGAGAGAGAGAAGAACAAGGTTCCGCTGATTCTTTTTATATTCCCGGTTTAGTTGGGAGAGTTATAGGGGTTGAAACTAAACAATAATCAATTATTCCACCCTATCCTACTGAATAGAAGACTACCCTGTAATAATCCAAAACGCCGAAACAAAGCTCTAGAAGCTCCAAGAAACAACCCGAAACATCTTGTCCTAGAGTAGAAAGAAAGAAAGACATAAACGCTCATAGTAATCATTTATACACAAACCACCATCCTCACTAGACCCCATGACATCTTCAATCAACAATACCATCTCCCATTCATCATCCCACCCTCCTTCCCCCCCCTATTCCCTCCCCTCCAAGTGACCTCGCTCACTCCCCCGCCCTTCCCCTAAAACTCCCCATCTTCTCAATCGAATTCATAATCCCGCTCCTCCCCGCCCCGCCCGCCAGATACCCCGTGCCAGCCGCAAACCCCAATCCACTCCCTGGCCGCCCACCCCCCGCACTACTCCCGCTTCTACTCCTCTCACTCCCCATCCCGCCCGCCATACCCACGCGTCCAATGCGACTCTCCTGAGTCAACGGCGGTTTACCACCAGGCGCTCTAAGTCCACTGCCTCTCGCCATCCCAATCTGACTCACCGGTCTAGCCCTCGGAGAAGCCAATCCAGACGACGTAGGCGTAGGCGGCGGGACCCTTTCCTTCTCCTTCTCCCGTTCCTTCTCAGCGAGTAAATCATCAAACGCCTGGACAAGCGGGATCATCTCATCGACAGCTTGTACCAAACGTCCCTTCTCTGCGCGCTCCTCGTCCAGCATACCGCGGAGATCGTGGTTGTCGCCTTGAATACTCCTCAGCACCTCGTTCAGACCCTCGAGCTCGGATTCCAATTCCTTTGCCTTCGCAGCTTGAGCGGAGAGTTCGTCTTGGGCGCGGGGATCGACTTTAGTCATCGTAGCGTCGCGGCCGAGTCTGAGCTCTTCATTTTCGCGGGTGAGATCGGCGATCTGGGATTCGAGGTCTGCGATCTTCTTCTCCCAGCGTCGTTCGTAGGATTTCTTGAGGGCGGCGACTTTGGTCTCGTGTTTATCTTTATACAGGGTGTGGAGTTCGCGAGAGACTTTTTCGACTGCCATTTCGACGTTGCGTTGGCCACCACATGCGCATTCCCCTGCTTTAGGAGATGAAGGCGCAGGCGGTGGTTTGCCGGCTTTCAAGGCGGCGAGTTGACGTTCTGCTTCTTGCGCCATGACTTCGGACATTTCTCTCCTGCGTTCCGTTTCCTCGAGTCGACCTTCTAGATCGTCGCGTTCGCGTTCGCCGTGTAGGATTTCCTCTTTGACATTGCGCAGAACGGCTTCCATCTCGCGGCCGCGTTTATCCCATTCTTCTTTTTCGACGAGGAGCTGGTCTTTGAGATTGCGTTCTTCACGGACTTGTTCGAGACATTCGCCGACACGTTTTTCGGCATCACCAACAGCGGTTTTGAGGAAAGCGACTTGGGCTTCTTGGCCGCTGAGGGAGGCTTTGAGACTGCTAATCTCAGAGAGGAAGCCAGACTTTAACGTTTCGAGTTCGCGGGGAGTGATCGAAGGCATACTGCGTGGCGTTGGTGCGGGTGGAATATCAAAGTCTAAAAGATTTGACATGTTATTTCTATTGACGGATGGGGTTGATGGCATCCAGGGCATATCCGACCCTTTCATAGGTGATTCCCTTCCTGTTTTGTTCGGTGATTGGCGACGTCCGGAAAAATTATTGAACTGTTCTGTAAAATCGAGAAGGTTTGTGTCATCTCGAGTCTCTGTTCTGGTCGCACGTGGCGTTGGAGATGGTGAATATGTACTCATTGGACGTCTTCGAGCTGCCGCTGCAGGGGTATCGAAAGGAGCTCTTCTAGGCGTAGGACCCATGGTTGCATGTTTTGGTGTTTGACCCAATTTTGCAAACATTGTCATGTCTGGCATAGCAGAGAAATTACTAAATGTGCTAACCATTGTGTCGTCCATGGTCGTCTCATCTCCATTCTTAGCTGCAGAAGTGACAAAGGTTTCCTCAACAAATTCCTCATGCTCGCTATCATTGTCCTCCAAAATCTCAATAGCCTTTGTAAGACCTTCGTTGTTCTTCAAAACATCATCAATGCTCAAAGATCGTTCCACTGGCGGAGGCGGAGGAGATGTCTTCTCTGGCGGCGGTGAAGAAATAGATTGCGAAATAGATGGTCTGACAGGAAACCGCTTTTCCGGCGCAGACATCTTTCTCGGACTTTTCATGTAATCATGAGATGTTTTCCTCGGTGATTGTGTTGATGTGGGTGATGCGCGGCTTTTAAGCATCTTCAAGGGGGAAGTTGGTTCGCGCTCGACGGGACTTTTGGATGTCAATCGAAGCATCTTGTTCGGTGAAATGTTTTCTAAATTCGCAGATTCAGAGACATCCTGAACATCTTGAACAAATGGAGAGCTTGGTGGTCCATCGCTATCGGAACCATTTGACGTCGTGGTCTGCGTGGTGCTGTAACTTATTACTTCATAATCGTCCTCGCGCGAGGTAGCTATCGATGTTGGTGCATTAAGAGCCATGACTCCAATTTCGGAGAGCGGTGCTGCCATTCCAGTATGATAAAAATTGAAGGTATTCGCAATGCACAGCTCAAAGGGGTTGCGATGTTGTTCTGGTGAACAATCTTTCGTTGTTGCGGATTTCGTTGTCGAGGTTGCTTTTGTTTACTGCGCCTGCCAGGTTGTTTACCCCGGCTACGCAACTCTAGGGGGTTACCGCTTGGGGCAGAAATTTGAGCTTTAATTTTATGCAACGATATTGCCAAAGCGGTGTATGTCGATTCATGTAGTCATTGGACGACCTGTATTAATGAAATGATGAATTTATAGGGTATCATTATGACGGTCATAATATCTACGAGGATCATAAGATTGTCTTTTATTAAAAATCTATTCTTATCTGCTCACCAATCTCGATTATTACGTGGTAATTATTCGTGATTATTCTTCAAGCAACGGCCGCATGGACTTGCTTATGTAAGTCTCATATCGGCAGCGGAATTTGGTTTTCCCGGCTATCACAAGCCAAAGCCCCTCGTGGCGCATCATCATCCGTTGTCAAAATGTATCGCCAGCTCTCGACCGTAACCTCACAACACCACGAGATAAAATAAGCGCTGGTACGCCTAACCTTAATCATCAAGGGAATTATTCCCGGAGTTCTTGTAGCCATCTCACCTCCTACATGCGCCGCGCTGGAATTTCTTTGATCACTCCCCCAACAATCTCCCAAAATCCCCAAGTTGTTTGGCAGACAACGAAGCCTTGAGAATAAACGATGGAAAAATATTCGCAATATCGAGATCGTGGTATGTACTTCTGGTCTTATTAGGATTGGAATCGCCCAAGTCTGACTCTTGCTAATGCGCTTCAGGATCCGGCATAGCTCCATTCTTCCCAATCTCGTCGCAACCCGCAGGAATATATCTACCAGTCCATATATTCCTTTTCCTCTTCAAACTACCATTTCTCCTCACAATCTCGACGACATACTTCCTATTTCTGCAATGGTTTCCACTCGGATCTCTACTCAAGAAAGCTATTTTATGGATGATATTGGGTATACCTGGAATCTGGTGGATTGATCTACAAATCGATGGTGTCAAGAAAGGGTCATTAGCAAAGAAACATGGAGGACGAGTACCGGAACCAGGAGACGTCATAGCATCCTCTTTTACCTCCCCGATTGACTCGCTATATCTCGCGGCTATTTTCGATCCCATCTTCACCGTATCTTATCCTCATACTCGCCAGGTTCAATATATTTCTTTGTTTGGCGCCATGTTCCGGGCTCTTTCAGGACCAGTGGAATATCCACCGAAAGGAGCCAAAATGACGGACTTGAAGACTTTGGTAGCTGAGCACCCAAAAAGAGTTATTGTGGTGTTTCCAGAATGTACGACAACAAACGGGAGAGGAATCATGCCGTTTAGTCCAAGTCTTCTCACAACGCCATCAAGGACCAAGATATTTCCAGTCAGTCTGAGGTATACGCCAGCAGATGTCACGACTCCAGTACCAGGACAATATTGGACATTTATTTGGAATCTTCTCTCTCAATCCACTCATTGCATACGAGTACGCATTGCAGAGGTGGTATACAACGACTCGCAGTCATTAGATACGGCAGCTGAGAAGAAAGAGAAATATCTGTCGAATTTTATGGACACATTAGGGGAGGATTCGGCAATGACGAGTAGCTCGGATACTTTGACAAGTTTGAACGAGCAGTCAAGTGATCTTAACGATCAAGAAAAGAAAGTTTTGGACAAAATTGGGGAGGCTTTGGCAAGATTAGGTCGAGTAAAGCGGGTTGGATTGACCATAAAGGACAAGGCTGCTTTTATTAACGCCTGGTCGAAGCGGCGGTAGGGTTTAATGATAGTTTATTTGATTATTGCGACAAGAATGTGTCGAAATGCCATCTTAATTGCATTATGCCAACAACCTCAGATCCAGTCTCACGGCGTCTTGGACCATCTTGCTCTACTATCTCTGGCAACGAATGTCCCAAACTAGAATGAGCTGCTCATGCCGACCTCGTATTTCGGTCTTGTGTTCAATGACAAGCAAACACTATTGTCTTGTGCTGAACTCTTCTAACCCCTTGACCAGCCAAATTGTACTTCGACATCTTCCAACAACGAAAAAAACCCCCGAGACCCCATTCCTGCCGGATTACCCGATAACAAGCACATCTGAGATCCCCTTTTCCGGCCATCTGAGATCCAAGAAAGCTTGCATCGCCAGCTCCATCCACTCGTTCCCAAGAAGCTCCAGGAAATACGCCGATTCGCTTTCTCACATCTTCTGCGTCTCCAATTATGCGATCACCATGTCTCGCAGGTGGATAAATACTACCGGACGTCCAGCCAAGAATGTGGGGAGATGATTCATGTTACGAATTCATCCCATCACAGCATATAAACGCGGGCGACCCCGTATTTAGCGACGACCGATGTCACGACTCGTACCGGGGGTTTGGTCCGATCTGCCCCGGTTTTCCTGTCAGATGTCAGCCACACGTCAACGACAGTGGATGATCCATGAATCATAGAGAATTATTTTCTGTGAGTTTTGGTGTTGAGATGTCCGGAAGGTTGTATGGAGTTTATTGTAGATGGCGCGTTTTAGGGATTTATTCTCCACATATGAGGGTGTCTGAATGCTATTTCGCAAGTCAATCGTCGTCAATTACATGTATTCATCGGACTCGCTTAGTATTTCTGAGTCTGAGAGGTATTACACCGTCGATCAGGAGACGAGTATTCAGTAGATCTTCTATGATCCTCCTTATGGGTCCTGTCAAGCTTTCTGCTCGAACTCTAACATCCCATCCCCGTGCCATGGCGGATCAAAACTCTCTCCAAGCGAATAAGCGAGGATTAACAAGTGAACTCACGACTTCTGTTCATGTGTAACCGGTCACCGAAAGTATGGACGTCCTAGAAAATCCGGAGTGTAGATTCTCTTATTGCTATCATAGATAATGAGTGAACAAATTATCTCTCCAAATCCATAGTATCCATGTAACCCTGCATCTTCCCGTCCAAACAAACAAACATATATATCTCCATCCCTCACACTTCCCATCTTCCTTCCTCATCCTTTCCAGATAACTACAATCCAAAATGCGTCTCCTCCCCCTCCTCCCCCTAGCTCTGCTAGCACAGGCACATTCCCCACCATGCACGAACAAAACAGACGCCACCCGCGACGCGATAATGGAAATCATCACCTCCCCACACACAGACGAAGTAGACCTCCTCGCCGCCAAAAGCCTGTACACATTATCCAAGTGGCAGAAAAAACACGACAGGAATAACACCTGTACGATTGAGAATGCTGTGAGACGACGAGAATGGTACGTTACCACATCAACCCCTTTCATTTAGCGAGGATGTGTTTCAGAGCCGATGTTGATATTCACAGGTCCAACCTCTCGGGCCGCGAGAGAATCGCATACACAGATGCTGTGAAATGCCTGCAACGATTACCGGCGAAGACTAATTCCACGTACGCGCCGGGTGCGAAGTCGCGGTTTGATGATTTTGTGGTTACGCATATTGAGCAGACGTTGAGTATTCATGATACGGTAAGATGCCTACTTATGAGGGATGAGACTTGAGTGCTTGTGAGTGATGGGGTTCGGGGAAAGTGGGCTGACTTGATAAAAGGCGAATTTTTTGACCTGGCATCGGTATTATGTTTATACTTATGAAAAGGCGTTGAGGGATGAGTGTGGGTATGAGGGGTATCAACCTGTGAGTTATAAACTCCCTCTTTTCTTGGGATGAGATGCTGATTATGATGGGGGTAGTATTGGAATTGGGGGAAGTACGCTAAGTAAGTTAAAAAGCTGATGTCTTGGGTTGAGTTGAGGATGTTGGACTGATGGTTACTAGGGATCCGATTCATTCTCCGCTTTTTGATGGGAGTGAGACAAGTGAGTAAGAAAGCTATGGGTAGTAGGAAATATACTGATAATTTTAGGTATGGGAGGAAACGGCGCATACGTCAATCACACCGGTGTGCTCATCACCGGTACTCCAGCTCCGTATGATGTTATACCGCCAGATCAAGGAGGTGGTTGTGTGACCACTGGTCCATTCTCAAAGTACTTCCCTCATTCATTCCTTCTCTCCTCCATCATCCATCTTCCACCTGTCTCTCTCCTCTTCTCCCGCTAATGTTCTGTTTAGCATGACAGTCAACCTCGGCCCCCTCGCCGCCTCCATCTCAGGCGTCCCATCTAACCCCCTCCCTAACGGTCTAGGCCACAACCCCCGCTGTCTGCGTCGAGACGTGAATAAAAACTCCGCTACCGTAACAACCAGCAACTACACGTACGCGCTTATAACCGAGAGTGAGACGCTCGCGCGCTTTCAGAGGGTGATGCAGGGAGAGTTCAGCTTAGGGAAGTGGGGTGTACATACGGGGGGACACTATACTGTTGGTGGGGATCCTGGGGGTGTAAGTCTCCCTCCCTCTATCATTCTATCTCGGGTGAGTTAATGTTGATGTGTCTTCAGGATTTCTTCGCTTCCTCGGGCGATCCCACATTCTACCTGCACCACGGAATGATCGATCGCGTGTACTGGCTTTGGCAACTCCAGGATTTGAGTACGAGACTTAATGAGGTGGCGGGCACGATTACGTTGGGGAATGTGCCGCCGAGTCGGAATGGAACGGTGGATGATGTTGTGGGGTTGGGTGTTAATGCGAAGGGTGTTAGGTTGGGGGAGTTGTTGAATACTATGGGGGGTTTGGGGAGGGAGTTTTGTTATGTTTATGTTTAGGGGGTGGGGTAGGTTGTTTTGGTCAGCTAATTTAGCGGTATAATAAGATACTCCTAGGATTATCATGAATTTTTAGGTCAAGAGCATATGTGAAACCAAAGGCTGTCTAGACTTCGGTCTCACCTTCTAAAAGCATAGAGCGGGTCGTCTTTTCAAATTAGGAAATAGTAACCTCGCCTATAAAGAATCTCTCATCTCGCCGCTTAACAAGTACCGTAGGCGATAACTCTCAATGTCTCATAACCGTAATCACACCTACACTAATCCGAGTCTGGGAGTAATAGCGTTTAAAGTAGAACTCATCAAACAATCTTAAATCACTTTTCCTTCTCGGTTTCTAAACCGATTTAAAAGGTTGATAAGCTCGACCGACCGTTCCAATGTCCTTTGTACCCTTTTTCACTTTGAATTTAAGGTGTTTGTATGCCGTGGCTTATTTTCAATTAGCTGCTTTCCTCCTAAGGAAAAGTAGATTGCAGAGCGTAAACTTAAAGCAGTCTGCGATGAACAAAGGGGATATATAGGTTTAGATAAATACGGCTGTCTGTCGGGGTTCTGGCTATTTCAATTTCAAACTCATCTTTCAATTTCAAACTTATCTCTGAATTTCTGACGAGAAATTCTAGGAGTAAAGCGTTTAGTATTAATACCATAAAGCTGTAGTGCCTATGCTAGGTAACAGCATTTGTAATTTTGTAGTCGTATTTAGTTAGGGATTATTACTTAACTTTAAATCGGCTATGTTAATGAACGTTACAACTCTAAGTATAATGTAGGTTTAATAAAAAACTTCTCGGTAGATAGTTTACTCTAATATAGCTCCGCGTGTTACATCTAGTAACTCAAGTGGTGAACCCTTTTGTCGCGATTCTAGTAAGAGTAACTTTAAACCACAAGACTTTGACTCTTGCTCACTCTCCCTTTTTTCTTTTTTTTCCATACTCCTTCGAGTAAATATTTGCTACTTTTGCTATTAAAATTTCAACAATTCTGTTTCAGTCAATAGCGCATGGTGTTCTACTTAAAGGGTAATGTGTTATAGAGGGTGATAATGCAAACCTGCCCCATCTCGCTTGCCTCGCTTCCCTCGCTTCTTAGATCAAGCACAATGTTTTCGGCTGCGGGGTCACTTGACACCTTCAAACGAAACATTCTTTTACGAAGAGTACCGGTCTCAACCTTTATTCGATAAAAGCTCATATTTACACGAGCATTAATGCAGCGTGAAAGTCAACATGCGACTACTGAATGCCTCAACATTTGAGATGTGCGAATTTTTTCCCCACGATACGCCGCCTTACGCAATACTGTCGCATACATGGGGGTCGAAAGAAATAAGTTTCCAAGACTATCAAAGCCACAATCTGCCTTCTGTGAACCATCCTGCCAGGAGGAAATTGACGGGTTGCTGCAAGCAAGCAAAGATTGACGGTATTGATTGGGTCTGGATCGACACATGTTGCATCGACAAGACATCCAGCAGTGAATTATCCGAGGCGATTAATTCCATGTATGCGTGGTATGAAGAATCGGAAGTGTGTTATGTGTATCTCGAGGATGTATCGTATCCAGAAGGCATTGTGGAGCCCGAACATATACGGGTTGAGTTTACATGGGCAAGATGGTTCACGCGCGGCTGGTGTCTACAAGAATTGTTAGCTCCTCGCAAGGTTGAATTTTATACAAAAGACTGGGCGGAAATTGGCACTAAAAGAAGCCTCCAGCACTCGATTGAGTTTGTAACAGGTATCCCAGCTGATGCTTTGCTGAAGAGGACAAAGCTTTCCGATTATACGATCGCATACCGAATGTCTTGGGCTTCGAAAAGAGAAACGACTCGACCAGAAGATGAGGCTTACTGTCTCCTTGGAATTTTTGAACTTTCAATGCCGTTGATTTACGGGGAAGGAAGACGAGCGTTTCAACGTCTCCAACAAGAGATTATACGGCAGACTGAGGACTACACTTTTCTTCTCTGGAGCGAAAGGCTTCGTGAGCCAGCAGGTGTCTTGGCATCATCTCCAGGTTGTTTCTTACAAATGCACTTCGAAAATCATGCCGAGATGCTTTCTATGCGTGTGATTCCGACTGTTGTCACGGACACCGGTTATGGAACTTTGAGGTCGGTTTTTGCAAATAAGTCTGCATTGATGACCATTGGAGGGGATTTAAATGTCAGACAGATTTCAGCAGAAAAGTATGACGAAGATCATGCCCCAGCAGAAATGGGATCTAGTTCTGTCGCGAACTCAATCCTGGATTTCAATAAGTGGAAACCTTTGCAGATCACCACTCGAGGTTTACACATGAGCACTTTTGTTAGAAGGCTTAACTCGAATTCACGCAGTCTAGTTCTTTGGACACTGTGCATGTCTCATGACGGCCGGTTTATGTGCATATTAGTTGAGGAGGACCGAACCAACGGAGTTCTAAGATACAAGCGATCTACAGACGACGTGATTCTGTTGGAAAAGACTTTGGCCGCTTTCACATTATCCGAGTTATATCTCTTTACTGAAGTGCGAGATATAGCACCTAGACGGAAAAAACGCCTCTTAAGGGTTCCACAGTTAGACACAATTATATCTGCCACGTCCGCCGGGAGGATTGTATTTATAGAAACTATTCCCAGCATTCCCATTGGCCATTGGGAAATCACCGTTGACACCGAACGGTTCTTCTGCGGTCATAAAATCCTAAAAGACCTTGGAGAAATCTTGTTGAGGTTCAAGTTTTCTGAAAATGCACCCACAGCAGACGTCACAACATACTTCTCAGTAGAGGTTGGTCTGGCTAGAGCTCACAATGACGAGCCGTGGTGCCGTATAGCCATTGAGCCTCAGTCCAAGTTTGAACCACGAGATAATTATCCTCAGCACCAGATCGACCACTCGAATGTTCGAAAACCATTCTCCGATAGAGCGACCCAAAAACTGCCTAATGGAAAGGTGGTTCTTGTGGCGATTAAAGAAAGGAAGCAGACGAAGTTTATACTAGAGAATAAGAAAGCACTAGTACTATGTCACACTTTGTATATAACAGTAAAGCATGGACCGGATGAAAACCAAATATCTGACGACTCCGAGTAATGCTTAGGATGTGAAGGGAAATAATATAAAAAGTATATTAAAGAACGCTTAGTCGCTCAATAGGAAATTTATGACAGAGCGTTAGTGACACAGCTTGGCGATCCAAAAGCACTCTATTCCAAAAATAGGATCGATTAGATCCGGGAATTAACTCGTCCTCTGGAACTCGTAGACATTTCCATTTCAACTTTATCTACCTTCTTTGTTCCAAAAACATTAAAACGTATTCTCCTATCACTACCTTAGCTTCGAGCCTTTAATATTCGTGGAAATAAAAATTTGGCCCTTATTCACAAGAAAAATGAAAGCTACAAAGTTCTCTGTCGACGAGGGCAATTTAGAAGAACGAAGATAAGATGTTATTAACTATTAACAGAGGACATTCTTATATCTCTGTCTAGATAAGTAGATAAATATTTTTTGTCGGGTAATTTAGTACAAAAATGTTAGAGCGATAAACTGTTATTTCTATATTGCGAGTTTTACTCGCTTTATCTTAAGAGGCGGATATAAATTTCCCTGTATGGAAGTTCATCATCGCGCGATAGATGTGTTGCATAGTTACCTGGTATCGTCTGTTTGACGTGCATCTGTGTAAAAGGTTTACAAACGATTCGTGTCACGAGGGCTACCCGGTTGTTAAATTCAGGGGGTTACGCTAAAGAATAAGCGAAGCGAGAGCCCCTGACGGGAGTAATGATGAGGGCTGGTTCTTGTTTCATTTTCGAATGGCATTAGATCTAAAGCTCTATTGATTTTTCATAAGCTACAGCTAACATCTACGCAACAGGGTATATATGTAAACAAATCAACACCTTAACTTCAGTTCCCTTATCTCGAATATTTTTACACATTAGCTAGATTGATCGTGGATCCTCCGCATAAATGATTGAATCTAGCTTCTTGAGCGAAAGATTAAAATAGTTCGAGGTACCTCTGGTTCGTATGTAGGTGTTTGACTTGCGAATTTTCTGGAGAATATCCTCGGCCATACCTTTGCTAGCGGGGTCGAATCTTTCGTCGATGAGGCTGTCCAGTAGAGTGTCCATAGGCCCTGCTGGAGATCGCGGTGCCGAGAGGATTTGTTGCATATGAGATTTATCAAATGCTTTGCTGTAATTATAGTCCTCAATATAGATGGCAAGGTCGGCGGCCACAGGAAGGCCAAACGGCTGAGTCCTAAGAAATGTGATTCTTTGGATAACGCGTCCATCGCTGTACTAAGCCAATCGCCCACGGGTGCTCTCCCGTCATCTCTACAATTGCGATAGCGTTTCTCTATTCGGCGCTGCTCTTTCAAGATATCGGCTTGAATTTCGTCATGCTTCTCCTTTGCCCACTTCTTTGCAGATAGGGGAATCCATGAGGAGAGGATACGGAAAGAGTCAACTAAACATTCTTCCTCAAGAATTGTGTCCCAGTACTCCACTTCTCCCTGAAGCTTTTCCAGTGCATCTTCAGGCTGAAAATCAGGATCGGCTTCCCTGATCCGAACTGCTGTTTCCATCAACATATCATCTAGGATATCAATAAATGTGTCGTGAGGCTTCAATTGCTGCAGCCATGGCTCAACAACACCACTCTCAAAATATGATTGTCTGCTGAGGAACAAGAACAAATCAAAGGCCAGCAAAAGTCCATTTTCAAGATTCCCTAGGCGCCGTATCTTGGGAAGAAATTCCTCGCATCGTGAAACTAATGTTCGGGCGTACCACACCTTCGTAGGTATATGATGTTTGCTGCAAGCATTGTCGAGGCCGCCCCTCATTGCGACAATTTCTTTCCGTAGCCGCTCGTAGGTCCTCTGCGCTATTCCAGAACCTTTGTTCCAAGAAGACAGCCTTCCAAAAGATTGTTCCAAGTAGGGACGGGCTTCCTTTTGCTCAAAGAACTTGACATGCGGTTCCAAGACATCAAGATATTTTGACACCAGAAAGATCTTGTCTTCTTCGTGCAGTCTTTCGAGAATATGGAGAAGTAACACATCTGCAGAAGAATCTGAGGGACGAGTTCGATCATTTTTGTCTTGATCAAAGTTTTTGTGGCAATAAGACTGAGCACTCAGATAGATCAACAAATCACAAGCTAATTGAAGACCTCCAGGCATTTCTGCAAGCCTGCCAACCTCTGGAATATACTCAAGCATGGCTGCGTCGCGTTTTTCGGTCTGATCTATGCGGTTGGGGCTATCATTCTCAATTGCAAGAATTTTCTCATCAATCAAGCCTCGAACAATATTTGCGTGACTCTTAGCAGCATCTGGGTGTAAGTCGACATGTTTTCGTGTTGATGGAGAGGTTTCTATTGGCAAAAGTTAGATCGAAAGCTAATATGAGGAATTATATATATTTATTATATATTGATAAGCTCACTGTGCAATAGATCCTGGCTCAGGACGAAAGATTGTAGCTCTTCAAATTGAGATTGGAGTGCTTGCACATCCGGCGAAACGAGGCTTGTGCTTGTGCTAGGTGTGCTAACTCCAGCTGCTGGCTTTCTAGTGCTTCTTGTTTTCCGAGGAGCGTCCAGCTCAACTGGAGATATCGATCGTTTAATTGAAGGCATTGGGACGTAGAGTTTGCGTAGAAGGAATCAATTATTAGGAGGGGCTCTTCTGCCCCGAATGATTGACAACAAAGATCAAAGGTCAATAGCATTCATGGGTTTATTAGGAAATTGTTAGACTTCAACAGAGTTGGTGGTGTGACGCGACGGACGCGTTCCAAGGCGCATCAATCGTGGTCCGTGCACAGACCCCGCTTGAGCTCACGTGCCTCCATCTCGACGATATCTCCGATTCCGAACAAATACTCTTCGACATCTTGATATTTCTCTACTTCTCAAATCAACTAAATACCAACAAAGTAAACTCTAAGCAAATGGGTTCTCAATTCGATTCAATAAACCATGTATCAGCTATTAATCAGACAATCAGATTACTATTCATGCGGCAGACAGTGACGAAATCTGTTCAAAATATAGTACCGTGGGTCTATACTTAAGTACTAGTCTCGCTAGTACTCAAGGAAGTGTGTGAGATGATCACTCGTATGTTGAGGGGACTTTCATGTTGCTACGAAACACACCATTTGTAGTTGCAAGAGCTGGAAGGTCAACGACCTAGCAACGTATGGTTCAACAGTCCCCTTCCGTCGATTTCTGAAAAGACTCAATATCACAGGCCAGTCGAGTATCACCTTCCATTTACTTTAGTTGCACATTTCCTCTTACGTTGAAGATGCCGTGACTGACGGCTTTCCTAGCTTTACAACAAAAAGAACCCGCAATTTTCAGACAAAATGGAGTGGATCGCACCACAATCATTGAAGAGATACTTTGGTTTTGAACTCAGAAGTATCTGGCGCTTGGGGGTTTGACATTGCCAATTATCAGGTAGTTGATAATACTGCCTCGCAGAAATGGATGAGAGTAACGCATTTATGAGGTCGTCGTATGGTGACTAATGTCGTTTTTGATACAGGTCGAACGGACAGAACTTGCAATGGATAGTAAGAGGAGCTCGGTTAGACGCTTTCTGGCTTACTATATTCGCAAGACTTCAACGACTGTCACCCAACACAGTCCAAGAGGGTTCGGTCTTTTGAAGCTGGGAAGCGCTAGTTTGAATGAATATTCCAGCGTCATTGTTAGCGACCGCTGACCAAGCGCGTCTGACTTAGGAGATCAAGCACCAATGGATCCCACGACCATGGATTGGTTTACAACAAGATTTAGAACATATTGTTATCATTAATGTGGGTAGAGTCTACGTCTGCCTGTCCTATGTTACGCAGTTACCCAGGTTTTCACACAAACATGCTTACCTAACAACAGACTTTGATTACACTGCAGTCTCCAAAATCGATCATTTGTTCTTCATCTCCTCGTCAAGAGCCTTGATCTCTTGGTCCATACTGGACCCGGTGATGCTCGCCACAGCATGCAGACCAATCTTCGCTAGAAAGATATGCGTCTTGTTAGGCATCCAGCTCTCCTCAACAGCAAAGTCTTTGTTTCCTAGGCGTCCCTTGATGCTTAGGTGGAAAGCTTCTTGATCTGACTCATCAGCCCGAATGATGCCCTTGAGCTCGATGCGCTGGATGTCAATCATGGCGTCTAATGTTGCTGCGACAAAGTCACGAATTGCGTTATAGGCTGCTTTCTCCAGCGCACTGAAGGCAGCAAGAGCCTTCTCAGCTGCGAGCAAGGCAATGTTGTTCTTGCGCGCAAACTCGACGGCTTCTTCCAATGCCACGTAGCCCACCTGCTTGAACTCACTGGCCATCTTCTGCTTCTGCTTATCTAGCACTATGCTACGCGCGCGTGCCTCTTCCTCGTACTTCTGACATTCCTTTTCGACGTCTGCAACTAGGCTGTTGGCATGCTTCATGAGACTATCGAAGTTGAAGTCCTCTTCCCTGATCGTCCTCTGTAGCTCATCAAACGCAAGCGATGCGATACGGCCTGCCGTCTCCAAGGCGGAGCGGATCTGGTCACCCACGGTGTTGAGGTATTGCTCGGCCGCTTCCATAGCCTCTTTCAGCTGGCGGAACAGAGGGCTATCAACAATCTCACGCGCGCCGCGGAGGATGCCCTCATAGACGAGGAGGCCTCCTCTTGCAAACGCCCATGCGTTCCGTTTCGCCAGGTACTCGGCCTCCAGGTCGACACGCCACCACTCGTGACTGATGCGATCCTCGAGTCGATCGGCCTCCCAGCTGAGTCTGTTGACTTCACGCTCAGCATTGTTCAGATCTCGCAGAGCGTTGTCAATCACGGCGCTTGCATTGCCAAACTTGGAAAAGAAACTATCGCGTGTATTGGTGCGCTTGTTCCTCGCCTCCTGCATCTTCCATTCCCGGTTACGCTCTTGGTTCTCCTTGTCTTCATCTGCGCTGCGACGTGCAGCAGCTTTGGGCTCGAGGCGAGCCGCACGATCTTTCTCCGCCTGCGCCTGCTTTCCACTGCACTTGGCTCGCTCGTCAGATGTGTATTTCTCGTTGCGTTGCTTGACTTTCTCAACGTTGTCTTGCGCCTCCTCAATCTCGCGATCAAGACGGTCGATTTCTTCCTGTAGCTTCTTGTGCGCGGCATCCAGACGCTCCTTGGCCTCGCGGCAATCTCTTTCCCAATTCTCTTTTTGACGCTCAACATCATCCATGGCGCTTTTGATACCCTTTTCCATGGCTTTGTGCGTATTATCTACAGCCGAGAGAATGCCCTGCTTGACCTGTGCAATGATAGACTGCTCCATCAAGGCGTAGATCTCCCAGTCAGAGCCTCCGGGATGGCCTTTCAGCTCCTTTCCTGTCGCGATGTCCTTTTTGCCACTTTCTGTTTTCCTGCGCTGATGCATCTCAGCGTGCACCTTCACAAGCAGACCAGCACTCCACTTGAGCTCAAAGTCAAAGACGAACTTGGGCGATGGCATAAACTGGCAGTCGACGAAGCAGGCGCACGAAACTTCGAAAATTTCAATCCGCCCACTCAGATAGAACGACTGCTTGATCGGGTTGAGCGTGATCTCCATGGATGCGCCTTCTTCACCCTCGAGGGCTCCACTGAGCTTCAAAGGACCCAGTTCAAAGCCCTTGATTTTAGTCAAGCAGTGAAAGCCAATACTGTTTAACTCTGCATCCATGGAAGCCTCCAAATCCCAGAGCTTGATTATGCCCTTGAATTTGAAGCCCTTTGGATAATAGGTATCGAGCCATGTGCAACCTCTACTGACGTAGATATCTAAATCACGTATATTGATAAAGTCGACGTCGGGGACGGGCATGTCCTCATCGGCTACTGCGGAGATGAATTTGCAGAGCTGCGGGACACCAAGTGCATTAGCCTTGATATTGACCAGCGTTTGCGTCGGGTTTGTCCCCAGCTGCATCTCGCAGGTGTAGCTGTCCTCCTCGATGGTGAAACGGCCACCAAGTCCAAAGCTTTCTAGGGCACCCGTGGATAGCAGCATTGCCCACTTCGCACTCACGCGGCCCTGGAGAGAGTATACGACAAATCTGTCACTGAACCCCAATGGTCCCTTTATGCCATCCAATGCATCGATCTTCATCCCTATCGAGCCACCAATATGGTCGGCAGCTATCTCGAGGATGAATTTAATGGGTTTCTTGCCCGGCTCGTCCACTTTCATATAGAGTTCGCCATGAAACTTGCAAATAGGATCTGACTCGGCATCAAGCTCCAGAAAGATGGCACCAGAATAGAACCGATCGCCAAACTCCACCTTGAATGATGGTGGCAGGAAAATGGTAATTTTAGGAATTTTGTCCCCCTTCTGGTATCCAATGCGCAGGTATGCTCGATCTGTCGCTGTCGACTTTTTGAGCACCTTGCCCCCGTCTTTCTGGTCTTTGTCTTCCAGAATAGGCACGCGATCGAGTGTAGCGCACAGGTAGAAACCCTTCTTGATGGGGAACCTAGAGATCTCTGGTGGCACGTCTGGGTTATCTGAGTTGGTGCCCATAAACGTAAGATCAGATAGTTGTGCATCAAGGAGACTGTCTTTTTTGATCGCATCGCCGCAAATGTCCCGCAAAGACACTGTGGAGCGGGCTTTGCCTGCCAACAGCACTTCTACCCCCTTTGTTGGCGACTTGGATACGGTAAAGGTTACGGCGAACTTGAATTTGTAGTCGCCATCCAGGTCTTTCGGGCCATATGGTAAGACAAGTATGCCATACACCTTGAAGCCAAAGAACCAGCTGACTTCTTTCTTCGGCTTTTGGTCTGATCCCGACCCTGCATCTGCAGTCGTAGCTGGCGTGTCAGTGCACTTGGTGTCTGTTGCGGCTTTCTTGCCTGGGACAGCTGAAAGAGAGTCATTCCTTTTGGCTTCGTCCATGGAAGTCTTTCCAGCCGATTTTGGAATGAGTTTAATATCTGTCTTGTCTGACTTCTTTGTCTCTTTGCTTGTTTCTTTGGCCTCATGGCCACCCTCGACGCCCTCATCGTTACCATTAGCTGCCGTTTGCTGGCCTTTCCCATCCTCAGGGAGGTTCTCGGAACGCCGTGCAATAAAGAGATCCAGGCTAGCCTCTCTAATATAAAAGTCCGTCTCTGGGATCTGGAACTTCTGCGCTTTGCCACTGATGAAGATGCCGCCAGAGGAGATGATGATACTCGCCTCAAAGGTTGCACCGTCCACAGTGATCATACCGTAAAAGGCAAACTTGCCACTGAAGTCGATGCGGAGGCGCATGCTGTCCAGTCGAATATCCTGCTTCGGCTCTGGAACCTCGTAGTCATGGAGTTTTTTCGCTGCCTGACGTATGTCGTTGAACGTGGGACCCGTGAGAACGGCCTCAATGTATGAACTATCTGTCCGGCTTCTCAGCATCGATCTTCTTCATTACTGTTACTTGGGGTTTCATACTAGCCTGTGTCTTAGTGGATGAATAGATCTCTCCTTTCAATGAGAGGTCCTTGAAGCCCATGTTCCAGCTTCCCTCAATTTTGCAGGCAAAGCCATCGTCCAACGCGGCCTTCTCAGCCATCTTACCAAAAGCCTTGTTGGCATTCTTGGTTGGGATGTCTGCCGTGATCACAATGTCTTTAAGCTACATCACGTCAGTAAGTGGTTCAACTTGGGCCTCTCCATGTGTGGCATCGTACCTCAAAGTTCTCAATTCCAAAGGCGTGGTCCCAGCTCTTGCCCTCAGAGAGAACCATATCAAAGTGGATATTCTCAGGGGAGTACTGCGCTGTATACTCGAGCTGGAGAGGTACCACACGTCCAATGTACAAGTGCAATAGAATGTTGCCAAAAATTTTAGCAGTGAAGCTGCTCTTGCCTTTGTCGTGAGTGGTATCCGGCTGTGGATTCGTTCCTGTCGTTACAGGCCCAGAAGGGTGAGTCAAGGCTGCCGAACCGACGCCGATCAACTTATTGGGATCCGTAAGATCCGCAATCTTCGAGATAGTGGAAGAAACCGATGGTTTCGGCTTGGGCGGAATGTCTGGCGTGTCGGCAGGAGCGCTGGATGAGCCAGTCTCCGTCTTAAGCTTCTTGGGATCGGACATCTCACCACTCTCAGGTGGTGGCCGTTTCTGACCATCCTTTTTGTTTTTGTTGTTTTCAAAGGTTATGCGCATGCCTGCGGAGACGATCTCGAGAAGTACATTTCCAGGAGGATACGAGACGCGCAGGCCACCCAGACATCCAGCAAGCGTGAGATTATCGAAATGCAGCGGCTTATTGTGGTCCAAAGTAAAGCCTAGAAATGCTGAAAGGCGAATGACAATGTCAGAGTCGGAGAGAAACATTTTAAAGAACTCAAGTGGTCCGTCCAGCAGGCCACCCAGGATCAAGTCGGTGCGGAAGTAAAGACCAGGAGCATTCTTTTCGATCTCTCGAGGGTAATACGACAGGATGCAGTTCTCGAGGGCAAGGTCTCTAAATGCAGAGTTCTCGAAAGATGGAAAGAAGTCAACGAGTTGAACGTTGTCAAATATCTCGATTTCCTGGATACTGTCCGCGGAAGGTTTACTTCCAAAGGTATCACGCCAGAGAGGACTAAGAAAGTAGGAGTTTTTCTCTTGTTCCTTGGTCGGCCGTGTTGCTCCTGGTCTGGTAGTGAACCAAGAAGTTTGAGCTGGAGTTGGGCCGACTGCTTGGACAGGGCTAGAGAGATCTCTCCCCATCGTCTCGTTGGAGGCTTTCGGGTCGAAGAAGTGGCTATTGATGCCCTGATCCACGGATGTGTCAACAAAGGTTGACATGATCGGGACTCGATAAGAGGTCAATGGCTGTAGAGAGCCCACCTCGCTGAATGACGGACTGTAAGAAAAGATGCTCGGCCATAGCTGGCTTAGGCAGGCTTGATAAAGGGAAACTTAACCATGCTTCCCTAGACTGGACGTTAGGATTGTCAAGGGCATTTGTGGGCCAAGGTTTGGATAAGCAATGCGGAGTTTACGCCGAGGAAGTATCTATCACAAGAAGTAAAGATACCCAGACAGTCAACTCAGCTCAACTGGATCTATGAGAATCAATCCCGCCAATAATATGACCAATATGGACGGTTTTTGGCGATCATGCACCTTCACGCATCTGAAACAATATCACAATGGTCTAGCCAGACGTTCAAATGTATTTATTGACAGCTGAGTTCCCGATCAAGTTGTTGAGTCGGCGGCAAAGCGGCCAAGGATTCGTTAATTGCTTTTTCGAATTGCGGCGTCGAACTGGACCACACTTGGTGGCTGACTGTAAGAAGCACCCGCAGTAAGATGTTCCCCATCTGGACGCCAAGGAGAGTTTAAAAAAAGCTTGGCCAAGCCCCAGATTCTCAAAACAGAACCCCAGATTCAAGCCAAGGAAAAACTCACTTTCTCACATTGCTTTCTATCATTCAACTTGAGCAAACATCTTTGTGTGTTCCGAGTCTAGCTACCATTTTTGCTTTCGGATCACCTAAATTCTTTATAGCTACGACAACTCAGATCATTTAATATGTCGATGCAAAGAAATGACAACCTTGCCTCGAGCGAATATCAGCAGGCGAAAGAAGCTAGAAAGAATTTCCAAGTGAGTCTTGTGGGTAGAGGCCATCTTGAACTCTCCTCGCTGATTGCGTATTGCAGCCTGTAAGCGTGGGCACTGTCTGCGTATTTCCCCAGTTCGCGTTGGAATCCAACCGAAAATGTGCTGTGAGATGGCAACAAGAATACGAAGAGCGTGTTGACGATTTTCTGTTGGTTCTCTTCGAATATGCTGGAAAAGGTATTAGGCGGCTAGGAAAGGTCAACTACCCGGGCATCCTAGCTGACAGCTCACCCGCAGACCCGTTGAAGGCGTCCTGCTTTGGTCGCCTCTTCATATCCAACAAGTGTCTCAAATCTTTTGAGGCCAAAACCTCTAAGATTGACAACTTAAACAGCGACAACGAGTGGCGCGCCTTCACTGTGGATAATGACTTCCAGTACGGACAGGCTGACTCCAAAGGCACGCATCGCTTTCTGGTCTTGCATGACAAAGAGCAGAAACCATACCAGGTTAGCTTATACTTCCAAATGAGCAGGATCTGAAATCTGACCCTACTGATGTAGCACCGTTTCGTGAACTCGAGATGGGTGAAGGCGGGCACGCTGTCTCTTGGACTGCTGGACAAGGCGGGTTTTGGATCGCCTGAGGGGCTCGACCTCGCATCCGAACAAAGCCGCAACTACTTTGGCGATTACCTTCACAACTTTGACGGACAGGAAGTGAAAGGATCGGTGGATATGACTGGCGTGATGGATGGTGTCATGTCTGGCTTCGACGATTTCATAGACGAATTTGACCTTTGAGCATTCGACGCAAGTTGCCAAATGTTTACAGATTAGTGCAAGTTCACTTTGCTCCTTCTTTTGTCCGAACATTATCAGTTTGACAAGATCGTTCGTGAAAGTATGTTCTACCCGTTCTTCAACAGATGGTGTTTGTGGATGGAATGGGTCAACTCCATCCCATTCATGAATGGAGTTACTTTTAATCAAAAAGCCCACTTGATTGCCCTTATTGTAAGCCGAATTCTTATTTCCAGGCTTCTGCACAGAGTATTCTGCATAGGTACATCGACAGTACATGGTAAGGAGGTTTTCCTTTTTACTAATCAAAGATATAGTGGAAAAGTAGTATTTTCGCTGTATCTTGACCGCCTACGTATTTGAGGCTCTTTAGGCTATGTAGGCAGTACTCTATCTAGTGTTTACGAAAATGGAGATTTTATGCGGGAATACTAGATTATAGACGAATAGGCTACTAGAAGTGGTTTTCTTATTGGTAAATGGCCACCCCATTTATCAATTGGGTTTGTTGACGAACGGGTAGAATACATGCAGGGACATCCCGTGGCCTCCGCAGAATGCATTGGCGTGGAGTACTAGCGCCTGGGTGGCGCTCCGTCACTTCCCTGGCGTGGGCTGAACGGGCTCTAAGGGGAAGTGGGCACGGGAAGTTGTCCATTTTGGGTCACAGACTACACTAAAAATTAGCCGAGCAATACTGATTTCGTTGATAATAAACAACTTCGAAAGAATAGAGCTTACTCGTCCTATGCTTTTAAATTCTACGATCTAAAGGGCCAATTTACAGAGCTAGTAGATCTACTCAATTGAAGAAAATTACTTTATAGTCAAAGAGACTAGTGTCGTTACTTTTTGCCCCAAATGGGATGTTTTCCGCTCCCCCTTACATTAAGGGTGGCATTCGGCTAAGTTAGACGTCGCCAGCTGAACTGGGGCAACTCATAGTGATCTAGAAGATGTGAGCTTCATGGACTCATCTAGACCAGTGTGATATTGGCAACGAGCGCGTATAAGGAGGGTGCCAGAAGCAGAATATTCCTTCTGAGTCGCATCAAAGACTGCTCCAAACCGCTCTCCAAAATCACAAAGAACTTCCTTTTCGCCTTCAGAAACACCGATAGCAACATGCCTGTCAAGACTTCTGACGTTCTCACTATCCCCGAGGAGGGCAAGTGGAAGAGCACCCCCATTACCTGGAAGCAGAGCTTCAAGGACTACAACAAAAACTATCTTCGCATTGAGTTTACCAATACTCGTGGTATGTATGAGCCTAGTCAGAAGAACCAGTCTCCGTGATTCTAACTGAAACAGACGGCGAGGCTGAGAAGACCAATTATCTCTTCGTCTCGGAGGAGTTGCTTGACAACTTCAAGTCGTCCAAGATCCAAAAGACCGACTCAGGGTTCAAGCTCACGGTCGACGATGGCTACGTCTATGGCCAGCAAAAGGGAGGCAAAAATCGATTTCTCGTGTACCACGATAAGGACCGGCCGATTTTCCAGGTATGTCCCTGTGATATGTGTGGCGATTACCTTGCAATAGCTGATTTTATACAAGCACCGCTTTGTTGAGGGTACCATGGTTGCCATTTCTAAGCAGGCGACTGATATTAGTGCGAAGCTGGGTTATGGTGAAGTGAAGATGGTATCAAGCATTCTAAGTGGTATTGTCGGAAACAAGCTTCACCCTATGAGCGAGGGCTGATTTTCATGCCCAAGTGAATTGGCAATAAGACGTTGCTGTGTTTGCTTACTACTCGTATCTTGATAATCAATTTAATCAATTCTTTCAATGAATTTGTGCAATACAACAGGAATGATACTTGTTTGGCGTCGTAGAATTAGAGGCTTGGGCAAAGCTTTGTCAGTACGACAGCTTCTCAATCGTTTTCAAATCATTATGAATTAATAAACGGTTTAATCCCAATAATCTCGTCCTCCCAATTCATTGTTATGAAATCGTCCGAATCGTTGTTGCCACGAGCCTTCACCTGTCCAAGTAGCTTTCGCCAGTGGCAATATCTGCGCCTCAACCACCAAGTATTGTTGGGAGTTGACCCTCGACGAAGATGTTCAGCTCGTTCTTCTTCGAGTGGTAAGAAAACTGATAATTGATGATAAACACTCTCGACCGGCCAATCATCCTGCGGGACGGTGGTCCAATGTGATACGACTAGCATTTGGGCGGCTAGACTCAGATATTCAGCTGGTGTTGGAGTCAAATCTACAGCCATAAATGCAGATCTTCTGACTTGTTCATTTTCTTTGGCAGACTTGCTCATATTGTGCGGAGGCCCCCAAAATCATGCCTTCAGCTCCCCGGAATCTTTCAAGCTCAGAACTCCTGATGCAAGGAGAAAGGCCAATATCACAACTTGCTCACCTGTTTGTTTGTGGCGTTGATGCCGGCAGCTGAGCTGGATATTCTGGGCCGCTTTCAATACTGCAAGATGATTCATCGCGATTTGCACTATCTCCTAGGCCGTGTTGAGAATTATACTACCCTTTCGAAGGGATTAGCTGGTAGAGATTACAGGACTTAGCGAGAAACTAGGCTAGATCTATACAAATCTTGTGTCAACTGACCTACCATTTTCCCTACAAAAGTAGCCTAGCTTCTTCTTTCCCTGGTGATCTTTCGAGGCACGTCCTGTCAAAGTGGTGGTGTCAAATGTGTAGTGCTTAAAATGGTGGAGTTTATCAATAACGATATCACAAGACGATACACGATTGCCTTGGATTTGCAATGATCTGATTCCATACCATTTAAATTAACACATGAACAGTGAATGCATGGGACCTTCCAGCTTAGCAAGATTTCGCTGAAGCTCGGGGAGAGAGATGTCTAATCTTCTCCTATATAACCATAGTCCATGCCCAGTAGCAACCAATGGAGATAGTCAGAATCTCGCCCGCCGATAAAGCACAGCAACATAAAGCACAATCCACTTCACACTTTCTATCATTTCTTAATAGGATCATCCTCAATTCATCATCATGGACAAGTCACCACAGCAACAAAAGAAGGACTTAATCACCAAGCTCGGTAAAACTGGTGGCAAAGAATTCGAGAAAGATGTACAAGACCTCCTGAGTGCCAAACCTTCCGAGCAAATCATCCCTAGGCTGTGGACAAGGACCGATTTGATGCGTGATTTCAGAAAAGAACTCGAAAAGAGTTCTGATGGCGTAGAATTAAAAGCCACCTTTTTCTCCGCAGCTCTGTCTAAAGCTATTGAGAAAGTCGCCAGTGGGGGAGCCGGTGATCCTACCGGCCTCATTGATCAGGCGACAGATTTCGTCCTCGACACAGTTCAGAAGCGAGGTGTTGGTGAGGTTGTTGGCTACGTCGTTCAGAAAGATTTTGAAAGCAAGGCGGCAAGGAAAGCAATGCGTAGCTTCGGAACAAAATTCATCCTCATGAGCATCGCCCTTGCCAAGGGCACCGCTCTCACGCCCGCCGCTCCAGTTGGCATGATCATCACGTACATCTTGTATCTGCACGAAGCGGCGAAAGAAAAGCAAGATAATTGGAACAAAGAACTCGCAAAGGTTCTGGACGAGCGCCTGGAAACCATCCGAGCCAATGCCCAGGCCAAGCTCGATGCCAAACATGAGACGCAGATTAGGAGATTTCTGTTGTCTAACATCGCGCACGAGACCGAAGATAGCTCGCCTTTGGGCAAGTACAAGAACTTTACCCTCAGTATCGGGGACGCCGCGCAGATTCGCGACAACATCAGAGCCAACTTGGCCAATGCAGTCACCAATGCTGATCTGATCCTGATCGCCTCGCAGCTTGGCCTCAAGACTAGCAAGACCCAGACGCTCACTTTGACGGAAGGGCAGATTGAGAAGTTGAATGCCTTCGCTCAGGATATTAAGGATGCTGACTTCCATATCGATGTGATGGATGAAAAGTTATACTGATAGTAGCGGGGTTTATTTCACGCCTGGATATGAATATAGGGGACTTGGGTGGTTTTTGGAGCCTTTGGAATTTGTAGCAGGTGACTTTTCTGACCTTCATTCCAGCAAGTTGAACGCTATGTAACCGTAGAGCAGCCTCACTGTGATTTTAAATGAAAGAACCCTGTTCACTGAAGTCCCACTAGACATATTAGAGCTATTTCGAGAAAGCATGAGAAAACACACCAAGTTTACATCTCGGTATACCACCAAAAGTTTCCACGTGTACTCCCCCCTGAAACATCTACTCGTTTATTGAATGATGGCCAAGCTTGGCTTATGGCCCTTCAAGTTCACAATTATTCAAATCTCATATCGTTCTCTAGAAAACAAAGAAGAACTGCTATATAATGTGTTGACCAGTTCAATAGAGATGTGGCCGGTAGACTTCATTATTGCTCCTTGGGAAGCTCGAAGACAGAGACCCTTCCTAACTGCATTCAAAATAACCACAAGCAGAAGCCCATCTGTGGAACTAATTCGGTTTGCACAGTGGAAGGCCCAAAGAACATCCGAGCTAGTCCCTGGACTACTAAATAACTCAGACTTTAACTCTTTTTTTCACTGGTTCCGTTTTAGTGTCTATATGTGCACTTCCTGTAGGAAAACTGGCATATTTAGATCCCGCGATACAGTTCACAAAGAGAGTTTTAGGACAGAAGTACTCTCTATCGACTAGTTTTGGATCAACGCTTGTACTCGAAGGGATATTCTAGTTTCTATCTTGATAAAGTCTCTTGTTCTGCCACGATACAGAATGAGAAGCCAATTTTCTTGCTTTTTCATTCTGGTGATGAATTTTGGGTCTGATGTACGATAGCTCAAGACTGCGACCAACAGGACGAAAAGCTGGGCGATTTCGAAGGCTTGAATCACTCGGAGGCGATTTCAAGAAAATGAAGTATTTTTTTGAAGAGATGCCAAGAATTCAAAGTCGCTAAAACCATAGTTTTATATGGATGCCGATGCAAAGTCGGCTTTTGGTCGAGATCATCTAGACTCGAACTCTTCCTTAGATAGAGGATGAAGTAAGGGGGGCTTGTGTTTGAAACAATCGCTGTCACTTCTGCCAACTTTTTAGAGTAATTTTTGCTCGACACAAATTGCAACATATCTCCTGGTCTAGAGATTCTGTTACCCCCATCATTTTCGGTGTCCTCGATGCCACGAAAAAGGCTTGATAAAGATGTATGAGATGTATGAATAAAGATCACGTGTCAGGCAAGGATGAGTAACAGCAGTATCAACGGTTATGGCATGTCATATATTTAATTTTAGAGTTCAGCTAAAGAAACCCCTCTAGATTCTGAGAGAAATCACAATTTCCAAACTCGCCGTTCATATCAAAGTTCGAAAGATCAGCATAATCGAGCTCGAAATCAATGGTGTTTTGCGAAAGGTAGGGTTCAGAGTTCAGATGATCGTCTTCAGCACTAGTGATTGCCTCTGAATTTGAGTCTAGTTTTGTTTGCGTTAGAACGGTATCTATGTGGGCATGACCAGTTGTTTCTTGGCTCCACTGTGATGGAAGCGAAATTTGAGAGCTCGAGGCAGAGGTATTAACACTGGACTCGCCAGGTGTTAAGGGCAATGTAGATGGCATGACTAACGGGCTACTGTCGTATCCAGAATCCGATCGATCATTGCGGTCAGGCTTTGAAGGTGTTATATTTGGATCTGATATATCCAAGCCAGACTCAAGGTGAGTTTTAGGAGAGGGTGGTTGGCAGAAAGAAGGCAGTCGAGCTTGGCTTCGACCCTCTAAGCTGGCGATTGTTGTTGGCTCGCTCCTTAGAGGTGATGTTGCAAAGCCTTGCGATGAAGAAGAGGATGTATTTGTTTGCGGGCTTGAACTTAGAGCGCCTCTTGCAGATGTCCCTGTAGTTGTTGAGGAAGATCTGTACCTTGAGAAAACTCGATCTTGGGCATCGCGAATTAAGTCCATTAACTGGCTCCTAAGTTGTTCCTCGAGAGGTTGTGTATTGCTGTTCACAATTTCTTCTAGTGAGGCTCTAAAGACCCGTGGTAGTTCTCGACGACAGTATTCTTCGTAGTCCGCAAGATCCCGAGAGTCGGGCGACTGAATCACATCCTCCTGGATTTCTTCGAAGACTAAGCTTCATCTTAGCTTCTAACCACAGTGTTTACAATGATTGAGCAATCCAAAAGTGCGAATCTCAAGTTGATGCTGCAGGATGATGTGAAACTTACATAACTTACAAGGACTAGGTACCAATTCCCCAGGAAAAAGGATCTCGTAAATCTCTTTCCATCTGTCTTCTTCAGACTGGTCCCGGTGCGCCTTCTTCTTACTCCTCAATCTTTCCACCATCTCAGTTGTAATTCCATCCTGTTGCACAACGTCAAGAAGCTTACAACCTTCAGGCTCCATAAGATGGTCGTTCACCCCTTGCTGATCGTTGAAGACCTTTTTGCATCTCTGGCATGGAAATATCCGATGGTGTCGGTACAGATGTCCCCTGGTGCTGTTAGTACTATTCCAATTTAAAGAATGACAATGACTTACTTCACTCGAGCGACTGTCTCTAGGGGAGTTAGGGCACAAGAGCGCCAGTGTCGAACGCAATATCTTTTGGCATCATGCTTTCGATATGGACATGCGAACTTGCTGGTGTCGTCTTGACTTCGAGGAGGTGATAACAGACCTTTGGGCCTCTTTGGGTTTCGCTTCTCGCTTTCATCATTCTCATCCTCATCTTGTCTTTGACGTTCCCTCTTCCTGTTTTGGCCAGCAGTGGGACGGGTTCCATTAACCTGCACATCAGGTTGAATGCTAGACTTTGAAGCCGGTGCTGTGTTCTGTTGGTCCCCATGAGTTGTATGTTGTGCCTGGCGCTGTTGCGAAGAAGAACTTCGTGAGATGGTATTTTCATATCTAAATTACTGTTAATTTCATGTTTTGAGGATATCACCACTCGCTGTGACACAGTGCGAGACATACATGTCGTTTGCCTTTTCTTGGTTGAATATTTGCCAGAACTCCACCATAATACGGTCAACCAATTCCTGTTTCATTTTTGATAAAATCGGCCTTGCAACAAGGGTTGGGAGTTCCTGTTCACCCGATATATTACTCCCTTCAATAACACGTGCACCAATAGTCTGATGCGCATCGTCGGATTCGTCATCTCCCCAGTCTGTCTCATTATCTGAGAACCAGGAACATGTTTCGGAGCTAGAACCGAAAAATGGGGAGGGACTGGATGGTTGTCGCTGATCATGGGTAAGATTTTGTCTTGGTGATGTATTGATGACTGACTTGGTGGCGCATGGCAAAGGTAGTGCCTCAATGCTGCTCATTATATCTTCATTGCAGTGGCGCTTAGATGCAAAGCCAAAGCTTTGAGACACGGCGACTTGATGATCTCGACGTTCCGTTCCATTCTCATTCGCTAAAGACTTGGGCTGATAACCACCTTGCTCACACTCTTGGAGAACATCTGATAAACCTGAGGATCTTAAAGTTTTCTTGGGAGGGGTTTCGGCTGGCTCTACTGGGTAAAGCTTGGTATTTGTGTCCAGTTTTCTATCTTTAAGCACCTGAGTCGGCAGGTAGTTGAGGTTGGATTCACTGCTGGTTGTCGTTGAAAGATATAGATCCTCATTTGTGGCAAGTAGTGGCCACGGACAAGTTTCGTTATAGCCAGTTAAGAAATTCTTCACAAAATCTGGCTTAGCGAAAAAAGAGTTGTCAGAGTTGAAGTCATAGTCCGTAGACGCCGTAAAATTTGATTCGAATCCCGAAGAGTTCTCCAATCCCGGCAGCTCGTCCCACTGACCCCCGGGAGTCAGTACCTCAAGATCCAGGGTGTCATATGTTTTGGAAGAATCCATCGATTCCAATGAACCCGTCGATTGTATCGAAATCATTGATTCGCTCGATTCCCCTGAGTCCGTCGAGTCTATCGAATTCGACGATCCGTTCGAAGACGACAATTCCATCGGTCTCCCTGCCGGTTTTATCAATTCCATGGATCCAAAAAGATCGAATTGGTTGAACGGATACCCTAAGTTAGGCTCCGAGCTGGCAGATACCTCCGGAACTATAGTTACAGGCGTGAAGGCATGGGATCCTAAGACGTTGGCGGTTAGAAATGGTTTTGTTTGAGGGTTCTGAGAGTATTGGTATTCCTGATACTCAAATGAGTATTCCGATCGTGGTGTGTATGTGTTAGTCGAACAGTGGAAGGGCTCATAATGTACATGTGGAGGGGGATTGCTGACTTCCGTAGATGGTTGACAGGAAGGAGCATTGTATATCTGCCCCGTAAGACTTGGATCCATGGCAGGTACATTGCTCATACTGGCCTCGGGTGAGGGACAATTTGAGGGCGTCAGAACGTTCCGATTTGTTGGAGATGAGCGGGGAGTGGGCAATCCGTGACGAAGATGACTTTGCGGTCTATGAGGAACTCGTGGTTCAAGTAGAGATCTATCGTTTCGATGGAGAGTCATGTCGTCTTGTCCTTGACGTGCCATCATCGATCTCTTTTTGTTTTGTTGCTCTAGGAGTTTAAGCTGCATTTGATAATCCTGCAATGCATGGTTACCAGTACCAAATGGAGCCGACATATTGAAACTGGCGATTAAATCTACTTCTCGAGTGAGGAAGCCTTCCAATTCATAGGTTACATAGTCGTGTTGCTCGGCCTGGCTCTCGCAACAGCCTCGCTGCTTTGTCACAATTCAATCGAGGGAGACTGCCTTTCAATGTGAAAGGTAATTGTCTCTATTTTCAACAAAAGCAAAGCGATTGTAGCGAAATAACAAGCCAGTGAAGAGTTCGATGTGGAAAGAAGAGGAAACTTCTTCGAGGTTACGAGGACGGGCTCTGGGGCTGAACTGTCGACAGGGTTTAACGCACACCGGCGCGAATCTCACGTCTCTGCAATTGCACACGTGACTTAGATCACTAGGATGAAGGCAAAAATCGTGACCACTTTCGTGCGCAGCTGTGCGATTATACACTCTTCTGTGTGCCTTTTAAAATCGAACTGAGGAAGTCTCTACGCAGAAGTGCAATGCAATGGGACGTGTTTTGCAAAGTCGGAATGTCTTCATATTGTATCTCATATATTAAGCCACGATGATGGTGCTTCATGAATCTTTTAAATTCGATTCAGAAATATTGCCAAAATTCCCGTTATAGTATAATTTGATAACATTCATCTTCTCGTTATCAGAAACGTAGATTAGCAAGAGATGTCTTGCTGCAACAGAAAATCTACCGCCGTCGACAAGCAAACCACTATAATTTGCTCCAAGCACCTGCCTATTGAACGGTACTTCGACCATCTCTTCTTCTTGTTGATCATTTCTGACACTTTACTAGTGCCGAATACAGAGCGCAGAACTCGAGAGGCCTCAACAGCCATGTTTATGCCACTCCGAACGCGACAGAGCGCCTCACCCAAGGTGTAACAATGTCGAAAGCTCAATATCAAGCGCAAGCGGCAGCCGCGATTGATTCTTTTGACAAGACCTTTTACAGGAGGGATTGAAGGAGGTAGGGGATTTTGTTTAAGAGTCGAACGGGTGTGATTCTGTTTTACGCGAGGTGTAAAACAGATTGGGCTGGGACAAATGGTTTGGCAAACGTTCCTGTGGTATTTTGGAACAGCAGTTTGAATAAAATGTACTCCTGGTGCATCATGTACGAAACTCAACAGCTCAATAAAGTGCTTTAATATAGAGCCCAGTGACTTAATGGTCTACTTAAGCTACTTAAACTAATCATGAGTAGCATGAGTTACGTTTAAGTTAAGTTTAAATAGTTAATTATTATCTTGAGTTAAGTTTGAGTAGTAACCACTAATCCACTTAACTAAACTCATTCATTAAACTGATAGAGCCCACTAATCTTTCTCCAGAATCACCCGCAACTTGAGAATTCCATCCACCTGCTAATGAACTTTATTCAACCAGGTCCGTTTGGCTTTTTTCTGTCAACCTCGCTCGTGTGCTGGAGTACCACAGACTCCCCGCCTGCGTATACCGCTGTTAGTTAAAAAATGACTTGCCCTCTTTTTTCGGCAGCACTTATGCTTATCCTTCGGCTTGTCTAGTCTTCCTAAAATTCTTGAGAGATATCTGAAAACTCGACTTCCTTTTAGTCCTTCTCTAGTGCAGCCAAGTTTCAAATAAGCTTATGGCTAAATCTGTCTTATCAATACACTTTTCTTCGACCGTGTTCCGTCGTGGAAGCATAATTGTTTGATTGCTTAATAATTGACATCAAAATCTCCTGAATCACAATTTCCACCTATCCTTATAACAATCATCATGGCAAGCTCCTCATCGCTTCCATCTTCGTTCCAAGCCTATCTTAACCTGGATTTTGTCTGTTAAACTGCAAGAGCTATTTGAACCATTTACTTGATACAACTGCTAACGTCTCTCTTGTTCTTTTTGATTATGCTTGTACAGTGGTGCGTTTTCTATAGAAGCTGATTCCTTCGAAACTTAAAAATTAATTAACAGAACATTTACTCAAAGTCAAATGACACGACGGTACATTAAATCGTTTACTTTAAATGATTGTTTCCTATTTACTAAGTTGACTTGGTTTGGTGAGTGACATTACAAATGGTATAATATGATTGGCTATAAAAATGAGGCTGCAGTCAACCTTGAAAGTGCAGCAGCGAATGGCTACGTAGGCGCCCCTGCTGAGGCTATGCAGCCAGCGCAGCCAGCATGAACAATAATGTAATATAACCAACTGCTTTTGCCTATAACCTCAGACTTCGAGGTTAAGGATGGACCCTGTTTCAGCAATCGGTCTTGCTGCTTCGCTTGTGTCCGTTGGGGATGTTCTTGCAAGGAGCTTGCAGTGTCTAATCAATCTCCAATCCCGATACCGAAGCGCCAGCCTTATCGTTAGTCTGCTCATTGGGCAGCTGACGACACTCAAAGCTGCAGTGAATCAAATCACAGATTGGGTTACTACAAGCTTATTTAACGACCCCAAGCATGAGCAGGTTGTTGCGGATCTAGAAATATCCTTGGAAAGCTGCAAAATCTTGATTCTCGTGCTGGAGGAGCGGCTTTCGCAGCTTGAGCGTGATGGTGGTGGGAATTTGAACGTTAAGGGCAAGATTGGGTTCTTATGGGATGAGTCTGAGTTGAAGGAATTCTCAAACCACCTGAGTAATCAGGCTAACGCTCTCAATCTACTCCTTACAGCCTTGCATTGGTGAGTCTCGATATCCCTTCAGCCTGAAGTGAACTGATAAGAATTAGTCGAACTACTTTTGAGCGCAATGCATTGCTACAGGATAATGAAAGCCGCCGGATCATCAAGCGGATAGAAGAAAATAGAGCTTCCTTACTTTCATTGAGAGACTCAACGTCGGAAGACACGAGAAGGAGTAAATCGACGGATAATTCTCATCTTCTAGATACGGAATTTGACTTTGATCAGGAGGTCATTACAACTAGTGTTTACCGGGCTGCACTGAGATCCAACTTGCGAAAAGCGGCTCGGAAAGGGAAATCGCCCGGACTTCCAAGCGAAACTTTGGGAGGCTTCGATCCAATCCCTGAGATTGTAGAAAGTCCAGGGGTATTTTCGGGTAATTTACAGGAATCCCTATCTGGTCCATCTGGTAACGATGCCTCACTTCAATCACCCCAAGAGCTCTCGGGATATAAAAGATGGTTTCAAACAGACGAGGCTATCACGCACACCACAGAAGTAGATCAGGTCAGTACTCGACTAAGCAGATTGAGTAGATTAAGCGATGATGTCTCTGTACTGTCTTCTGAAACTCAGGAGCGAGATGATGAAGGGGGGCCGGGCCAGTCGTTACTCGCATCTCAGAACACGGTGCAAGAGAAACCACTTGAACCAAATAACAGGAAATGGCGTGCAAAGAAATACCGGATACGAAACATTTTCACGCCTCAAAGTAGCGTAGATATGCAAAAGTTACCAGCTCCTCTGGTTCTGGATCCACTAGTATCGGTAGATGGAGAACTACCAAAGGTGTTGGTGCTCGGAACTGGTAACAGCGGTAAATCAACCCTGTGTAAGTCCATGGACGCACTTTGCAAAGGAGGTTGGACTATCCAAGACCGTCTACGGTTTCAAGAAGCCGTTTTCACAAATACGATCCAAAACATGAAAATTATCCTGAAAGCTATGACTACGCTCGATATTCCTCTGGATTCTGACAAAAATCGTTCTCATGCTCTTACGATAATACACCATCCCTCGTCTATTGGTAGAGATTTCCCTCCAGATGCCTGTAATGCAATCGAAGCACTCTGGGAAGATGGCGGAGTCAAACAGACCTTTGAGAGATCGAACGAATACATACTACAGGACGCCACCGCATAGTGAGTATTCCTGTCTTCATACACTTCTCAATGCTAATTTAGTATACGAAAGCTTTTTCAATTCTCTAAGGCGTATTAGCGAACCAGAATATATCCCGACAGACGAAGATATTATCATGGCTCGTATCAGAAGTACGGGTCTCTATCCTATGATACTGAGCTCAGGTGGCATTAGCTTCAAACTGATTGATACTGGCGGAGAACGGAGTGAAAGAAAGAAGTGGATACATGCCTTCGAGAATGTCAGTATAGTCATTTTCACGATCGATATATCGGCATACGACCTTGTCCTATACGAAGATCTCAATTGCAGCCGTCTGGCAGAGGATATAGCGCTTTTTGAATCTATTTCTAACAGCCATTGGTTTTCAAATACGCAGTTCATCCTGCTTTTTACGAAATTGGACATTCTCGAGGCGAAACTCGGGAAAGTTTCTATTAAAACATATTGTCCCGACTTTCCTGGGAGAGAAGATAGTTTGGAGGATGTTAAGTGGTATATGGAGGATAGACTTTTGGCACTTATCAAAGATTCTAAGCGAATTGTTACAACTATCTTTACCAGTTTTTCAGGAGGGTACGAGGGCCCGGCAAACTTAGTCCTCGATGCTATTATTAATCAGCTTTAAAGCTCGCCTAGGATACACGGATTTACTGTTTAGATAACGAGGAGAGGATAGAATTGTTATCAAGATGAAGGTATATACGGATTTCTATTTTTTAGATATATATAGTATTGTCTGGGTGGATAAAGCAGGAATGAGCAAAGGATGTTTGCTGTTGTTGGTGATACTGTTAAATCTGATACATCTGGTGCTGATTAAGCCATGTTTATAGCAAACCTGTTTTATAGCCTGTAAATGACCTATTACAGAATATTCAATTTAGTAAAAAAAGAGAAAATTTATTTATTCTTTAAATAAACACTTTTAAATCTTGAACTAAGGGTTTAAAATAGTCAATAATTTTTAGATTATCAAATTATTAAGACTATAAGATACTAGAAGTATAATGTAAATCATCAATAAAAGTTTTATTCAAGTTATTATAGTATAAAAACAATACACAGCGTATTTAACATCCACTACTATGATTGTCGGAATAAGCAATATGTAGATTGCAGCTGTTAGGACTCAATCCGTCGGCGAATCATTCCCCAGATTCAAGAGAATAAGTAGGTATTTAAATCCGGGTGTTCCCTGGACCGACAGCAGCAATGTGAGAAATTAAGTCAGACCCATAAGGAATTTGGAAACGACAAATAAACGACAACATTTACTTGCTCCATCAATTTAACAGCAACCAAATTCTTAGGAAGTTAGCATTTTGGACATCTTCAAATTGACTATCGATCAAAGTTCCTACAGTATAAAGAACGAATCCATATCATGCTCACTAACATTGCAGCTTCCGCGCAAGAAGCATCGTCTCCCACATTCACCTGCCTTCCAGCTTCCCCAAAAGCCCAATCAAAATGCTCATCAGCCTCAACCCGCATCTCTCGAAAGTTGATCAAAATATCCTCAAACTCAGCAGCCCTATTCATGCCATGACGAGTGGTACGTCTCTCAAAGCGTCTAACCCCCCGTAACACGCTGTCCATCTTCCCAATTATTTTGAGGAGACTTTCATAGATCTCAATGTATTGCTTAGCTTCGATCAAAGTGACATTCGTCATCGCGTCTCGTTCTGCTGCTAGGGGTGTTGTTAGCTTGGTGGTGTCAATGTGCGAGGGGCTGAATGTGTACCGTATTTCACGGCGCGAGATCAGAGATGTTCTGAATGCTTAGATTTCGTTTTGTAGTTGTCTGGAAATGACCGTTGTAGCAGAGAGAGTTGTGCTGTTTGTGGGGGTTGGGATGATGCCTGTTGGCTGTGTTGTTCGTGATTTCGTTTTCGGTCTCATTTTGGAAGATGCCGTTTGTGCACTGGTAGAACGTTAGTGTGATAGTAAAGTAATAGAGCTGGAAGTCAGACGTTGGTAAATCTTATCACTCACAATTCTGAAAAAGACTGGGATGGAAGCGAGACTGTATATATGGGACCTCAAGAAGATGGATGTCGATGTTTGAAAGGATCCAAACCTGGAGAAACAGCTATGTTCAGGGTCTTTTGGTGGCTAGTAAACGAGACAAAACCATGCAAGATTCCGATCTGGGGAGCTAAATCCGTTTGCACAGTACAAGTTGTCCAAGAAAACCCAAGGAAGTGGCAAGCTACATGTGGACCTTCAATATCCGAGTGATGACTTACCAATGAGGTTATTTCCAGCTTTCACATGACTTCGTTTGCAGGGGATACTTCGTTCGTGGAGGCTCAAGACCAGTTTGGGAACGATATTTCGGTGAGTGGCAAGTTACTGGCGGTAACGCTCAGGCTCCGATATTGAATCCGATTGTGAAGCACAACTTGTTCATGTTCAAGGAAGCACTCCTCAAGCTGCGTTCTGGATCATTAATTAGCCCTTTGAGTAATGATGTTTGTGTGTCGAATGTATCATTGCCGATTGTCTTGAAACATACCTTCCCCAGAACGACTGGAAGAAGAATTCCGACTTCAAATTGAAGCTACCTCTCGCAACGCAAAGAGGGCCAACTCATTAAAAGAATTCCAAGAACCGGAGGCGCCTCTGATCCTCTCCCATCTTCTGGAACATATCGACATCTTTCTCCTTCACGTGAATGTAGGCCTTCAGTAAGTCTTTCGGTATCAGAGTATTCATAATGTCGTCCGCCTTCAGCGACTCCAATGCTTCCTACAAACTAGCAGGCATTCTTTTGTCGATCTGATAATTTGCGCGTTCTCCGTCGTCCAGCGCATTAGGAAAAACGTGGCAATCTGTCCAAACAAGCTCCGTCTTCTGGTCGAGCCCGCTCAAGCCAGCCAGAAGAATAGCCGCAGAGAACAGGTACGGATTTGAGATGCTATCCAGCATGCAGAACTCCCAATGCTGATCGCTTATCTTGCGTACTGGCAAGTCGCGGTTTTCAGTGCCAAACCCTACCCACGAGCCAGCTGCGTCTGTTCCTGTTCGAACATACCCGTCAAAGTTGGCCATCCCGAAGGCGTATAGAGAGCGCATATGGCTCAAAACTTTGCGAGGAAATTGTCTGTGTGTGGCAGTGCTAGCTTGTCGACGGACATGTGTAAGTGAATGCCATTGGTTGGACCTGCGAGGAGTGGTTTTGGAGTCATGGTTGCCTTGATGTTGTGTTTAACGAAGACTGTACGTGTTGTCTCCTGTGCTAGGATGAAAGAGTAGATTGCGTGAAGTAGCGGTTCAGGACCGAGTGCAAACTATATCTGGTCGTGGGTTTCGGTATGGAAGTGATAGATATGGATAAATGGGTCCTTGAAATTGTCAATAATCTCTTCCACTATGTCTAATATCTTGCGTCGCACCCTTGCAGTGGTCTAATAGCTATTCAATACGTCGAGCGGCTCACAGTTCTTGTCCAGTAGCAAAGCCGGCTAACACTTTTGTGTCTCATTATTTCCTAAGCCTTTCGAGGGCAAGGGGTAATATCATACGAGGACGCTTGCTGTACGTGTACTCCGCCTCTTTATGTTCTAAGAGGTAGATAATAGAAGTATAACTATATTTTAATCCGTAGCGCTATAGTATAGACCATTCAGATCGCGGCACCCTGATTTCGAGATCACTTCCAGGATTCGCAGGTCCTGTTAAGACTAGCAAGATTCAGGTACCCCTCATCCCCACATTCCCTCATTCCCACGAGCTATCTCCAGACATCGAGCAGTAAAGAAACCTCGAATCTTTTTAGACAAGCAGATTATTTTTCTTTCTATACACCCAATTTACAGCTAATACACTTTTATACAGCCCTAGCACACCAGCGCCGTCGCTATATTACTTACATATTAATACACCTTACCTGTCTTACAGCAAATCCATCCTACAAATCCTACAAACTAAAAACCTCCTGCTTATCCCCCTCACTCTCAGCCTCAGCATCAGCTACAACACCCTTCCTCCTCTTCACAAACGCACTACACAAGATACCAGCAGCCACACTAACATTTAAACTATCCACCGTAAACCGCTGCGCGCTGCCAGGGATATAAACATCCACATCGGCCTTCTTCCTCAAATTCATGCGCAGTCCCTCGCCCTCACCACCAAGCATAAGCACGCACGGCCCCTCGACCAATGGATCACCCAGACGGTCTGTCGACACCGATTTTCTCGAGTAATAGCCATCGCGACCACTAGCTGGGGCAACAGCAGCATAGATTTTCCAGCCCGCCTCACGCGATTCCTGGATGAAGACCTCCGGTTTCGAGACGGAGAAGAGCGTGATATTCTCCGATGCACCAGCGGAAGCTTTGAGGACGACGGGAGTAAACGAGGCGCTGTTACGGGTGGCGATAGCCACGGCGTTGATGCCGAGGAAAGATGCCGTGCGGATGATGCCGCCGAGGTTGCCGGGGTCTTGGACGCTGTCGAGGAAGAGGACGATAGGGTGGGCGGCTGGGCCGGTGAAGGGGGCTTTGATAAAGTCGTTGGTGCCGTTGACGAGGGCGTCTTCTTTGGATTGGTGGTCGACTGTTACTTTGAAACCGGCGACGCCGTCGACGTTGGTGATTTCGGCGAGACGGGTGATAGGGAGGCGGGGAAGGGGGGATGCTTCGAGGACGTAGCCGTTGTGTGGTCGGCCGCCGCTCATTTTGTCCATCATTCTTAGGTCGTCTGGACTTTTCATTCGGGAGACTTTTACTCCTGCTCTGCTTGCCAGCTTGGCAATATCAACATCTCGATCGGTGCTTGATTTTTCTCTGTTTTCCCCCGTGTATATGTAGAGCTTGTATAGCTGTCTAGTAGGAGCTTTACGAGATGTCAGAGCAGCCTCCACAACCGATGTCCCGTAAAGAAATTCCGAGGATGGAGTTGTGTATGGTATTGGTAGTGGGAATCGATCGTCCATCGTGTGTTTGGTGATACGTGGAGTGCTAACTGAAGCATCGATATCTGAAGAGCCCGGTGTCGCCAGCTCTGGAGGGATTGACATTGCGGCTGTACCCGAGAATCTCTCGCGTTTCATGGAGAACCGTCCAGCATCACCCCCAGATCCAAGATTTGAATCGTCGCGAGGACGAAATGTCCTGTCTGAAGAACTGCGATCCGAAGGTCTCTCGGCTGATCTTGGGGACCATCCACTGGTGCCAGATTTTGAATCGTCTCGTCGGCCGAAAGAAGATCGAGGTCGCTCATTGAATTTAGGCCTTTCGTTTTCCTCTCGAGGTGTTCGCCTTTGCATTGAAAATCGATTTGAGTCCTTCTCATCCGACCCAAAAGAGGTATTCCGTGATTGATATTGCGTAGAGGATGTAGACTCCCCTTTTATTTTTTGCATCTCCTTCACTTGTTGATAACCCGCAAATGCCACCTCCCTATCCGAAATACGAGCCCATTTCTTTTTCCCTCCGGACTCTGTGGAGTTCCCAGCATCTCTGCCAACGGAAGGCCGCGATGATTGAGCGTCGCCGTCGAAACCACTCTCTCGTCTTTCTCTACTGTCAAACAAAAATCTGCCTTCGCTCGATCGTCTCCCCGCTGGATTCGGCTTCTTTCGATCTATCTCTTTGTTGGATTTGATGACCTTGATACCCCGTCGAATCTTTGGATCACGTCCTTCCCGATCATAACCTTTCGGCCCCGTCTCCCTCGCAGGCCTGTCATTCCTAGGCCTCTCATTCCTTGCCGATTCGTCTCGACGTTCGGCTCTCTGCTGCAAGTCGTATTTTACCGGTAGATTTCCAGAAACATACTTGGCCCGCGGATCATTGGGATCTTTTGCGCCGCGTGAGCCAGATCTGAATGCGAGTCCTTTGGATTTGCGAATGCCTCGTTGAATGGCGGTATTTACAGAAGCACCTCTTCCGGCATGGTATTGACGCGAGGTACACAGTACTCTTCCGAGATGTAATGTACCTTTGGCGTGGAAGAGAGTGTTCATTTGGTTGTATTATGAAGATGAAGATTCCTGAGCTTGTCGCAAAAATAATTTCAGCATGTCTGAGCAGGTGCAGGGGTCTTGGATGTGATTGATGGCACGTGCTTTCGTGGTCACTTCGTGTCGTAAAAAATCCACCTCGCTTTCCAACCTCATCTGCTCCACCCAAAAGCTCTCGACTTCCTTACGCGATTATTTGTATCCAGAGCTTCTTTTAGCGGGCATAATTCAACTACTCTGACACCTCTTTTCCTTCTTTCGCCTTTCAAGATGGGGATTTTTTTTTTAAAAAAAAAGGACAGGGCGTCTCGGCTCATCGCATGGGTGCGTCAATGTTATTTATTAATCTCATCGCTCTGTAAAGTACATTCTGATAGCTTAAAAAAGACAAACTAAAGGGCTTCACGAGTCTGAATACCCCCTTCTCGCGAAGAGACATGCGCAGAACAATTGACGGTATGATATGTGTCATTTTAACCAAAAGAAGTATATTTCAAAATCGAAGTTTTCGCATACACTCCTGCTGCTCATCCGTTCGTGCAGTCTCGCTTTCTCGTCAATAGTTCATTATCAGAAGTTGCACGATGGGAGATATGACACTTTGTGCTTGTCTGTATGACTTGAATATTTTAGATGGCATCGGACCTTCAGTACTGATCATAGGAGTCAGGATTTGAGGAACGGGATAAATCAAGGGTGGGTTGAATATGAGGATTTTTAGTTTCTGTTGCATGGCTACTTATCTTACAGTTTCCTGGAATTCTTCCTTTAACAGGCAAAAACACACCGCTAGCAAGATTACCCAAAATTCAGATAGCTATCAACATGTTACACCGAAGTCACCGACCGTCAACTTGAACTCTCACTTTTGGGTCCGCCTCTTCTTTGCTTTCTGACTAGGTTCGGCTGGTGAAACAGCAGAGACCGAAGGTCGTTGTCTCTTCTTGGTGGCGGGCTCTGGAGCATGACTATCCGTTCCATTCTGTTGCTTGGTGGCCGGTAACAGCTTGACCCTAGGCCTGGATGGGAGGACAGATCTCTGAGTCTTTCGTGGAAGGAGTCGTCGTTTTGGTATTTCCGCTAGACCATCATTTGCTTTAGGTCGTTTTAACAGCAAAGAAGGGTACTGAGGCTTACTGGACGAGATAGTAGATCTAGGGGCGTCATCTGGCAGACGAGTTCTCGTTGGCTTGATGTGAACTAGGGTAGCGTTGAGATGAGTTTCGAGTTGCGCGTAAGGAGATACATATGGCGGAGCTGATTGTTTTGCGTCCTCTATGGCATCCACCTTTTTCGATCTTGTGTTTGGCTGACTCCTGAGATGATAGGCTATTGTTCTATCAACTTGTTGTTTCAAGAACGGATTACCAGGAGGATATTCACTTGAACTTTTTTGCGCAAGATCGCCTGTTATCTTCTGCCGCAAAATGTTTGTCGGTGTCAAATCGATCTTTGACGCCATTTCCATCTGACTCGCTGTTTCCACTACCGGCGTTTTGTCTTCACCCTTGACATCGGTGCAGATCGCAGTTTTCGTCGGGTCTCGAACCAAGTCCTCGTCCTCGAGTTCAGGAAGAACCTCTCGTTCGGTCTTGTATTCAACTACAGCCTCGCCGATGGTGAATGCGGCATGATTTCCGTGATCTTCCTGCCAGTCATCACCGACCACGCTAAAGCCATGGGCATGAAAGCAACCTCTCGCGTGCCGTGAATCTGGCCAACTGAAGGAAAACTCCTCGTTACTCACATCGAACTCCAGCGACGCACGTGGAGATCTGAAGAAACATTGCCATCGGAAGGTTCCATGGGCGATTTGATATATTCCTGGTTGAATGTGGTTTCTAAGCTCTCTGATAGGAGCTTTTTTTGCGAGTAAAATCAGAAATTCTTCCATTTTGGAGGTTTCGAGTGTCTTCATTTTGTTAGGATTGAACTTAATTTTTTGGATGTGGTATTGCTTGGACTGTTTTTATGCTATGATCAGAAGAGATGATGTGGTTGCAGGAATCACAATTGCAAAGGCAGTCACAAGGTAGGATTTGTTCTTAATGTTCGTTCACTGTTTTATTTTATTCTTCTGTTCTCAGGTGATCTGAGCGCGAATGGGTTTCTGCTCCGAGTGAAGTTGTTCATTCACGGTGGTACCATGGAGAGAGTAGCGCGATTGAGTCGTTGATGAAATAGCAGAACAAGCTAGACTCTAAAGACAAGCTTATTCTTCATATCCCAATCAACCTCACTCTCCGCACCCATCGAAGCCCTCACAGCACCCGACATATACCCCTTAAACTGCACCCTAGCCAATCCAATCATAACCGCCGTTCCATTTTCCACCACCATAGGCAGCACAACATTAGATTCAAGACCATTTCGAACCACCATAGTATCCTCCTTGAGAGTCACGGTAAGCGAGTTATTCTTAAACGGCGCTAGCTTGATCGTCCACGGCTCGTACGTTACATCGACTGCGATTTGCACTGATGTCACGCCCTGGATCCGGGTGATTAGAACGGAGCCGGCGCGGTCATCGAACTCGTACCTACCTGGTCGGAGACTGGGTGGTCCATTGGTTTTGGTCATGGAGAAGATCTCGAGCAAGGTTCGCAGGTCGTGCTGGGTGATTTTATTGATCATTTTGAGGGGTTGGTGGATAGTGTGGGAGTATTGGATAGTGTAGAACTATTGAATAGCGCGCTCTGAGATGCAGATCTGGTATGAAAAATTGCAAGCATATCTATGCGGATCCAAGCGTTGTTTTTGTTTCTTTGAAGATTCACAATGTCTTTGTGTTTGTCTCATCTCCGATATGATTCTTTGATCAGCGAGGACAATGGCATTGTTGACTGTCAGCTGTTGTGTGGAGCATTGTTATAACACATTCTCTTTGTTAATTCAAGCCAGAAGATGCCACAAAGTACCACTGCAGGAAAGTCTAACAACTTTGATAATATGAGACTGTTGAAGTCAGCAGAGGTAGATACAGCTAATCGATGTAATGTCACAGTGGATCCCGAACTGTAGATATTGCACTATTTAGAAGAGATGGTAGTAATCATAACATCACAGAGATCCCACTGGAGACCAACTTAATGTCACGACTTATGTTACCATCCATAGGGCCGATTTTCTGATTGGGAACTGTTTTGTCGCAACAATTACTGATGTGATTATCTTCAAAGCTATCGACTAGACAGCACTTTATTTCTACTAAACACTATCGCTCATGTCATACTTCAACGGTCTCTCCACAATTTGAGTATCTCAATTATATTTCAACGCATTCTTCCCGAAACCGCCACAATGTCACAAATCGCTTTCAAAGAAATCAACAACTTCCTCATGGCTCTCACCAAGCCTCCTTCCCCAGCCTCACGCAAGCATTGGCTTTCTCCACGCAAATATACCATCCACGATACGACTCAAGGGGAACCCCTCAGAACCGGCGAATTCGAATGGTACCCACGAAGCAAAACCGAGATCATGATCAATATCAAGGGCTTTCCTGAAGGGAACTCCATTGAGGTTCTAGGTGTACCGCTTGGTGCTGTCGGGACCGGTCAGCGTCACTATTCTGACGAAGAGCACCAAAGAAGGCTTGCTGATAGCTGGTTTGACTATTTCACCGTCATGCCTGGAGTCAATTTTACATGGGGATCTGAGATTCCATGGCGAAGACTTCAGGGTCGTGCGTCTTTGATTCTTCCAGCAGGTAGCGGGATGAAGTATTTCGTTGGATATAGCGGCGTGCCTGCTGATGGCTATTTGATTTATGTCAAGGGTTTGAGATGCTTGATGGATGAAGATTGTGTTCCTCAAGAGGGAGAGGTGATTCATCCGGAACGTTGGTATCTTGATGCTCCCGAGAGAGAAATTGTCCGTGGCACTAATTCGATTATTAAGAAGAAAGTCCGTTTCACTGGTGACTTGGAGTCAGGTGCTGATGCGACTCCAAAGCGGGACGCATGTCAATAGACGCTTTTAACCACAAGGATTTTGCAACATACGCGTAAATCTTAAGACCTGATAAGATTATTGATCACAAATGCAACTTTGCGATTGATCCATTCATCCATAATAGCTGACGTCCACAAACGATCGAGTCACAACTACTCAAAATACATGCAATTCATCAAACAACATTTTCACAACACTTGACCCTTTATCGTGATCTTTACTTTTCTTTCTTGTCTCATTAACCTTAGCACCATTGACTTAAAACTCACAACAGTATAGATCATTATCTTCTTATTCTTGTTCTCGTTGGTCGTGGAGTACTTATCGGACTCAAGTCAGCTGAAAGCCCACTCCAGTTTTCCTGGGGTCTATAAGGACTCCTCGATGTAAGGGGAGGTTCCACGTAAGATGTTCCATCTTCCGATGCAATTCTGCCCGGTCAATCATCAGAGCTAGACCCCGCATCCGAGTCATCGTAGTCACCGCGAAATAAATGGCGGAGCGGCGTAAGATTTGCTGGAAAAACAAAGTGAGGCGAGGATTATTGAACGTAAGAATGTATCACTTGTTTCACACTCAACAAAGGCATAGAAATGAATGTTATAACCAGCTCATCACAAAGTAATTGTTTCTCTTTGATGTTTCTTCCAGAATTAACCCCTTTTTTAACACATCCGTGTCTGTTTTTCTGACATTTCCAAGAACATGTTGTTGAGTCGTACTACCGCGTACTTTTATAAAACAAGCTTCTTTTCTCTCTGGGTAATACATCGTTATCAGTCTTGATAATCTCATCATGAGTTGCTCGAATATGTCCCAAATCACACTCCCTGAGTTGAACAACTTTTTAGCTCTTCTCGCATCGCCAGCATCCTCTCGGTTTTGCAGCAACGGCGGTGATTGGAATGGCTGGCTTCGAAAAGGTACGTACACCATTCTAAACACCCATCCCATTGGCACATTCAGCTGGCACCCCAAGACTCCCACTGAAGTTCGCATCAACATGAAGTTCTCTCAAAGAACCCCAGCTCTCTGGGGTGTTTCCCTAGACGTTCCTGAAGCGGCATCAACAGCAACCACATTCTGGGAACGCAAGCTCGCTCTCGAACGTAGATCCCAGAATCACTTTCATTCTGTCGCTTCCCTGAATGTTCGACATGTCTCCCATGCGCCTGCTCCGGGTGACTTTCTCTGGGGAAACTCAGTTGTGTTTCAAGCGAAACAGGGCATGGATTTTTGGTTCTACAAGGATGGAAGTGAAAAAGGATTCGTGCTCTACGTGAAGGGTTTGGATAGTTTGGAGGAGGAGGACATGGCTTGTCTTAGTCGTGGCGTTCGTGAGAATCATCGTCGGTCGGTAAGTATCTGATATACTAGGTAGGTACGTATCTTAACAATCCCATGTTGTCCTCGCACTCGACGCTCACGACTTGCCCTTCCTTCCTGATGACTAAAAGAGTCTTTGGGAGGAAAACCACTTTGATTTAGAAAGAAATTGTCAAAATTCCTAAATCTTCGGCGCGATAATCAAACATGACCATTCTGAGGTGTTTTCAGCACTCTTAGTAAGACATGTCGTATTCAATAAACACTACGTTATCTTTCATTGTATTTTGCATCATTTCCCGCTAACTGTCATGAAAAATATAAACTTTAAAGCTTGGTCATCCTGCAAATTACTTCAATCTATCCTTTCTCACCCAGTAGATATTGAAGCTTCTCCGATTTGTCTCAGATCCTGTGGTACACACGACTGATTTTCCCTTCCTCAACAGCAAATTTGATTACATTTAAACGTATGAGGATATCCTTCCCCACACATATTCTGTTCCCCTTCACAAACTCCGTACCAAAAACATGCATATGTCGCAACAAGGGCATTTTCGGCTCCTTGACTTTACGGAGGCGATTTTCCCTTACTCCAGTGATGTAGTCCATAGTCCCTTGGAATCCTTCCCATACTAATAACCCAGCGTTGTCACCATTAACCTGAACAATACTCTTCATCGTGTCCAACATCCTTGAATCCTCGAAGTTCTTAGACCGCAGCCCCGGATCCGCAGTAAATGATTTCTTTTCGAACGCTCCATCAGGATAGGGTACTTCAACTGTAATCTCGGCATGCGTATTTTGCTTGTGACTAACGGTGGTCAGACGAAAGTCGAGGCATCCTGGTTCTCGGTGTGGTTTCCAACTGAATTCAAAACGACAGTTATCATTGGGTGTCCTGATGTAGTCAGGCTTTTCTGGATTAGAGTTCCATAACGGGTTGTCTGAGCGCTCGAGATCTTCTATCAATGCTGGTACTGTGGGTGCTCTTTTGAGGAAAGTGAAAAATTCGTTCAAGTGATCGAGTGTTACCTCGGGTTTGTTGAATGGATAAGACATGTTTAATAATCCAAGTTTGTTGAAAACATGTCTCTGGAAGTGTGAGATAAAAGTGAAATATAGAAAGTTCTTTGTCGTCTCGACTGAAGATGATGCTTTCGGTCGTGACAAAGGTAGAATAAGAGTCGTGTGTGTACCTTTTTCTTTGACGCTTACGGAAGCAGTCATCGCTCTGGTAGCTTTGGTAAGAGCATTCATAAAATTTCAAAGGAAGCAAAAAAGCTGAAGCTTAACGCTTCGAAGTGTTTGATAAGACAGCACTTCGTTCGGTCCGAAAGTGTAAGTAAGTACTGCCGTGACGCACCAACCAATTACTGGTGTCGAAAAAACAACGTCCTTATCACAGTATGTTAGAAGAAATGAGTTGGCTTTATTGTTTCATGATATTTGATTGATAATGGGCTTTGCCGGACCCCGAGCGCACTTTAACCCCCTAACATCTCCATCGAAAATCAAGAAAGATCTTATCTAATTTGTTTAACTTTTCGTCAATCTTCTCATTGCGGGTCATAAATTTGTGACCGTCCCTTCACCTTGCCAAATAATTTTCTTCATGTGATCTTCCATCGACGGATTTCGACCATACGATGTGGGTGCTGAAGAAAACTTATCTTAAAGAAGTGAACCAAGTAGCCCAGCAGGCTTTAATCTCGCCGATTTGTCTTTCCACCTTCTCTGCGATCTTCTGGACATGACTGTGGATATCTTCCGGGTTGACCTTAAGCACGAAATGAATATCAAATCCCAAACGAATACTAGTCCCCTATATTCGTTCGACTTGATCCACTTGACAACTTTGCTTCAGTATTTCCTTGCTTTCCCATATATTTCGTTTTTCCACTATTTCACCCTCAGTGTATGTAGATCCTTCAACAATTAGGTCCCCAAAACATTGACCACTCTGATGCATGCTGGTCTCAAAGATATTCTGCTTCGTGGGACATTCAGGACCTTTTGGTGTGTAAGTCTGTGTCTGTACACTTCCTTTGGGATGGATGACGACTGTAAGGTCTCTTTTGCCGCTAGAACAGACAGCCAAAGAGAATTTAAGCAAACGTTCATCTTCGTAGGTGTTCCACGAAAAGTTCAAGGTGCATGTGCCTGCTTTGACTTCATAGTAACATGGATAAGCTACTGATAACGGGTTTTGCGAACTCTCGAGTCCTTTCCGCAACTCTGTTATGCTTTTAGCGTATGCTGCGAGGTAAAAGAAATGGTTGAGCTGATCAAGAGTTGCTTTCGACATCCTGTATACTTGATTATGACAGTTTTGAGGTCTCGACTGTACTGTGGTGGTTTGGATTCAAAGGTGAAAAGGGCAGTGTTACAAGTTGATGGACTACGGCATTTATATCATGAATATAATTTCCATGACGCATTAAAAGATTAACAATCATACGTACACCTTCGAAAGAGTCTCCAGCAATACATAAAGATGCAAGATTAGTCGACATTGAATGATTCACTTCCTTGTATTAATCCATCACCAGGTGCCTTCCAAATCACCGTCGCTTTCTACCAAGTCTTCGTCGTTTGATGATGTACTCTCTTGGCTACTGTTTCCTTCATTATCATTATGATCTGAATCGTCTGAATCGTCTGAGTCGTCCGAACCATGTTCAGTTGCATGCTCCTCCTTAACCACCAGAACTGAACTTTTTTCACCTTCCGGAAATGGCCCAATAACATCGATCTGAATCGTGATTCTACTCGGAAATGAAATTGAGGTAGCCTGTATATAGTCTGCACCAGAATATGACCAACATAGTCCCTTTTCACCAAGGTCATCAGAGGGATCATTCGTTTCGTCTCCAAACTTGGTCTCGTCCACTTGGGTCGTTTCAGAGCATGACCAACATAGTCCGTCCTCTTCAGGTTCATCCGACTGATCGTCTGTTTTATCACCTTTAATAGTATGACATCTGAATTCTCGAAACTCTTGGCATTGAAAAACCCCAGCGATTTGACCATCCCATGTTAAGCTATTCGAAAAGAAGTACCTTTGTATGTCTCTGGTTTCATCGGGATTTCCGCCATATTGAGACGGCGTGATCGTCTGGAATAGCTGCTCAGTACAACTTCCAAGAGACGCTGTCTTGGTGCAAAGTGCCACTTCGTAATTTTCGTCGATGCGCAAAGCGCGGATTCTAAAATCCAGGAGACCAACTTGCTTTGGATCGTGATTCAATCTCCATTTGAATCTTAGCTTAAAATAAGGAGTTTTGATGACATGTATCCTTGGAAGAGGTATTGACAGCGGATGCTTCATGTGCTCAAGTCTATCTCTGAAATCTTCTGGCGTCGAGGAGATTTGCAAGAGTTTGAAGAATAGATTTAAGTCGTCCATTGTCTTAGCCATTTTGGAGATTTTGATGGGAAGTCTGATACCGGGAATATAAAGTAGAGTCTGATAGGGCCGAATAAAAGGGTCAGACTTGAGGTTTTTGTTCTTGAGATATTAGTTCCGAATGCAACTAGTTTTGTGTTATGGGGATCTCGGATATATGAAGATGGAAGTAAGAAGAAGCTTCTTGTAGATCGATCGAAGGTAATATATTGGGCGCGGACAAAGGATTAAGAAGTCACAACCCACTCTTCACCTTTCGAGTCACCAACTGTTTATGCAAACACGAGCATAATTTTGGTGGCTTGTTGTATTTGGCACTGTAATCATAACATTGGGAAGAACAAAGACATGTCCGAAGCTCGGCATGAGGTTGTGGGACAATATTTTGATTGATCTGACTCTCCAACAGGAAGGTAATATCATAAGTATAATAATTCTGGTAGTCCTCTGTGGTTGGGATCTTGCATCCCGATAAAATACTGAAATAAAGAAGCGACTACTTTTATGATAAATCATACACCACATTCCTCTATTCTCTCTCCAAGTAGTTTCCTCTTCATCTCCTATAACCAAGACATAGCGCGCTCTATGAGTTCCAATTCACGTCTCTCCCGTTCGCTGTCGGTTTCTTCTACCTCAACTTCGATGGCATTCACCTCTAGCAGAAACCCACCTCCCACTTCAATTTCATAGCCAGTGCAATATCCAACTTGATTCACCTGTACCCGCCGTAATACAACTCCCTGGTCATCGCCGTCTTCCTTCAAACCGATAATTTCGTCATCGATATTTGAAAAACCTTCGAAAAACAATCCCCCAACGAACTTTTTACCCCACCGGAGACTGGAGTCGAACTTGTCCCCATCCCTTTGATTCTGTAAATTTGATGATTCTGCTTTCGGATTTTTAGCCCTGAAATTGTGCTCAAAAACGCCTTTGGGGTAAGGTGAGGTGAAAGTCATTGCGATGTGCTTTCCGGGAGCAATGCGATGAGAGGTTAGATTGAAACTTGAGAGCTTTTCCATGTTTGTGCACATCCCAACAAAAGCTCAAAGCAACGTCTTCTTTTACTTCTATTACATCAATTCCGTGCCCACGATTGGAAAATGGGCTTTGTCGCACAATTATCTTATGCTTCGAGCCCATTTTATGAGTCGAAAGAACTCATTCAGCTGGTCAAGATTTGCTGGCATCGTGAAAGATGATAGTGGACTATCTTATTGTGTCGAATAGGCTTAGTGATATTTGATATAGAAGTGAAAGGGAAATACCAAATAGATGCGGGCGACGGTGTTTTTTGGCTGGCTCCACAACAAAGAAATGGGTTTCCATCCCCGCTTGCGTTGGTGCTAGGCGCATCACCCCGTACAGAGAACTTCTCTTTCACACAAGTTCATGCTCGGAAGTTACCGTTCCTTCATTCACTTTTGTTTGATTCCGAGTCCTTTGCTACAGTCGCTTGCAAAACCGGCTTCCCCTCCACCACAGTAGCACAAACAACTCTCGCTTATGACCAGGGTGGTCCATACACCTGTCTAGCCTAATGCGGACTAGTGTAAAAGGCCCCAGATCTCAGGACACATCTTTGTCATTGTTTTTACTGTACTCTATCGAAATCAGACTTGATTGCTATTGAAATATGGCGCCTAATCTTGCTTCCTCAACACACGAACTGATTCAAGATATGATACTTGATAAGCGGCTAAAGACTAATCAAATAGCAGAGGTTGCCGAGTGCAGTGAACGGTCGGTCAAAGGTATTCGTTCGAATATTCGTTATTATGGAGCCACAAGAGCCCCTCCGAATGGCGGTAGGAGGCCTCGGTCAATGACACCTCTAATGATAGATACTTTATGTGAACACCTTCTAGAGAAGCCTGGGCTATACCTGGAGGAAATGGTAATATTCCTGTAGGACGAATTTGATGTTCTTATGTCGACATCTAGCATTAGCAGGGCCTTGAAGGCAAGAAATTGGTCAAAGAAGGCTGCTCGTCGAGTGGCGAGAGAGCAAAGTCCAGATCTTCGAGATTTCTATCTACGGAACTTATCCGCTTTTAGGTCGTATCACCTCGTCTATATTAATGAGTCTAGGTGCGATAAGTTGATCGGATTCAGGCGGACGGGCTGGTCCCCTCTCGGTGTAGCGCCTATCCACGTCTCTAAGTTCCACCGGGGCCAACGATACCAGATTCTACCTGCCTACTCGCAGGACGGGATCCTTCTCGCACGTGTTTTCAAGGGCTCTACAGATAGCGAAGTTTTTGAGAATTTCCTCGAGCAGCTCCTTCCCTATTGTGGCAAGTGGCCTGAACCGAAATCCGTGCTTGTTATGGATAATACTTCTTTCCACCGCACGGAGCGAGTTGAGCAGATGTGTAATAAAGCAGGGGTTAAGCTTGTCTACCTGCCACCGTATTCCCCCGACCTGAATCCTATTAAGGAGTTCTTTGCTAAACTAAAGGCTTTTATCAAGAAAAACTGGCAGACTTTTAGAGATTCTCTAGAACAAGACTTTGCTGAGTTTCTTGAATAGTGTATTGATGTGGTTAGGGCCAAGAAGAATAACGCCAAAGGTCATTTTAGGCATACTGGGATCACTGTTGAAGAACTATATTGAAACTTGGTAGACAATTGAGAGAATTATATTCCGAACTAACTTGAAAATAGCCTGTCTTAGTAAGTACAAAATTTTTAACATTCTAGATTGATGCGCGTCACAGATATTATCCGTTATGCATCCCGTTCATTTGCCTTCGCTGTGTTACCTAGTATAGAATATCTTTTACAAAACGACGAGCAACCCCTGGCCTCACACTTACACCTGTGTCCTTGTCCTCGTTCGTGAAGAAGTTAGGATTTTAGTCCTCATGAATCTGTTCGAGATCTAAACCATGCTCTATTGCCTTCTCGTAGGCGTTCATGAACTCTATCTTCAGTATAGGGTCACTAACTTGTGATTACTGCCAGTAAGTATATTCCTTCAAAACAACATCTCGAAGCCCATAGATCAAAAGAGGTTTAGTTACAGCCACAATAGAATAAGAAGGGATAGATTGTGAGTTGGTTATAGCTAAGGTCGGCATCAATAGTTAGGAAGAAGGTCTAGGTAGCACATTAGTAATGTTAATTAGAGGGATGTTCGAAGATGGCACGTGAGTAGCCCTCTGATACCTTTTAAGTCGCTGCTGCTCTTCTGCATAAATCTGCTGACGGATTTCCTCAGGGACATCATCGTGTGTCCGCAAATGGCCGCCGTGCTCTATATGACGTATAAGAGCTTTGAGTTAATAGGTTTTTGATTTATAGTGCTTCCTTCTAACTAGATCCCTCTAGCAATGTGGCCCAAGATGGCAAGGGGGACCGGGGCAACGTATAAGGTTATACACGTCTCGCCAGACTAATAGTTCCCCCACGGATTCTTCTTTAGCATTAATTTAAGTATAGATTTCTCTGTACATCTACTGCGTAGTAGAATACCTACTTCGTTTGTCACCCCTTCTTACTGATAAGGCCTGTAACTGGCCTGTTTCTAAATAGTTAAAGCAGATATCTAACCTTAGCTTCTTACTAGCGCGAAAGAGCACTCTCCAAGCCACAAGCTGCTTCTCTATCACTGGCCAGTAAATGTCGGTTTCGTCAAATCGCTTTGTAAGATCTCTTTCTGATCGTTCTGTTACTAAGACTACCACGTTTGTATCATCTGGCCTGACACGTTTGTTTAATAACAACTTCTTGTAAAGTAATTTCTCTAACTTAGGTTGTAGGAATAGGGGCCAGTAAAAGACCGGCGCCAAAACGAGATTCTGCTCTATATCCTTGGAAATTAGCTTATTATTAAATGTAACCTTTTATTCAATCGAGTAGTGGATGTAGCTAGGAATGGGTTCGTCATATGCCTCTTCTTCATCCTACTTATCTACGTAAAGCAATTGGAGTCTATCTGGCTAAGAGGTCTCTTCCCGCTGACTGTGAGTTTTACTACGATTACTTTTATCTATAGTGTTTCGGTCCCTAGCAGATGCAGATAGTGTCTCCTCCTCTGTGTCTGTTAATTGACGGTCCGACATATGTGCCGGTATGAGGGGCACTGATGGCTTAAACGGCGACAAATTACGCAAATGATCGTATACATTATTGCTTACTTGCGAAGACGCCTACGATTGAGACTGTTCACGATGCTGCTGAATTCCTATTAGAGCTATTCTGGCCCGATATCGAGTTGGTTAATTACGGTGGACGGGCATCTTGATGTCTTAATGATTGCTGTGTCTATTAAATACACAGGTACAATTACATAGAAGTAGTCCACGACGAGGTGTGTTGGGTACGATGTGGTCCGTGCACAAATTAATCCGGGGGAAATGTATGTTTGCTCATACATTACTTAGTAAGCAAGTCGTGGTGAGCCGCGGCTACGCATTATTAAAAGAACCAAAAATCGTCGAGTCAACTAAACCACCACGCACTTTTGCTAAGCATTCTTGCACTCTACTACAGTACAAGTATAGCGCCTACTCTCATATCTAAAGAACAACAATAGAAGTAGTCCTTGACTTACTGGCGCCGAATGTACTCGATATGCTGCGTATTCTTAAAATCCCTAAGGTGGAGGGTAAAGTAATGCGCGAACTAATAATCCGACTTGGTCAAACGAGTAAGTAAGATCGTACTTGACTTCTTCGATATCTACTAATGCTCTATTCGTTCAACGACACTCTATCGAGCGGACTCGATTAGTAGGTCTGTCCTCGTCTCTAGGTGAATTCGCGCTTTTATTAACTCCTCTCCCTAGCCCTCTATATACAGAGACCGAGCTTCACGAATCCCGCCGTACATCTAAACGCCTCGCAGATCGGTCACCGAAACGATCCTATACTGCCATACAAGGGAAAAGTACTAGGCTATACAGATCTAAGAAATTTAAAGTACTAGGTCAAGAGCATCTAGGGAATGAATTTACAAGCAGATCTGGCTTCCGTAGGAGCACCGGGGGAATTTCGATCACTAGCGAGCCTTCGACAGACTATTCGGGTACTAGTGCTTCTTCTTAAGATAATCCCCAAGAGCCGGAGTAGTCAAAGACTTCCACGATTGCGTATCATCCTAATACTGACAAATCCCTCTGGCAAGTGGTTCTACAGGGAAAGGAGGACAAAGAACTAATTAGCGACGATAATATACCTGCTATAACTCATGATGATAGAATGGCTATATTGGATAGGTATTTCCCTAGATCTCCCGTGGTACAGAGCTGGACAAGCCATGCTCTAGTACTGGACACTTTACGACCTTCAGATAAACAACTTTCTACACACAATACCCCTCCAGCTTGCCCTAATACGCCTAAATCATTATTAATCGTCCAGCTATCAGATAGAGTCCTGACCATAGTAGTTCCGGACTCCTACTAGACTAAACCCCTCGTAAACACAAATCTACTAACCGCAACTATGAATTATTGTCTAGTAAAGCGGACAGCCCTTGACGAGTCGGGCTATAAATTAGACGATATCATAGAAGCAATCGCGAACTCTACTGACACTACTTAAATACCCAATTTCATCGTGCCAGGTGTGGCGGAATACCTGATTAAGGATGAATCCATAGACTACTCGAAGATTGTGATAAGTATTGTAACAAATTGTTTTAAGTCTAATCGCAATCTGTCAAAGCCAGTACTCTTTACTAAGAAGGAAAGACTTCAAGAGTATAAAAGGACTACGTTAGAGCGTATTGCCGAAGATCGACAGCAAATGAATATAACACTCCCCGCTCGCCTTACGTCGGAAATTAACTACTAGTAATATATAAATCGCTTAAGGAAAGAAACACAGTAAGCAATTGTGCGCCTAGACCTAAAGGAGCTCGTCGACAAGGAATTACAAGAAATATTATCTAAACCTAGTAAACTAACGGGCGAATTTAGAGACGAGAGTGACTTTGAACAGGTTATTAAGCAGCTTAAGAAAGACGGGGCTAATAGTACCCTTACTCAACAACGGAGCTTATAGAAAGAAACGTTTTACTGGCCTATGATCCAGCAGCGCGCAAAAATAGTTGGCTAATTACCTAACCCTTCAGGACCCAAAACAGATATTACTCCACAAGAAAGGACTATAGCTAAGAGGCTTATCCTTACACTTGGGTATGGCACAAGTAGAGACAATGTTTTTAAGTAGACATCCTATTAGAGGCTCCTATTCGACCTTCGAAATAACGGATTAACCAACTTACTTCTCTATCGGACTAGTGAATTTAAGGCTTACTTCTTTCGCAACGCAAAAAAGCTTAACACCTTACTTTTATGGAATTAGGTCCTTGACATCCCTCTCCAGCACCTTCGTCGAAGAGTGATAGCCCAGGAAGGAGGTGATTTCTCTGGTAAGTGTGATATTAAGGACAAAGGGATCTTCGACAGACTTCGTACCGTGCGACCTGGCGCTTAGTGTGATGACATTAGGATCTCAGACGAGTCTGATCCAGAACACAGGAGTCTCTCGATCATTCATAGTTCAATGGCTACCTCTGGACGGCCAAATGAGTATGTCCTTTATCATGGCATTAAGGGCAAAAGTGACTGTAACAAGTCCGTTTTCGTGAGCTTGGTTCCTTACGACGGCGAATCTGGAAAAATGACGATCGGGAATAAACCTGCGTCGAGTAAACTCCTTTCTGTCTGCTCCATCGCCGTAGTGGCATCAGGGGATCTTCTTGGTTTCTTTCCTGGAAAACTTCGAGACGCAGGTGGGAGGCCGTCAAATGCTATTAGGAGCCCTTTCCCAGGGCTTTGGCTAGACTATTCCGAGACTCCGGGAAAGCTTACCCAAATGAGAGTAGCAAAGCCTGGTGAGATGACAAACGTCTGCCTTGCTTGGGAGGGGGTAAATGAGGTCAAAGGAGAGAAATCATTCTGTCAATATTGGCGAGTTTTAGTTATTGCCACAAGGGAATTGCGGCCATTTGACCAGCTGATCCGTCCTCCCTAAGTCGAAACTTCATGAAAGGGAAGTCTTTGCCTGAATTGGGGTTTTGTAGGTAAGGGGTTACCGGTTTAATATACTTCGTACTTCGTACAGCTCCCAAATAACCTGCCAAATCGAGTGGATCTCACGCCACCCTTGGCAATGCTGCTTTAAATGAAAATAAATTAATTGCTTAGTATTTTGTATAGCTACCATTTGCTAAAACTACATCTGTACATCAATCACCCATTCCTCGAATTAACTCCTTAATTTTAGCCTGTGAAATCGATTCCCAAGCCTCCTGGACGGCTCTTCTTAGCCTAGGATTAGAAGAATGGACTTCAGGGCAGTCTCTCTGAACATAATCCTTCATTTCATCCCAAATCGTCTCAATTAGGTTCAAATCTGGTGAATTAGCTGGCCAAAAAATAGGGGTAATACCGATTGCCTCGAGAACCTCTTTTGTAAAGGCCGCAGAATGCCCTTTGGCATTATCTTGTTGAAAAGAGAGGTCTGGGTATTGAGAAAGTATATCCTTAACAATAGGTATTATTATACCACTATAAGAGCCGGCGCTTATCGTCTCCCAATCCTTCTCCCAGAAGAGCCCTCTATGCTTCCTATATCTACTACTTATACTCCTCCAAAACATCCACCCTATCTTTCTCTGGTACCGAGATTCGATACAACCGTCGTAGAATAGCTCGACCTCCCCTATCCGCCTAGTTACCCACAGTTGCTTATGCTTTCCCGGATTTACCCAAGTCTCATCTTTTCATAGTACCGAAGCCCACTGCTCGTCAGTCTAGAATAGGTGTTCCCAGGTCCAGGCAAGCCGAGCGGCCTTATGGGCGGCTGTAAGTGGTGGTTTTCTTCGAGCAATTCGTCGTCCAAATCCCTCCTTTTTAAAGGCAGCTCGAATAGCCTTTTTACCACAAGCCCATCCTAAATTAGGAGGTATATCTTCCCACCGGGTTCGACGTTTCTTCTCGGACGAATAAACCCATTCAATAAGGCGCTTTCGTTGTGGTGTATTAAGGAATACCTTTTGGCCTCATAGTTGCTTTTGAGGGGTTAATTGGTGGGATAAAGCGTACTGGACCTGGGCCCGAGTAAGACTAGTTTGTAGGACTATCTGATCTTGGGTAAAACCAGCCTCGTAATAAAGGGTTTGTACCCTTAATCGATCATCGCGAGAGCATTGCTTTGTTGGTGTTTTTGGTGTCGGTACAGAGTATAGAGAATTCATAGCTTAACCGTAAGTAAAGAATAGAAAAGCGGCGGTCTAAGCCTTATAAGCTGATTGGCTATAGTATGGAACCTTCTGGAGCGACGGTGGCGACGGGTGTAGGTTATTTCGGCCCTAGACTAAGTATATAGCCAAATACTCCTACAATTCCAGTCTGTGCGTTATGCTACAGTCTTACTTCTAGGGGTAATAAAATACTACAAATCTGAGAGTTAATTCGCTATAAACCCCGGTTATTCTAGAAATATCCAGAAGCCGCACCGACGACTAATATGGAAGTTTTTAGCTATATACAAAGTATAGTATACTACTAAAGAATTAAAGCGAGCCTTCTAGAATATTCCTAAGAAGGTAATCAAATACGCTTAGAAATTATTTATATTTATTAAAATAAGTATATAAACACCGTCTCCCCCAAGCCCCTCTTTATTAAAGTTATAAAAATATATATAAGAGAAAGATTACAAGGTTAAAGAGTCTCTTTAGCTAAATGAGCTCGGCTTTGTCGGACTTGCCTCGATTCTCTAAGAGAGCTGCGAGGTTGTTTATACTCGAAAGCGTATTAGGGTGCTCAAGGCCAAGGACCTGCTCACAAAGCTGCAGCGTCTGCCGGTACATGGGCTCGGCCTCGTCGTACTTGCCTCGATTCTGTAAGAGAAGTGCGAGGTTGTTCATGCTCGAAAGAGTATAAGGGTGCTCAAGGCCAAGCATCTTTGTTCTCCCTTTTAAGACGCGTTCCCACATCTCTTCAGACGCACCATATCGACCATGACTCTTAAAGAAATCCCCAAAACTAGACGCAGCTTGTAGTAGTCTAGCATTTTCTAGGCTACCATTTAAAATCCTGTACTTGCTTTCGTTCTGAAGCACTGCCTCTAGATGAGCCAATAAGACCTGCTTTCTGTCGAAAGACATATCATCCATGCTGTGAGCGTCTATAAAGGCTGATAATAGAAGAATCGCTTCTAAGCCGTATGTCTGACGATTATCTATAGTGATTCTCATCTCTACCCAGTCTTGAATAAGTGGATGTAGTGAAAATATCGTCTTATTTCTTCCGATATGCACGTTCTGAAGCAGTGATAAATTCCGTAGTTCCTTTAATATATCTTGAGCCGCATACATGTCCCACGTGCCGTCCTTCATGCAAGACGTCAGCCAGTCACTGTTCTCAGATCCATAATATCCGAACAGATCATCGGAAACTTCTTTGCTATCGAGAAATGCTGCAAGAGTAAGAACATGAATCTTGTCTTTCCGTGTTGTTGGATCTCCACTTATCAAATCGAGAGATAGTTCCCAGGTTGTAAACACGGTCAGCTTGGTTTCTACCTCTGCATCTGTCTTCAGTCTTCGTCGATAGTCCCATAGTTCAGGCACTTCATTGAGGACCTTCTCTTTGCGATCGAGGAAATGCGTCATATAGAGATCCAGGCTAAGATCCCGTGCTAGAATATAAGCACCAGCCTGATCAATGGCTAGCGCATGATAGCCAAGTCTCTTGACAATGTTTGCCCCTTCTTGCAGATTTATATCTGTCCTACTTGCCTCGCTTCTCTTGAGCAAGAGCTGTAGTGCTTCCTCGTCTGACATATTCGTTACCTCAATGTGGAAGCCTAAACTTCTCACCGTGGCATGCCGGCTGGTAAAAAGAATACAACTGTAGCCGCCTCGTGGGAAATACTCTTTTATGTTGTCAAACAAGCTTGGATTATCAAAGTTGTCAAATACAAGCAGCCATCGGAACTTCCACGCTCCTGTCTTATCAAGAACAAATCTAGTGTTCCCTTGATTATCCGCGGTTTCGAAATTCGGCTTCGAAAACTTATATGCAATGTCGGTAAACGACTGCGCTATGCTTGTAGGGGAGCTTGCATCAAGCCAGAGTATTGCAGAAAACCATTTGTCGTTCTGTCTTTGCCGACAATACTCAAGTGCAAGCTGGGACTTACCGCAGCCGCCCATGCCAAGTAAAGAGACTACTGTTGGCGCCGTCTTATCTGGTGGGTCCTGAAGGCATTGATGGATAGCTATAAGGGGATCCTTTCGAGTGACATAATGCAAAACTTGGTATGATGGATATATAAAGTGATGACGAGGATGATTAAGAGCCGCAACTGCTCCATCTATTCAATGCTTAGCATATACAATATAAATAGTTATTCATTAGATACCTAACTGGCCTAAAGGAAATGCTTGTGAAGTCTTCCCTAATAGTGTATTCACGATTAAATCTATCCCTTGGCTAATGGCCTCATTACTCAAATATGCCATAGTGTGTTGTTTAACATCTCCAAGCTTGTCCCACTCCTCAAGAGATATCTCTTCAAGTCCTCTCTCAACGTTCAGCCGGTGGTAGAGGTCGGAGCAGTTCTTAAATCGGTCTTTCATCGTTGACGCTTCAATCTCGGTGTCTGTAGCCATATCTGCCAGGACCTTAATAAGTTCCAATGGCAATACTCTTTGAAATAGGCTTGGGACTTTAAAACCTGTAACCTTAGGCTTTCCTGTCCCAATGCTGACAATACAACTGACTGTTCTCTCAGCACCAAATTCCTTCTGCGCTTCCTCAACTAGATACCGTGTCGGGTTATTACATCCCATACCTGCATCGATGAACTCCTCTTGTAAACCCGGATCTCCAATCAACATCCGCTTGAAAAATCGTGGAGCAGCCGAGGTCGCACGAGCAGCTTCCCAAATGTTACAGTTATAACCTGGACTTTTGTCTGCTGACCAAGTCCGAAACAGTCTTGGTTGTTTATTGATATGTTTTGCTGGGACAGCGCAAACGAAGCTAAGAGGTCAGTATCTCAAACAAGTACCTAAATCACTATTTGAAACTCACGTCTTGCATGCTAAGGCATCATTCTCAAACATTTTCTCATCGGCATAGCCTTTGCCTAGTTTCCACTCAACAGTTTCTTTTATTGCCCCCTCCAAGTTTGAGGCTTTGAATATTCCATCCTTTCCTTGCCCTTTCTTTTCCGAGAAGACTTGTTTTGCAAGGAGTCGGTATTTGTCGATGGCTTCAGGAACAGACAATCGGAGGCGGCCGAGAAGTAGAGCAATAAGCCTCAGCGATGTCAGAAGACCTCGCAACACCATCTGAACAATTGATACTCACCCACCAGTACTTGTACCACAAATCATGTCAAAGTAGTCTGCCGGAAGTGGTTTGGATACGTTTCCTAACCGACCTACACGATGCATGATCTCCTCTAGTATAACTAGCTCCGAGATTCCTCTGATGCCGCCGCCATCTTCACAGTCAGCAAGCTCGTTTATGCACCAAGATCGTGTCTACCTACCCAAAGAGAGAAGACGTAGTGGGTGGTTCGACAGTTCTCGCATAGCGGGTGCCATATTCATAGCAGGGAAAAAGTAATGTGGATTTCCTTTGAAAATACATTGCAGGTATAGGAATGTTATATACACAAATTGAGGGGTTGATATTCAGCCGCACCTGAAAACATGCTAACCTCACTGAGCCTAGCGCCTACTGAGAGCGTTTAATCCACGAATCAGCTATCGTGGACCTTACGCACTTCTCCGGTTGGTTTCAAGCGTTTTAAATCGTCTGTAGCTCAACATGCCTCAGGCCGTACCGATAAGTAGAGATATATAAAGCTACTTTAGCTTTGAGAGATCCACTTCCCCGGCTAGGGACTGCTGATCTGGACAGTTGTGACCCCTAATTGAAGCTTGACCATATACAGCTAGCTCTTCAAGGAACCCTTGTAAGTTAAGCGAGGATGAGTAATTCTCATTGCGTACGGAGGGGAAGCCGGTTTTGCAAGCGACTGTACGTCTCCCGCACCCATCACCACTTAGCTGACCTGAATATCTGCAATGTCAATCAAAATAACAGTTTTACTTGGGGGTAAAATGCGCTGCCATGAGACGTCCAAATCGTTGGGATTATTGTATCAACAATCAGCTGTCGTGGGAAAGAAACAACCAGACCGATGCTAGATGCGACTGGCTCCAAACGTGTCAAAATAAAACACGTGAGCCATTAATCACAAATATTATGCACTTATGACCGTAATTTTAACTACTCTTTATTTGGTTGCTCCACAAATACACCTGTTTTTGACGCTCATAAAAGTCTCACTATCAACTCGACACCAAAACAATGACATCCTTGGACAATATCTGAACACTCCCAAAACTCTCACGCTCGCTCTCATGCTCTTCTATTTTTTTCATTTTCTAGTCTAGCTCCTCTTCTAGTTCCTCTGTCACATTCTTTTCCACGTCCTCTAATTCAACACTGAGAACAATGCCTGTCCCCAAGCTGATGTCTTGGCCCCTAGTCTCTGCGGCTTCATAATCACAATACATAAACTGATCCGCTTCATTGTCGTCGTCTTTGCCATTTTTGAGCGTAACTTATCGGAAGCAAGTAACCCCTTCGCCAATTATTATTCCGGCACCACTGCGTAGTTCGGTACCCGGAGCTTGCCCTTTGAGAAAGGTTTGTACAGAGTTCGGTATTTTGGCACGACGGTAGACTTCAGGGTCCGTGCCATAAGGCTCTTGGATGTAGGAAACTTCATGTCCTTGAGGATATGATATGGATTATACCGTACAATAACGTCAAGCATTACCATGGGGTTGGCAGTGAAGGACTGGGGCTTCAAGACAAAACTCATGGTGGGTTCTTTATTTTGTTGTAATTGCCAACTGAATTTCAACTGAAACTCGGGTGTTATAGCGGTGCAGGGAACTTCTGGTCTTCCAAGGTGATTCTTGACGAGTAGCATGAGTTCTGCGAATTATTGAGCGGGATTAAATTCTGCTAAAAGCTTGAAGGGGTCGTTGAAAAACTGAAAATAGATCATTTTCAGCCATCATGTAAAAGCTGTTGAAGTAGATAACCTCTTGGTTTGAGTTGATAAAAAAAAGGAGTTCTTGGTTTCTGAAGTGTTAAAGAGAAAATGAAAAGAGAAAATGAAAATAGACAATGGAAACCGCGGATATCTCGACAAAAAGCTGGATTTTATGCCCGTCTTAACATTATGAAATAGCTAACACAGGAATTGAATGTCACGTTGGATATTTTCGGGTACTTACCCATTTGAAACCGTTTCGATATTCTCTTCCCACTAAGCAACTACCATGACCGTCAATTTATTAAATTGTGACTGCCTAATAAAGAATTTTCATTTTGTCTCATCCTTGAATGGGTCAATCGGCGTACTAGCCATACAACAAGAATATCTGAAATTGCACAGGTGGAAAGAAAATCATAAGATTGTAGTTATGTCTAGTCGATGAAAAGAAAAACAGAGAAAAACATAGAAAAACAAATAAAAGCAAAGAAAAACTTGAAGATAGTCTCATGAGTACAAGCGATATTTACCACCATTGTTAGAAATTAATTTTTCAATAACATTTTACAACCAGGAATTTCCAATTCCCAAATTACATACTAAGAGGTATCCTTGGCTGCCTTCCTTCCCCTTATTTGGGAAAGACCGGCCAGGATATCGTGAGTAACTAAGCAATACTAGGAAACCTGTTCCCAACTACTCGTCAACCGATTAGATGTAATAATTAATCGATTTATCGAGTAAATAATCAATATATCGTGATTAGCGAATACAACAGCTAGTTTACTAACTTAAAGTTTAACGTGGAAATCGTGCGAAATTAGTAAAAATATCTATTACCTCTTACTCTACTCTCTACATTTCAAACCCCTGTCAACACACCCAAATAGCATTGAATTAAAAGCGTATGTACGAAAAGCAAGGCTGTTTAGGTAGACGCTAACGTATACTATTCTAATTGTGCAACACTGTTTACAACACAATTGTGAACAAGTCGTTAGATGCTGAAATCTTCGAATTGGTTGTTGAAGCTGAAAAAATGATAGTTGAATTCGACTACTTCATTTGTCGACAGTAAAAGGAGGTCGCCTAAAGAGAATAACTAATTGCGGGTGCTATTTGTTTAAAAATGTGTATGGTTTCATTCAAATTGATGAGACACAAACCAAATTTAGACCAAAGATTGGCCAAGTTCTCTATTTTAAAATTTGAAATCTAAATCTACTGAGACTATATTACATTGATGCTGATAAATCAACGAAACTATATCCAGTGTGATACATTGTTGAGACTACTGTCTCATACACTCTTCTAGTTCATCCCTCAGCCCCTAACAGATGACATGCGCAGCTTCAAAACATTGTTACTATCCCTAAACGCCCATTCCTCCAGTTATTCCCGTCCCCTGTCAGTACTTCATTCGTTGGACACCTCAAAGCCGATGTTTATTGTACTGCCCAAGTTTGTCTTTACTTTACGAGTTGCAGCTCCATGGTAACGGAAAACCCGTAGCTGGTCCGAATTTTCCGGTTCGCGTTCAACTGATGTTTTGACGTATTTCTCCTTTTCTTTAGAACTCAACGTTCGTACCATCCCGATCAATGGAGCTTTTTGTCCCTCGATTTCTGGCTTTATTTTAAGTTTGGTTTCGTGGTCATATGTTTCCCTCGTTCTACCTGTTATAATCTCTTCGACGATGATCTCCCCTGGAATCATCACGCCGGTATAGTCATTAAACCCTCCTAGTTGATCAGGTACTTTAGCGACGAGAGCCGTCCGAAGGTGCTTCGCAATACGCAGAGTCTTTAAGGAAAAGCTAATGGCACTTCCTCCAATCTGCTCCCATTTGAAATCAAACAGATAATCAACTGAAGAAATGGGTTGATTAACTTTTGGCTCCCACAAAGGATTTTCGTGGAACTCCAGGTTCTCGCGGAACTCGTCAATTGTGTGATATTTCTGTATGGTTCCAAGAAAGGTTTGGAGATCCTCGAGTGTTGCATCGTTGGGCTCTGACATTCTGGAGCTTTTGGGATAGATATCCCGCTGCTGTCTTATTGTGTCGGGATCTGAATAGGTCTTTTCATCTCGTGGGCGATGTTCAGAAGAATAAAGAGAAACAAGAAAAGACCTGACGAGAGAAGAGAATTTATACCTTTTCAGAAGAGAAATGACTGAACCAACAGACCAGTCTTTGCTCACAGTTCCTTTGTTACATGACACAACCCATGCTGTTGGCAATGTAATGATAACATATGTCAACTCGAACAGAAGTGCAACAAAGAAAGCGCCTGGAATGAGTGGAAATCGGTCAGATTTGGTCAGATTTTGAAATTCACAGAGTATTGTTGTGACCCACTCAACCCAGTTGAAGCCCACTCACAACATCAAACCTCGAATTCATATCCAGAAACCTTTGACAGATAACCACGACAGTCAAGCATAAACGTTCTACAGGCGAATATCCCTGCGGAATTAGAATTTCCTTCGTCGGAGTTGACATGTGTGACAAGTGAAATTTGCTCAAGACACAAATTCGTGTCTACTCATTGTTGCTCCACGAATCACGAATTCTTGGGACGCGCTTTTCCATCGACCAAACATCTCATGAGCGATCCAACACGCCTCATGGTTGGTACTAACCGTCGACCGTCGCGACGAGACTTGGTCGCGCATCTTTAAGGTCCGAACGATTTATTCAGTCACAACACGAATGGTAAACTAAATATTGTAACATAATAGGCATGCGCATCAACAAAACAATTCGCTAGCTATCGACTACATGTTTTAAGCACATAACGCTAAACTAAACCAAAATCTTCCTCATAATCCTCTCCACATCATCCTCCGTCATCAACGGCAACCCCAAAAGCTCATTATCAACCTTCTCATAGTACCCGCCATACCCCTCGGTCCAGATCGAATTATAAAGATACGGAATCATCACTGCACCGCTGTAATCTCCCTTCGCCAGCCCTTCATCAGACTTGGCCTTCGTCTCCGATGTCAAAACTAGCTCCGTCTCCCATGCCTTCTCAGGCGCGACTTTCTTCCCAATCTCCACCAGCTTCTTCTGCGAGATCGCAAGATCATGAACAAAGACCGCGCGATTCTTTGTTTCCTCGTAGTGTTCAAGCACACTGACAACACCCTTTCCAACGCTAGCGAGGGTCGTGGTGCTAAAGGGTTGGTCACCACCATCATACAACGGCGTCTTCCCAGTCTTCACATCAAAGAAAAATCCCACTTCAATCCCCCAGTCCAAGAAAATGCCGTTGCGGAAGTAGGTGTACGTCATCTTCTCACCTTTCTGCTCAGCGATCGCGGCTTCGAGATGTTTCTCTACCATGACTTTGTGAGCAAAAACTGGGAGAGCTGCGACTAATGGGTTCTCCACGTCGGAGCCGAATGCAGATGGCAGGAAGCGTTTCACGCCTGCGGCGATGGCGGCGTCGATGACTTTGGTTTGGCCGGCCATGCCGTCGTTGCCGACGGTTGAGATGACTGCGTCTTGGCCTTTGAGAGCGGAGGTAAGAGAGGCGACGGATTCGAAGTCGACGCGGAGGACTTTGACGCCGGGTGGGTAAGTTGACTTGGAGGATTCGCGGGCGAGGACTGAGACGGTGAATTTTCCGGAGTCGAGGAGGGCTTTTACGACGGGGACGCCGATGGTGCCAGAGGCCTGGGTGTGTTAGACTTCTGGTTGATGTTGAAAGGAGGGATTGAACTTACACCTGAGACTGCAACATTCTTGATTTCAACCATCGTGGATGATGTTGGATGTTAGATATGTGAAACTAGGAATGATTTTACGATTTAGTTTGAGTATATGTCTGAAGGAGATTTGAGAGGATGATATAGTACTGAAGGCTTGTTGAATGGAGATGCAATCGGCGGATCCATCGCTATTTATCGTTTTCTAGAAGTCCTAGTTCATAAATCACGTCACGTAAGTCATGATCCGTTTTCTAAAGCCTCCCACACTTCTTGGTATCAGAAACATCCGCATTGAAGAAAGCAGCCTAGGATGGGGTGTAGTTGAGAATCCGTGTGGGAGAACACCGATGCCAAGATAGTTTCTGGCGAGTAGCAGTAATGGTTGAAAAGGGGGAAGGGCGTTGCCGAGTAAATTATGTCAGAAAAGCGAGTCTTAAGGCGGCGCTAATAAGTGGGATCCGTGGCTTGAAATGCGGTGATACCAAGAGCTCTCATGCTGCTTTTAAATTCATCGGCATCCCACATCTTCCAGGACACGGTTTGGCCTAAGGCTTCAAGATGTCGCCACGCTCGAGCCTTCCACTTCTACTTCCAAATCGGCTCCCACTTCAACTTCTCCTCCACACATATCAGCCACTCTAACACCAACAAGCCGTGCATGATATTGGACCTGCATGTACGAGGATTTACTGCCGTTCTGTCGATGCATCGATTTCAATCCAACCCAGAAGAGAGATCGGACGCCTCGGTGAACCACTATCCTGCCCCACCTCCCGTTTCCTCGTGTTCGTCGACTCCTGATATACATCAAGGGTATCGGATCCCACATCGCTATGAGTACAGAACAAGTTAACCGATGGCATTGCAAACATGAGGGCTGTGAGAAGAGTTTTGCGAGAAAAGAGCATCTGAATCGGCATGAACGCACTCATTTACCGGCTGAACTGTTCATATGCAATGTTTGTAATCAGAAATTCAATCGAAGGTGAGTTGGAAGTGAACCTATTTTATGTTTGACATCTTGTATCACACTTAGCAGCAGGATTCATTTTCTTCGTATACTTACTAGGTGGTTGGTTTTTATTTCGAAGTTGCCTTCTCACCACCTGTCATCTTTTTGAAAAGCATTGCTGATGCGCAGACCAACGGCTGACAAGTATATAGTGACAGTCTTCATCGGCACCTGATTAGACACGGAGATGAGTTCAAACCCACTCCATCAGGAAGAAGTAAAAAGGCGTGTGTCGCATGTCACAAAGGAAAAATCAAATGTGATGGAAATCAACCATGTTCGAAATGTGCTTCGAAGGGCTCAGAATGTAAATATGAGCAACAACCTAGTCAGAATTCGTCCGGGAAACAAAGCGAAGATGCTGTCACTACCCCGGAATTCCCACCATTTACCGTGAAGGGGATCATAGACTGGGCTTCCATGATGGTCCGGAAGCCGTCAGAATCTCCCGCCAAGACAGAATCGGACTTTGAAGATGAAAAATCTCATCTTGTTCGACCGAGTGTATCTGATGAGGCAAAAGAAGAATATATTGACAGTTACTTTCGGCATTTTCACCATCGATGGCCGATTATTCATCGACCGTCGTATTTGGCTTCTGATCACAGTCTACTTTTGTCATGCGCCGTGACTATGATTGGTGCTTGGAGCTCTCAAGGTGGTGGAGCAAAAATGTATTCTATCGTGATGCAAGACTATCTCGTGGCCCGAATACCTGTGTTACTGGTATGTGGTTGCTAAACTTCACTTCAAGCGTGCTTACAAAAATACTCTAGCAAAAGCGACACTCCGGAGAACAATTCCAAGGAACACTTCCGGCAGCTATATGTCAGACAGCTTTGTTAGTCATAATACATAGTTTCACGACAGGAGTGAGTATACCTTGAACCCAGCGGTTGATGATACTTGACAACCTTATGCTTTACCCTATGCACACACCTCTAACGCTGACAGATTGAGAGGCTAGTCTCCTCTTCAATGCTCATATTAGCAAGCTTGGTCACCATTCTTCACGAAACGGAATTTTTCAACCCCGCCACAGTTTACAAAGATGAAAAGCTGGGATATTTTCTTCCAATGCACCATGCTGCTCTAGGTGAAAGACAGAGGTGCGCTTACATTTCCTAAGGGCAAAATAATCTGCTCACTCATTCTAGACTTGCTCAATATCTGTTCAAGATTGATAAGTACTTCAGTATTCTTCGCGGACACCGAGGAATCATTCCCCTGGACGCACTTCATTTTCCACCACCCTCTTCGTATGCGTTATGGAATGGTGATGGCCTTGATGTGTAGGAATTTTCAAATCAAAAGTGATTACGTGCGCTAACATAGTACAGGTGGGAAAGTAGAGTGTTACTGGAACCGTCCTTTCGCGGAGAAATATCTATGGCCGAAATATTCGGCAACTCATTTCCAGATCAAGGATCTGACAGCCAACCAATCTTGGTAGAAGATGTCCAGATGTATATGTGTGCCCTACAACCCATGATTTGGCAACTACACAAAGGGGCTGTACAATCGATCGCAAGTTCGTCTCTCATTGAGTTGAAAACCCAGCTCGACGCTATCAAGTACAAGCTCGGTCAGATGGCTTCTCAACAACCGAATTTGGCCAATTTTGGAGAAGAAGAACATCTACTATATCGTTATTATTTTGGATACGAAGACCAAAATAAGGAAGGCTGGCAGCGAGCGCCCATAATGAGAGCCAAAACCCTGATATTTGATGCGTTGTCCTTTTATCACGTCCTCGCTATAAATCTTTATTCGAATGTTCCTAAGATCAGGCAGCTGGCAAAAGATTTGAACTTGGATAACAAAGCACTTAATGACAGACATCGGAAAGCGCAAGATTCTTGCAGAACCTTCGTCAGTACTTGGGCCAAGACTCAAAACGCCGAAGCAGCTCTCCATCACGCCAACCAAATCCTGAGTCTTCACAAATGTCTCACGCTTGAACTCGACTTTGAACAGAAGGGGCTTGATGCCATTACTTATGGTGGACTCCAAATTGCGATGATCGTTGTATGGGCGTACTGCATGTTCAGTGATAAACCTTGCGCCCGTTGCGATGGCACCGAAGCATGCATCTTGAACAAAGTGTATGCTGAGATCGATGGTCTTCAAGTTTGTCTGTGTAACACCAATGAATTGGTCGAAAAGTTTCGAGCGTTCTTGCCAGATCGCTGGAATTTACCCGAGACAACCATATGAAGGTCTTGATTTGTTCTCACACGGAGCGGCAGTGCGGAGTTGAAACTCTCAACGATGAGTGATTGAATTCAAGAAGTTTAAAATCAAAGGCTGGGCTCGTCAAGAGCCGTCATAACAGCCTCAAACGATCGTCGCTACGAAATGCCATGTCACTACGAAATCCACCATTGCATGACATCTGCTCAGGAAGAACTATTCAACCCAAAAACGCAGAAACGAGTCTGAACAAAGAAAAAAGCCAAGGTCATGCTCAGAACTCATCAAAAACCTTCGACTTTCACCTGACGTTCGTCCTTCGATTGTTCGAGGCCGCTGAACAGCTCCTCCACCGCCCTCTTATACATCTCTTGAGTTGGCTCTTTTTGTTTCTGCGGATAGATTCGCTGTCGTGGATATGCCTGTCGTGGCGCGATTGGCCTCCGTGGAATCACTCTCTCATCTTCGGGATACCGTCTTGTGTCATAATCGCGATCAATGACCACTGGCCCATAAGTCGACTTTCTAAACGCATCTCGGAATCTATCTGGAAATCTGACATTCGCTGCATAGTCTTTCCCGGCTTCTTGCTTGAAAGATGTCTCGCCTTTGAGGATACAACCCCATTGAGAGATTCCTCCTTCACCATTCCACCATCCTGACCAGCTTTGTGCCTTGGTTGTGACCTTGGGCTTGAGCGGTTGGATATCGACGATGCTCCACTCGCGGAGGAAGCGCACATTGGAAGAGGCCCTCTCGCGATCTTGCATCAGAAGTACAAGTTCATTTTGAAATCGATATGAAAGGGTTGAGATGGTCGCTTTGATGGATGCTTCACGGGCGTGATACTCGGCTTCCGTTCGGGTCTCCTCGTCTTTCGCCTTCATTTCTTCTTGTGGTCTCGGTTTACCTTCAACTGTATAGCTCGTGTCATCCATCATCTCTCTGGCTGTAAGACCAAAGAACTTCCATGTCGACCGAACTCTACTTTCACCTTCAATCTTTTGCAAGATCCAGTACTCGTAGACTGCTTTTGGCTTGACAAATTGACTGAAGAGGGTTAGTCTTAAGACCAGATTCTCCCAAAATCAACTTACTCGGATGCGAAAGAGTCAAACGAAGCGATACTTCGATTGTCAAATTCGCGATAAGTCATCGGACGCTCCACAACACGATCAATAACACGGTCGTGACCACCATAATCCGACACATTGTCATCCATCCTCGCGGCCCTCTCCTGATACAAAGCCGCATCAATCACCTCTTTGATCATTATCTTCTCCCGCTGAACAGTCTTAAAATCATACTGCTCAACCGCCCTCTTAATCTCCCTCTTCTGCTCATCACTCCTCTCCCTAAAAGATCAGCACTGTCTACTCCCAAGAAATAAACAACTCACCCTTCAGCAATCCCCATTAACCCTTTCGCCTTCGCCATCACCCCCAAAAACGCCAAACAATCCAACCCATCCTCAATCGTCACCATCACCCTCCCCAGCGGCCCAACCGCCATCATCCCCTCCTGCAACGCAACCTGTCGCGGATCGCCCCTCCCCGTGCGCACTTTCTGCCCATCATCAAGCCAATCCACATCCGCCTCCTTTCCCAACGCCTCTTCCAGCACTTTCTCCACGTTATCAAACTCCCTCTCGAGGCTGCGCAGGATGATACATACGCTGTCCTCACAGGAAACTGGGTAGGTTTCCACGGTCGTGTGGAAAGTTGTTAGGATTGAGGGCGCGGCGGCGATGATGCCCGCCACGGAGCGGATCACATCGGTGCCGTGGAAGTTGGTGGAGACGTGGGTGTAGAGGGAGGAGGAGAGGACTGTGGCTTGCGGGATCAAAGGCAGGAGGAGGGCGGGGATGGGGGAAGTGGGTTTTTCGTCTTCGGCGGTGGCCATGGTCTTGGTTCTTGGGAGTATCGCGGTCGAGCAAGTTGCAAAGTACTTGAGATCAGTTCAAGAACATATATATACCCCCCTCGAACTCGCCTCCTGCAGCCTCGCACGTCGCAGCCTGAAAATCATCATACCCGCATACTTGCCTAGATACGTCGCATCTCATAGGTGCTTGTGCGAGAGTGAGTAACTTGCTTTTTCTCAGCCCTATGCTTGGGCCGATGTGCTGCAGGTGGGTTTGATGCGCCAAGGGTTCTTGCCTGATGGGGGCGGGATGTGGGTGAGTCACGGGTTCGTCTCGTGATGAGGGATGCCTTTTGTGTTATCATGTGTTGTAGTTTGGTTTGAATTTGTTGTCTTGATAGGGTTTTGTGGGGTGTAGTGGGATGTTGGTTTGGGGGATGAGATGTTGGGTAGAGGTGGAGGGGCTGGTGATAATATCTTCGTGGCTATTTGATAGAGCGGCTTTTGGTACCGTTTCTTGGGGATAGTGATGAGGGGTTGAAGTATTTATTTAGGGCTTTTTATGTGGGTTCGCAGAATAGGGATATGAAGGATAAGGTTGGAGAGGAGCGGCTGCGATTGTTATATATTATAATATAAACTTTAGAGAAAACTAAAATTTTTAATCTAGATATATAGAAAATACGAGATTTCTCGAAGAATCGAAGTAAGGAGAACTTTATTAGTAATATATATTAAAGTTTCTTATTCTCTAATCTATATACATAATAGTTTACTATAGAATATACTAATTTATTAGATATCTTTTAAGTATAATAAAGCGAAATTTAATAAAATTTATGGAGAAAAGTATATAGAGAATTATATAGATAGATCTAGAATAGAGACGAAGATGTAAAAAAAAGGGTTCTTACTAGTAGACACGGCTTTAACGAGTAAATAGACTATAATAGTATTTTTTTTATAGTTATTAATTACAAGTTGCGGTAAAGACGAGTCTATCGAATTATCGCAACCCCTAGTGGTCCCTTATTTTACACAGCTCAATAAAACTACCGTTGAATTTCCACTCTTGTCGTAAAATGTTGACCAATCAGTTCCCCTCGAGATGCAATAATGCAAAACATACACAGCCTTATGTTTTCATTTCTTCTCTAGTTTGAGATTAGTTTCGGGGTTTTAGATGATATAATCTGGAGATTGGAAACTAAAGAAAGACAGCGGATAATTGTTATAATCGAAATCGAGTGAGGTTAATGATAGCTTGTGCGTTGCGTGAGACGATATCAGAATGTGTGAAATTCTTGAGATAAATTGTAGTCGGTGATTTGGCTGTGGGATTTGGAAGATGTGAAGGCTTTGACCTAATTTTGATTCATGGGGAAAAGAGAAGGACTGTTAACACACGAGACTCTCGCAGCAATGATTTTAGATGGAATGTATATCAGGAAGAAGATTGTTTGACTAGAAATAGTGTACCTAAGATCATTTCAGTACAAAAACGGGACTGGCTTTCTGTCTAGGTGATTTAGTAGAGTTGATTGGGACATTAGAAGTACCTGATGAAAATGCTGAAGAATGAAAGTACTCTTTATACATCACAATCTCAACTCCTTTAACGACTCTCAAATGTGATTAGCTTACCCACTGGTTATTGCTCGACTTATGACAGATACACAGCTCCAGATTACCCTCTCATTTGAGAGTTGCTCTACTACAAGTAACTCCGGATTTCCACAAGGGAGAAGAGTTAGTATTACACAGGAACATTTGAGATCAGACTATGCCACCCCGCTGTGCGGACAGCTTTGATTACCCATAAATAGTATTACATCAAGCCGAATATTCATGTCCCACCATGCTGGTAGAGTCAGTTGTTGGAAATATTGCCTATGCAAGGTTACAGCCATGCACCAACCAACAAATCTCCCCTTGGCTGCCTGCCAAAACTAGGAAACTCGTGTCCGCATTGCACCGTCGTGCAAAAACATCTTTCTTACAAGAATGTTTCTCGTCGGCGAGGCTGTACATTATTCTCACAGTATTGTCTTCTGATATCACGATCCACCATCTCAAATCGCAAATCATGGCAGAACTAAACTCGGAGCCTACCACTGCATCTCAAACCCCCGATCCAGGTGGCGTTGAGGGTATCCAAGTAGCAGACGAGCAGCAACAAGAAGAAAGTACAAGCAGTCGAAGTTCTTCACCCGCGTCTTCCACCACAGAGTCGCTCTACGAGATCCACTGTGAGATTGCGAAATCGCTCCGAGTGGCATGTCTTTCTGGCGATTTGAAAACCGCGCACTCGATATCCTCAGCAGCTAGGGCAGATAACAATAGACAGCTAAACAACCTTATTGCCCAAAAACTCTTAGTCGATGCTTGCGAGGCCGGTCGAGCTGGTGACTTGACAGCTCTCTCACGCTTGCTACAACATGGAGCAAAGCTTCACAGGGCATTAGTTGGGAGTGTCTTGTCAAAAAAGCCAAAGACTAAAGCCGTCGTGGATAGGCTCGCTCAAGCATTCGACATACTCGAGGATCACGGGCTAGACTTCAAAAAAATTCCAGACATTGACTCGTATTGAGCCCCCGGACACTTTTCTATGAACGAAAAAGCTAACTGTTGCAGGTATGCGACCGGTAATGTCTTGATGCTCGAGTTCTTGCTATCAAGAGGGGCGGACCCGAATCAGATCTGTTGGAACGGATTTCTTCCGCTACGGTTTTTCGAAACTTGCCGAGCGTGGGAACTCCTCATGGATTATGGGGCAGATAAGAAACGATCTAACTTTTTACACAACGCAATCCATGTTCGTGAGGATGCAAGATGTATTGCACTGATGGAGTTGGCAATTAGCAAAGGTGTAGAAGTAAACGCTCCTGCTGGCATGGTAGAAGTAAGCAAACCCACAGTAGGGTATATGAAGGCAACTAGGTGGATTGGAAATAGAGGCACTGTTCTCCACTGGGCCATAAATGGCCGGAAAGTCAGTCGTGCTCTACGAATAAAGTGGTTGTTAGATTATGAAGTAGATCCCATGATCGAAAACGCGAAAGGAGATTACGTGATTGAGTATGCGAAGAAAAGATTTAGCCAAGAAAGCTGTACTCAAGAAATAATCGATCTGCTAATGAATTACAGCAAGAATTCTTAGTTTATAGCGTTGTGTTGACTGTCGACAGAAGTCCAAAGGATATAGCAGATGTTGTTGAGATTCTTGGGGGAAGTGCAACAAGAGGATTAAAGACGATAGATGTAGAGTTGAAAAGAGAATTTATGCAGAAATATTTTCATAACGTTAGGCGGTGCTGTGCAAGACTCACGGGACAATTTGCCTCATGACTTGTCTGTTCTCAGCCATGTAACAACCTGAATATTTGTACAGTGTAGAGATTTGTTCCCAGATGCTGGAATTGCGTCGATACAGATGCTGCTGCTACGGAGGCCGATTGAACAGATTTCTGATATGTGGTAAAATTATAAGAAATCGTTAGAGAAAACATGTAAGTTATCTATCACGTCACAGACAATTGTACTGTGTAAGTCATTCGTCGAGTAGAGAGTCGAGAGCTTGACGAATGGCTGAGAATCCCAGCAAGAATTGAATGGTTTTCGTAAAGAATGACAAAATGACCCAAAACCTGCTTTCAAACGAGAAAATAAAAACCTGGATGAGTTCGACAAACAGAACGGAAAAGCAAACAGAAACCTGGATACGTTGTTATAAAGGTTGTAAAAGATTTAAAGATTCCCGAGCTTGCAACAACGACCTTTGCCCAATCGACGCTAACACCACAACAGCCTAGCGCTAAGCTACCCCTGTTCGCCAAACCACCAAAAATTTATTCCATTCGCATCGCAACAGCAATATCGCAAACCAAAACCACAACCGTCAACTCAGTCAGTCCGCCGCCAACCTCCTCACAAACCAGTACGTCCCTCTCGCCTCCTCCCCTTCCTTTCCCCCAAACTCTCATCCCTCTAACATCCCCCAGACAACCTGCAACCATGCATCTCATGTACACGCTCGACAGCACCGGCAAGCGGATCTACACACTCAAGAAAGTCGCATCAGGGGAAGTGACCAAATCCGCACATCCAGCACGGTTCTCGCCCGATGACAAGTATTCGCGCCATCGGGTGACGTTGAAGAAGAGATATGGGTTGCTTTTGACGCAGCAGAGTGAGTTTTCTCTACTTTATCTTTGTGGAGGGGTGGGAAGGGAGAGGGCAGAGGGCTAATGTGTGTGTTTCAGAGGATTTGAAGGTTTTGGGACAGTAGAGAGGGGTTAGGAGGGCGGACGGTAGAGAGGGAGGGGGGAGGAGGGAGGATTGAAGACGGCGGATTCGAGGCGTGGAGGGAGAAGAAATGGGAGGATATGGGATGGTGATGTGCACAAAATTTGGCCGTTTGGCGGAGTACAAAGGCGTTCATGCGAGGTCGCTGGAGTTGGCTTGATTGTGGATATTACGGTGGAAAAGAGAATTTAAAAATTCATTGAAAATATTTACGATCCATCTATCTACCATATTCCCACAAAGCCGTAGCCGTATCCATACCTGCCCATTTTCAGCGCCAAACACCATACAATGCAGCAACAAATGGAAGAAACGATTTAATGTCTCCTCTTTGAATTCACACCCTTCCCAGCACCGACTCTAGGCCTTCCCCCAGGCCCCTTTCGATCACCAGACAAAATACTAGGAAGATAATCCTCATCCATGAGATCCCTCTCCTTCTGTCTCCGCCCATTGGTCAAAGCCTGTACATATTCTTTCTGATCTTCCGCCAATATCAAACTCTGACCCCATCCACCTTTTCCACCGCCCGACACCAGTTTTCCATTCGAAGTACCCGCAACGGGTTTAGGAATACTGTAGACGTTGCCTCGCGTATTCCATTGCATGTTCTTCTTGAGATGGACTTGGAAATTGCCGTTTTTGTCTGTCGAGCACGAGGTTCGTAGGAGTGTATCTTTTCCACAGCGAGCGCAGAACTGCTTCGTCATGTCTCTGGTGATGGCAAAACAACCATGACATCGTAATACCCAGGTCTTCACTTGTTGAATTCGTTTGAGTGATGATGATAGAAGGTTCAAATTCATGCGCATAAGTACGTTCTGCATGGCGAAATCTGAAGTAATGGTTGCGACTTGCATGATCTTGATTTCTTCTGCTGGCTCAACTGAACCTTCGGCGTCTTTTGCTTGGTGCTCCTTTAGATTTTGAGGTGTGATCCATCCTTCTTCATCGGAATCTTCTGCTTCATTTGGCTGTTCCTCGACGATGGCGTTTGCTGGTTGTGGTGCTTCTTCGTCCGCTGGACCGGGTTCTGGTTGTGATTCCTTCTCATTCGCCTCCTTTCCAAAATCGGGCGTTATATGTGTATTTCCAAGTTGCGTCTCTATACTCTGGTTGGTGGAAGTTGTGTCTCTTGGTACATCCTCCTGCTTCGCCTCTGCAGCCTCTTCACTCTTTGTTCCTTCTGCTGCCACGACCTTCTCAACCGTTGCATTTAAAGCTGAACCCGGTGGTTTCCCGTTCAGACCCTTCTGGCCTGGTACACTTCGTAACCTCCAATCGCCATGATTCCTTTCACACTCCAACTCATATGCCAGCGCCATCAAATGCACATCCGGCCGACTCAGAACCTCCAAATCGCCCGTCCTCCTCGCAAAATCCGTAATAACTTTGATACTGGCAGGATTTGGTTGCCTGCTGATCAGAAAAGGCCTCAGCGTCATTTCGATTCGCATTCTCGTTGTCTCATCGCGGATTTCGTCGATAACGGCGGGGATGGTGTAAAGGAATTCTGCCTGTCCTAATAAGGTGGAAACGGATGGCTCATTTTTGATGATCGGTCCAGCATCGAGAACTAGACTGTGTACGGGTTTTGGCGTATCGTTAGACATGTTGCTTGGAATAGTCAAAATTATGGTGTTGTAAGAATTGGTCGCATTCCATTCAATAAATTTTTGGAGGGGAAAGGGCAGAATCCGGGCGGTGTAGTGAATGTGCATGACAGTCAACTCTTGGTCACGTGGAGTCCTCTCCGAAATAGACGATCAGATATTGACTTTTTGTTGTGCCAATTTCATCTTCCATTAATGGACGATTTTTTTCCTGAAGTAGCTTCGAGTCGATATAAGCCTTTAAGAGACTGTGCGTCATGTGGCTCTAGTTATGGCACTATCGCTTACTTTTCGTCCCAGCCAAGACAAACCTCTTCAGACCAAAGACTCCCAAGCTTTCATTGCATATTTCCCTCCGAGGCGCCTTTATATCTGTCCCATCATTGCGCTCATCTAGCTTCATATTTCTAGATGGCATGGCGCCATCAGCGTTTTCCATCTTTCGTCTTCAATCTCCCAGGGTCCTTGGGCCTCCGCCAGCCCGAATCGCACACCGAGGAACAGCAAGGACCAGCAATATCCACACCAAGCTCACACCATAGCTTCCTTATTGAGGCTATATCAACAACCATGTCGGCCCATACTCTATCCAAGCTATTCGTCGACAAGAACGAGCTCCTCAGCAACATGATCGGTTGCAGATACCCGGAGCACCAATGCCCCGCGGCTGACTATGAACCCCAAGAAGAATCAGCAGCTCTCAATCAACATATCTAACATATGTGACGGCCAGTAAGCACCGCATAATACTCATGGTGAAGGGCAGCACTTGTAGAGAGAATCCTACCGGACAGCTCTAGGCTAGGCATCCCATCACCATGTCCATTGTGCGGAGGAGAAAAGCCACAAGTGATCGCAGCTTTACCGCCCCCAAAAGAGAGCAATTCGATGATGAGTGAGTCGCAACTTCTCCTCAATCCCAACTCGAGAATTTGCGCTCGCACTAGCCACGGATTTCTTTTCTCGCTTCACTCAGGAGGTGTAGCAACAACATCCAAATACCATATCATATGTGGTTTGACAGAAAGGCATCGTAGATTGGCCTGGATATTCTACCTAGCAGGTAGAAAGCCAATTGCTATCAAGTATTGAGGCCCACTTGTGAAATTGGAGTAACGAATCATCACAGCCAATATCTTCAACCCTCGCAATTCTTCGCGAAGGGCTGAACAACGGGAAGCTTAAATTGACCTCTCCTTTCTCGCCAGGCGAATTGACACAACAGCATTGATATGGTTCGCCTTTGCGTTACTCGCGCTTGACATATATCCTGCCAATCTCCGGCCTCTCACTTTGCAGACTTTTGCCTGCATTGTACTGACACCCGCCTCCTATTGGCCCAAAAACACTCGTGGCATGCCATTTCGTTCTGCTTCCCACTCGAAAAGAACAAGGCAAATGGTCTTCAGAACGAGGCAACCAGGCTAAGTGCTAAAACACATACATTGGACGCCCGATTTCTACTGAATGATCAAACTTGGTGCATGCAGTGGAAGCTGATCCTTGCAGAGTCGCAGAAAAAAGACCATAAGATGAGCCTCCCACCCTCAAAACTTTGTAGCAAAAAGACACGGAGAATAACAGAAGAGACAACGAAAAAAACCAGTCAGGTGATATCTTCTCAACGCCCTCCAAAGTCCATAATACTTGGATCATTATGAACTTTGCAAGGTCGCTAATCTGCTGCAGGACTTCCTGGGGACGATATGATTCGTGCGGTTTTCTTTTACGGCGAGCCGAGAAATCGTCCACACCACCATACCATCATCGAATCATATCGTCCGCGAAACAGCTGAACAACCATTTTCTCAGCAACTGAGCAGTGGCTAGTGGTCAAGATATACCCGATGAACTCGCATCGCGATCGCAGAGCCTCATTCTGCATTTTCCCGACTTGGTGCCGACTTGTGGGAAATCCATCAATCTTTTGAATGTTGTTCATTTTCTACACCCTGCATGTGGGATTCCCAAAGCAGCCAACGCCACCTTCCTTCTCCGAACAGAGAAACTCGCCATCGATCTCGAGTCTTCACGGTCTACTTTGAACGGAATGCCGCCAACAACCGACGAACCAAGCATTGGGCATCTTATCTAAGACTTGTATACATCTAAGCGATCATTTCCCTCTGGACGATGTTGCGGGAAATCTGGAAGATGCGGGACACCTCTGCCGTGATTGGATTTTGGCCCCTCCCTCCACCATTCGGAAGAGGTTCAGTGCATGTCAATGGGCGTCTGGTGGATGGTACGATTCCCTATGTTCAGTCTAGTCTTGGTATAAGTCCAGAGACCGACCCGCAAGTCACACCCTGGCGACCTCGCTATTATCCAGTCTGGTTAAATGCAAATGGATAGTCAATCTTCGTTTTGCCAGTCTTGTTTGATAATACAAATCTTCATGTACGAGACTTGCCTGGATGCTGCTTTCAATGATGGAATCCACTTGCACACAGCGGTTCGCTTTGGTTTTAGTGGAAGCCAATCAACTTGGCGCAGATTGAGGATTCAGGTTGCGCTCACGTCGTCTTTTTGCTTTTATCGGCCAGCCAAACATGCATAACGAAGCTGCCATGCAGCTCCTGCTAGGATTGTGCTTGCTAATAGTTCACGATTATCCAATAGATGCTATCACGAGAGCATATTTCATTGATATTGGGCATCAAGAGGACTGATGAGGCTGGTACATACTGATATGCACCAAGCCGAGACATACGAGATATGTTGATATCATATCCATCTCAATTCCCTTCCGGTCGCCAGTATCACTCTTCATTGTTTAAAACCGCATCTTAGGAAGAAACACACTTAGCACCACGACAGAAATAGGACATGCGATGTCTTCCAAATCGGTAGGTTCATATCCTGGTATACGTACACAATCTCATAGGCTTGTACAATTAGCGGTCATCGAAAGCACAGGGTTCATCGTCGCGCCCAACCCCATCTTCCCCGCCTGTCAGCTTCCTCTTCATCGTCAACGAATTACCAACAAACGACAATCCAGAGCACGAAGGATCGGTTGAAGCACTTTACGTTGATGGTCGATGGCGCCCTCCAGTTGACATCCGCGGGTTCTTCGCACAAGAACCTGGAGCCGTGTATCGATGGAAAGATGGTACCATCACTCGAGCGAGCGAATTTGGTTGGTCCACTCAACAACTAGGACAACCTCCTTACGCAGATGGCACGATTTTCAGGACTTACAATGGCTTTACGGACTATCCTACTTATTACCGCGCAGCTACCGTCTTTTACTGCAACCGATTCGACCTCTTCTTCACCGCACGCGGTGATGCTAGCGTGAGGAATATCAGAACTTGCGATCCCGAAGAAGGTTGGCATCCTCTTACATTCCATCACGACGGCAGAATCACCCGCGCTGAACATGCTGGCGACCAAGCACATACGAGAGTCCGAGAAGCGGATTGGATCACTCAGTTGATTCCTACCAATTACCGGGCTGCGTCTGGCAACACCACAAGTGGCGGACTGGCTGGCTTGCTCCCGATTGTGATTTCGCTAGTCGCGTTTTCTTGTACGGATCCGTATCAGCTTGATGAGATACTCATGGTTGACCGGGCGTGGAGAGGACATCGTTGGCATGGTCATCGCAGGGATACTGGTCGTGAGTCTGGCGCAACATCAACTCTATGCATCATCTAATATCTGTAGGAATCGGCGGAAGAGGTGTCATTACCACTGTCTATCTCGACCCAGATAATCCAGAGGGCTCGAATCCTAATACCTTGTGGGATGTGGAATATGGAAATACTCCTATCTTTCGCTAGATTGTCGTCGCTTCGATTTCGAGTTACGTTTGGATGCTAAGTCAGTTGATTGCATTGTGCATTCGTCTGGTGATTTCTTTGCACTAAATACGGCGCAGGAAGATGCTGGAAGACAGTTTGGATACGTATACATTAGGAGACGCCTGCGTCGTCAGGGTCTTCACGGCTAGGGAACGAATTTTCTTTCGGGGGCCCCGGATGGCAGCATCTGCTACACAACAAACGTTAGCCGATGTTCTCATGTCACCACTCAGTCATATACGTATGTGCGTTTATGAAATTCGACTATCACTACGATCATGGTAGCTATGTTGTGCATCCAATCAACTCACAAATGAGATTTCTCTAGCTTAGGAGGGGGCGGTGGCGATAACTGAACAATTTTTGTCTGGCAAGGAATTTGGCGAGTGATATAACCTTCGTCGTCTCATTTGGTCAGTTTGTTAATTAGGAGGTTTAATCCTTTCACGTTTGGGAACTTGCTGTAATCTTGGGAATTTCGCGATTTAGTAGCCAATAATGATGTGGAAGATAAGTGCAATTAGCCTTGTATATCTTTATCACTACCTGTCCCGAAATTGACTTTTCATATTCACTTCTCCCCTCCATCATCTTTCGTGCGATAACTAAGTAACAACTCAACCATCTCCTGATTATCTTGACTCCTCGCATAATCAATCGCTCTCTTACCCACCGCATCCTCAATCTCCGGATCCGCATCATGTTCCAACAACCACCTCACTCTCGGAACACGATCAATCAAACGATTCTGTCGCCCCCCTAATAAATGCCCTTTCACAGCCCAATGAAGCGCCGTACCTCTATTTCCCAGCCTCTTCACACCATCCTGAAGTTGTCGAGGACCAGCTTCTTCCTCCACGAATACAGCAGGCCAGTTGATATCCACGCCTCTGTCGAGGAGAAGTTACATGCGCTCTATACATTCGGCGTCGTCTACGGTTGCAGTTGCTTCGTGCATGGGATTTGAACGTTTGATGTCTGCACCGTGGTCGATGAGGAGGCTGGTGATGGCGAGGTCGCTGAAATGCTGGTAGGGGAGCGATCCAAAAACACCCAATCCGTTGGGATTGGCGCCGTTTTGCAATAGGTATTCCGTTATTGGATATCAGTTGGGCTGTGTGTCGCATATGCTGTGAACTGTCAGCTTGGTGCTTGATGAGGTTAGGACATGTGAGATGGGACTCACTCTATCAAGATGTCTGGGATATCTCGTAGTTTCAACCCATGTGCGAAAAAGAGCTCCATGACCTTGATTGTTGAATCCACATCTTCGATATCTTCAGAGGCAAATATAACACTTTTAACTACCCCTTCATGGAGCTCCGCTCCGCAATCCAAAAACCGCGAAAGAACTTCAACATCATGAGTCCGTGCCGCCTCATACATGTCATGGTAGAACTCATCACCGACTGTTTGGTTCAATTCCTGGTCATCTTTTGCCTTCACTGCCGAAATTATCCTCTTTCTTTCTTCCGGGTTTTTCGAGTCATATGATTTCCGTAATAATCTCGAAACAGCTGCGCGTTGGCGCTCGTCGAGCTTGATACCGTTTAATAATCCGTGGAGTCTGGCTAAATTATCGTCTATCGTCTCGATTTTGGATTGCGCAAGTCCAGCGTATGGTATAGACGCGACAAGAATTGCGAACCCTTGGTCTGAGCGGTTTTGGGACATGATTTTTGCTGCGAAACTGGTAAGGGCCGTCATCGATTGTGGCGTTTATTCGGAAATAAAACTCGAAGGACGTCTTATTTCGTTTGTCGTCTGTGGACGCCCCACGCCGTTGAGACGTTGAGTCGTTTTTTAAGGCAGCTATCGGATCATCCTTGTTGGTGACTTGTTGGTAACTTCTTGGTATATATTGGCACATCATACAGGGCGGAGCCATAAAGTGAAGTATAACCACCCGAGTGGTTCATTCACGTTCACGAAATTGTCGAAACAAGACAAACAGCAATAACTAGATGGCTAGCAAAAGTGCGAAAATGATTACATTCAGTTATTTGTCTGAAGTTCCAATGAAGAGCAAATATGCTGATTCCTACAAAAGGGGTCAGAGGATACTATTTTAAACAAAGGTTTGCAAGATCCCTATTGCTTGGTGCTGAACTACTTGGTGCTGAACTTCTGGCTTTCTCGTAAATGATTCTTTATTAGGATCATGCAAAGAACAAAGGATTGGAAGATGTAGTTGCATATTAAGGGAGAGGTTTTAGTTCGGCAGATAAGGTAAAGAGTTCTGCACCGGGCTGCTTAACCGAGGTGGTTGTTTGTTTGTTGTTGTTTGTGTGAAACATGATTGTTGCCAAAGACTCTCTCCTAGGCAGCATCTAGGGTCAACAAAGATCTACGAATGATCTTGCATCATAATCACATCATCAAAGCGCTATCAATGCCAAGAGATCAGAAAGAGTCGGAAGATGTAAACCATTTGTGAACGGTATGGCAGATATTGTCAGAACTCACAATGTTCACAGTTTTCAAGGGGTTGCTTGATTTATTACCCAGGCATTCGAGGTTTCTACTACCCCTGCCCCAAGTTTTTTTCCACCCTCCAGCCAGTTGACAGAGCCCCAGTAAATGTAATCATCTAGTTGAAAGTAAAAAGCCGCTTGCTTGTTATGGAAAAAAGATCTGATGTGTGATTTGAGTCTTGCTTGCCAACCCCTCCCCTACGAGTTACTATTGGATGAGATTCTTCAACATAAGAATGCAAACCATCTGTCTCGTACAATATCACACCCGAAAGTTTAACCATTTGGAGACAAAATTCTCGTTGTCCTTGGCTGTGGTTATAGCGGGGACGGCAGTGGGGATTACAAAGTACTTTTTTGAAATCTGTTTGCTATTGTGATAAAGTATTTGAAAGATGTTGGGAAAAAGAATGGTTGTGATGTATGCACATCAAATTATACTGTTTTTGGGAGGTCTAATATTTGTTTGAGGTGAGCTCTTGTTAGAATCGAAAGCGGAGTCTGCTTCTTTTCAAAGCGTCTTGAATATTGACGAACCTAAGCCTTAACCGCTTCTAAACACATCAAATTTGCTTGGTACATGTAGACTCAGATACAAACAGCAAAATTTCAAGGATGCTAGTATATTGTTTGGCTTAAGGTGACTTCCTCAAAGCTTCTTTTCCTTGAGCTGACAACTAATTCTCAGAACATGCAGGAACCCGCTCACGCATACACCTTCTTTATACTATGTCTTTGAAAATTCTTTTCATGTATCATTGTACATGAAGCTAAGGTGCACATGTAACCCCCCCATATGCTTCAGTTTGAATTCAAAGGCTGAGAATGATTATTTATGCTCAGCAGTTCCCCATTCTGAAACAAGACACAACACCTTCTCAACCTTCTCAGATACTCAGCAAGACTTTCACAAAAACAAGACGTTCAGTAGTCTGAAGCATCCCTTTTACAACCACTTATCCTTCAAAATGCTGTTACGACGTCTCTTGGGCGCTACGTTACTGGCCGCTGCCACATCTCAAATAACTCAGTCGCCGTTGACGGAAACCGACAACCAACAAGAAGCTCATATGATGACCGCATTCTCGGCAACTCTCGATCTTCCATTGATTCCAACTTGGTCCCGTGCTCTACTGCGGTTGCTACCACTTCAATTCTGAAAACTCAAATCGTGACGGTGACGATCAAACCATTTCCGACTACTTTCCAGACGATGACACAAGCTTCCTTGCCTGAGGAGACTTTTGAAAGCACAGTATCAGCATCTACCATTAAGAGCCAAACTACTTCGCTTTCTACCGCAGAACTAGCCATGGAAAGTCCCCCTAGAGCAATGCCTGAGCTCGTACGACGAGGGAGTCTGTTGACCTCAACCACGACCCCTTTGCAAAGTACTGCCACCCAAAAACATGCAAATCCTTCAGAACTCGAGCCCAACCAACAGCAGGATAACAGTCCTAGCAATATTCTGTTAGCAAAGTTGGTCGCCACGCTATCAAGAGAGAAGCTGACCACTGTTTCCCAATATGCAATTATCATTACGATGGTCTGCAACGTTATCCTGTTTCTCTACAAGCTGGTGCATGGGGCTATGTGGTTGCACGAAAAGTCTCTCAAAAAACCCGAATCTAACGCACAACAAAATTCCCCAGCGGATGTTGCGCTCGTGAGACGCCCAGCAGCATCAGAGGGTCAAAGCACGGAGGATGGACTGATATCAGCCACGGCTGATTTGAAATCGGCGGCGGCTGACTTGAAATTGGTGGCGGCTGGCTTGAGATCGGCGAGCGAAGCTTCTCAAGATAATCAAGGGAATTCAGTAACGAGTGGTCAAGTTGCAACCGGGCGGCCTTCTTGAACCGCATGTCTGTTTTCTTCTTTATGATTAGAAGGATAACGCGTTTCGGGCTTTTTCATTAGGGTGTGGCTGATTGGGGAAACTTCCGTAGACATCTGTTTGGATAGAATATATCTATTTAGGTGGAATGTTTAGTTGGGCGGGTGATAAACGCGACAAGCATCCATTTTGGAATTAAGACAGGTGTTGTGGAGATATATGGATTCTAGCTAGCGAAAACTGAGTGTATATATTGACATTAAACCATTTCTTGGTTCGTAGGCCTACACACTATTAAAGGCGTTTGGGAAATATAAACGTCTTCGATAAAAAAGTCGATTATGAATGATGCTCTGTGCGCTGTCGCTAATACGTTGCATTTGTTTTCTACGTTCGAGAAAGTTGTGTCTACTTTATTAAATATTAAGATTAGGAATATTATCATGTGTCGTTTTATTCGAGCATCTGCGCATAGTTATAAAATTCCTGTTACGTGTTTGACAGTAACTATGTGTCAAATTCAATTGCATGCTTTTATCCTTGAAAGGTTCAATTTTCAGGAGAATCTTTTGTTTAAAGCAGTTGAATTTACATAATTAATTGTGCTCACAAATTGTGTCCGTCAATACTATACTTGACAAATTAAAGCCATGCCAAATTGTACAAAGTACTACGGAACCTCCACTGACTTTCTAAATAGTATTAACTGACATAAGTTATATACAATGCCTATTACGTTTGTATCATTGTGAATCGAATCCTAAATTTTAGAGTTTTAACGACTTCCACGTTTGAGCTGATAAGATGAATTAGCTCTTCAACTCGCTAATGACGATCAATTGACTAATGGATTAGAGACTCAACAAATCGTTACATCTAATTAGTCCATTGAAAATTGACGAGTAGTCGGAATAGGTGCTACTACCTTTACACTTTTATGGTTTTGAATCCTTCTACCTGTTACTAAGTTGTTGTTCTCCATTTATTCATTTCATTTATTTTATCACGTTAGATGTATTTCGATTAAAACAGGTAAAGCGTTTAAGTATTATCTCTTATAGTTCTTTGTTAAGTACCTCTTTGATAACTCGTCATTGCTTTTACTACCCTCATCAAATTCTTTGTACCGGTGCCTTTGTCTCAAGCTTTGTTATAAGCTGTTTCTTTCATCCTAATAAGACCTGTTTAATGGGAAGTATTACCTTTACGTGAAAGCTTTTACAAAAAAAGATCCTGGTTCGGGTGATCTTCAATTTCTACAAACGTTTCCAGAAAAGAACAATAAGGGAGAATGTTTATAAATTGTCTTTTTTGTTTCTTTCCCATGAGTTAGAGAAGGATCACCAAGCGAACCGAGCAATTATAGCGTCTCTTCCTGAAACAAACAATTGGCAATCCGCTTTCACTATGAGCACAAAATCTCTATCACAAGTCCTAGGACTTTACGAGCCAGTCTATGGCGCTAATATCTTGCCAGGTCCAAAAGAAATTGCCGAAAGAGAGGAATGCCCTATCTGCTTGGAAACTTACACTGAGGACCGTCCTATGTGGTTTTTAGGCCACTGCACACATACGATTTGTAAAATTTGTTTCTCTCATATGTTTAGAAGCCAAAACATGACAGTCTCAAGCAATGTTAGGGAGTTGGCCGCTTGTCCATTTTGCCGAGCAACTTTAGACCAAAGACTAAGATGGACACTTCCTCCACCTTCACAAGTCAAATCTACACACAATTTATTGTCGGGTGATTATGAAACCACCCCAAAATCGAAGGAAAACAGGTACTTAATTGGAATAAACAAGTCTGGTCAGGGCGTAAGAATTCAACACACTGCCACAGTAGAGGTACGGCAGATAGGAGACATTACAGAGACTGTATGTACACGACAATTAATGTTGAACGTAACATCATGCAAGTCTTGCATCCAGACTTACACTCCAAATTGTACAACCAAAACGATTACGAGTCAATCGAAAAAGTATTCACAACTTCTCGATCTACTGGCATACGAGTCGCCTCGTCAAGGCAATAATAAAAACACAAAACGCGAGCCGGATGTAGTCACATTTCTCTCTCCGACGGATTTCTTAGAAGAAGGCGACCCTTCTTCGAATTGTATCGTTGAATTCTGGCTTCAACGAGTGTTGATCCGGCGAATTGGCTATGATCATGACCCAGAGTGTCTACCTTGTATTTGTCCAGGGGGGTCTACATCTTACGAAGTCGTAACTTGGACCAAGAAGCTCCGAGAGCGTTGCTAGCCGGGTACATTGTTAAATTCTAAATGCCCTCCTGGTCCACTGCCAAAGGACCGACAAATCATTCTCAAGGCATTTATTGACATCCACAAGGTTTTAGCTGTTGCTCACCCTATCCTAAGCGGAAAAAAAGACCTTATATCCTTTCTCGAATCTCGGGGAATTCGAACATCCAAAAACTTCCTTGCGTTGGATCCTCTAACAGACTATCCTTTTGGCCTAGAGCTTGTTCGGAGCGAGGCAGGGATTGGACGTGCACACGTGGCTATTACGTCTGTCGGTAATGGACAGAGCGAAAAAGAAGGCGCTCGTTTGGACTGTGAGTCCTGGCCATCCGATTCACTGACGTATCCGGTCTCTATGTGGTACACATCTTTAGAAAATGTTCACCGTGGCAACTTTTAGTTCACGGAGTCGAAACTGAAATACCTTCTGGGGCTGTAAGGATGTTTCGTACCTAAAAAATTACTAAGATAAATTGCTTATCATTTGAATAAGATCATTGCAGAACAGTATTTTATGGACGTGGAAAGAGCTTAATGGAACCATTGTAAATCAGTATGTTAGGAATATAAAAAAAACTCCCGAATAATATAGCTAACACAAATATGAAGTAGCCGGAAGGCAATTTAAAAGATCAATTAAGTTCGCTTACCAAACAGAAATTAAGACACGATTTTAGTGGATTAAGTGACATGGGAATGAGACGAGTGAGATATAGGCCGTTCCGATGAGTAAAGGTGATAAAATTCAAGACTTTGATGACTGGATTGCTCCACGATCACTTGAGTGGTGTATTCACAATTGCAAGTGTCAAGGTAGTTTGAAGTAAAATGTAGAATTCATTTGGTCCTAACTATCATCTCTCATGCGGAAGCAGCAGGCTCCATGTAGTCCATGATTCGATCCGTCTATATTGATTGAAACCATCTATTTCTTTGGTGGGAGCTTGGAAGTGTCGTGAATTGCATTCGGAACAGCGCGCTCGACAGACTCTGGGAGGACCTCTTGAAGCTTTTCTGGTACTATGCTGTCCCCGGTAGCGTGAGATTGACGACCTTGGGAGCCAGTGTCGTGGACGTTGTTAGGAAGGGTCTCCTCGAGTCCCTTTGGGACCTTCTCCTGGGCCTTGTCGGGAACTTTTGCATTTATTAGTCTTGAAACAGAATGTTACTTTGGACGCAAACTCACCGACGGATTGGCCAGTGGCATGGGACTGGTTTGTGCTTGCAGACATCTTAATAGATTGTTGGAATGTAGTGCGTGAAGTGGTTGAGAAGGAGTTAATTGAAGATGAAGGGTATTTTAAAGTGCTGGTTCTGATGGTTCTAAAGCTCATGTTTGATGATTGAAAAAAGAAGTCGCACCACGAGCGCTTATATGTCCAATGAAACTCTCACTGACGCTTACTTATTAATCTTGACGTCTTTGAGTACGTAGATGAATTTGTGCTTCCGTTGCCTAATGACGAACAATATGCATCGAGATATACTGGTCATCTAAAAGTGGCTGCAGGACGACTTGGCGAACGGGAAGACCCAGCGTTGTCTTTCGAGTAGCAGGTTAAACAACCCATTTGATTCATTTCATGACCGGAATTATGTTCCTGGTTTGCGGCCTAGTTGATTCCGGTGTTGGTGATGTCTAAGTGGTCAACAAATCATGTGATTCGAAGGTGGGCGGAGATGATCTCCCACGGATTCCCGAATAGTGTTTACATCAGTTGAAATTGAAATAGCCGAAATCAAAACTTGCCACCCTATTGATCTTGGTTGACTCTTCTCGGAGCTTTCGTATAGCGAAGAGGATGAAACACCGAGAATCGAGTCTTAATCCGGTCCGGTCCGTTGACGTTGACAGGTCCTCGCGTGGCAAATGTTGAATCTAGACCTCCGAGAACACTGGATCAAATATATATCGCATTGCAATTGTGTCGTATCACTTTCTGGGTGGTATGAAAACATGAGTGTTCCTACTGCAGCGCCTTTGCCATGCGAGAGCTCCAATCAATGCACTCGTACCGTTTCCCGTCGCGGGTGGGCCAAGAACGCTGCCTACGGCAATACCGCGTATTCGTGCCATCATCAAGCAATTGCATCCCGTCTGAGCGGAAACCCTTGACGTAGATAATCCCAAAACGACCTAGAGTGAGGGTGTAACAGACTCAAGGTAAATAGACAGCTAGGACCGATGCTTCGAGATTGAGCTCAACAATGAAGGAATGAATCGATGAATCCCAAGGTCAACCCCAAAATACACTCAAATGTCTGTGTTACTCGATATATTCACAAAAGAATACTCTTGATTGTTGATTGTTGTAGCTACAACTTTTGGTCCGAAGCAGCGGCAATTGAGTCCCTATGGCGTACGAAATTATGCATTCCCGATATTGAATGAACAGTTGCTTTCAGGATGAGTGAAGCTCAGTTGATGGCGAATACTCCATATCTGAAATATCTTTTTGGTATCTCTGCGCGATATAGATTTACCAGGAACCAGAACTTTCGGCCATTGAAAAGTGCCTTCAATGGTCAAGATGAAATGTGTTGCCACGGACAAGACCCTGCCAATTGTTTTTGAGACACTGTTTGGAGCCCAAAGGTGTCTCTATCGTTGGTCCGAACTTGCAGTGGTGGCACGAACCAAAACAACCAGCTCCATCCCACTTTCGTCCGTTTCGTCCGCCGAAGACGGGAGGCTGGTTTTGGCGGATGAAGGTCACGAGGTTTCACACATTTGTACTTTTATTGCGGAATTCATGGATTCTATTAAATTTTCCCCCATAAAACGGTTCAGACATTGAGTGAATTAATCAGAAAAACGCCCAACAGATTTAGAAGTCATGTGTGTTGCTCATATGTCTCATAGGGGTACTCTAAAATGCTCCCGAGAAATCCACTCGTGAGCTTTGAAAGGTAGAAAAAGTTCCATTACATACAATACCCGAATTGTTTCTATCGCTAGGTTGAAGAAATCCGAGTTGAATCAATCCTCTTTCCATAATTGATAGGCCATAAAAGTAATTATTCCAACTTGTCCCCAAACGAATCCTGATTTCTTAGTATGTCGAGACATTTATTCCTCCGAAAGTTCAAATCAATCTCGAAATCAATCTCGAAATCAATCTTATATCAGAAAACAAAGAAAAGCATCCAGCCTGGCCAACTCATATGTTCGAGTGCTGGAAGAACCGATGGCGTCTGGCCGACCGCACGGACTCGGGCAATTGCCATTTCAACCCATTTCAATCCTCGCGCAATACGGGATTTTTGATATGAACGAAAGCTTCTCCTGACTGACTTAGGTTCACTACAACAAAAGTAGAGTCTAAGGGTATGTCGTCCGATGGTATGGGAACGCCAGTACGACGGAGGGCATCTCTCGCCTGTGATGTTTGCCGGTCCCGAAGAACAAAATGCGATGGTGCAAAACCCACTTGCTCTTTTTGCAGTGTGCACGGGCTTGACTGTGTTTATCGTACGGTAGCTGCACCAGCCCATTCCAAGTATAAAAACATGAGTCGCGTCAAGAATATAGAGGCTAATATTTGACAGACATGAGCGAGAGATTATCAGCATTCGAGAAAGATTGGATTACATCTCGGGTGTCTTGTCCATACGTCCTCGAGATCCGCATTCCGTATTTTCGGAAGAGCCAGAACGGATATCAACTAATAATGTCACCGGGGTTGGGGATTACCCCTTGGACGAATCAATCATCAGCCGGAAATGGAGAAATGAGTTTCCATTCATGACAATTCAGACGCCTTCTATGATGTGTTTTTTGGGATTACCACCAAGATTTGCAGCTCAACTGGTAGTTGCCGAAAGAGAAACCTCATCAATGTTGATTCAGCCAGGGTTATCGCTGAATGTGGAAATCCACGAAGAGCAATCAATCGGGTGAGTATCTGCATAGATTAAGCCAAGAGCAATATTCTAATTTTCCATAGAGCGTTTAGAGCCCACTGCTATAAAATTCATCACTGGTACCCTATTCTGCATCCGACATTCTTTAATACATACCTCGAAATGACAAAAGGCTTACTACCTCAGTCAACAGATCTGTTTCTCAGTCTTGTCACTGCTGCAATTGGATCAGTGGTTCAATGCAGGTCATTTCGAGAGGTTCAAGAAACCCGTCCAGACACGATTTATATCGAACGAGCGCTGTCGATATTGCCAGTTGTAAACATGGAATTCAGTCTGAGAAGCGTTCAATGCCTCGTCATGCTCACTATTTACTACAATTGTATAATGAAGCCATGTCAAGCACACGACTATATTCTGATGGCTTCTTTCAAAGCACAAGGTCTTTTCAAGTGGTGAGTATACAAATTAATTGATGAAAACAAGGCTGATAGTCCTGTATTCAGTCATTTTTATCCCGATGATGACATCAATCAAAATCTGTTGAGAAGGTGCTTTTGGTCAATTCTCATGATTGAAACGTTAGTACCAGCTCATCCATATGAACATTTGATCTAAATCGTTGATAGAGATCTCGCATACCACATCGACATGCCCGAAAGCAATGCTTGGAAATTCGATGATCGCATTCTTCTGCCCGAAATCTTCGAGTCATGGCAACCCTACAGAGAATACGAACATCACCAACTGGACGACCTCCGGCTGAATGAAAATACCACCAAAGCCTACTTTTTGGCAGCAATTGCAATGTGTCGTATGATTAGGCGATGCACTACAGCCATAACAATTTCTCACGACAAAGAAGTTTACGCGTCAGTCATTGCACATGAGCTCGCTCGCCAGCTTGATACTTGGTACGACCGTCTTCCTGAATCTTTACGATTCGATCGAACTATTGATCAGGGCGCACAAAATACTGCTGTGTTATCGCCAAGCAGTGAAATTCCAGGCCTCACTACTGCCACGAAATCTCTGAAAATGCAATACTATCTATGCTTGACAGGCATATTCTGGCCTGCAGTTTATAGCGCGGTATATGTCGACAACATAGGCTCTGAAGCGTTAGCTGATTGTGCGAGGTACTTTGACGCATATGCTTCTTTTGTGGTTAGCGCCGTGGAAGCACTTCACAATTATCCCCCAAGTCCATGGAGCATCTATGCGAGGTAAAGTCTTATCCGAAATCGCTAAGAGTTAATTGACTACATCTATCTAATAATTCTGCAGTCTCTTCATTACAACTATGGCAGCTTTCCAAGGCGCTCACTGTCCAAATCTTCGAGGCTCCATTTCGCACGCCGTGCTACGGTCTTTTCAGTTGGTCGCGGAAACTTTTCGAACGTGTCAAGAAGTAGAAGTCAGTCCTTCTTTGTCAAGGATGCAAATGGTGTTAGTTGATCGCATTGGAAACCAGTTGTAATAATCTTTCATAGTCGCGTAGTATTGTCACAATTTATAATTAATATCTTAAGGGGCAGCGAAGATTTTCTATAACGTACTTCGAAATATAGCGAAATATCTTTGTGTTAATACCTAATATAGTGATTAGTTTAGTAGAAAAGTAAATATTAACTTCTAAGCTAGAATTAACTTCTTGTCTATAGGTCTCGATAGATTAACATTTTTTATAACTACTAGAGAATATTATATTTTAAAGCTACTATATTATATTTATAAGTAAGAGAAGAGAAGAGAAATTTATATATCTAAATATTATAAAATAGCTTTAAATTTAGCTTTATAAATCTAAAATTAATAGTTATACTACTATAGTAATATAACTTTTATTAGAAATAACTATAGCTCTATATAATTTTAGGTTACTAATTTATATTATTGTTACGAGCGGCGTCGGCCTCGGCGTCGTGATACTCCTAGGACTAAAGGTCCTAGGATTAGGCGAGGTCACGGGAATTAAGTAGTTCCTAGGACCGCCGTCTAATTACTTAATTTGGTTAATATTAGCAATGTTTATGTTGGTAGATAGGCCCCGGTTTTAGGTAGTATCACGTGACAAGTAAGAGTTCGATAAGTTCGCCGGGTTCGCTGTCGAACTCGTCGAACTCGTCGAACCCGTCGGGATTTAGGTAGGGCAGGAAGTCCTATATAATGATTGTAATTTCCTTAGATAGGAGCTTCGTACTCAACTACTTATAGCAATAGTATATTATCTGTTTGACTTACCCTTATTATAACGAATAGATCTCCGAATCTATAAGTGATAATCTTGCGCCTACTTCTTAATATACTAACCTTACGATAACCCTAGTCTACCCCGGGTAGAACCGAATCGTTACACTTTAAGCACCTGTTCTTAGTAAGCACTAGATTATTAACGATAGCTCTAAACGTCACTAGTCTAGCCGGAAGCGTCGTGGGAACCCCGGTACTACTACCTCTACTAGTCCCTACCGTGATCGAGGCAAAGGAAGGCCTGCGAATCCCTCCGCCAGACAAGTATAATAGAACTCTAGCCAACCTAGAGTAGTTTATTATAAAGGCTTAGCTCTATATAGGTTTTTATAGAGACAAGTTTAGGAACGATACGGATAAGGTTTTGTTCCTAATCTCGCGCTTCGAGGGAAGGGCCTATAACTAGATCGAGCCTTATATTAGTAATTACTAGGAGAACAAGACCTAAACAGGGTTAGTATCCACAGTTTGCTCCTAGTTCGTTAAAGATTATTTCAAATTAATAAAAGACTTCGTGGCCGGTATAAGGAAGGCCTTTGGGGACATCGATATTAAGAAAAAATCGGAGCTAGCCTTACTTAAGCTTACCCAGACTAGGTCAGCTGTCCGTTACAATATCGACTTCTAGCAAACCTTAGCTAGGTTAGGACTAGGCGATAAAGTACTAAGAATACTGTTCTACCGAGGATTAAAGGAATTCGTAAAGGACGAATTATTACGTATAGATCCTCTTAAGAGCCTTTACGAGCTAAGTAAAGCCGCTATCAAAATCGATAACTAAGCGTATAAGCGTTGTATTAAAAAGAAAGGAGTTTATTCTTACTATATACGTCCAACTAAGAACTACTATAGCGATCTAATAGAACTCGATGCGATTAGTAGAAGGGAACTTAATACCTCGGAGAAGAATAGGAAGAAGCTTTCTAATAAGGAAAGGATACGTCGAAGGAAGAAGGGACTCTACTTTAAGTGTAGAAAAGAAGGTTATATAGCTAGTTTCTATTATAAAGGAAAGCCGTAGAGAGGCTAGAAGAAATAGTTCGGCAACACTAGGCAACTAGCGGTAATAAACGGAGTCACCCTACTAAAAGGTGATTAGGGTAAGTAAGAGGCTACCGAATCGAGTTCGGCGGTCTAGGTGAGATCCGAAACACCTCTAGTAAAGAAGGAACACCGGATCGGAGACTCCTTACACCGGACAGACTTAGAACCTAACAGCCCCTCGGCCTACTAACCCGAGGAAGTAGTCCCGAAACCTAGAGAATACTAGTACTTTTAAGAGACAATAGGTGAGGGAAATATTTAGATAACTAAGGATAGCTAGAAGTTTACCGCCGACTAATAGATATAGGGAGAGAAACCCGTAGTTAACACACGTTATAAAGTGTCTTTCGTAGATATAAAAAGAGTAGTATTCTAATAAGAACGTACCCGGAAGACGACTATCGAACTACTTAGACTAATTAGGTAGTTACCCTACTTAAATAATATTCTTAAGCTAGGAGATATATAGGAGATTATTAGTAGATCTCTAGGAAAACGTATTTAGGAACGGGTCTCCTTCGTTAAGGGACAAACCGACGAGTTTGTCTAATAGGAGGCCCCGGTTCTAGACACGTATACCCTACGCCTCAGTACACCCTATCGTTTACAAGAATAGGCAACGTAATACTGTGTATAGACCGACCTACTCCGAGATGTAGAGGTTACGGAGATGTTGTTAGACCCTTATAAGCTCTATACTACTAGAGAATAGGGACAAATTACGGTCGAAATAAAGATTAGAGGAAAACTAATTAGAGTTATAATTGACTTAGGGGCTAATAGGAACTATATCTTACCTCGTATAGTAAAGAAGTTAAATATCCCTATAACTAATATTTAACTATACCCTCTAAAACTCGTAGATAGGTTAGACTATATTAATAGATAGGTTAATAAAGTAACTATCCCGTTAAAATTGTCCTTACTAGATAGACATAAAGCTAATGTCTAGTTTAATATTACCGAAATCGGAAACCACGAGGCTATATTAAGAATGGCCTAGATCTAAGAGTATAACCTAGAAATAGATTAGTATATAAATACTATAACCTATAGGAGATACGCCTATAAGGGTACGTAGATTTAACTATAAGGCCGGAGAGAGGTTTGCGCTACCTTCTCTAAAGCGCCCGGACACCTCGAAGGAATAGAGGGTCCTCCACAGGATACTAGTAAGGGTATAGAAAAACAAATACCTATATAGTATAGAAGATTTAAGAAGTTATTCGAAAACCCGGAAGACTTTCGAGCCTTACCTGAACACTAACTATAGGATTACGAGATTAATCTAAAAGAAGGAAGACAACTACCTTCCGAGAAATTAAGACGACACCGGTTCGACGTCTCTAAGACGTTAGAGGAATACGTCGACATAGTACTTAAGAAAGGATAGATTAGACTATCTAAATCGCTAGCTACTTCGAACATACTAGTAGTAGTAAAGACAGGTAATAATAAAGGAAGACCTTACAGAGACTTCTAAAGGCTAAACGATATTACTATTAGGGATTAATACCCTTTACTAAACGCGTAGTATCTACGGGATAGACTAGCTAAAGTAAAAATATTTACAAAACTTAACTAGAGGAATGCCTTTAACCTTATTAGAATTAAGGAAGGATACGAGTAGATAACCGTATTTATCGTGCTCTCTAGCTAATATAAATACACCGTTATACCGTTTAGGTTAACTAACGCCCCTACAATATACTAGAGACAGAACGATAATATCCTACGAGAGTACCTCGATAAGTTTATTATCTACTACCTCGACGATATCCTCGTATATTCTGAAAACGAGGGTAAATATAAGGAGTATATCCGCTTAGTTCTAGAGGCTTTAGCTAAGGTAGACTCGAGACTAAAGTGGGAAAAATACGAGTTCGGCGTTCGGAAAACTAAGTTCCTAGGGTTTGTTATTAAACTAGGAAAAATAAATATTAACCTAGAGAAGATCTAACGAATAAAAGACTAGCTATAGTTAGAAAATATTAAAGACGTCTAGTTATTCCTCGGTTTTGGAAACTTCTGCCGACAATTTATAGAAGGATATTTAAGGATCACAGGACCGCTTACTAATCTTACCCGGAAGGACGTACCCTTCCTTATAGGAGAAAAGGAGAAAGTAGCTATATAGGAATTAAAAGACCGGTTTACTAAGGAACTAGTTATTAGGAGTTTTAGTATTAACAAACTAAGTACGGTCGAGACCGATGCCTTAGATACTACCGTAGGTGCTATCCACCTTTAACTAGACGAGAATAGGAAAATATACTCCGTTATATATTACTCCGAGAAATACTCGCCGGCTAAGTAGAACTACGACATTTATAAGAAGAAACTTATAGCTATAGTCAAAGTACTAAGATATTAGAAGATTTATCTTTAAGGAGCTAAATTCCTAGTTGTTATCCTTACGGATTATAAGAACCTACGAACGTTCTTAACAATAAAGGAATTAGACAACCGACGAATAGTACGCTAGGCCGAAGAACTCGCCTATTTCGATATTATAATCAAATATATAAAGGGAACAGACAATCCCCGGGCTGACGCTTTAAGCCGTTAACTAGGTTATAAAGGAGATAAGATCTATAAAAAATAAGCTATCCTTAAAGAAGATAAAGACAGAAATCTTATCCCTAACTCTAAAGTAATTACCGCCCTTACTAAAGTCCGAGGCCTATAGTACGATGATATTATAAACGCCTAGAACAAAGAACTAGTAGTTCCTAAGGGAAGCTCGCTATACAAAGACGGAAAACTCACGGTACTAAGCTCGTATACTTTAAAATTTATCTAGAAATTCCACGAAGCCCTAGAACACAGTTATTAAGGAATTAGGAGAACCTTCTAGAGAATTTAGTAGTAATACTATATCGACAAGCTACGAACTTTAGTTAAGAAGGTAGTAACCGAATACGACGTCTATATTCGAAACAAATCTACGTACTATACACCTTACAGACTTATAGGACAAATACCTATTCCGAAGAAACTATAGAAAATAATATCGTAGGACTTTATCGTCAAACTCCTACTATTAAGAGACCTAATAATAGGAGTCGAATACGACGCGATCCTAGTTATAATAGAAAGACTTACTAAGTATATAATCCTAATACTATATAAGGAGTCAAGTACTACTAAGGAATTAGTATACGCTTTTATCCGATATATAGTTACGGACCACGGTACCCTAGAAGAAATAGTCTTAGACCGAGATAAGCTATTTACATCTAAATTCTAGACGGCCGTAACCGCCTATATAGGAATAAAGCGAAAGCTATTAATATTGTTCTATCTATAAACAAATAGAGGTAACAAAAGAATAAACTAAGTAGTTAAAGTATACTTAAGGTGTTATATAAACTATAAATAAGACAATTAGGTCGCCTTATTACCAATGGCCTAGTTCTCGTACAATAGTATAGCTATAGAAATAATATAAGTATTACTATTTAAAGCTAATTTTAGTTATAAGAAAACAGCGTTCTAAGAACCTTACAACGCGTCTATCGACAACTAGGCAGAAAGAATCCTCGTTAATAACCTTTCCTCCCTTTATAAACAACTCGTCGAAGAACTTAAGTTTATCTTAGAAAGGAACGCGTCCTACTACAATAAGAAACGTAGTTAGGAGCCTACGCTAGGAGAGGGGAATAGAGTTTATTTAGTTAGACGAAATATCTAAACAAAACGACTAAGCGACAAACTAGATAATAAGAAACTTGGACTATTCAAAATTAAAGCGTGTAAAGGACCTTTAAATTACGAGCTAGCTCTACTAAAAAGTATAAACATCTTTCTAGTGTTTTATATATCTCTCCTCGAGCCAGCACCGCCTAGAGCGCTACTAGCTCTAGTTATAGAAATAGAACCGGTAAACTCTAACGCCGAGTACGAAGTCGAAAGAATCTTAGACTATAAACTCGTTAGAGGAAAACCACGTTATCTAATAAAATAGAAGGACTACCTATAATTAGAAAACACATAGAAACTAATAAGTAACCTCAACTACCCTAAGTAGCTTAAGAAGTTCTACCGCTAGTATCTAGGGCCTCCTAGAAAGACCTAGGATCGAAATTCGGATCGAGTAGTGACGGGTCGTAAGCGGAGAAGTCGTCGGGCGGGGTAGGGTGGGCCAGTAGTCGTTCTACTTCTACTTCCCTCTCCTCCTTCTCCCTCTTCTCCTCTTCTTTCTACCGCTCCTTCCTCTCTAACTCGTCTAGCTCGTCTAGCGAATTAAGACCCGCCGAAATTATCTTCTACTTTCGCTCGCGAAGAAAGCGTTTCTACTTCTTAATACGTAGGGCGCGGGAGGTGGCCTCCTGTTGGGCCGCCTACGCCTTCTACTGAAGATCCTACACCTCTTCTTCCTCGGCCTCTAGCTTAGCCTCCTAAGCCTCGATACTCTCCTAGTCGAATTCCGTGGGTATCTGGTTCACCTCTTTTATATTATAGGTCTTACTAGTAGCGGTGTAGGCACCGCAACGACTATGGTTCGGGTTTCGTGAAACCATATATGTTTTTCCCGCCTTTTTATAACGAGAACAAGGCGCTATCTTTCTTCTAGTTAAATTGATCTGTTTTCTAAGGGCCACGATATTAGAACGTTTAGTCGTACGGTCGGGTAGTATATTAGAAAGAAGGGAAGTCTATAGCCTTCGACCGACGCATTTCTTAGTCGTACTTAAGCGTGCGGACCCGCTAGTCCGAATAGGGGATAGTGTTACGAGCGGCGTCGGCCTCGGCGTCGTGATACTCCTAGGACTAAAGGTCCTGGGATTAGGCGAGGTCACGGGAATCAAGTAGTTCCTAGGACCGCCGTCTAATTACTTAATTTGGTTAATATTAGTAATATTTATGTTAGCAGATAGGCCCCGGTTTTGGGCAGTATTACGTGACAAGTGAGAGTTCGACAAGTTCGCCGGGTTCGCTGTCGAACTCGTCGAACTCGTCGAACCCGTCGGGATTTAGGTAGGGCAGGAAGTCCTATATAATGATTGTGATTTCCTTAGATAGGAGCTTCGTGCTCAACTACTTATAGTAATAGTATATTATCTGTTTAACTTACCCTTATTATAACGAATAGATCTCCGAATCTATAAGTAATAATCTTGCGCCTACTTCTCAACATACTAACCTTACGATAACCCCAGTCTACCCCGGGTAGAACCGAATCGTTACAATTATTAAGTATAGAATAGTATAATAAAGACTGTAAAATAGTTCTAAGAAGATTATCTTATAGCTTATCTTAGTAAAATAGATATATAGTCTTAGTAGTAAATCTTTATTTAGATTTTTTACCTTAAATTTTATTTATAAGAAGTAAAGATATATTCTTAAGTATAGAAGAGCTAGTAAAATCTATAAACTTAAATATAGTAAAGTAGTACTTATATTTACTTCTTAAAAATAAACCTAGTAGCTATAATACTTTAGTAGTAAACTCTTTATTTAGATTTCTTAAAGCTAGTTTTATTTCTAAACTACAAATTTATATTTATAAGTGAAAAATATAGAGATAAAACTAAACATTAAAATATAGTTAAGTAGCTCTTAGATTTACTTACAAAAAACGAGATATATAGCGGTAGCGACCGGACTTTTCCTTCGATTTATTATCGCTATTTACATTTTGAAGTCGCCAAAATTTTAAAGTCGCCAAACTCTATTTTCCAGTTATGAAGTGGGACATCAAACTATAGAGTTAAATTAAGTAGAGTTCCTCACAGATCTTGTTCGTAAAAGCAAACGATAGCCAGCATGCCACAGTGGAGCACCGACATACCACCCCAAATCCGAGATTTAGCTGCGATGGCATATATTCTATCGTGGCCCGATATTGCCACAGCTTTCAAATTCGACTGATTACTCAAAAGTCCAATTCAATACCTTGCAAAAATCCTGATTGGTGAAATACACCTCCGTTCCCCTTTCGACCTCGCTTATCGCGAACGCCATCCCGACACACGCTGATTGTGGGGAACCGAATCTTCCCCATCATGCCCCGCATTTCAGCTATCCCACTTCTCGCTTGTCGCCATCTCTCTCCCGATACCCGCGAGGCCATAAACTATACAAAAATCGACCTTCAACGTGATATATTGAAGATGCAAGGGGAAACAAGATTTCAATATGCAGTATTCTTCGAAAGGTTCTTCTAGTGCTCATGCACGCGGCTCTGTTCGGCAGGTGGTATCAGTCTTTTGCGGGGTAGGTGTTTTTGGATTTGTGACTTGCATGGCTCTCGGGGTTGGAGAACGGGGTGAGCTGACTTTCAAGGGAGATTTGGACTTGAGGAACTGGGGAAACCTGAGTGGATTGACGCATACTGCTTTTGCTGAGCATCTTGCCGCATGTCTTGGGTCTGTCTGTTGCGGGGTTTGTGGAGTCCCCGCGTAAAACATTCGAGAATCCGAACATCTCGAACGGTCGAAGGTCGGATGGCACGGTGTAGAGTTCTGCAGATCTCATCTCAGTATTGCTAAACTTCGGACGTTGAGTTGATGGTCCAATATGGCTATATAAGCCCATTCCTCATCAAAAGAAACTCATCTTCATCCTCTCACCGATCAACAACCCAGAGCTAAAAATTTTGCTCTCCGCCAAAATGGGGTTTTTTTGCAAGCAGAGCGTTCTGCTTAATTTCATATTCTCCCTCTCCGCATTACAGACATGTGTTTCCGGTAGTGTCATCGCTCGAGCAGCAGACTGTCATGCGAATTCCTACAAGGGACCATTAAATCCAAGTTTTGAAAACGGAATCAAAGACTGGAAAGTTATCAGCGGCAATGCCTTTGGTGATAATTCGGCCAGCAGCGAGACAAGTTACTGGGGGGGACCTTTCAACAAAATTGGCAACAGTTTTCTCTGGGGTTTACTTCAATCTGGAGAAGCTGCTGTGGGAGAACTTCATTCAAGCACCTTCCGAGCGAGCTCTTTCATGAGTTTTCTGATTGGAGGTGGTTGGGGACCTGAAGATCTTTATGTTGGACTTGTTAGCGAGAGTGATGGCAAGATACTCTATCGTCAGACTGCCACCAACGATGAGGCTATGATTCGTATCGTTTGGGACACCAGTGCTTATGCAGGCCAAAATGTTTACGTTTCGGTAGTCGACAACAGCACGGCAACATCCTGGGGACACATCAATTTGGATGACATCCGAACTGGATGTGATGCCTTGATCGGAGAGAAAGGAAATCATTTCAACGTACTCGGTCAAGCAAACCAGCCAATTCGATCACAATCAACTCTCAAGCCCGATCAACTTTTCGCATCAGATCCAATCCGTCCACAATTTCATTATACACCTTACCAAGGATGGATCAACGATCCAGCTGGATTAATAGAGTGGAAAGGAAAACACCAACTGTTTAGTCAATTCAATCCAGTCGCACCTCTCTGGGGTCCAATGCACATGGCACACGCAGATAGTTCCGATGCTGTTCACTGGCGAGAATTGCCGGTCGCTATGTATCCTCCGTACGTTCAAGATCCTCTCGACACCAGCGGTCGATTTACTGGTAGTGCAGTCTTAGACAACAGCACTGGGGGCATCCACTTCATCTTCACCGATGCAACAGATGTTTCCCGCCACCCTGGTAAACTCCCCGAAGTCCAATCATCAGCACTTAGCACGGATGGAATAAACTTCGATTTCTATTCGGGAAACCCAATCATTGCAGCACCACCTCCTCGCTCCGGTAATGGTTGGCGTGACCCAAAAGTCTTCCACGACACGACTGACAACACCTGGAAGATGGTAGTCGGATCTGGCGAAGGAGCTACCGGAAACGTTCAATTGTACGTTGCTACCGATGAAAAACTACTATCATGGAAGTACATTGGAGTCCTGACAGAAGGCACCGGAAGCACAGGGGGAATGTGGGAGTGTCCAAATTTCTTCCCTATCGGCGACAAATGGGTCTTGTTCTATGGGGGAAATAGCCTCGGATTTTGGGAAGTTGGAACTTATGATGGAACGAAATTCACATCTGAGAAGGTCGGTCTGTTGGACGCGGGACCGGACAGTTATGCAATGCAATGGTACAAAGATTCCGCCGGACGAAATCTCGCTATCGCGTGGATGGGAAACTGGCCAACGTCAAAATGGCCAAGTCGTGTTAATGGGTGGGCAGGTACACAGTCTATCACCCGTGAGTTGTTCATCAGAGCAGATGGTGGACTCGGAAGTAAGCCTATCAAGGAAGTTTCCAGCCTCGCAAACGGACCAGCGAAGGCCTTGGGAGCGAAAAATGTCCACGGCACAATTTCAGTTGGATCCACAAACACCGCACGCCTCCAAGTAACCGTTGATCTAGCCACCAGCAACGCCCCTGGCTTCACAATCTTCATGCACAAATCCAACGTCGAGCAAGTGACGCTCTACTACTCCGTCAAGAACCAAACTCTCACACTCGACACCACGAACGCGGGTTACGGCCAAGCCGGCACGTGGAATGCAGTTGTTGCAAAATCTCCAGACAACAAATTATCGCTTGATATCTTCATTGATCGGTCGAGTGTGGAGGTTTTTGCTGGTGATGGAACGGCTATGACGGCGACTGTGTTTCCGAGATATCAGGAGTCGACGGCTGTTAATATTGAGTCTGTGGGGGGAAAGACTGTTTTTGATAGTATTACGTTGACGCCTTTTGGGTCTACGTGGAGTTAAAAAAGTAGACGATAGTTGTGAGGTGGCAAGTTGGCCAGAAGGCTGGTTTGTTGTAGCTGATAGTTTTTGAAAATTGAGCCTTTGTTCGATTTTTCATCGCTTGGAATCTTAAACGCTTGAATTTTGCAAGTTGTTATTTCAAATCTTATTATACTCACATGGGTCAAAAACCCATAGTTGAGGCATGGGTATATTTTGGTTTCATTGTAATTCAATCAATGTAGAGGACTTTAAAATGATATTTTGCATCGGGCCGACGATGATCGTATTATGGTACACATGCACTTCATGAACATCTGAGTCTCCATTCTCCACCCGGCAAGTCATTCACCTCTCCATTTACAAGTTTCACAATGACTCCGCGCGTACCCCCAATCAACTCGCCCTTCACTCCTGGCAAAGAAACACTTCCCTTTGTTCCCTTTGGCGTCGCAAATTTCAACGCCTTAACTGTACCATTGCAAGCACTCACCGTGCTAGAGAACTTCCCAAGAGGAGTTTCAAACCCAGCATCAACATCCGTCAAATCTCCAAGAGCTGGACTAATTTTCCACGTCCTACCAATGCTCGATGTCAAGTGAAGGCCCGCGATGTAGAAACTCATCAGACTGGTAGGTCCTGTACTCCATCCATGAGCATGCGAGACTCTTGGATCATTATTGTAAGGTGCGTAATGGAGGGATCCATCGGCAGAGTATCCTTCCATGAATGTCGAGTTAGTCATACGTGGATCGTTGAGCATGAAACCCCATTGCAGTCTAATAAGATCTAGAGCATCTTGAGTCTCTTGGCCAATGAAGTGGGCTTCAAGTTCGAATGATCCAATGAATGGTGAGATTGTCAGCGGCACGCCTGCTTCCGGGGAAGGAGCACCATAAGTTCCCCAACGAGATTTAAGTGCGTTCGTGATTGCTGAACTTTGAGCTGTAGAGAGCGTGAGGTTTGCTTTCACCGCCCAAGCATTGCCGTCCTGTGGTGATAGAGTTGTAGTTTCGTTGTCGAGGAACAGACTGGTTGCAGGATTCCATAACAGCTTGTTGGCCGCTACCTTTATGGCGTCCGCCTTGGGTGCCCAGTCAGCTACAGATGCAGAGTCGTTGAGTATGGAGGCTAGATTGAGGCCTTGATTGATGGTGTAATAGAGGATAGCATTCGCTTCGATATTCTGATCGTCGTTAGTCTCTGTGACATGGGGAAATCATGGCAACTTACATGTCCACCCATACCAACTCTCAACCAGTCTGCACTGGATGTGACATTCATCAATCCAGTCTCATCGATGTAACTCAATGACCAAGCCAGACCACGTTTGAAATTATCCCAGTGACTGCGGAGATATGTCACATTTCCAGAATATTGATGGTAGTAAGAGATCCCAATCAAAGTATACAAGTGGTATGTGAAACTGACGATACCGAGATCGCTGAATGGAAACCCAGCATATGGCATCAATCCGGTGGTGGCATTTTGAAGTGAGACGAGAGAGTTCAATGCATTGCGTACCGACTCTAAGTCATTGGTACTGACAAAGACACTTGGAAGTGCTACTGACATGTCTCCTGGCCAGACTTCCCGATCACGTTTCGCTCCATCAGTCATTGCTGAGCGCCCTTCGGTGATGGTTGCATTGTTGTACCATGTGACTGTTTCTGGCAATGAGATGTTTTGGTCTTTGGTAATAGTCCCCAAATGAACTAGAGCGTTTCCCCATTTCGGGTCAATTGCGCATATTTGGTTTGTGTAAGCTCCTATATTACTTTTAGTTCTGTTTCATTTCTAACATCGAGAGTGACATACCAGCATACCAGACTCGGTTCAACAACTCATCGTTCGAATGGAAATACCCTGAGTAGCCTCTCAAATCTTGGGCCGGGGCAGCGGTGTAATAAACACTGACACCCTGTACATCAATGGTCGCAGAAGAATTGGACACCACGCTGAGGTATCGGAAAGCACCGCGATCATATTTTCTTTCAACCGTATACGTCCCTGGACCTTCGCCGACCGGCAACCATATCACCTCGTCAAGACCCGCATCTGCTGTCGCATCACTTCCTTGCCCATTGATCCACAAACTCGACTCAGTGTAAGTCAAACCAACAAACGCATCTGGCGAAGAAGACTTTCCCACCTTGACGGAAACCACACCGCCGATGTTCTTGGTGTAATCAAAAGTTATGGAAGAAACGCCATTGAAAGTTGCTGTACCATTCGGTCCCCCAATCAAGGATTTTGAATTGGTGAGCGTGCCATTGACCTGATGGATTCGAGGAGGATAGATTGTTCGCGATTCAGGAGCAAGAATGTAATTGGAGTATGGTACCGTAGCGAGGGATTTCTGGGCCACGCTGGCTACTACCGTCAGTGTAAGGATCAAATTCATCCTGACTCGGAAATTTCAATGATGGCAATGCACAGGAAAGTAACTCATACCAAAGGAAGGGGAAATGATTTATTTATAAACCTCGATAGATCCCCAAATCTTGGAAAGTCCCCAGAGATACGACCCCGCAGTCTAGAGCTTGGTGGGAGTAGCAAGCTTTTTGTTGCCGCGTGAAATGCCCGTAATAATGACAGCGCAGAAAGTTAATGCTTCAAGGATATCCCCATACTCAAAAAGTCTTTTATCGGCATATGAAATCCTGGTCACAAAATCGAAGAGCAACTCTCAAACTCGGGTGAACAAACAGCGATAGCTTCAAGCCATAGCACGAAGGGCCGATGATGAATCCATCTAAAAATGTCGGAGAAGTGGACGTAGTAAAACCTTTCCCCGGAATGTGGACGACTGGCGGCGTTTTTGTGGAGGTTGAGGCGGGGAATCCTTGATGTCCGGTGGCAACGACTGCCGGTCACTTGGCCGGACAAGGTTTGGATTTTCTCCACAAGTATTACGAAACTTCCTTCGTGGTGATATTTATAAGTTGATTATTATTTACATCGACTAAGAATGAAGTTATAACTTAATAAATTGAAATTTCGACTCAGAAATCTAGAATAACTACTGGCTACAGTGGCGCGACGACCCGCCGAACAATGTTTGGATTTTCTCTATAACGATAACTTAAGGTCCTTCGTAGCGAAATTTGCGAGTTATTTATTACTTCTATCGACTAAGAATAAAGTTATAACTTTACAAATTAAAATTTCGACTTAGAAATCCAGAATAAATACTGGGTATAGTGGCGCGAAGACCCCGCCGAACAATATTTAGATTTTCTCTACAACTATGACTTAATATCCTTCGTAACGATATTTGCGAGTTAATTATTCCTTCTATCGACTAAAAACAAAAAATTAGGTTTGTAAATTAAAATTTCGACTTTGAAATGTAGAATTTTTACGGGCTACCGTGGCTAGTAACGACCGAGCCGAACAAAATTTAGATTTTGTTTAGTAATGTTACTTAACTATCTTTATATTTACATTCGCAAATTAATCTATTATTCCTTCGATCAAAAGCGAGGTTATAAGTTTACAAAACTAAATCTTGACTTCTAAATCGCAAATAAGTTCTCGCTACCTAGCCGATTAGCTTATATATATTATCGTTAATCTAACATTCCGGAAACGCTAAACATATCGTACTAACACGAGTTTTATAGGCAGATAAGGCAGTTGTATAAGAGGTGGCAAACGAAAGGAAGCTAAATTCTAATCGCACATGTAGGCACCGGTCTAATTTTATGTCGGGACAGCTACCTGCGATTTAAACGCGTGAATTGATTTGCGCTATATGACATACCTATTTAAGATCTCAGAAACAACCTCTGTCGTGAAATTATATCGGCTTGCAATTATTCTGGATTGATTTCCATTTACTTTCGAAGGTGTCGGTTAACTGTGATTTGTTCTCGATTGGGAGGCACCGAATCCAAGAAGTAACCCCGGGAAACCCACATCACGAGCACAATGTCCTTAATTCTTGTCTAAGTATTTCAATCTCGAATCGTTAGCAAATTCTTTAGGAGTTGTGAGAATTATAGCCAGGTAGTAAAAGTCCTGTTTGCTCCGCTCGCGACACTAGATTAGGTCTTGGGCAATGATTACATTAGGTGCTGTGTAAAGGAAACTTGGCTTATTAGATTTCTTGTAATTAAATAACATTCATCTTTGTTATTTTGGAATCGGCTGTGGAAGAAGTTTATAAATCTCAAACAATAGACTCGAATGAGTTGTATTAAAAACGATGTGGAAACTTCAGCGGAAGGCGGTGAACGATGGCAGTTTCCCAAACTGGTAAGAGTAAAACCACGTGATGCCATTCCTTTTAGCTTCTTGCTCTATTTCTCCATCTTCCCCATCACAATCGCCCAAACGAAAACGCCTTTTCAGAGCCAGAACTATCCACCACTTTACGCTTATGCCATCCACATCGCGAATCCTACCGCACCTCCAATCGCGCCGACAATTGCACCCATGTGAGCACGAGTGTTTGCCGCTCCCGATTTCGACGTGGTCGCTGCTGGCGGTGCAGTGGTCGTACCAGTGGCAGCTCCAGGAGTAGAAGCGGTACTTGCTGCAAGTGTGGCCTACCCAGCATATTAGTATCTAACAATTCCGCATCATGGGGTCATGTGCTTACCTGTCCAAAATTGGCCGAGAGACGTTCACACCAAAGACCGACCGTGTCAAAGTCAGCTGTGGTTTTGCCGGCATCCAAGTTGATCTCAAGAGTGGTAGATGCAGCAGCCATGGTGACTTGAGTGTTGGAAATTCGAAATCCGTCCTTCAGAACACCATTGGTAGTGCCCCACCTATTCAAATTGCATCAGCGTTGGATTCGTGTGTTTCAGGTGCTCTGCATGCATTTGAAGAAAAGCATTTCACATACCAATACAAGGCCGGAGCCGACGCGTCCTTGAGCGTGTAAGATGTGATCTCAAGTGTCATCGCATTTTTGACAGTCACGGTTCCTCCCAGACCTCCATCAGTCTTGGTCAGAACGCCGGAATATCCAACTTTGGTCGTGGAAACATTCTGGGCAAGGGTCTGACATGCGCAAAGGGCCAAGAAGGCAATTGAGATCGCTGACTTAAACATGTTGGCTGGTTGTATTTGGTTTTGTTTGTTCTTATTCTTTCTTTCCGAGTTAATTTTGTGGTGTAGCAACGATGGCTTGATGGAGTTTTAGTTGTGTTTGTTGAAAAAGAATCGAGCAAGTGGGCTCGTATGATTTTATATCATGTCTTTTCGCAACAGGGGTTCCATATGTGACATTCCATTTTGAGCATATTTTGAATTATTCACAAGGCAAGACAGCTACCCCTCAATGTTTCCAAATCCCAATGTTGGTTTTCGGGAATACCCCAGGGCTGTGTTCGAAAGATTCCACATGCTCAGGTACGCGCTGCTGTCATTGGGCTCGCTAAACAAATGATTCCAAACTGCTCTCGCTAAGCTGTCGGATGGCGTTCCTTTCTGTCACGCCAGAGTCCGGACCTGCATATTCACTTTGCTCCTTGCTCGCTGCGACGAAGAAGTATCATATATGATTATCTTGGCTTACTGCGTAATTCCATACAGTTTGGAATTGTTTCCCACGACCCTGAATGCATCGCCTACAGCTAGCATCTTGAGATGTATTATATGGTGCCAAACAGACGTCTTTATGAACGTTCATGCAATTTCTATCTCAAACTTTCCGCACCATCATCAGTTTAATTGAAAACAATTTGCATCATGCCAGAACCAATACTCGAAGATCAATACACGGCGGCTAGAGCGTACTTTCTTTGCGTTGTTGGACTTTTGTTTATCGAGTCCGCGATTCATTGGCCCCTCTATTTTCTGGAACTTCGCAATCGTGGTAAGATGAGCAACCGTTATTTCCATGCTTTTATTTATCGTCAACTACCAAAACAATTCTCTTGTATTCAATTTTCGTGACTATCTAGAAAGCGCTTTTAATCTTGGGGCTCGTCGTCAATGGCATGCTGATGAGAAAAATTCCGCGCAACTTGTCGCGTTGGACCACGCATACTTCTGCCATATGAACTCAGACATATTTGCTTTCAGGGAACATGCTAACTATTACTGGCAGGCAAGCCTGTCACTATATCCTCGAAAACGCATTGGCAGATCACCACCTATCTCCACAAGCTTGCCACACTTCCATCGCTGATACCATTCGTCACCGACTACACATTGCCAATAATCTTACGGCTCTTAGCATTCATTGGACTCAACATACTGTGGGGATACAACAGCATCGAATTCTCGACCGATTACAAACTCTATGGGTGGCTTACAATAGCAAATGGAGGGCTCGCACTACTTATGGCTTCGAGGACAAATCTTTTTGCCCTTGTGCTGCGCATTCCATCGCCAGTGATTCTTTTATATCACCGCTGGATTGGAATCGCAACAGTCGCACATGCAACAACTCATTTCGCGCTCAACGTCCAACGATATATCAAGACTGATCAGCTAGCTGATTCTTTCTCAAATCGAAGGATTCAAGTTGGAATCATGGCATGGCTAGCACTTGCGATCATGTTTCTGACGTCTCTGAATTTCATCCGACGAAGATTCTTTGAGGCCTTTTACTACTCCCATGCTTTGTTCTTCGTTTTCGTGGTTGGCGCTTTGGTCCACGCGACGAAAGGGCCTGAATTTCTGCTTCCAGGTCTACTTCTTTGGGGTGTTGATCGGGCGATCAGATTTTGGGATAATTTTCGACGTGTAGAAGCCAAATCAATTACCACTCTGTCAGGAGACGTGACAAAATTTACAATCGAGGGCCGTCAAGTCACACACCCCGGTCAAATTGCTTGGGTTCAAATTCCTGGTGTATCATTTCTCAATTGGCATCCTTTCACAGTCGCATCGGCGCCTGGACAAGAACATGCAGTCTTTGCAATCAGAGGTCTAGGTGGATATACAAAGCGACTTAATCACCTTGCAATGGACAACAACATCGACTCGACAAAAAAGATGTCCACGTCCTCAGCAGAACCAGATAAAAGCTCGTCAATCATGCCAACATCAGTGTCGAACACTTCTGTAACAACCGATAAACCGCTCAAAATACGGGTAGATGGTCCTTATGGTGTAGGAGGCACAAGATGGGGATTGTACCCTGTCACTGTGCTGGTCGCCGGTGGCATTGGCATCACACCCGGAATCAGCATCGCAACTCACATCATCCAGCGAGCGTTATTTGCCAGAGATTCTCAACATTCAACAGATTCGCGGCAAAATTGGCATATTCATCTTCTCTGGGTATTGAAAGACATCAAGCATACAAGCTGGTTTGCTGAGGAACTGCAAAAGTTGTCAGAATTGGCAGCCAATCCCGACGTCCCAGTTACATTCAACATCACTATTCACATAACAGGTTCCGCTGCCTCGTCCGCTCAAATGGAAGAGTCTATCGAGATGGGTTCCGAGTCGCCATTCAAATATGTGGGTCCTGGTGTTGTTGTCAATGGTAGACCAAATTTGAAGATGTGGTTTGAAGACGTGAAGAGGCAGCGAAGTGGGTTGGAAGCGGTGGTTAGTGTATGTGGTCCGAGGAGTCTGATGAATGGTGCCAGGAAATCTGCGGCGGAGGTTAGTACGGTGGATGGACACTTTCATGTGGAAGAGGAGACTTTTGAGCTTTGAATATAGCGTAATGACTTTTGGCTTTTCTTCTATTGGTGCGATAAATGCAGGGGGCAATTTTCTCGCGAGAAATGAATAGAACACTTGGTCAAGTATGATCTATTGTAGATTAGAGAGTTTCGCGATTAGCTTCCGTGGCATGATTACTTAACATCCAGTCTTTTCAAGTGTCAAGTGATTTTCAAAGATCGCAAATGTCAGTCAGTATGTCAACATTCACTCCACAACAGCGTTCTTTGATGTTATACTTATCTAGAAATCTTCAATGTAACTATCCACACTAATTTTTAGTGCCATAACTCTCATTTCGAAACTCGTTCATTTCCGACGTGTAAGAACGACGTTCAAAGGCCGCTTCTGATAAACGATATATACTTTCATGTCGTCTTTCCAATCCACACTATCTTCGCAAAGCTCCATGTCAAAATTCCACAACATCTTAGCCAAAACAGATCCTAACTCAGCCATTGCTAGAGTCTGTCCGATGCAGTTTCGCTGGCCGACTGAGAAAGGCTTCACGACTTGTCTTTTGTCATCTTTGAACTCTACATCCCCTAACCAGCGTTCCGGAACAAAGTCGTAGGGCCGACGAAAGTTGGTTTCTAGGTGATAAGCAGCCCATTGGCTTATACCGACGACTGTATTCCCTGGTACAAATCGACCATCGATGATGCATCCATTGGGTGGGGTTACTCGTGGTAAGATCGCCGGGACTGGTGGGAGACATCGGAACACCTCGTTGATTACGGCAGTTAAATATTGAAGTCGGCTAGCGCTGAGGAAAGTGATCTCCTCTTCGTTCTTGAACGCCTCTCTGATCTCCGAATTCAGCTTACTCAGAACCTGTGGATTGGCAAGGAGAAAATAAGTAGCCGTTGCCAAAGTCGTCGACCCTGTCTCTGACCCGGCAACAATGAGATGTAAGCTCGTTTCCACGATCTCATCAAAGTTCATTCCCTCGGGTGTGTTGAAGCTCGCTTGAGTGTTTGATAGACTAAACGCATTAGCTTTTAAATTCCACACTTTGCTCAACTTACAGACTTACAAATCTGAACGTATCCCTGGCGCTTCTAGTCTCTTGATCACTTTCTCTTTTATGAATTCGCGAATCTGACTCTCGGACTTTCTCAGACTCGGCGGTGCGAGAAACGCTAATATCTTGTCCAGTGGCGAGAACTTCTTTGCGATAGCGAAGGTGTTGCCGATTTTTATGAACTCAAACACCATCTTTGGCCAAAACTATATGAATGAGATGGGTCTTGGCTGGAAGTCTACTCGTAGACTTACATGTAGCTCCCAATTTTCCACACAGTTGAATGATTCTCCGAATGTGAGGTCGCCAATGATGTCGAGGAAGACAAAATGATAAAGAGGCACCATGTCGATTTGTTTCCCACAGCTCTCTCCCAGTTTGTTTATGAAACGATTGACAGTTCTCGCAATGCAGGGCTCTTGATCCGCAACCGCTTTTCGTGAGAAGCCATTGGATAGTACCCCTCTAAAATGTGCAGCTTAGCTTTAAAACATTTCCAGAGAGTGAAAGAGTTAATACCTCATTCGCGCATGACCTTTCTCACTTGGTTCAAATATCATTCCATAAACGCCATTTGGTGGTGCCAAAAACATGCTCGGGTCTTTGCGCAGTTCCGGTAACTTTCGATCTGGCTTTCCGTAAATATCATACCACGCCTTTTCCGTTGTGAATGCCAACTCATTGGGGGCGATTCGGACCACCGAGCCATATTTTTGATGGAGTTCAACGATGTGATATGGTTGGCGTTCCATCAATCGAGTGTAGATACTGGGAAGCTGGCTGGTAACCCATAGTGGCGGACCTGGATAGGATGCGAGAGGGTGAAAGTACAGTCTGTAGATTATAATAGTGATTGCAAGAAGCGTCTATCATAAGAAAAGTCAGTCAGTTCTTGGCTTGTGCTTCGGAAAAGAGACCCACGAAGCAGATGATGGCATTGACGAGTGTTAAAAATGCTAGCGCCATGTTTCGGCAATATGCCCAGCAACAATATTGTACCAGTTTGTATTTTAATGACGAGAAGGATTCTGAAAGCAAGTTAAATGCAACAGCCCTACTTTACAGATGGCAAACTTAAGTGAATTTGCAAACATGAAGCTTTACCAGGAAATGAAATGATGGCCCACATTCACATATGGCGTGCATTTCGAGTAACTATATAAGTACTAAGGAATGTAGATCTCAGGATTTGGTTTCCGATTGGTAACGAGAGTCCCACGTCTGATCCATCACATTCTCAAAAACGTTTGTTCCGCGGTGATTTAAGTCCAGAGAGTCAAAGTCCACACCTGACTATATACTTGGACTCTTTCACAAGTTTATAATACACAATCATCCAGTCGGCTTTTTTCTTTTACTTCACTCGCAAAAAGAAATCTCCAAAGTCAGAATGGCATGTTGCAAAAATGGACCTCCCAAACATCCTTCCGATTTCGATGTTGCAAACTTGCACCTTGAGCTTGAAGGGGTAGCTAGCCTGGATAAAATACGATCAATCGTACTAGGAAACCTTACGCAAACACAGTTAGCAGACCCACTAGATGTTCAAATCACGTTGACGGTTGCTCTAAGAGTCGTCGATCTCGCGTGTACATCAATTGATCAGCTACTTCAAGATGATCCCACCGGAGCCGCCTTCCAAGACACCGGTATCTATCGTTCATGTCGGCATAGTAAACAGTCCCAAAACTCTGGCCTCAGACTGGGTGAGCTCACGCCAATGATCGATGTTGCTACAACGTATCTACAGTCTATCGATGCTTTCAGTGACTTCGAAGACACGGTTGTTGAGCTACTGTCGCCATCCTCTTTCATCAACGAGAACGATGATCTTGTCATACATCGATGTTTGCTGGTAACGCATGCCTTGTCAGAGGTTTATATTAGGGCCATACAGAATCAACTCCCATCGACCGAGTACTCAAGTGCAAAAGCAACACCAATTTATCCCAAAGGCGACCTGAAGCAAGCAATTTTACAAACCGTACAGAGCCCTATCTTGGGCCACCATCAAATCATAACGTTGAACGCAGCAACCTGTACAGATTCCCAAATGGATCCAAAAGTGGCATTTATCTCTTACAAAACAAATCTCTGCTGGCTCAACGACTGGGCGACAGCCAATCGTGGAGATGGGGATGTCATCACCGCACTAGACTTGAAGACTCCTGAATTTCCCGTAAGCGAGTGGCCTTATGCTTGGGCACGCCGAAATGAGATTGGAAACCATCTTACTTGTTATCTCGCTCGCCTGGATTCAACCACGAAAAACTGCAGCGGCGCATTTCTTACCCATACCGGAGTTCTGTGCAATACGACCGCCAAGCTACGAAAGGTGATCTCAGCCAGTGTGAGCTATGATTCCTACGGCATATGGCCTACTCCCCAAATTTTGTCTGCGGCTGACTATCCTGTGGTTATTTGTGCCAAAATTGGAGCCATGGTTCGTGGCTGGGCTGTCGATCATGATACCGAAGCCTGCATTGGTGAACACAACTTGTTCAACTGGCTTTGCCGGGATTGTTCAAAGACGGCCACGCGCGAGTCACTGAGCATTTCGAATGCGGTAGCAAAACGTGCCAGTTGGATCATGCGTCTCGCTTGGGGAGCAGAGAGCTACTTCTATTTCGGCATTCGCCATTGTAGCTTCACACGAAGAGTCGATAATCTATCAGCATCATATCCTCTGGAACACGTTTCCCTCCGATCGATCGTTCCATACTGCATACCAATAAAAGCGGGTGATAGTGTATCTGAAATGGTGATTAAGCTTCTCGCATTGTGCGGCTCAGAACCTTATAAAGATAGCTTTATTGAGCTCGGAGAAGGAGAGTGGAGCTGTGGGCTGAGAATTTGCGCGGAATGCGAGTTCGCTGGTCACAGAGCACAAGCATTTATGGTTTCTGTAGGTGTCACAAGACTAGCCGTTCGTCTCCAAGAAAACGATCGAGCTAAGTTCGTTCACCTTCTAGAAACTTATGGCTTCCGACTCTTTCCTGCATTCCAATCTCGAACGCTCGTCCAATGTGACTGTTTGCCGGAGTGGATGGCAGACGTTTTGAGCCATGGATATGAAGAAGCTGGTCTCAGTTGTGGTGTATCTGAGTGCTCGATCAAATATCAATCTCGCACAACTCATCTGTTGCCCGATGCGGCAGAAGCTGCAGAGTACGATGGTATACTACTAAGGAAGGTATTGCTGGAGCAAACTCTAATCGAGGCAGCTGGATATGCGAAGGATTCGGGGAGAATGGAATGGTTCGATATGGTTTCGAACCCCTTCTAATCATACTTAATCGCATCAAAAATAGCTCGCAAAATACGGAAGTACAATAGGATTCAACGTAACTTGTCTCTTGTCGATTACCTTTAAGAAGAGTAAATATCAAGGTTTAATAGCACGAATTTGGATGTTAGCTAGCCCTCCGAGCATGTCATTAAAAAGTTAGATGTCAAGAATAATTAAGAATATACTCGTTTGATATATCTCGCAATCTGTAGTTCTTTTCCTTTTGATTTTATAAAACAATTGTAGTAACTTCTAGCCCTTTAAATAAACAGCTATCACTTTTATTGCAAAAGCATCGTATTATTCTACTCTGTATATATCTATAGAATGATTCATTCCTGTAATCGCTAAAGAATTGCGCGTCTGTTTCTTTCGAGCAAGTAAGCTCTATAATAGTCAAAACACACTGGCTAATCGTGCCTAGGTAACCCACAGGCTATTTGTGGGCACCCTTTTCGCGTTCGTATTACCATCCCGACTTATTTACCTATAATTGTCTTCTGTCTTAGCACAATATGTCTTTTCTCGGCAGGAAGGAAAAGAATTGCACAGAGGAAGATGTTGGATATTTTCGGCTTTCTTTTTATGCTTCTTCGTAGATTAGTCTTGGCGAGTGGATCTGGTTTATAAAGCCGATTCTAGTATTCGTATCTTTAGAAGCCATTGATTTCTTCTTTCAACCATTAGGTACCGATGCAAGGCTAAAGAATGACAGACTCTAAGAGGACTAGGCATAAACAATAATTTTCTCCCCCAATTATCTATTAAGTAATTACAGAACCCATGTTGAATCTTGCTCGCTCTTTGGAACAAGTTCCTGATCTTTCCGATTCTATGTCCCTCACCCATCTCTTTGTGTTCCCTGTGTGACTTCAACTTTTCCGTGGGTGTCTTCCAACTATAGACTTGCGTTTATTGTACAGCATTGTCCTTGTTAGAAACGCTCAAAGTCTTAGATTAATTGAATATCCCTCGCGATCACCTTACATAAAAAGGTACATTTTCATTATCCAAGAGCAAAGCTAATCTCCACGTGCCGGCAATTCCACTGAATCGCATCGATCTTCAAATTCCTCGATGGCAGTTCAACCGACCGTATGCTCGGGTGATTCTGTTTCTGCTGCTGATGCCCTATTTAATTCCCAGATTCATTCACACCACTCGCCGCAACGAGCTGATCATCCTCGCTCTTCGACTCCCTGTTCTTGCGAACGAAGAAGAACCACACTACAGCTGCGGTTGCTATTGCAGATACTGCGACCCCAATTCCGATGCCAGCTTTGGCGCCAGTACTTAATCCAGTTGAGTCTGCTGTGTTTATGGCGGAGGAGGTGGATTGTGTGGGTGTCGTTGTTGAGGAGGAAGAGATTGATGTTGAAGTTGACAGTATAGATATACTGGAAGTTGAGGTACTACTAAATGTAGACGAGGATGATGTTGTAGGAGCAGCTGATCGTAGTATCAGGAAACCAGGACCCGACAGTTCACCAGCACCAAAATCGAACTCCGGTTTCGGGAGCTTGAAGCGGAGGACGTATTTTGCGCTAACTGCAAGAACGTCGTCTGCAATGTCGATTACCCACGCGAAGTTCGCGGATTGAGTCATATTGATGTTCACTTCTCCAAATTAAACAATACGATTAAATGCAGAAATAAAGCTAGACACATACTATACAGCAGTTTGCTGTAAGGGTTTGTGCCGAAGTCGAAGGAGGATACCCTATTAATATATTATTAAATATTTAAATTTGATCTCTATCAATACTCCAGATAATTATTAGCTAACCTATAATCTAGATATTATTAGTATATTTATAAGCCGAGTTTAGAGTAGTAATATTAGTAAAATTATCGTAATACTTAAAGATATACTTAAAAGGTTTAACCGAAATTATAAGTAGAAAGGCATTTATTATAATAAGATATACCTAAAGCTACTCTTATAAATAAAAGATAATTAAAGGGCTAAATATAGAGTGTCTCGACTTATCCCTTAATTCCAGTATATATCGCGAACCTATCCAGAGACCCTTCCGTCTGCAAAGTTTCTGATAAGGGTAGGAAGTCCCAATTATCGTACTCCTTCCACATCTGCCTTGTCCGTGGGGATTCTGCGTCGGCTTGTGGCTTTCTATTCATGTTAGCCAACATTATCGTAGCAGTGCTGGAATACTCACGAGAATTGGTTATAAGTATCAGCACCGGTCTTTCTTGGGCATATAATGGCGACAGGACGTGCGATATCTGCAATAATCTGGTTGACAGGGGCCTTAGCAAACGCCGAGAACACTACAGACTCGTCGTCAAGTTCTGCAAAACCACCCGCGCCGTGGTCTCCCACGACCTCAAATCCAAGCTCCTGCAACAATAATTTTGTCTCGGCGGAGTATTGTGGATCTTGGGTCAGTAATCTTAACTTCTCATCCCCTTGTTTGGCACAAGAGCGTATCACGTTAGCCATCGTCAATGCAACGGCGTGATGTATCACCGACCCCTCTATCAAGCTCGTCTCCAGCTGCCGCTCCTCCTTCTCTTTCGCATTATTCTGTATTCTCCACCAATCTTGCGGTTTAAAGTTCAGATCACCTAACCCAAAGCATATCAGCTTTGTTACCTTTTTCGCAGCCCTATCTTCTTGCTCGCTTTTTATCAAAAGCCCACGGAACCGAGAAACGAAGGCACTACAAATCTGACTCTCTTCCCATCGTTTCCGACCACTTTCAAGCAGTTCCCGGGCAATTCGAATAGGCCCTTCATAATTCTGCCGCGTCTGGTTGATCCATTCGATCAGGTAGGTGCAATTGTATATCTCGGCTGGGCCATCGGGTTGAGAGCGGACTAGATGCCAGTATTCTTGGAATTTGACGCGTGGCTTCCTGAGCACAATGTCAATGTAATTTTATCTCAGAACAGTTTCTTGATCGCTTCAAGAATTCGTCGTAGCAGAGGACAAGGGATTATTTACCAGATTGGTTTCTGTACACCAAACATGGGGTTTTGGAAACGCACTATGCTGCCGTCTAAACGCTGGACGGTGAAGAAGGCTAGGGTGAGAGAGGAGGTTAGTTGGGATTCGATGGATTTTAGATTTTCTGGGGTCCACAGTTTGGTGCCGGATTGATAGAGGTCCGCCGCGTGCTGACTGCTGATTTGGAAGGGTGTGCAGTTGTATGTGAGGGGTGGTTGTGTGGGTTGCGAAGGTTCTAAATGCTCTGGGGGAGAAGACATAATTTGATGTTTGATTGTCTAGTGGCACGAAAGATTTTGAATTGTTTCTTTAACATGAGCGAAGTCTTTGATTCATTTGATAAGGAAGTAAATTGCATTCTCAAGGGGAGTGGATTCTGTTAGTTATACTGACGTTGAAACAGTTGGGCGGCTAAATAGGCTAAATGCGCCAAGGCTCTTGTGGACCGTCCTCGTCGCAATTTAAGAGGCTGGAACAGCGTATTTACATTTAGGTTCAACTATCCGATATAGAATCTATCAATGTAGTTTTGGCAATAAGTTTATAACTAAGGTGGCAAGTCTACAAAAGGTATTAAATAAAGTCATTTAGTCCGACACAAGATTGTGTTATTCGGGTATGTGAGGACTACAAAGAGGCAGCTTTAATTCTGATATTGAACTATGGGATTGTGCTAATCCTGAGAACCTGTGCCTTCTCGATGCTCGCTCCCTCCTACCTTCGATAAGTTTAATGACGCTCGAAGTGTCCCATTAGCACCAGCTTGGTGTGTTTCCGTATTTGAAAGTTTTTGCAAAACGCTCTTGAAATCATCAAGTAATATGTTGTCCGTGAGACACTTGAACACAACAGCAAGTTTCCAGTACGGGTTTATTCTGTGAAGATATTACTAACAGCGACAGTGAGCCTTCGAGTTGACTTACCCATCTGTAATACTTAAATCTCGAATGATGGTTGACAAGATGTCGACAATCGTAAAGCATACTGCCAAAACAATTGCTAGAAGCATGATGCCAAATCTCGGAGAACGCTGTATCAGCTTGATCAATTTCAAGTTGTAGCTTCCCTTGATCACATGAAAAAGCGTAAAGCAACTGAAAATCCACCATGGGTCTCGCATAAGAGGCTCATATGGTCGCACAGTAGCATAAAGTCGGCTGAAGTTGTTGAAGAATCGGAAATTATTGCATATCTCAAAGATCAATACTGGTGCCGTCATTCCTAACGTGGTGAGGTAGATCCACCTCACCCAAGTCGAGTATTGGAATCCAAAGAATGGTTGAGGGCCGGTGAAAAATGGTTTGATCTTTAGCCATGCGACAATGTTGTGAGTAAAGTATGAGCAGTAGAGCAGAGCAGCAGTGGAAGATAGATAATATCCGTAGCCATCGAAAGACATAAAGCAGAATGTACCATGGCTCATCGCCAGCACTAACTTGATTATCATTAGCGGATTCTCTTGAGTTTCTGACGAAAGGGCCCAAAACCTCAAGCAAGATCATCTTGTGCAAAAGCACGCCTCTTTTCATGTTTGTGATCGTGATAATAGCCATGATCAGCAAGGCACCAAACATAAAGCCTTGCCCCCATGCTTCAAGAATAAAGGCTCCAGGATCATCCACATCTCGCCAGTCACCAAATTTGCGATTATGACGATCTTGAGTGCTGTTCCGCTCAAATTGCACGTCGCGGATTAAAACCGGAGCCATTGCAACTGCTCAGCATCGTGCAAATGCGATTAGTATATAAACTCGTGAGAATGAGATTGTGCCCTGTGGCTTGGATTACACATAAATCGCCCGAGAACGTGTGGGGCGTGGAATAATAAGCACCTCCCGTTATGTGGGGTAATATATTCTGCCAACCACTGAGAGGTGTAGACATCCATGCAATGAAACGCGAATGCTGGGCGGATCTCATGTCAGCACTCACCGTTTTTCTTCAGCTTTTAATAAAATTGAATCGAGGGCATCTTGGCGTGTAACCCGAGATTTCTTTTCGAGTAGACAATGGAAGGATCTTTAGGTAGTGACATTTTGAAAATTTTTGCAGTGATTGGGATTTCAAGCAAAAATACGCCTATTTAAAATGGAATCAAAATATGTTAATTCGATAAAGTTCTTCAACATCGTCTGGTGCCCTACTTTGTAAATTATTTACTGTATCAAGATTAATGATTACTTTAGTCCTTCAACAAAGTGTTCAAGATGTCACCTAAGCCAAGAGTACTTTGTTGATTGACGTCCGCTGCTGCCTAAATAGTCAAAGGATCTTCAACAGACCTGGTAATTTCTATAGAATAATCAAAATATCAAGGTATACATATGAGAATTTGGGTGAAATTACTATTAAATTAATGTGGCTGTCTCGTCTTTCACAGCAAGTGGTTTGTCTTTATGACATACGGAAAAGAACCCAATCCAGAGATGGTATTTCATAAGAGTCAGTATGTTTCGATTGAGCTCGAACACGTTGGACAAAATGATCTATTTAGACTTCCTATTAACCCAGAGTCGGCGTCCTTCGTTGTAGGCAGAGCTGGGACCGTACTTTCTGGTTTTGCAGAAATGCACGTTCCAAGAAAACTCGAGATAAAATTACCTTATCTTTTCGTGAAAAATGACAATAGAAGCCATATGAAAGCACTACCAAGACTGAATTCTTTTCTTGACAAGGAACCTTTACCCTTGCCAAATGACTTCAATTAAGATCTTGAAACACTTTACCAGAACCTGAAAACATTGATCAAGTAATGGTCAATTGAATGCTGTCCTGAATATATGGAATACTCAGCTGCCATCGATGACTTGTAGAATGCCTCTATTTCAACCATATTAGGACTGTCGTTGGGATAAAATTTAATTGTGACGGTAAGGAGATGGCTATAATTAGATGTCTTGAACTCTCATTAAGTAGAACAGCCTACACTGGCAACGGATTTTGTTAAGGACGGGCCACGATTGATTTTGTTCAATCGGCCTTCATGTACGGGCGGTGTGTGCAAGAGAAGCGGGTTATGGTAATTTGTGAGATATCTGAGAAAAGCATAATATGATTGAAAACATGTTAACATGTGTTTCCACTTTCTGTCATAAAGTATAGGGCATTCATTCTGACGTCTCTTGAGTAGGTGACTTCCCTTTGAAGAAAATTGCTTCTAGATAAAATGCAAAGAAAAGTGTACCTAACAGAAGAGGATGCTCGAAGGTGTATTGCACTCGTTTCTTTATGAAGAGTAATTTATCCACACAGTATTAATGTTATGACGCGTTGACATAAAGCGTTCTTCATAGCTGGGTTAAAACGAAACGGTTTCAAGGAACGTGGTAAATTTTTGAAGGGTCTCTGATTATCTTATAAAATAGATCTATCCATTCTCTTGAACTCGAGCAAATCCCGTTTTCAACAACAGACTCAAGTCTGTCGCAGGTCTTTCATACGCCAAATCCTACACTTTGACTATAATAGATTCTTCGCTAACGGTAGGACGACAGAGACCCTTTTCTACCTTGTACTAGCGAGATCTAGAAAACAGCTCATGATAATATTGTAATGTTATTCAAATATACCCCAAAGGCTGAGAAGGTACCTTGATATTTCCCCAGAATCTACTAAATCCTAGTTTGGTGGTTCAGCTCTACTTGTCGTCAACAGAATCATCTTTTTATTAGGGAATGATCATTTGTCAGTTATTATTCGAGAAATTTGGAAAGTTTCTGCAAAAATCATTATCATCGCCTTTATTCACAGTTTCCACCAATTACCCATTCGCTATTCAAGTACAAGATGTGGGAACATCATGTAGCAATCTGATTAAACCATGAACGACAATGGCTTCGTATCTCTTAACCGCTCAAAGCACCTCCCTTTCAGCCTCGATCAAAAAACCCTCTCACGTCGTCAACCACGCATCAAACCCGGAATCCCACCCGGCATCTCACCATAACCACCCAAAGTGGCGCAACCAAACCCCTACCACGGCAGGGACTCTGCTCCCGGCGAATTCGAAGACGTCGATCTCCCACCATGGACACGAGGATCAGTCGCGTACCCTCGAAACTTAAATCCCTTCGAGACATCATCCCACAGCAACGACACCCCGCGAGACCCGTACAACCTTTACAGAATCACTCCGCAGACTAGTAGGAGCAGTCAGAATGCAAACGCGGAAACGAAATATCGAGGATATACGGCTGATGGGGCGGAGGTTTCGTTTTTTAGGCCGAAAGCGAATAATCACTGGCGGTATTTTTTGGGTATGACGGCTGTTGCTACTTGTCTTCTGATACTTGTGGCAACACTAGGTGGGCTCCTTGCCAATTCAACCGCGAAACTCAATAGTTTTAAATCTCTCGCCGTTCAAACGACCAGCACCTCCTCATCAATCCTTCCGCAAAACATCACTGTCACATCAACAGCATCCACAACAGCAACCCAGAACTTCACCATGACATCCATAACCACTCTCCCACCAATTTACGTCACAAGTGTAGTAACAGAACAAGTCACCGTGATGGTGACGCGGAATAAGAATGTAACGGTGGATGTGACGTGTAGTAATAGGGGGTGGTCGACGAAATACAAGGTTCTGTGTAATGCGGACGAGAGACAGTGTTTGAGGGTTTCGACGACGAAAGGGAAGGATGGGGAGGTTGGGACGGTGTTGGTGCCTGAGCCTACGAAGGTGTAGGGGGGTGGATGGTGGGGGATGAGGTTGAGATTAGACGATGAAATATTAATATGCAATACCAATGAGATAAATCATAATTGATAGACCATTGTTGTAATATGTTACGCTTAAACAAACGCAAACGCTACCTCGCAAAATCAAAACCATGGGTACATTTTCACTCATTCCAGCCAGCAAACTTTTGCTCTACAAATAAAACGAATAAATATATATATACACCCACCCCCGTCAACGATCAACGTCAACATCTAATTACTAACCAACTCCTTCCCCAAATCCGTCGTAACCGTAACCGGCGGCTTCGTCGTCGTCGTAGTCGCCCCATCACCCCCTGGCGGTTTCGTCGTCGTCCCCTTCTTAAACGTCGGGAAGAAATTCCCCGTACTAGTGGTGCTCGTGCTCGTGCTCGTCGCTATACTCGTGATCGTGACCGTCACGACCGGCACGCTGTCATGATTCTTCTTTGATACTGCGAGGCCGGCGGAGAGTCCGATCGTGACGATGAGCAGGATAATTGCCAGCACGGCTGTGTAGAGGAAGTGCGGACGGTATGTTTTGGCTGGGCGGAAGTAGGCGATGTCGCCTTCTGAGGTGCCGGTTATGTATTTAGATGTTGTGGGGGAGGGAGGGCTGAGGTTCGAGAGAGGGATACTGCGAGTTGGTGAGGGTGGAGAGGTGGATGACAGGGGAGATGTCGGACGGGCCATGTGGTTGAAGTAGGGGTTGTTCATTTTGTGATTGTAATGTGCTGTGTTTTGGATGTGAAATTTGTTTCGAAGATTCGGGAAATTTTGTGGAGGGCATTCTGAGGTAGGTTGTTATTAAAGTTTTGGGCGTTCTTTGTGAGTTGGATTGGAGGGTGGTGATTGGCATAAGGTAAAGAAGTTTCCTATGTGCGATATCGATCGAGGGGACCTCTCTTAGTCTGTATCTTCTTTGTTCATCGTTTGCGAAAATGCGATTCTTCTGGTGACATAGCTAAAAATAGGTAGATCAGTAAATCGAAACAAAGAAACAAGTCACGATACCAAATGGAAGCTTGGTTGCAACGCATGCAGGATTCATATTGTAACACCGGACAAAGAACGTAGAAAAAAGAGGCTCTGCCAATAATCAGCAAATTTCATAATAATGCCATTTCTCTACATTGAAAACTCCTTGCTTGCGCTGAGCAACTCCTAAAATGCAAACTATGTTCCCCATACGTAAAACCCATGCTCGGCTTTTGTCTATTCGGAATCCCCATGAGCTCCTTTCGCTTGATCGCCCCAAACATTCGCAGCGACTAACTGACGTCGGGAAGTCTGACCGCGATGTCTCCCGATTGTGTGATATACCGAACCCAAGGTAATGATGGATATTGTAACTGATACACAATTAGCATTTGATGCAGAGAAATTGCTAGCAGTTTGCCTGGCCGAGAGGACGGATACATACCTTTGGCTCGATAATTTTCAAGTACCGCACCTGAATACCACTCGTCGTGAAATATGGAATCTCAAACTTCACACTGATAGGTCTCTTGGCGCCTTTTGAGCCAACACCACCCATACTTCCACCAAATCCACCCGTCATACCACCGCCATGTTCATCATCACCCTTGACACTAGGCAATCCCAATTCCGCTCTCATCAAAAACTCCTTGCTACCACCAAACTGCTTGATCTTCCAGACAATCGCGCTTTTCTCGGGCGCATAATGTACACTTCCAATATTCGTACGAAACCTAGGAGAATCCGCATCTTCAGGTACCGGGACGATAATCTCAACATTGTTGGCTGTACTCCTCCTCTTGAATTGTGCCTTTGCTTTTAACATGTATTCAATCCTGCTCCCAGAATGTGATTCCACGATACATTCCACCCAAATGAGCGGTTTGACCTGTGTGTTCAATCTGTATGACATCAATTCGAATTCTCCGTCTGGTGGGATGAATGAGATTGTTCGGTCGTTTTCGAATCGCGAAAGTCGAACGCATTGATGGAATTTGACATCCTCCATCTCGATTGCCTTCCCGCGAGTCGCTCTTCCCGTCGTTTCAAACATCACCTTGTCGTTCAGTCCAAGTCGCAGTTCAGGCATACCAGAAAGATAGCACTTCATCTTGACTGCGCCTAAAATTTCGGAACGAAGCACATTTCCAGTCGAAGAAACCAACAGGTTGAGTGATTCCACTACATCCAAGAAGACCTCGTTTTTCCGATATCGAATACCTTCCGATCTCCAGGAGACAGCGTTTGTGACTGCAATTGGCGGCCGAGCGATTTCCAGTTTATGCGATTCCTGGGTAATGTATTCCTGCAGAATTTTGGATTCGGTCGTCTGTGGGTAGCCAAAATCCATCATCTCGTCCAGCAACTCGTATATGACCACAAAATTGTCTCTTATTGATTCCTCTTCCAGCTCCTTGAAGTATTCGGTAAAGACCTCGACGAGTTTGTGGAGAAAGAGGAGGATCTCGGCGGCATTTGTATTTCGTTTGGTAAGAGCGAGGAGATAGAGGTTATTGTGTCGGATGTAGAGGTACTGGGAAGAGGTCAGTACGAACAAATAGAGAAGGACGTTGCGCATACATTGATTCCCTCGTCGGAGAAACATGGTGGGACAGCAGAACTCTCTTCTTCTGCTTCACTGAGGAGTATTGGAAACTTTTCCACCGCAGACATGGGAATGTCTCCTCGATAATTTCTGGCCAGAAGGGTCTGTCAAGATGTATCAGCAGGGATTCCATACCATCTGCAAGATCTTACTTTGCCCTTGAGGTCGAGGAAGAAGAGAGCAGATGCCATGTTGACGGTGTTGAAAAGAGGTTCTTAGGGTGAGGATGGCGTCGCCGAGAGGCTGATAAAAGGATTCAGCAAAGTCGCAGCATGCGAGGGAAGTTGTATGTGGTTTCGAAGAGTATAGAATGTAGATGTGGTTGAGAGGAATTCGTTGTTGGTCTTGCACGGAGTGTCTGGAGTGTGTTCTAAAGACCCCACGTATTTCCAAAGTTCGAGCTTCAGTCTCGACAGCGGTGGCCTTGCAGACGGGTCTTGGCGAGTGGGAGTGGGGATAGTGGAGCGGAATCCCGCCCTCCTATGCGGCAACCCTCCAGCTGCCCAGGTGAAGGTGGGGCGACTGACTAACCACCCAATCAAGACTAGCGTCATCTCTCCCATTATCTGAATTCTCTCTCGCCAAATCTCTTCTTTCTTCTTCAACGCGCCCTTTTAGACAGTGCAGCTCAACATTTAGCATGACCGATATTGACTTTCTGTCAATGTCTACCTTGCCTTCAATTGATGAAGTTAGCGATTTCGCGGTGCGGAGACGGAGAATGCGGTACCATAAGAGCTGGCCGAGCATTGTTTGCAAGAACAACAGGTTGCTTGGGCGGCGTCAGAGGGACCAAACATATGAAAAACAACGAATTGAAAGCATATTACTTTGAGGTATTAAGTACACTTGAGAATGGTTCAAATTTTTGTAGGTATATTGGAATATTGAATTGATTTTATACGAGCAATGATACTCATTCTCCACGCTGATACCATTCCAAACAATTTGATCTCAATATTTTCATTCTTTTACTCCACGTTAAAATCCGACGATAACCCCGATAGTCCCAACTGGTGTCGCCAAATCACATGATCCCTCTCCTTGCCGAGTCAGTCTGCAGCCAACTCGCATGTGATCATCAGACAAACTCCATTGAAGATCATCCAACTCCCACATCGCCCCTAGATATGTCGACTCGCACATTCTCCTTCTTCATACAACCATTTTCTGATAACTGTTGATCATGGAATAGCTTCATTTTCCGATCATTTCTCTTTTCCACGACCTCCAGATCCCCTCACATTCGCATCCCATCGCATCGACCAAACCACATGCAAATGCCGCGCGAGTCGGTCATACTTCACGCACCCATAACGCCCATCTTATAACGAGTCGCATTCCTCTAGTCGTGACGACTTCGGAATCTGCAGAAGCAGAGCAAATCCGTTGCTCTCGACGCCATGGAGCAAACGGAGCAGGATCACTTGCCTCGAGATCAACCACCGTCCTACTCTCTGGCGCAATCTCATGATCCAAATGCTTTGAATTTACCTTCCGTACCCACCGCAGATCCACCAGCACCACCCCCCGTACATCATGAACGTACTTTACCTCCGTTGCCTCTGGCGCCCGTCGAGTCGCGGTATAGAGCCGAAGAACATATCACAATCTGGCCCTCCTCCAATCCTTTGACCGCCTATTACCAACCAGGACCGTCGCAGCTCTCTCCAAAAACAGGTCCTACCATGGCTACGGATTTACCCAGCAGAATGGACGTTGATACTCCAGACAGTCGCGGGAGGAGGGGTGGAAGTGTTTTGTCGATAGATGATCCAGATGTGCGCCTCGCTGCGGAAGCGTTGGGAGACCTGCGAGCCGGTATGTTACACGAGCATTTTTAATGTCGAAACCCGACTGACCGTATTTGTAGATTTTGTGCAGTCGCCAACGCAGAGAAACATGTCAATCCCTCGCAATTCCCCCCGAAACCCAAATAGCGGGGCACAAAACGAACCTCTACTTTCCCTCCTTACCACATCACATCCTCTTCTCGGCACAGCCATTGGTGGCTCTCTTTCCGCATATTCTGCTTCGAAGAATTATAGTCCTAGATTCAAGTCTAGCGCGGAGTTTTTGGAGAATAGATTTTCGCCGGTTGTCAATACCATAACGTCGGTAAATCGGATGACAGGTGTAGAAGGAGGGGTACGGTGGTTTCTTGGAGGTAGACGACCCAGTCATCTTTCACCAGTAGATTCGATGGAGAGTGGGAGGGAAGGAAGTAACAAACGGAGAAAGGTGGTTACGGATGACGAAGAGACTGATCGACATATGTCATATGATTCATATCCAGTTCATCGACAAGATCTCCAGCATAGACAAAGAGCCCAAAGTCAAGCTTCTCAAGTCGATAGTCTTCCAGCATATGATGAATACCGGAGCCCGAGTTACGAAGATACACAACAAGCGCTCATTCCTAAACAAGATTCAAGGGAAGTTTCCAATTCGAATAGTTCATGGCAGTCGTTCGTATTGTCAACGAGTGGCTTGAGCGTTGCGATGAGCGAGGAAAGTTTGCGAAGTCTAAAATATTGCCTTGGCTGGTTGAGGTGGGCAAATGAACATATTGGGAAAGTAATATTGGCATTGAAATCAGTCTTGGAGCAATACGAGAATCCGCCACCATCCGGCACGACGATCGACTCGGGCGAAGGTGGAGAGAAAGGCAATTCCTTAATACCACGAAGTGAAGCCGAAAGGATCGCACTCAATGCCAAGGTAGCAGAATTAAAGAAGGATGTCCTGAAAACATTAAAGAGCGTCGTTGACATCGTCTCAAAATATGCTGGTGGGGCACTTCCAGAGAATGCTAGGATCTTGGTCCGAAAACACCTCACTTCTCTACCTCAGAGATTCCGTCTCGCCAATTCCCGAACGTCAGATCAAAATCCGAGGGGTTTGGAACAAGGCGATGCGGAGGTCACTGATGGTGCGAATAGGGTTCTTGTACTCGCCAAAGAGGGCTTGGATATGATGGCTCAAGTCTCGGGCGTATTGGATGGAACGATTGTCAGTGCTGAAGAGTGGTGTGAGAAGTTGGGAAGGAAAAAGAGGGAAGAGCAAGGCGAAGAGGATGCAGCGATGCGCCACAGCACGATGGAGAAGCAACATGATTTTGAAAAAGGGGGATATCAAATCCAAAACGGAGACGAGAAAACGGGTTAGGTTCATTTGTATACCAGGAAGGATCTCGGAATTGGTATGGCGTTTTGAGCTGCGGTGTTTGGAATTTTGTACGGTGTTTGGTCTTGGGTTGACAGGCTGGGAATTGGTGGGTCGTGAGAAGGGATAGGGGTAGGAAACAGTGCGCTCTTGTATATATATATAATGAACAGCCACAACCTGCTTTTTTGGACTTTATACTCATTTGATTTGCGTAGTGATGCTGGCGTGGTTTTTTGATCACGGTCTTTCGGAGTTGTACTAAACGCTGTGCCAGGAAGCGGCCGGAGGCGACTTATTGCCTTAGGATATTCCAAAGGCAAATTACAATGAGCTGTCAAGGAATATATTTCGGTCTACTAGCTTCCAGGTTGAACGTAAGTAGCACACTAATTTCGAATTACGTTGTTCCGGGGCTTCGCACACGATTTTTTCACATAAGGGGGGGAGAATACTGCGAAGAAGGATAATTGATTGAAATGAAGTATTAAAGACCCAATAGAGGGCGCCTCTTGAAAAGAATGAAACCAAAGGTAATTCCAACACCCTGCGATATTCCTCCCAAAAATCCGATATTAACCAACTCCAAATTTGAAAACACAGCTGACCGATACTCCTCCCAAAAACCCTAGTATTACCTATCCGACACCAATTACCAGATCCCAAGCTTGCGCAACAAATCTATGAAGGGGATGTAAAGATCCGTGAATCTATACGCTGGCGCATCAGTTCACATCCAAAACCGATTCGCTACTTTCACCATTCTGCTCAGAACTCTTGCCATTCAGTGTTGGCGGCGCTCTTGACGATGGTGGATCACCACACTTGTTTCTCCCACTGGGTTGGAATTGTTGAGGCGTCGGCTTGACGTTGCTTTGGAAAACATCATTCGCAATCTCAATTCCCAAAGGAACACCACCGATTGGGAACAATTGACCTGGTCGATCCCCTCTAGCACCCACGGTCTGATACTTGATATCCTGGGCTGCTTTATAGTTTATGAGTCCATCCGCGGTGAATGTCTTGGAGGTTACGACATCCTCAGCCGCAAATGCATCGAATCCCCAGTGAACACCGAGATAGATGCGAGATATTCCATTTTCAAAGATGGCAGACCAGAGAGATGGGAATTTGCGTGCTCCAATATCTGTGCGGACGAGACCTTGCTGGTCAGTGATGGGCGCAGAAGGATCGTATGGTTGGCGAAGATCACGAGATATCCCATTCAACTCCTCACTCGTAGCCTCGAAAGCGATGTTATCTGCTTCATCAGGCGCAAAGGGGAGATTATCACGCTTCTTGTAATACAGTCTGATCGCCTGGAAGAACGCACCACCAAACGTCGCATGTCCCGATGGATAAGACGGGAACGGAGGCTTGAACGAAATCTGATCGGTATTGGTCTCTGGCGCACCAAGAGTCAACCAGAATGGGTCATGCAGCGGGCTTTGAATGTCCTGACGAACGCCATTAAGAGGACGCCAGAACTCAAAACACCATTTCGCTTGCCAGGCGAAGATTCCGGCGTCGCCCATGACTACATTGGCGAGACAGAAGAGACGCGCGAAATCGGCGTTGTTCTTCTCGTCGGTCAAGCCAGCAGCTGGTCGTTTCTCCACGGCGATTTTGCGCAGGATTTGGTTGTAGTTGCGTGGTGGGGTGCCAATGAGGTTCGAGCCGTCGTAGGCCCAGAAGTAACCGGCGGTGGTTTGATCGGGGGTGCGTCGAGTGGTGTTCAATGCAGCATTCCCGCCTTGAGAATACACTTCTTTGAAAGCGAAGTTGTATGCATCGAGGTTGTTTATGCCGAAACCGACTGGAGGGTCGGCGATGATGTGTTCAGTTGGTGCGCCGTTGACCTTGTGTTGAACGGCAATCCGTTTGCCGAGCATGCCGTAGAATGGAGCGTTGACAGGACGGATGGACTTTTGGGGTCCATTGGGGTCGTTGGGGTTGACTGGGACACGTTTGATGGGGTTTGATGGGTCTTCACTGAATTTATATTGTCCGCCGGATGGACGATAGGAGTCTTGATCGAATGGAGCGGGTCCTTGGTCAAGAAGGTTTAGGATTGCTTTACCTACTGCTACACCAAAGCGGTAGCTGTTTCCTAGGGTATTGAGAACAGGAAGCCTTGCGAGGTAACCATCGATCAGAGCTGTGAGCTCGTTCGTAGCCGCGGTAGCAACTCCTGCCGCTGGACTGGTGTAAAGTTGGCGAAGAACGGTGTTGGCAGCTCCAGCAACTGCTTGAGAGGCGTCTGTTGCTCCAACAAGAGCTGGGAGTTTAGTGCTTGGGTCGCTAGAGTTGGGATCGAGATAGGTAGTTGCATTGCCGGTCTTATCGGGGTTGATTGCAAAATACGCATCGTTGATAGCGAGATGCAGAATTGCTAAGAAGCGAGCTGATGCTGGTGGGCCACCTCCTGGACCGCCGATGGAGGAGGTGAGTCTATTCAAGTCCAGTGCGAGACTGTTCCAGAAGAGGATGTAATTGGTGTTCCATGATGCTGGCTCGTTCGTTGGTGGAAGGACTACCATTTCGAAGTTGAGATGACTTAGAGAATTCGCACGAATAAATACTGAGCTTTCGAGGTACGAGCAAAGGATTTTGTATTGAAGAGGAGTGTTTGCGTTGTAGAGATGTTGAGAAGTGTTTGTGGTTTCTTGTAACCTGGGACCAACCGCTCATATTTATACCCAGAGATGAGCTCGTCAACCTTCGCCTCTTACTGATTAACGCCCTCGAGGCTCCAGCAGACCGACAACAAACCAGAACGTCTCCTTTCCGAATCATACTCAGCTGATGGAGGCTCAGAACATACAGGTAGACGTGCCGCACAAACTGACTGGCAGATTTTGCGTTTTTCTACTAAGCCGCCAAGCCACAGCTGTTTAGTTATCGAATCATCTTTCGTGTTTGGCAATCATTCGAATTCATGATTCCATCAGTCATTAGAACACGAGACCGTACTACGATATTCGTCGCCCTGCTGTTGAATCTGGACGTGGTGCGTTGAAGACGCCTAGAACAGCCGAGCGGCTTATTGGGGGCTTATGTTTGCATAAAGGGTTGATGAAGATCTCAGTGTAGGTACCTCGGAGACTTGGAATGCGTCTTTACAGCTCCATCTTAGCAATTCAACTTAGGAACGTTTGGTTGAGATGTCAGCATAATTAACCCACAGCGAAGATTGCCAATTAGCACCCAACTTGGTAATGCGTGATTGTAGTTAATCAAACTCCTGAATCTGACATTCCACAAACATACATCGATTTCACTGGCCGCCAAAGAGTCATGCTTCGAACGTGGGCGACGGAGTAAGCCACTCGTGAGTTATGCCGAGGTGTGGTACAGAAAGCGCATATTACGAAAAAGAACATTTGGCGTCCAATGATTTCTTGGTCATCAATTTGGCAAACAAATAGATGCCTTGAGAAGTTCTATGTATAGAAGACTATTGATCTAAAGTCGGTGATTGGGTGAAGCCAGAGAATTTCCGAGGTGCTGAGGGTGTAGGTGAATCTTGCTACGAGGTTGATGGCTTGATGTTGTTACACAAAGCTGACCACCACTTCTTAGCAGAGTCACCGAGTGTTCGTAAGTAGCTGGTGGCGACTCATTACGCTGCAATAATAAATGATTAGTAAGGTCCCCAGGCCTTGCACATTTTCTAGACGTGATTGTTAAGAAGTATCGTTTAATGCATTCACTCAGTCGAGTGATTCACTAGCCAGCGCAAAAATCGCGGACAAACACCTCGAAAAAATCGTCAGATATTTTTAATCAAAAGTCTGTACACGATTCCGATCAAGTTTCACGGGACCTGCATCTTATTCAGGACACGAAGCCTCTCAATATATCACCTACGCCCAGAGACGGTTGTCAAAAGCTGACATCCGAGTGGTTAAGCGAAGGTCAATACTGTAACCTCGATCGGGAGCTGACGAATGATTGAGCGACCACGTCTCAGCCTTATGAAAATTTGTGCACGTCATCTGCGGTGCTACACATGGCTTTCTCGAAGGAAATTGCTGCGTATTAGGGTATGGCGGTCTAATGGGCATGGGATTTCTTTTACTGTCCTGGGAGCGTCTATAAGGAGAGAAGGGTGGGTGTAGTAGAATAGTTCCTAGCCTTGCTCGGTTCAACTCTTATTATTAATCTGTCACGAGTAGCGTCGTCCTCGGCGTCGTAATACTCCTAGGATTAAAGGTCCCGGGATTAGACGAGGTTACGAGAATTAAGTAGTTTTTAGGACCGCCGTCTAGTAGTTTTATTTAGTTAATATTAGCTATATTTAGGTTAGCGGATAGGCCCTAGTTTTAGGTAGTATTACGTAATAAATAAAAGTTCGATAAGTTCGCTAGATTTACTATTAAACTCGTTAAACTTATTAAACTTAGGTAAGATAGAAAGTTCTATATAATAATTATAATTTTCTTAGATAAAAGCTTTATACTTAACTTACTATAGTAATAGTATATTATCTATTTAACTTACTCTTATTATAATAAATAGATCTCTAAATCTATAAGTAATACTTTATATTACTACTTACTATATACTAACCTTATAATACTTTAGTCTACTATTAGGTAGAAAACTAAATTATTATAGTATACTACTATAGTATAAAAACTATACTTATTTTTAATAATAACTTATAATTCTATTAATTATAATTTATTATTTTATTATATAGATATTAATATACTATAGAATTAACTTTAGATTACTATATTATTATATAAGTCTTTCTTATTAAGATTTATATTATATAGATTTTACCTCTAATTAATTTAAATTTATATATATAATTTACTACTATTTCTCTTCTCTTTTACTTTCTCTTTAAGTAGTATATTTATATTTTATATTATAATAATTATATATTATTAGCTTTTAACTACTCTTAAACTTTATTATAGTATCTAAAAAGAAACTAGTTAGTTAACTAAGACTTAATAGTATAGAAAGAAGATATAGAAAGACTACTACTATTTAAGAAAGATATTAAAGATTAGGTTTTCTAAATATTAGAATTTAAAGTAACTCTTTAATCTACTCTTTTACTACTACTTAGATTTAAGATATTTCTATACTAATAAAACTATTAACTTAACTTTAAATAACTACTTAAGTTATATAGTTAAGTAGTTAAGTAAGTTAAAATAAAAATTTAGAGCTCTCTTTAAACTTAACTAACTAACTATTAATCTAATCTTAATATTATACTTAATTAATATTAAAAAGTCTTTAACTCTCTACTATTCTAGCTTTATTAATACGTCTAATATCTATATATAAACTCTTCTATTTAACTAAGTTATCTATATTCTCTTTACTAATTTACCTATAATAGTCTAGTTCTTTACTTTAACTTTCTTCTTTTATAAAAGTTATAATCTATATTTAAGTCTATTTATTATACTATAAATTCTATACTTATAGAGGTTTTATTCTAGTAAATCTAGCTTTAGTAATTATATAATCTATTATTTAATCTAGTTATATTTCTTAGTTCTTTATATAGTAATAAAGTTATTTTATAAAGACTAACTAAGTATAATAATTTAGTTCTACTTAGAGTAGACTAGAGTTATTATAAGGTTAGTATATTAAGAAGTAGATAGAAGATTATTACTTATAGATTTAGAGATCTATTTATTATAATAAGAGTAAGTTAAATAGATAATATACTATTACTATAGTAAGTTAAGTATAAAGCTTCTATCTAAGAAAATTATAATTATTATATAGAACTTTCTTTTCTTAAGTTTAATAAGTTCGCTAGTTAAACTCGTTAAACTCTTACCTAGTTCGATAAGTTTACCTAGTAAACTTATTAAACTTTTATTATTACGTAATAGTAATCTAAACTAGAGCCTACCTACTAATATAAATATTACTAATATTAACTAAATTAAACTACTAGATAGTAGTTCTAGAAACTACTTAATTTCTATAACCTTATCTAATTCTAAGACTTTTAGTTCTAGAAGTATTATAACGCTAAGAGTAATACTACTCGTAATACTATTCTCTATTCGAACTAGTAAGTCTATATACTTAAGTATAACTAAGAAATATATTAGTTAAAGACTATAGACTTCTCTTCTTTTTAATATACTACTCGACTATATAACTAAATATTCTAATATTATAGCCCTTAGTAAATAGATTAATCTAACTAGAAAGAAGATAGTACCTTATTCTTATTATAAAAAGATAGAAAAAGAGTATATAGTCTCTTAAGATCTAAAATATAGTTACTATAGTACTTATACTACTACTAGAAAATCGTATAATATTAAGAAGATAAATTAAATACCCTTAGTTTATAACTAGAAAAGTATTAAGGTTTAAGAAGAAAAACTCTTCTTAGAGAATAAGTAAACTAAGGCCTAGATTTAAGAGATACTAGCTTGTCGTATCTATTAGTAGTAAAAGTTTCTTTAAAAACAAAAATAAAAGATAATTATAATAGGTCTTAACTCGCTAGATAAGTTAGACGAGTTAGAGAGAAAAGAGTAGTAGAAAGAAGAGAAGAAGAGAGAGAAGAAGAAGAGAGAAGTAGTAGTAAAACGACTACTAGCCTACTCTACCCCGCCTAATAACTTCTCTGCTTACGACTTATCGCTACTTAATCTAAACTTTAATTCTAGGTCTTTCTAGAAGGCCCTAGATACTAGTAGTAGAACTTCTTAAGCTACCTAGAGTAGTTAAGGTTATTTATTAGTTCTTATATATTTTCTAATTATAAGTAGTCTTTCTATTTTATTAGATAATATAGTTTTCTTCTAATAAGTTTATAGTCTAAGATTATCTCGACTTTATACTTAGTATTAGAGTTTACTAGTTTTATTTTTATAACTAGAGCTAGTAGTACTCCTAGTAGTACTAGTTCGAGGAGAGATATATAGAATACTAGAAAGATATTTATACTTTTTAGTAGAGCTAGTTTATAATTTAAAGGTTCTTTATATACCTTAATCTTAAATAGTTCTAGTTTCTTATTATCTAGTTTATTACTTAGTTATTTTATTTAGATATTTTATCTAACTAAATAAACTCTATCTCTCTCTAGCTCCTAGAAGGTAGATCTTCTAATATTTTAATAATTTAACTATAGCTATAAGTTTCTTTTTATAAATATTATAGTTTTATTTAGCTAGTAAGTACTTATTAAAGTAGTAAGTAATAAAGTACTACTTTCCGGACTTATCTAGCTAGAGGTAAATAGCGCTAATAGTAGTATCTAAGATATTAGTCTTAATTCGGCTTAGTTTGTCTTTATCGAAGCTTCTTATTACTAGGTTACTAGTAAACCTATCTTTTAGCTACTAGAAAGCGGCTTTCTCGAGTTTCTCTATAAAGAAGAGTACGTCTTTTCGTATAAGTCGCGTTAGTAAAGTCGCGATATTAGAGTATTCTTTAATAAACTATTAGTAGAAATTACTAAAACTAAGAAATAATTAGACGTCTTTAATATAAGTTAATTTCGGCTAATCTATAACTTATTAGATTTTCTCTAGTT